GGATAAGAAGAGACCACTCAGAGAGACAAAGAAGAGTAAAGAGCGCTGCCTGAAAGAGAAATAGAAGAGATCGCCCAGAGAAAGAAACAAAAAGCACGACAAGAAGAGGGCGGCGAGAGAAAGAGACAAAGACAGTGAGAGCTACGCACCTGTTTTTGCTTCCAAAACAATCTTTTTCCCGCTGCTCGGAAGACTCGCCCCTTCAGCTACTTCTTATCAATAAATCGTCGCTTTTTGCTCAAACTTTGCAGTAATTTCCTTTTCGAATTTCGCCGTAAAATTCGCTTTTTGGGTGCGTTTTTTGTTGTGGAAGGCTTGGGGGTGGTGGTGGGATATTAGATTTTAATTTTGGGGTTGTTTTAAATTTACCTGAGGCTTTTTTTTAATTTTTACAGAGGTTTTGTAAAGATAGTAATGGCTATTTAAAAGACGTTGTTTCAGCTCTTTATAAGTCAGTGTTATGGGTCTTGAAAGCTGGCTGCAGGCTTGTTTTAGGGTTACTTTATGCCATTTTCATAGTAGCATTTTGAATTTTAATTCTAATCTCGAAAAGTTGAGGACGGGCCCGGCCCAACAATCAGACTTTCCTCAAGACTGGTCCGGCCTTAATCAAACTTTCCTCAAGCCCAGCCATAACCAATGTCTTTATAAAGTGGAAGATGTTGCTCTTTGTGTGTGTATGTTTGGAGTAATTGAGAGAAGCGCCTTCACGTGATAACGGCCTTCCTTCCTCTCGCTTCGGCCGAAATAAGGGATAAACAAACTCGGAGCACTTTTGCGGATAGTACGATGTTACTGTTGTTTTCAGAACAACATCGTACTAAACAGAAAGCTGTTTTTTTTCGAGCTTTTGAAAGTTTGTGCTTTTTTAGTGGAAGAGGCGAGGGGAGGAGGGGGCTGGGACAAGGTTTGGAAAGCTAAGTCAATGGCAAGGGTTAGGTATGGTAGAGCAGGGCAGCGCAGGGCAGGGCAAGGCAAGGCAAGGCAAGGCAAGACAAGACAAGGCAAGGCAAGGCAGGACAAATCAGAAATACCTTATTTAAACCAACATAATTCATGTTGTAACAAGATCTCTGTACATTATACACAGTATTATGTTGTAATGTTGTATCCTTGACGTCCAACTTACTAGATTTGTCATTATAGAGCCATATTTCATTGTTCCATTACACTGTGATGATGATATTCATCATACGCCGCCTTCACGTGACATCACAAGTTCTTTTTTTGTTTCAGAGTAACAAAGAAACGTATTAAAAAGTAACTTAAATTATATTTTTATCGCGTTTTAGAGATAATAATGGCAATTGTAGGTTGTTACTTTGGAGCTGCGGGGAGGAGGAGGTAGAGAGAGGTATAATATGTAACATAAAAGTTTTTTTTTGGAAAAAAGTTTTGTATAGTACTATATATGATATTGTACTATATAGTACCTAATAATTCTAAGTGTCATTTCTTGTTTTATATCCTCACCCCTATTCCTATAAAACTCGAACGACATAGGTACCACCTAGTGGAATATAAATTGTTTACCGCGTTTTGTTGTTGGGAAATTATTTGTTTATCTATCTTCTCCTTGGTTCTATCTTTAGTTGTTTTTTGTATATTTCAAAAAAGGAAAACAGTTTTATGTTATTGCGGATTAGGAATGCGATTTGGAATGGCAAGCAGTGCATGTTGTGTTAGCATACATTTTGCAAAAATATTTTTTTTGCAAACTTTATGCTAAGTTATCGTTCACAGAGTGGTATTTAGTGATAAATAGATACGTAGGAAAGATCTTCTGAGTCATGAAGGGGGGGGGGGGAGATCTTCTGGGTCATGAAGGGGGGGGGGAGGAGAAAGGGGGGTGTGTATATATTTTAGTGAATATTCATTTAAGGTTGAACCAAAAGTACCGGGACGCTTTTTTGTTGGAAAATAAATTAGAAGTGGCCCACTACTTTTGATTCAATTTAATGCAGTGAAACCTCGGTAATAGGACTCCGCTTATAACGAAACCCCGATATAACGAACGATTTTTCCATCCCTTTTTCGTTATATCGGGAGATCACTGTATTTTCAAGAATTAACAAGGTAAGGAGTAGGGTATAGGAATAGTTAGGAAGAGGAAAATTTTTTTTTGTTTTTATATGCTGAGGAGAGGAAAGAGATCTTCCTGCGTCTGTTTGGGTTTTAAGAAGGGGGGGGTATTTTTTATTTTTTTTTTTATTTTAGGGAGGAGAGGGGGGAAAGAAGCAGGGAGTAAAAGACGTTTCTTATTAACTGTTGGTCTTAATTATATGTAACCTTTTCTCATGTCATCTTGTTTAAAAGGTTACAATTTTAAAATGTAATTGTGGTTAACTTTAAATAGTACGTACATTGTAATATTGTTTGGATTTTAGGTATGTTTATGTACTATAGTTTTATTGAAAGTACTTTGAATTTTGTATAATATACGTGTAATAAGCCCTTTTATAATGTACGCATAATATACTTTTGTATGTTATACGTACAAGGTGTAGCTCTTACTATCAAAATTGAAGGCTTTGAACGGTGTTGTACCATAAGATATTAACTATTACTTACTTTGCTACGATTATACATTAAAAGCATAATGTAACTTTAATTTTGTCATTATGCTATTATTAGTAACCGTATTTCTGTGTAAAAACTTACTTTGAAATATTTATTATACTTTTTTGTACTGACTGTCATAGTAAGTTTTTTTAAATAGACTTTACACTAATTTTTTAATTGAAAAAGTACTGTAATTTTAATTTCAGTACTTATTTATATTTTTTTAAACGGTTTAGATTAAGTTTAAAACTGTCACGTGCTTTGAGATAAGGCTATAATTGTCTAAAAAATAAATGACTATGTCTGGGTAATGATACTCAAAGTAATTGTACGTATCACACCGCGTGTTATGCTGTAATTTTGTGTTTCATTTGCGTATGTTCGTTCCTGTTCTAGTTATGTTATTGTAATGTTCTATTTATGTTATTATAGGCTTTGGTATATATGTAGGTCAGTCTGTAATTTATTTCCATATTAGTTACAGGTAGTCTTATCTGTAGCCTAGAGCCTTAGCCCAGACTCCTAGCCCAGAGCCCTAGCCCTAGCCCAGAGCCCTAGCCCAGAGCCCTAGGTCAAAGCCTTAACCCAGAGCCTTAGCTCAAAGTCCTAACCCTAGTTTTGGTCCAAGCTCTAGCTCTAACTTACTCTACTCTACACTCTCTTCTCAAGCCTCTATCTTCTCTCTACTAGCCGTGGTGACACATTACCTCTTCTCTTGCCACTTTATACTGTACAAAGATTAGAAATCACGTTGATATTTGAGAAATAATATTGTGCAAGGTTTCCTAGTTGTTCATTACAGCAAACGTGTTTACTCACCCTCCATCTTGCACTTTAATCCAATAACAAGGTCAACTTTGCCTGAACATTATGTTTTGTATTTTTACGGCTGCGGAAGAACGGAATGGACTCGTGCTTCGGCCAAATGCGGCCTTAAACATTGAAATATTATACAATGTTTTCAAATCTGGGGGTCGTAAAAGTTTTGTTACATGTTTTTGGGGGTTTTTGGATATTTTCTAAATTTTTTTGATATTTTAGTTAAAAAAATTGAGTTTTTTTATTTTTTTAGGTTGGACGAGGGAAGAGGGTAGGAGAGGGGAAGGATGAGGGGACCAGTGTTTCGCTGAAACGGTTTGGACCGGACTCAAAAATCTTTGGATTGGATCGATAAAAAACGCTTTGGACCGACCAGGGTAAAGCACTGAAGGAGGTGAGATAAGGGTGTAGTATGGTCAGTAGTAAGGATGAGAGTCAAGGTTAAGGGGTACTGGTCAGGTATGGTCAGTATCAGTATAGACCATAGAGTAGTAAGATAGAGGAACAAAGTATGGCCAATGCCAAGGAAACGGTAAGGGTAGTTGTGCTGTAAGTTGAGAGGAGGAGGGATGGGTTTTGTTTATTCCTTTTTAGATATATTAAAAAGGAATAAACAAAACGATACCTTTTAGTACCTTTTAGGCTAGTTTTATCGATTTTTAGCTAACTCGGCTTGAATTAGGGTTGAGTAAAACAAGTCAAAGCTGACCAGGCCTAAAAGCTCGGTCTAGAAGTTAAACTTCTTTTCCTACCTCTCCTTCTACTTTCTCTCTCTCGCTTTCTCTCCTCTTTACACCTCCGGTTAGACTTGAAAGGAAGGTACTAGGCCCGTTCTGTCCCTTTACAGACTTAATTTTGGCTAAAATTTATTGCTCTGACGCTGATAGTAACAATGATAAAAGTTTATTTCAAATTAGGTTAAAAGTACCTCAATATATATTTTTATTTAACATGTATTCATGTTGAGGTAGATGTTATATATAACTTTTATGACCTCTTTTAAAGTATATATTTACATATCATCATACCTTCATGTTCCAGTACTTTAGACCTTGCAGTTGTTTTTTGACCCTGCTTGTTGTACTTTTATCTCGTTGTCAAAAGTTGTTGTTGCAAATCACTTTTTGTCTCTTTTTCTCTGCCTTTTCTCTCTCTTTTGCCTTTCTTCTTGTTGCTTTTTTTTGTGTCTATTTCTCTGTACTCTCTTACATATAACGTTCTCTCTTATTTTATGATGTTGTTTATTGATGGTATGTTTTCTCTCATATGTTTGGGCTTATCATTACCGTGTTGCACTTTAACAAACTCTTTTATATGGCGTTGGGTTTCGCGGATTCAACAATTTGATATTATCAGTTTGGACTTTTAAGTCGTTTGAAAAATGTCACACTTGTGATTATTTGGCATTATCGTTAATAACTTGTCGTTTATATAACATTGTATTTATATATGTTTATTATATAGGTAATGGCATATAAGTTTACATATTTAATGTTATTTATATACTTTGAGCATAAGTAATGTCGTGTACCTTTGCATATGTAATGTCAGATACTGTATATATAGCAACTTTAAAGAAATTTAAATCTATGTTTTAAGGGTTGAACTCATCGACCAAGATGGACTTTATCAATGATTTGATGCCGGTGGATTCGGCGCTAGTCAAGCGGCTACAGCGAAGCATGGTGTTTGATACGAACAAGAGTGCTGCTAGGATTAGGGTAGGTTATTTATCTTATTATCTACTAAATTTTTATTTCAAAAAAATTTAAATTTCAAAAGGTGTATGACAGATAGATATGCCTTCCTATGTATGAAGGGCAGGCCGAAGGCGCTTTTGGTTAAAGAGAGTGGGGTAGTTTTTCCAACCAGAAAAAATTTTCGAAAAATTTGAACATGTGGATTTTTGGAAAAAAATTTTTTCGACCTTTGCCCTTAGACCAAAAGCCTCCGCCCGGCACTGGCTAGGACTAAGGCGAAAGCTAGCAAAAAAACGTTGTTTGAAAAGGTTTTTTTTTGAAATTTTATGAAAAAAATATAATTATGTAATTTCAGAACGACGAAAGACACGCCGTGAGTGCATTGGTAACGGTTTTGAAACGCCTGAGGAAGAACAAAGGTGCTGTTGAGGTGTTGGATCGTGCTGTGACTTCCGAAGACTGTTCTACTAAATGTATAGTGTACAAAATGTAAGTCTTATCTCTGCATAGCTTATATAAGGTTTTTTTACCTTGTATAACATATATAAAATGCCTTTTCTTGCTTTGAAGTCATCAGTTTAGGTATTGCTCAAAGTTTTTATATTTTAAAATTGTGGAGAAAAGCGTTGATCACCTAAAACAATATCGAAAACCTTAAATTTGTATCTCAAAAACTATCTATCAGATCCGTTTGATATTAATATTGACTTAGTTTTATCATATTAATCTTTAAATTACCTTACATTTCCAGGCCCAAAAAAAGTGATGCTAACAACCCGACCTTGCACAAGACCTACCCCCACTTTACTCTCTGTAAAATGTTTCGTTTCCCTGAGATTGTCACCTACCATCAACTCACTCATTCTGATCATTGTCTCTTCGATTTTGCTACAAATTATCAGTCGTTAGAGTACTGCATCAATCCTTATCACTACCAGTTGGCTAAACGTCCACGTAAGTTGGCGTTGAAGGGTAGGGTAGGGTAGGGTAGGGTACGGTAGGGTACGGTAGGGTACGGTAGGGTACGGTAGGGTAGGGTAGGGTAGGGTAGGGTAGGGTAGGGTAGGGTATGGTAGGAGACTTATCTAATCTTATTATTTCCAGAAATCCCAGACATGGTGGTACCTAAAAACGTCCCAGTTGATCTCCAAACCCAGCACAGACTCCTCACCCTAAGTGGCAACATTGACCGTCTCTGCCCTCAAGGCGTGCCCAATATTACACTAGACGCTCGTTCTATCCCTGCCTGTTCCGACCCAGATGCGCGCTGTTTTTCGACTGATAAAGGAGAAAACAATGAAGACGCGGCTTCATCGTGCAGTTCCCGTGTACCAGGTGTCGCCTCACCTACTAGTACTCATGTACCATCACCTTCTACTGACTTTAACGATGAAATGGAGACGGACCAAGATTTGCCCAGTCCAGGGTCGACCGGTTCTCAAGAACCGTCCAATCGTAACATCTACGCCAAACCGCCGATGAGTAACGATTCAGATTGGCATCGTACGGCCGAATCTCCTTTTGGTGCTATTATGGGACCGGATGGTGACATTGGGAATGTAATGAGTACAGACACGGTGGCTAGAATCAGTTTTCAAGAAAGTCCGGTGTGGTGCACGGTGGGGTACTACGAGGAGGAGACTTGTGTACGCTCGGATTACCATGGTTCAAGGCCGTCGTTCGTGATTGATGGCTACACGTCGGTGCCGGATGAGGAGCGATTCTCAGTTGGGAACTTTACGAATTCAAAGAGATCGAAAGGTACTCTACAAGTACGACAGTTCATTGGCAAAGGCATTAGATTGTACTACATTGCTGGTGATGTGTTTGTGGAGAACTTGTCCGCCTTTTCGATCTTTGTTCAATCACCGATGGCTGCTCATCGATACAATTGGCACACGGCTGCGGTGTGCAAGATTGCACCAAGTAAGCATTTTTTTTGGGGGCTCAAAACTTTTTACACAATTTGGTATTTCAAAAAAATAAAAGAAAAATAGGTTTGAAGTACTTAGTTTCCCAAATACACGGTTTATAGTACTATATAGTATCATTTAAAAATAATTTTACATATCTTACTAAAAAACTAATCCTTCCCTTTCAGACTCCCATTTCAAGATCTTCTCCATGACCGAGTTTGCCACTCTACTAGGCATCGCAGTGAAAGATGGCTTTGAAACTACCTTCGCCTTGACCAGGATGTGTACCGTGCGAATTTCGTTGGTGAAAGGATGGGGCAAGGTGTACAAACGTCATTCTGTGAATAAGACGCCGGTCTGGTTCCAGGTGCATCTGACTAGTCCACTTCAATGGCTGGATCGGATTTTGATAGAAATGGGTGGACCGCCAGAGAGATGCACCTCTTTCAGCTAAAACGATATCTACTTCTCTTTCTCTCTTCTATTTATTGTGTTACAGTACCGAGTTTTATTTACTTACTGTGTACATAGTACAGTACTTATTTGTGATCATGGAGTGAAAATATAGTACTATCATTCACAGTACTGATGGCACTATAATGAGCAGTACTGATGATACAATTATGAACGGTACTGACGGTACTATAATGAAAAGTACTGGTGATAACATTATGATCATCAAAGTCTACCATACTTATCGTACTATTAAAACCAGTACCGACTTAATTTTAAAATAACATTTTTTAATTTAAAATACGTTTTAAATAGTCTTCTTCTCTGTCTTACTGTAGCTTGCTAGTACTATTTTACCACCAAATTTGATTTTCACTATAAATTTATTATTCTTACAGTACACTTATTACTTGCAGTTACTTGCGTACTATGTTAAAAAGTACATTTACTTGTTTACCACTTGCTTGTTCTAAGTATGCACTATAGTTAGTACGAGAAAGTCATGCTATTTATAAACTAAAGTACATTCTTTTTCAACTTTTTCAATTTTAGTATTATTTAGTACTGTGTTTAGTCGTATTTAGTACTGTATAAGTACCGATTTTAAAATTGTACTATTTTTGATACTAAGCTTAGTACTAGTAAAGAATGTTGTAATTACATCCTGATTTACAGCAGTTATTATTCTTTTACTACTCTTTATATAATATATAAGTACTAGCTTTCTAAATGTTATATAGATTATACGACCTTATTATAGTAATGTTATAGTACCCGTAGAAACAAACCGGCACAAACTACTCATAGAAACCCATATATCATAGAGTTGGCTACAATGAGTAGTTCAATGTAAAAACCTACAATAGGTAGGTCAATGTAAAGTCTTTTATTCACTATTGAAGTTATTCTTAACCTTATATTATTATAAACAATCCTATTTGTTCAAGCAGTTCTCATTAACTCACATTATATTCTTTCGTACCCGTTGATGTACACAAACTATTGCAAAAACATTCTATTGTAGCGACAGAATAAACATTTTATTTTTAAATTTGGTATTATTCTACTTTTCAACATATGCATTATATAATTACAAAAAAAATTGCCCATTGTCAGGGCTGGGTAGAACAAGAGTTTTAACATATGTGTTATATAATAAAACCAATGTTGATTGGAGATATGAAGCAAGAAGAACAAGAGTACAAAGCAAATAAAGGCAAAATTGAACAAGCATAGGACAATATGACAAAGCTGACACAGTTGTAGAACAAAAGTAAGACAAGCTTAAAGATAGAGCAAATGCAAAAGCCTCTAAGAGGCATATTACAGTCATTTAAACTGCGCTTTCTAAGAAACCACGAAAAAATAGAGATCAAAAAATAACGTTTTGAATTTCCCGCCAAGTTGGCATTGTGTTTCACGCTTATAACTTTGCTATTTTTTGACTTTTAATTTTTTCTTTGATATACTAGTAGAAACACTTCAAATAAACCTAAATTTTTAAATTTGTAAGCAGAGCTTGACTGGAAAGTTGAAAACAATGCTTGAAATACAATGCCAACTTTGCCAAATTGGCGGGAAACCAAAATAAATCAATTTTAAAACTTAAAAATGCGGGCTAAAACTTTTTATAAATACTATTGGTAATACAAGAAATTGATATAAAAATTTTGAGCTGATTTGAGCGGGACAGGTAGAGTACATTTATATTTAAAAAAAGTATGTAAGGCGAAAACTTTTTACCCTACCTGATAGTTGAAAACAAAGTGAATTTCATCGTATTTCAACATAACAAAATGAAAAAAAATTATTTTACTTACTTTTTGTATTTATTTATGAAGAAAGCGCGGATTAATCCCCGCTACAATTACTAAAAAGTAGAAAAGGATCTCGAACGTGCATTGGTGGTTCAGTGGTAGAATGCTCGCCTGCCACGCGGGCGACCCGGGTTCGATTCCCGGCCAATGCAAATGCTTTCGTTTTTTGTGCCAAAATCTTATTCATAATGATACAGTAATAATTTTTATTGTTCTTTAATAATAATTTTTAATTTTCTTCCTCAAGTTTCAAAAGTTCTTTTTTAATTTGTAAAACTGACACATAACCATTGTCTTTTCCGTAATAAAAAACGCCTACATAGTATAATTTTACGAAAAGTAATCTATAGTATTTTAAAGTCAGATCAGACCGAAATAAGGTTTATAATGTAAAAATGATTTATTTAAAAAGTCGAGTACAAACCCCGTTGAAACATTGTGTAAATGGTTGACAGCCACAGTTGTAACTGTGGTATGGGAAAGGGTTACAACCACATAATGCGCTGCCTCCAAAAGGTATCCAACCTCCTCGTTTCCCTCTGGCTATGGTCTGCGAATCTAAACGCAAATTTAACATTTTTAGCTAAAAAACTTCACATTTGCACTGAAACCAAGTTTATAGTACAAAAGATTACAAGTCAGTACTACAAGTCAATAATCTTACTATATAAAAGATACTAAGGTAAACTTTGTCATTTTTTATATAAAATTCAAAAACCTTACTTGTTTGAAGAAAAATAGTTAGGAAGAATATGACAAAGAGCCTTTTAAACATGTTGTAATACGAAGTTTAGTGAAAGAAAGTCAAAATAAAACATTACAGTAAAATAAGTTTTGATCTATAGTTGATTTTGGTGACGTTTAATTTGTTTTCAAGCTACACAAGATCTACGAAAAAAGGTAAATTCCACCGTTTTGTTAAAAATCGACCGGCCTTGCTGATAAATCGACCAGCCTTCATAATAATCGGCCGGTTATGTTAAACATCTATCCAAAGCCTACTCCTGCCCAGTTTAGCCTACCCCCACAGACAACTATCTACCATACCATACCGCATCTTACTTACTATATCATACCATACCATACCTTACCTTACCTACCATACCATCTCATACCATATCCTGTACTACCCTACCTTAACAAATGCAAAAAACTTTTTAAAAAATTGAAAAATGTGTAATTCTTAGCTTTTAAAGCCCTTCTATCACGAAAAGGTGATACACTTCAGAAAGGGATGTTTTAGCCGAAGCAAGGGAATTTTTTTTTGAGGTATGAAGGAGTTTCAACCATTATAAGTACAGATTTTCGGTCTAAAACCAGGATAGCATGCTAACCTATTACAGATTTATTTGATGTTTCAGCTCAATGAAGGCTCTCGGGATTCCGACCGGTCGACTAAACTTACCTTTAAAGACAAGATATTCACCAAAAGGCAATACAAATTTAAGACACTGCTACTAACCGGATAAAATTTAAATAAAAACTTTTAAAATAAAAAAAATACTGATAAAAATTATAAATACGTTTAAAATAATACTATTTGAAATTCAATAATATTGCTAAAAGTTATGACTGTAAAAAGTTACAGTCATACCGTAAGACAAAATAGAGCTTTGGTCAAAAAATTAAGTATGACGAATAAAGAATGGTACAGTAAACTACATAAACAGATCATGTTTTCGAAACATAGATAAAGATCACATCACCGGATTGTCAAACACCTTAGTATCTACAATATAAAAAAACTAAGACAGAAACACCTTTAGACCGCCCCCTGTTAAGTTAATAAGCACGACATTAATGGGAGTGGTTTACAGAGTTTATGACCTTATTAAAGTGAAATATCCTAGAAGCTTGTAATATTTACATCACACTGGGAGGAGTAAATTGCGAAGTTGGAGACGGGCCTTAGACACGACTGTACCAGAGGAGCTTGTGGAGCTCAAGGCTATTGTTGTAGATTGTCTGATGGTCGCCGATGATTACCAGAAGCTGACGGCCTCGGATGAAAGCCGTGGTTAACTCGATTGGTTTGGAAAGCAAAGTTAGAAGTAGGGTAATCTTGTGCTTTGATTGTGGCCAGGATTGCGACGTCAACCTCACGGCCTTGAAACGTTTCCAAGGTGGAGATCGTGAGGCGCAAGTTTGGTGTTCGGAGATCGGCCATTGCAGACTTGTCCATAGTCATTTGGATGTGCAAGTTGTAACCTTCTCCTAGTGGTTGAAGAACGCCAGAAACGGTGCAATTTGGAACATTACGCTGTACAATTCGAAAAATTATGCGACTAACCGTAATTTCTAAATAGTTTTGATACGGTTTTTTTCGAGCACAATAATATATGACTGGCGTCATATATTACTACAATTTTTTCAACTTTCTTAACAATACGACAATAGCATATTATTTAGTTTGATAAAAAAAGTAGCTACATCAAGTTTTTTGCTATTATACATCACCACACACTACGTTCTGGTTAAATGCTGTGCATCGGATGATGAACAATACGTCTCCTCTTACCATAGATACGGTCCGTCTAACTTTGCCGTGCACCGTTGATACAGACTAAATAACCAGTACGGTGACAAAACGCTTTTTACCTTCGGTCAGCAATTTCATCTTGCTTGCAATTTTGATGGTTGATTCTGAAATTTTATAACATGATAAGACAAAATAAGTCATAAATTAAAATAATAACACTTCAAACAAATTATACCAACAAAAAATGAATGGCATCATTCAGAATTTGCCTTGCAATGAAAGTTGTTTCTTTGAAGTTCTTATTGTTTTACGTTCTTGGGAATAAGAACCGATTGTAAGCAAAAGTATGCCCACGCAAAGTGATGCTTTGATCTATCTTGCCTATGATCACCGTTATTGTCCTTTTTAACGTATTCGATTGGTTTACGGTTTTGCTCAGATATATCAGTACAAAAGTTGTGTTTATCAAATTCTCTCTATCCCGCTGTTAAGGAGATTTAAAATACTCTTCTTTATGTATTTTATCCGAGTCTTGAGATTTTAATAATAAATTCCAATAAATTTTACTGTAGCTGTACTGTATTATTGTCTTAATCGATTCCCTTAAAAATACAATTATATTGAAAAAATAGAATTGTAATAGACAATCATAACATTATTTAAATTAAATAATAATATAAACTTACCGTTAATCCATAAATCCCCTACCTTGCTTTAGGAAAACAAATAACGGGAATGAATAGATCGAATACCATGGACCATTTGATTATGCCGACGGGTTTCGGCTAAACATTATTTTGGTTACGAGTCGTTAGACAGATTCTGCCTCAACATGCTTTTTAATTCAGGGGTCAAATTAGTAGTGGTAATTTGTATTCAACCAAACGCCGGTAGTGTAAGAATGTCGCCACAACGGATTAAAAAAGAATTTGCTTTTAACTTAGACCTAGCAAAGACTACGATAATCAATTGCCAAAGCCGTTGGCAGCAATATTCTGTTCCGGGTCTGAAGTAATTCCATAGGTCTAGTGCTCTCCGCGTTGTCCATGGCCGTTTGGGTGGTCTTAATGCCTCTGGCGCTACCGACAATACCTTGATTGCGGAGCGGACCGGTAGCTGTAAATGGCTATACTACCGAAATGTCCAAGTTGAACTGTCTGTGGTATTTTACCGTAATGGTCTTCTGTTATGTTCGCTATGTGGATTACACCGTTCGAATAACAAGCAAGATAAGTGGCTTCAATTTTCCGGACAAACTGCTGGTACCGCCAAAGAGACTGTACGTGGTACCGGGAATCTCTGTGTTCCTTACAGTCTTCAGGATGCGCCGGTTGCTGTTGTCCGTGTAGGACCGGTTGTTGTTGTCCTTGTTCCATTACCTGCGGAGCCGCCATGTTAATTCCAGTGTCGTGGATGTAGCTATCCAACATCGCTCTGGACGCGACGATATTAACTATTCCATATTCTAGCGGATGGTTCAATCTCCGGTTTCCATATTTCCTAACAAAAAACATTGGGACCGGTAGGTATGGTGCGTGCTCCAATGTCCTGTAGCTGTCCTGGTATAGTTTACGTTTACCGGTGATATTGGTCTTCCCAGTAATATTTTAGAGGTAGTTCAACCTTCTAGCTATACCCTTGCTACGAGTGTTGTAGTCCAATAGTGGTAGAGAACTATGGTTCTGATAGCCTACTGATACCTTGGTTACGCCTCGGGCAACCTCGCGTTTAAACTCACGAGTGTTTCCTTACGGAAACGCCTCGGTTTCCTCACGCTGTATTTTGGAAGGTAGGGTAGCCAATAATTACTACGAAAGTCGATAAATGTAAAATAAAATTTTGTTTGTATGGAGTAGAATAGTATAGGGTTCAGTTGTAAATTTTTATAATAGTATAACACAACGTTAATCAATAGTAGGATACTGTAGAATTTTAAAAAAATCTACGTCTAATTCAAACGTTGCAAAATCAAAAAGTGAATATTATTGAAAAATAAAGATTATGTTTTTAAGTTGTAATAACGCCTTCGTAAATTCCTTCGGCCTTCTTACAAAGTCTAAAGAATCTTTGCGATATCTTTTACATCAAGTTTATTCACTATATTGTTGATTCCTTATAAAATAGTCACACAAGTCAAAATAATCAACAAGACATATTATATCAACATAATAGTACGGTAAATAAAAGTACAAAATCGCCACAAACCATACACGAAGCAATGATTACCCAGCCTATTTTGGCATTTTCTCGGTTTACCCTTCCTCCCAAAATTTTCTGTTAATAAAAATCCTTCCTTCTCCAGTTTTTTCCTTTTCAAAAATTTTAACCAAAAAGCTTTCAAATCATACCTAAATCTTTTTTTAGATTACATCTCTTCACCTACAGTAACCTTTTTTTGTCCTTGCCTTCAAAATATGCCCAACCCTCCACCTTTATCCCCTTCCCCGAAATAGGCCAAAAAAAGCCTTGCTTCTGCCTTCATTTCATAGACGAACAACTAAACCCCACACCCATTGTCGAATATTCCGGGTAAATATTCGGATATGATGATAGTTAAAGTGGCCAATTTGTTGTTTCTCGGCCTTATCTCCGATTTAGATCGGCCGTACGATTTGCATTCTTCCTCCCGCAACCGTTTTTATTCTCCAAAATGTAAAAATAGCAACATATAGCTACGTCAATTAAAACCCTAACGCACAAATTTACAATTTGCAAACTGTTTTAGACCCATTTCCCCTCCTATCTCAACTTAATTGGCCCGCAATTTCTAAACTTTTTAATTTTTTTATTTTTAAAATTTAGGTTAGGTTAAACTCCCTAATTTTTGCAAAAAACTCTCTCTCCTTTACCCTCACCCTTCCCAAAAAGCTCGCAAAACATTATTGTGTACCCATTCCAATAAGTTTTAAGAAATTTTTCAAAATTTTGTTCACTCTTCACAAAGTTATTTTTATACATTTTCCAAGGCCGTAAAGCAAAAATTTTGGACTGCCTTAACTAAACAATAGACAATCCTTTTTTATAAAAGAACTGCCTTAACTAAAACAATAGACAATCCTTTTTTATAAAATTTTTATTTGTCGTGCTAAAAAAGCATTTGCATTGGCCGGGAATCGAACCCGGGTCGCCCGCGTGGCAGGCGAGCATTCTACCACTGAACCACCAATGCACACTCGAGATCTCTCGCGACTTTTTAGGTATTTTAGCGGCATTTGAAGTACTTTTAGTTATCTATTCAACAAAACAAAATAAAAACAAATATCGCGCTTTTTCAGTAACAAATCAATCTAATCGCAACAAAAGCACCAACGCACAACACAACATAAAGTAAAGTTAATGTTTCGAACAGATGTAACAATTCTAATATGACACAACCAAATATCCTCTATTTATCTATAATATGTACATTATATGTATTTATCTATACTATATACAATATATACATAAGTTTTCCTAATTGTAGTTGTTAATATTATCAAGGTCATTGTGTAGATGCACTTTCATCGATCAAGTTATCACACCACCATGACTTGATATCAGTAACAACGTTGTGAAGAGGTTCACTGTGATAAAACAAATGAATTGAAGCTGCTGAAGGCTTTTCTGGCATAGGATTCGTCATTACGGAACTCACTTTTCTTCTCGGTGTTCGTTGACCTAAAAATTGAATTAATTAGTTTTTCACAATTAGCTTTAAAACTATTTTTAAAACCAAAAAAATACAAATTTTAAAATATAGTTTTAATCCTTATTCCGCAAAATTTTGTTAAAAAGCCCAAAAAAGCATTTGCATTGGCCGGGAATCGAACCCGGGTCGCCCGCGTGGCAGGCGAGCATTCTACCACTGAACCACCAATGCACACTCGATATCACTTTCTACTTTTTACTTAGTTTTATCCACAAATCAAAGCGCACGATAAAGTAAAAAGAAAAAACTAAAAAAAATATTGTTTTTTACTTCAGTAACCAGTTTCTTCTACTAAAGTTAATATCGCTGCACGATAAGGTTATACTTTTCATATTGAAAAATGCTCCCAACAAAAACTGATGAATTAAGTCGTTCAAATAATTCTGTGCCCCCTAACCCAAAAAAACTTTGCCTTGAGAAAAAGCACAGAAGTATTTCAACGACCTAACGGAAAAAAGCATAAGACCTACCCAAATTTAAACGACTTGGTGAAATCGGTCGAAAACCAGAAGAGTCACTAGTTGGAGATCGCTGAAAATCGTCCTCGAATGATCTGATCCCACCATTATGATACGGAGAGGTATCTTCGTACATTTCCTCTAGATCAGGCAGTTCTCGAGCTGATAACTGAACAAATTGTTTATTAGTTTTAATATACAATGACGTATTTTAACATATTCCATTGAACCAAAAGTATCGAGACACTTTTTAGTTGAAAAATAAATGAAAAGTGCCCCGCTACTTCTAGTGCAACCTAATAAAGCACCATAATCAACCTAAACCTTAATATTAGAGTTGGACATTTACCGGTAAATGTAAATTTACCGGTAATTTTACCGGTAATTTACCGAAAATTTCGGTTTTTTACCGGTAAAAAAGTGTTTTGTGTCTTAGCACGAAAATTATTTTTGTTTCAAAATTTGTTTTTGTTTTGGAAAATTAGCAATATTTTGACGAAATATGTTGAAAAATATCACAGAGGTTACAAAAGAACACATAATGACTACTTTTGCAATTATTGTGGTGCAAAATACGTCAGTAACCTTACAAGACTGTACCAACATCTTCTGCCAACAACTCACAAGGACGGAAAATTCGATTTTTAAACTTTCTTGTTGATTTTTGATACTTTATGTTAGGTCTGTGATTATTTAGCGAAACAATTGCACTAAGATATCTTCAAATGATCAAGAACAGGTCGGGCAATTATATGAGCAAAAATGCGGAAAACAAAGATTCCATCGAACCAAGCAGAGTCTACTGGACAATGGTCATCCAATCATCTATGACTAGCTACGTCAACATAACATATACCGGTAGGGAAAAAGAAGTGGACAGAGCTATTGGACTTATAAGTTGTTTTTTAAAGTAAAAGAGTGAAATACTTACTATTTTATTGTTTTTGTTGTTTTAAAACGCTTGTTAAACGTTTTAATGACATTTTAAAGTTTTTAAATACCAAATAATAATCCGGTAAATTTACCGGTAAAATTTTTACCGAAAAATCAATTTACCGGTAAATGTCCAACCCTACTTAATATGCTACAGCTTCTGCAACCGACTACTAAAATCCCAGCCGTTAACTTAAGAAATCCCTACCTGTAATGGCTTCTGAGCCCCTTCGTCGCCTAAGAACCTATTTCCACTAGTATTCGAGGCCGTATCAATCGAATTCTGCATCATATTCGAGTGAAACATCGTGTCCCTCGTACCACTTAAACTCCTCAAAGACAGCTTCTTCAACGGTATCAGATTCTGAAGATTCGGTCGCTTCTCCGTGTGATTACCCAGAATATCTTCTACACTTCTTTTGTGTAATGATACTGGTCGTTGGAGTAGGGTGGTGCTCTCTTTCTCGGTCTCTTCAGTATCGTGCTTGGTTTCGGCTCCGGATAAAGTGCTGGCTCGCATGAACGGTTTGATAGGTACGGCGTTGGAGAGTTTGGGCTGTGGTGATCCGGTTTGCTTTGATCGGCGGAGGATTCCGTCTGGTACTGAAAGAATATTATCTTATACTCAACTTAAAGTCAAAAAATTTAAAAAGAAATACAAAAATTATTATCTACAATCAAAAATTCAGAATCTATACAATTTTTTTCCAAAAAAATAATATTAAAGACCTCCTCCCCCTTCAAAATACAGTAACTAAACCTACTTTCACTAGTCATTAGACTAGCCTTTGGGCTGTCCATTCTATCCGGACATCGTATTTTACGAAGACAGCATTCTAGCCATGTTTTGATAGTCTGTTTTGCCACTTCTTCTTCTATGATATACTCTAGCTCCTCCCGTTCCAATAACTCTTCCAATTGCAAACTCTTTCTGATATCAACACTTCGGTAAGATAACATACTGAAATCGACCATTTTATTAGCTTTTTCAAGTAATTTTGTGCCCTTAACCACCGAAATGATTTGATAGGGAGCACAAAACTATTTGAACAACCCAATATTAACTCAACTTACTACAAGACATCGTGAAAAGACACATCGTCGCCGTTGTGTAGCTTCTCCATCTCGTAGCACATGTGTTTAAACAGTAAACGATCCTTTGCCGGATCAACCTCCAGCCTTCCCTTCAGCAACCTCAACAAGAACTTGACTCGTCCCACTGGTATTTGACCTCTCTGTTCTATGTCAACCATGTTCCAGACCATTTGGAAGTTTCGTATGTCTGAATAGCTGAGTAGCGCGTCTTCTTCGCTTGAGTAGAACAAGGAAAAGTTCTCCATGATGATGGCTGTAACAATATTACTTTAGTTTGAGCATAAGATAACATAAAAATCAAAATTATTGTTGTTTTTGGATGTTCACGATGTTATAATACCTAACATAACATAAAGTATTACCACAGTAAATCAAAAAACAAAAAAAATCTCAAAAAGCCTCCCTATTCAATGTTATGTTACCTATAACATCAATATAGCAATAAATCAACATCAACTTACCAACAAGTAAATTCCTGACAATATAGGTAATGATCAAGTAAAAAGAGCAGAAGTAGATTACAGCACTATAGTAGTTGCCACAGTCTGTCTCCCAGTAATTTTGGCCCGGTCTCCAGTAACAAAATGGTACACTTCTTTGGGTATCATGCATAATATCATTCCAATCTTCACCTGTCAATGATCGAAAAAGTACTACCAAAGCTTCTGAACCTGAGCGGAAGTTTACGTGTCTGAAACGATATTACTTTAGACGTTATAGCAATATAATGTCAGTAATGAGCAAGAAATCTTAATCATATGAATAATAACTCCCAATAAAACCCATAGTTACAATATCACAATATCAAAGAAGCCAAACCTACTTGCTAACAGCCTGTCCATACTTGACCATGCCAAACAAAATCACCCCCGTATAGGCATAAAACAACACCAACATAGCCAGAGCAATGATAATGAAGAAAGACCTAAACATTGACATAACTACTGTCAACATCAACATCTTCAACGTGTTGTTTCTTCCAGCAAACGTGAAGAACCTCAAAATGACAACAATATAACCGTAAGTGTAAGTGAACTTCTTCAGACTCGTCTCGGCTTCATTGTTGACTACTGAAGCCGGTAGCGCTACAAAGAAGTGTAACGTTACCCAGAGACAGCCTAAGGCTGTGATTAGGAGATCAATTCGGTTTCGGCGGCTCTGAAATTGAAGGTTTTTGATTAAAATACGTCAAGATACATTATTATAGACAATCCTCATAAATATCTATCAAAAATGCTGTAGTATATTAATGTAAAAATAATGAAAAAACATAAAGAAAGGTAAAATACAACAATATAATCAGCCTTATATTGAAACTGTCAAAAAAAAGTTAAAATTTACCTGCCAAAACCCATGAATAGTAAAAGCAATAGTTTTGAAGAAGATTTCAATAGTAAACAAGACATTAACAACTCCAGATAGAGCTGTTAAGTAGTACAACAACTCGTTCTGTGACTCTTCTTCTTCAATACTCCATGGTGCTAACAAAGTGCTCGAGTTCACCAGTACCAAAATCGCAAAAATCTTAAAAATATTTTAAAAATATGCTTAAAAATATTTAAAAACGCTATCTTTAGTACTATATAGTACGAATCGTACTGAAAAATAAACTCGAATTTTTATTTTAAAATTTTAATTTTGGTCCCACAACGAAAACGTGATATATAAGATTTTAGCCTAACATTCAAACAAAAGATTCCAAGGATAATACCGACGTTAAAAAACCCCTTTATAGTTAAAAGACCATTTTAATCTACTATAATATTATCCTTATTAGCAATCCTACCTTATTGAACCACTTGCTCATAGTAATTTCGTAGAACCTCCTCCTAATAATCGAAGATTCAGCCGGTTTCGGCGGCACATGTAAAGGCTGTGCCATTTTCAACCTAGCCTTCAAATCGTGCCACCTTCTCTGATCCACAGTCAACAGTGCTGTGCCTCTGTTCTCAGTGTAATTGGCAATAACAACACCCACAAACAATGTCAATCCAATCATGCATCCAATGAACACATAGATATGAATAAACACTACCGCCCACGGTCCGATCCTGGCCATAAGAATATCCCTCACCACGTTCCAGCCTTTGTACGATAGTGTTTCGAATAAGGCTAGCATGGCATGACCGATATGATCAAAATTAAAGTTTCGAGGATTGGTCCAGACTCGGCTGACTAGAATTTGCGGATGTTCTTCTGGGTCGTCTTTGCCGGTTACGTCCATTCTAGTGACGAAGACTTTCGACCAAAAGACTCCTGTGCAGTTTTCCTGAAATGTCAAAGTATATAGTAGCAAGGAAAATATACATAATAGCTCAAGATAATATATATACTATATCATATAATATACATATCTATTGTAATATACACCCACCTTGCTATGAACAGTAAGATCATTACAAGCAGCCAGCTTCCCACCAACAGTTTGAACTCCGAAACTTCCAAAGATGAACATGATTACTATCATGAAGATCGTTACCAATAGAATCTCTTTGAAACCTCTGAATAGTTCAACAACAACTCTTCTAATGTGAGGTACCAAGGTGTAGATACGAAGTGGTCTCATCGCTCGACAAATCATCAAAAACTGCTCGATTGAGTTGATCTCAATGTGTTTTGGCATCAACAGCAAGAATATTACACTTGTCTAAACAAAACTTTATTATTGTGATGTTTTAACATAGCAAAGTCTATATTACAATAAAATATAAATGTAAATACAGTGGAACTCCTGTATAACGAATCGCTCGGGGACTTGAAATTTGTTCGTTATAAAGGAGTTTCGTTATACAGGAGTTTTAAATGCACTGTGTAGTGGTAGGCGGGGATTCAAAAGTTGTTCGTTATACGGGATTTTCGTTATAGAGGAGTTCGTTATACAGGAGTCCCACTGTACTCACTATTACCTATTTCATAAAAAATTAAAAATCAAAATAAATATAAGAAAAAACTCACAAAATAAATAAATATTGTCATGATACCTCCAAAGTCTCGTACCACAGCATTCGGAGTGAAAAACAGCCCATCAGCTACTATCTTTAAGGCCAATTCAATTGTCATTGCCAATACAAACAAGTAGTCTGCTATCTAAAACGACATTTTAAAATTTTATAATTAGAAACCTCCACCATCCAACCAAAAAGCTCTGCCAAAGCTAATAAAAACTATAGTAATTTCACATAAGTATACTCTTAAAGAATATATAATATAATACATAATAACTCCAGATAACTTACCTGCAAATAAAAATTGTTGACAACCAAGTTCTCTCCAGTCGGAGGCCAAGGGCTTTCGAACAACATTGAAGCACACGACATCAATGTTACTATCACCATACACCAGTCAATGTATGGCATTATTCCAATTAACTCTCTGAAAGTTTTACAAATAACAATACGATTTTTATTGTAAAATACGAAAAATATTATTGTTATGAGATACAATTACTATATAGACTCAGTTTAGCCAACCTCTTTTCTCTCAACATAATTTTCGCAAAAAAACCCTGAATAACACTGTTTACCACCGTCTATTATATTAACTTGTTCAAAAAATAATAAGCCACAACACAAATTCTTTTGCTGTAGCTCATTACTTTTTGAACAACCTAATACAACACCTTTTACCACTAAAACAAAAAAACTCACCTTAACGGTTTATTTCGCCGCTGTGATTTGACCGTGTTCTGACCTTCACCGTTCTGATCGTACCGTGCGTGCACAAACTTTTTGCACATTCGGCGTACCTTCGAGTCTCGTCCTACCATAAACAACGGCCGATCGAAGTAAGGGTGGTTTTCTCTCATTTCTTCTTCTATTCTTGTCCTGAAATTAAGTTTTATATAGGTAATGACCATGCTTTAGGTAGCTTCTGAAGTATTTAGTATTAATCTTTAGTATGAACTTGACTTTTATCATAAACACTGTGAAGAAGTAACAAATGAGTGTCTACTACAATATCTTATGGTCTACTACAATATCTTATCCTGTATATCCTTGCTCTACGTATTTTAGAATAAGCTGATAACACTTCTATAATCATATGTTACATCCCAAAAATAAAAAAAACCTGTCCACCTTGTCATTTCCGCGATTTGTTGCTTATGTTGCAGTGCTCTGATGTCAATCTCCCCTAATTTCAAATCTTTCCTAGTCGAATTCTCAATTGCCCTCAAGACATCACCATTCTCGGTCATGTTCTCGTACATATTCATATGTCTATTCCTACTTGCCCTGAAGGAATCTCGTTTGTTTTGATTGCAAGAACTGTGAACCAGAGTTTGAATCGAGGATTTCATAGTAAGTGGGCCAACATGTCGCATCGTTATGTCGTGGCGACGATGGCGAAGATATGTGTGCATTGATTTGAGCAAGATTTTTCGACAGCCAATCTCTGAAAAGATCAGAGTTAATTCAAAATGGCAGTTTATAAGATGAAAAATTAAGTTTTTTGCCAATTGCCACTCTCACGGCAACTTTTCAGAGTTAGGAGCCCACAATTATTTGAACATCTTAAATTTTTAAAAATATTAAAAGTACTATTACCTTCAGGATCAATTGTAGCCATCTCATCCACACTATTGACGAACTGATGAGTGAAACTGTCTCTCATTCGAGGTACCTGGAACTCGCTGTCGACCCGTTTTAGTTTGACCATCTGAGGACGTGTAGGAAAGCGTTCAAATACCCGTAAACGTAGAGGTAATGTTGTTCTCATGCTTGTTGTCTGAAAAAGTTATAGCTCATTACTTTTTAAACAACCTAGTAAAATGCTAAAAAAAACTTTTCGCTGTCTAAGTTCGATCCTTATTAATAAAAATCAAGGTTTTAGTAATACTCTAAAAAAATTGTACAAAAAAACGTATTTTACCTCCTAAAATATATATATAAACTTACAGCTTCTTTGGCCTTGAGCTGCTTGACTTTTTTGAGCTCTTCGTCCATTTCCAAGTTATCCAAGATTACCGCAACAAACAAACTCAAGACAATCTGAAATCCTCAATATAGAGTCGTAATCTATATAAAAATTTACTCTTACTGCCTTTTCTAAAACGTTTTCTTGCAGGTTATCCAAACTTTTGTGCTCCCTAAACTTTAAAATTTGCTTTGAGAAAAAGCACATAATAATTTGAACAAACTAATATTACAAAAATAAGTTTTTTTTCAAAAGACCTTAAAACACCAACAAAACTTTAAAAAACACCCGCTAAAACAAACCCCCCCCCTCAAAAAAGAGAATACAAAACCTACCAAAGTAACAAACAAATGATATGCAACAAAATAGATGGCCACGAAAGGTACCATCCGATCATTCGACATCCGTAACACATCTACTACAAGCTCGGGCCAGCCTTCTTGAGTGATAATTTGAAACATGCACATAAATGCCTGAGGGAATGTCTCGAAGTGATGCAAATGTGGAACATAACAAAACAATTGTAATGAAACGGCAGATGAAGTTACGACAAATAGAATTGTAAAGATTACAAGCCCACCGAGCTTCTTTCCTGGCGAGAAGATCTGAAATGTTATCCATGATTAGATATGGCAGTAGATTTAAAGATACTAGATTGTTCAAATAATTCTGAACCCCGTAACCTCAAAAATTTGCTTTGAAAAGGGACACAAATTTAATTGAACAACATACTACTACATAAGTTGTACTTTTCTTATGGTGCCGACATAAAGAACCCGCCATTTTTTACAGGAAATTATAGGAAAAGTATGGCGAATTCTTTATATCGGCACCTGATATAAATTTTTTTGCAATTTTTAGTAAATTTTAGTAAAATACGTCACTGGAAAGTTCTACGTCATAATAATAACGTTATGGTAATTAATATTCACTACGCCTTCTCGACACATTTCATTTTCTACCGCGAAATCCATCAATAACACGATTGTTAGATTACAGAGTAAACAAAAAATGAGATTTCGTTGTTTATTTCTTTTCAAAAAAGATAGAAGGATAAATCAGCGATAAAATTACTAAAAAGTAGAAAGAGGTCCCAAATGTGCATTGGTGGTTCAGTGGTAGAATGCTCGCCTGCCACGCGGGCGACCCGGGTTCGATTCCCGGCCAATGCAAGTACTTTTTTCCCTGTTTAAGACGAAACTCAATCATAAGAAAATGTTGCAAACTTTCCAATATTTTTTAAGTTTTTTTTTATAAATTATTTTTATTTGTAAAATACGAAAACTTTTTCGAAATTTGAAAAAAGCGTTAAATAAGCATAAAAACATGACAAAACATATAAAGTCAAACCTTTCTAGCATGACCCTCAAGAAACTGAACCAAAGAGCCATTATAAGCTATAAAAATGGGTGTCACACTATCCAGGTAATTTTAGATAAGAATCCTATTACAAAGATCGGTCAGAAAGCTATCATAGTAAAGAGGATGCCATACTATCAAGAGTAATACTAATGAGGTTTCACTGTATAAATAAAGAAACATACCTTATAAACAAAGTCTTCCAACATAGGCGATGCTTTGATAAGTCGCAGTAATCGGAAAACTTGGAAGTAGGTAAAGAAATTTCGTTCGTAGAAGAAAGGCACAATGTTCAACGAGCTTCCAAGGCACAATATCAACTCGAATTTGTAAATATTTCGCTTCCAAAACTTTGAAAATCCATATGCCAGAATTTTCACAGCACATTCAACGTTAAAGGCTATCGTGAATCCAACCTAAAAAACTATTTTTTTTATTTTTAAAATTGCAAAAAGTGTTTTAAAAATCATAAAATTCTGTTTTACATTACCTTGGTTATGATATATTAAGTTAAAAATTTGCTTTGAGAAGAAGAAAAGAATTAGTTGAACAACTTAATATATGATCTACTCAAAAATGATCATAAATTTATGAAAAACTACTATTATAAGATACCCAAGGTAATATGACCCAAAATTTTATAAAATAGGCAATAAAACTCCAACTACAGTTAAACTACCTCAATATAGTAGTAGATGACCCTTCGTGTCGCATCACTCTCGTCATGGTAATGTACAAACGAAGCGTTGATTATAGAATTGGCCAGTACGAACCCAACTACACAACATTGAAAGCCAATGCTTCGTAGAAATTGTTGTAGTTTCAGAACTCGAGGATTGATTTTAGGATCCGTATCTAACCTCACTATCGTCCATATACCATCATGCTTTTCAATTTTCTGAAAGTATTGCTTTAGCTTGTTGTTACAGCAGTTTATGACTCAAAAAGTAACGTAATACTGACTTTAAATCGATATTTTAGCTTTCCAAACCTTAAATTTAAAACAAACAAAGTTATTCTCATCTAATAATCATACAAAACATTTAGTTAATCTAAAAAGTTAAAAATATCACTAGTACATAACCCACCTGTTTGAAGTCGTCGTCCACATTAACTTCATTTTTAGTCCACATTTCACTGAACTGAACTCGAATTTCAGCAAAAGTTTCGGTGATAACGGCGATAAACACGTTCTTCACAAGCCATGCCAAGAAGAATATTAAAGTGATAAAGTATAGAATGGCATAATGAGTTGGCAGTGAATCCATACAGTCATACAAGACGTAGACCCAGCCTTCTTCACTAGCCGCCATGTACACCGTGAACACACTGTGTCCTGAATAAATTTTTTTTTGGTAAAATACGGGTGTTTCTACTGTGATTTTATTTGGACAGAATATAATAAGTTTATGAATTGATAAAACAATCAAATTCAAATAGAATTTCATTGAAATTAACGAACAAACAAACCGCGCATTGGTGGTTCAGTGGTAGAATGCTCGCCTGCCACGCGGGCGAGCATTCTACCACCCGGGTTCGATTCCCGGCCAATGCAAATGCTTTTTAGACAATTCTCCAATATTTTTTAAAAAACTTTTGTCAAGTACAATATCAAAACCTTTATCACTAAAACTTCTTCTCAATTTAAAAAACTATCTACCACCAAATACCCAAAAAAAGCACCTATAACATACCAAAATCGTCAAACATTCCGTAGAATCCCTCTGTTTTTGCGTTCAAATGCAGCTTCATACACTCTGTACCTGGCGGACATTGATAACCACCTCCGCCAGGCTTCGAGCACATTGTGTCTGGAATGGCCAAGTCGTTGATTGTCACGTTCCGTGGATCCGTGCCTAAAATAATATTCAACTAACAATTAACTGAAACTTTAAGAACAGAAAATATATTAGATTTTTCAAATAATACTGTGCCCATCGTTGAAATAATTGTGTGAACCTTCTCAAAGCAAATTTTAGAGGTTACGAGCGCAGAATTATTTTAATAACCTAAATTTAAGTTAACATCTTTACATTTTAGGTAACATAATAACAAAATAAAAACGTAAAACATCAGAAAATGACCTACCATCAACAACACAGCGATAATCCATTCTTCCAAACAGTTGAATACCCATAATGGCGTAGAAAACCATGAAAAACACCAAAAATACTGTAACATTCTTAATTTGAGCACTCGATCGTCTAAAATTTTAAATACTACATATACCAAGTACTCAAAAAAAAATTAAATTTACAGTAATAGTAATGTCAAAAACCAGTTTTTGTTCAGTCCAACAATATTCAAAAAAAATCCTATAATTGTTTGACATTTCGTTCATTTTCCCAATAAATTTTGTGGCACTTCGTCCATTTTTCCAATAAATTTAGTGACACTTCGCCAAACCATTAAAAGACAAAAATATATAAATTTAAAGTTTTGTAGAGCAGCTAGCACCTACTTTAACAAGTTTTCGATTCGATTCGTAGGCACTTTGAAAGTCAACAACAACCGCAGTAAACGGACGATTACCATGGGACGGGCGCATCGTATGATCCCGAACCATTCATGGTAGACTAGGCTCGAATCCAGTCGAAGGCTAGCCAGTTTATATACATGTAACAATAGGGAAAGCCAGTTGGCGAGTAAAAGGAACGCGTCGAATTGGCACCAACGGTCGCGGAAGTAGGAGGTCGGCTTCTGGAAATAGTCGATTTTGGAACGAACTTTTGGTTTTTTTAACGGAAAATGACAAGAACTTTTTTTGCAAAATATAAAAAGTTTAAAAATTGCAAAAACTTTCTTTCCAAAACATAAAAATCTAAAAATAGCAAAGACTTTGTTTCCAGCACCTATTAACCCATTTTAAACATAATATGCCCCTACCAACCCCCTTAAACCTACCATAAAATATCCCATGTTGTTGACCTTCAGCAATGCCTCGAGGCTGAAAATGGCTGTGGCCAGGAAGTCGGCTGTTAATATAGGTATCTCTAGGCCAGGTAGATAGTCTAGGGTCTTTGGTGTGTGTAGGCATACCGTAATCAGAGATATGAAACATGCCACCTTCAGGGCAAATGTCATATGTTTGGTGTCGACGAACACTGAAAAGGGCATCATGACCTACTATAATATAACGAAAAAAGCCTAAAATTTAATGATTTCCTTTTTGAAATTTTGAAATTTTAATTTTTAAATGAAATTTAGTTTTGTACCTATATTTTGTTATTTTTTGCAAAAACTATGTTTCCAAACTTTCTTTTAGCAAAAACTTTGTTTCCACAGCTATTTACGACAAGAACTTTGTTTCCAAACCTTTTTTGGCAATAACATTATTTCCAAACCAATTTTTATGCATAAACTTTCTTTACAAGCCAATTTTCTGCCAAAACTTTCTTTCCACCCTCCCCTCTCCCTGCCCAACACCCAAATATACTTACTCCTGCCAATTAACAATTTACGGTAAAAAGACAGATTTTATGGCCCGAGGCTTTTTCGGCCACGAAATGTTTATTCGCGGCTTCAAATTGGGTTCTTCCGGTGAATCCCTTGTTGTTGTTATAACTCAATCAAATCTGCATATGTTTAAACAACAAGTTACCGGTTTGTTACCTAATTTTGGAAAAGGTTTTTTTTGGTTTTGGAGACGAAAAGTTCCTGACAACAATTTTTTTTTGAATTTCAAACTTTTTAAATTCTGTTCAAAGAATTCTGAGCCCCTTAGCCCAAAAAAGTTGCTTAGAAAGCGCCACAGGATTCTTTTATCAACCTAATAAAGTAATTTAGATACCTAAAGCAACCTTACACTTGATACGCCTCTCTTCATACTCATATCGATACATTGCCAAAACAAAAATGACAATTAAAGAATGTTTAGGCTTATAAAAGACTAGAATTCCAATAAATTTGCGCACTTCAGAAGCCAATAAGACGCGAAAGAAGAGGAGGGATTAGTGATATCATTCCACCATCTTTCAAGAGTTTCACACTAATTTTGGTTACTTCTTTTTGACTTTTTTTATAATTGTTAAACTTTACTGTCTGTGAATTATTATAATATAAGTTTCAAGGGTTTTACAATAGATGTGAAGAACTAATAAAGCGTGCTAAGTTAATTAATTGATAAAATAGCTTTTTTGAAAAAAAATCAACAGGGGGACCACGTTCAAATTTTAGGAAAATTTGTTTTTTTTTAAATTAAAAATTACTTAAGTTTCCTAGCCTGTAGGTTATTATAGAATAAGTTTTACAGATTTTACAATAGATATAAGTTAAAAGAGCGCGCAAAATTGATAAAACAAGACTTCTTTAAATCAAAAGGGGGACCAAGCTCGAATCTCTTAAAAAATAAAATTTTTTTTTGAAAATGAAAATTCCAAACACATATTTTCATTGCTTAAGATCAAGCAATATTTTCGGAATATAAGTTTTACTTAGCATGTTGCAATACTTAAAAATCGCTCCATCGTTTTCACTGTGCAATCGCTAATTTCAGGGCGCGCAAAAAGTTCTGTTACAAATGTATAGCCGCACGGTGCAAATTTTATTCCAAATCGCTACTGCACAAAGCTAAAAAAGCTATTGTCGCCACCTCGCTTTTCAATAATTTAACAAGAGTTTTTTTGAGACCATATAACTGGTCTTTCAAAGCCACTACAAAACCCAGTCTTCTGTTTCTCAAAGCCACTACAAACCTACAACACAAAGTCTTGACGTTCTCCTCGTCCAGCGACTTCTGAATGCTTTTCCGGATTTCGGTGATTTTTAGCGTGGCTTCGGTAGCGCTGCACCAGCTGGGCGGAGCGCTCCCGAATTCCATTCGAAACGACATTCTGTGAAATACGATCATTACCGCAAATATCATCAACATAATGCGACGGAAATGTTGTTTAATTCGGTATTGGGGCAGGGGGGGGGGAAGAGCCAGGGAAGGAGTGTGGGGCCAAAAAAGCGGATTTTCATGGAATTAAAGTTGCTGATTTCCTTTTCTGGGTAACAATTCGACCTTTAAAGGAGACCCAGGCCTTAGTTTAGGCCCCAGCCCTCAAACCTACATGCCCCGGACAAGTCCGCTAAAAATTGCTTTGGCCGAACCCCACAGATTCGCTATAAACTCATCTGCCAGTCCGCTCCCTTTCAAATTTGTTTTAGCCCGGCATAGCCTAGCCGGGTGCAGAGCTGAAGCCATGCCCCCCCCCCCGTTCAGGTGTAGTAACCATACTAAGAAATGGAACAGTTCTAGTACAAAATGATTGTCAAATGTTCAAAAAGTAACACCACTCCCACAAAATTATGTATAACACAACCCTACCCCTCCCTTCCCCCCCCTCATCCAACCATTACGTATAACACCACACCCAAACAATTATGTCGCACTTTAAAGTTGGCCCAGCCGAAGAGTGCCACATATAGATAAAGGCTGTAAACGGAGCCTTTTTTGTGTTTTTATCTAATTTTAAGTCGATTTCCGGCCCCTCAAAAATATTTTCCGTATTTGCAGTTGGTTTTTCTTCGCGCTCTTAATGAAGTTAATTCCGTCGGCCGAAAGATTAGATTTGGCGGTAAGCGGCGTTCCCTCAGGGGGGAAATGTTTCAAGTTTAAATTTTTGAAAAGCTGTACCTCTATCAGGCCTGTACTTCTTTTGAAACCCTTTTACATACCTTTTCAAACCTTTTAAATTGCTTTTCAAACACCATAAATAAATAAACACCACACAATGAACCGTATTTTACAAAAAATTAAGCCAAACCACTATTTTTTCCATACCTACAGTAATTTTATTTCATACTGGATCTCATTGCTAAAAAATTTCTTGCAAAGATATTGTATATGCAGTGTAAGACAAAGATAATAGTAAAAAAAGCCAATTTCAATAAAAATGATGCGCCAAGAATAGCACTATTAAGATGAGAGCACGAATTGGGAGAATTAAGACTGATGGGCGTAGAATAAAATATTTTAAGTAATGAAGACCTTCTTTTCCGTTGTTAAGTAAAATTCTAGTAAAGAAAGAGAAGAAGAAGTGAAAAACATAACAATTGTTGCGTATTTTACAAAAAAATTAAAAATTTTAACAAATTTTCTAAACAAAGTTAATTTTTTAAAATTCATTATTAAAAAACATGCAGATTTCTAAACATATTTTTAACCAAAAAACTGTTTTACTTCCCACAATCTTCGCTGATAAAGGCCAAAAAGCAATTGCATTGGCCGGGAATCGAACCCGGGTCGCCCGCGTGGCAGGCGAGCATTCTACCACTGAACCACCAATGCACACACGAGGTTGCGATTAACTTTTTACACAAACCGCAATCGCCTGTGAATCGAGATAAAAAGAGAAAAACGCCAATTAAATAAGTAAAAGATACATAACAAAGAAATGAAAAATAGGTGTTACAACTTACAAACATCCTTAATTTCTTTTTTCTCCAGACTTTGATCCAATGTTGAGGACGTCGCCATAACAAAAGGGCCGTGTGGTAAGTGTTGATATTGAGAATGAAAAGTTTGAGGTGAGTGACCTCCATTATGGGGGTGATTATAGTGTAGTAACTGCATTTTTGGGTCAGTTAAATTGACAAAATAATGGATTTTGAGTTTTTGAGTAGAATAATATGAAAAATTATATTATCCATGATAAAATTGGTCTAAAACTTGATTTTTTCCCCAAAAAAATCGCAGAAAAACAAAAAAATAGCAAAAATATAGATAAATATAGCTAGAATAAGGAATTTTAAAAAAGTTCAGAATGATTTTACACCCATGAGCATGGAAACAAACTTGTAAAAGCCTGTAGACGGAATTCGTTTAGCTCTGACAGTTCTTTTCGGCCTGAAAACGTCAGGGAAATGGATGAGGGTGGCGCGCCAAAAGTTCAACAACAATATTCCTTCACGGAGATTGTTGAAATTTGAAGAATAACCCGGGCGATTCCCAGCTGAATTCTTCGTATAAACGTAAGACAATACGGACAAGGATAACATGTGTAATATCGCTTGTAAGGAGGTGATGAATTGGGTGTTGGCGGTAATTTATTATGAGAGGGATTTGAAAGGCATTGGATGGGAAGGTTAATATAATATTTTTGATTTATTTGAGCTAGGGTTTAGGTTTAGGTATAAGGTTAGGTATGAATATTTTTTTTTTCTATTGTGAAGTTATCCCTCATTCTTTTAAAAAATAGTATTTTAGGTATTAAAATATAAAAATTTATATTATTTTTGCCATTATTGAACCCCAAAAGAAACAAATTTTAACAAAAATTTTAAAAATTACACATTTATTTCATTTTTTAAAATTTCCAAAGTTCCACTTACCGTATCGAGGAGGTTTCCTACCACCGCCCGTAGCCACTAGAAGATCAGCAATGGCTGCCATCGAGTCTCGTTTGTTCGGAGGCATAACTCCGCCATTTGGTGTGGCACGAAAGGCTCCGGCTGATGACGCTGTAGCCGCTGCTACGGCCGCTGCCGCCGCCGCTGCTGTACCTACACATTCAGAAATTGGGATTAAAATTGGGTGCATTAACAAACGCTACACAGGTGATGTGTGTGAACATTAAAATGAGATTTTAAAAACTTTGTAAAATGGATATCATTAGGTCGTTCAAAAAATTCAGTGCCCTTTCTCAAAGGAAATTTTCGAGATTAGGAGCACAGAATTATTTAAACAACCTAATATATCAAGACAAAAAGCCTTGTGGTTTTTGAACGTGGAAGTAGATGTAATCTAACGACAAGACTTTTTTAAAAGCTTTATAATAGCTTCAACGTGTTGTTTTAGGTCCAAAAAAGTTTGAAAAATATTTTTTTTCCTAAATGATATGCTTTGGTCTTGCCAAAAAATTAATTCAATAAAAAATTTCAAAAATAAAAATTTTTTAATATTTTTCCTACTTTTTTAACTATTAAAAAACAGCTGTAAAATATCAAGTACAACATTCTACTCACCCGGTCCAGCGACAGTAGCCGCTCGCATTGGCAGGGCATTCAGGAAGCCGGCTTGTGTTATCTTCCGACCCGCGAACATTTGGGTTTGAGAGTGCTGTACCAAGGCCGGGTTCTGGTACTGTCCGTGTATTACTGCAGAAAACTTTTGTAAATTCATGGGGGGTTGGGAACGTTTTTGTAGCAAATGCTGATGTTTCGGGGGTTTGGTACTGTTATGTTGCATTAGCCAATATTGATGTTGTAGCTGGAGTTCCAGCAGTTCTTGTTCATAGATCGAGCGTTCCCTTTCCTCACGCTCCTTTTCGTGCTGATCACGAAGGAATTGGAGTTGGGCCGCGCTCATGCCCCAGAGGGAATGTTTGCGTCTGGCCATGGAGCCGGACCCAATGCTTAGGCCCTCAGGCAAGTCAAAACTAATTTTGGGGTTCCAGTCTATGGAAGGCTGACTGGAGCGACGCCGTGCCCATAATGTGGTACTCTGGTCCACGCTTATGGGCTGGGGAGTTAGTTTACGTTTAAAAAACTCTAAGGCTATTTGGCTGGGAGCACTATTAGGTATAGTGAGACCTCGAAAATCCATGCTTAGTTTGGGTTTTGGTTGCTCTGCTACATGTTTTTGACGAACGATAGTACGTCGACGTTGTAGAGGGGCATTTGGTATGGTTAGTGGGTCTATTGGTCCATAAAACTCGGAAGAATGCGGAGATTCTGACATGATTCTGTAGGTAAAATTAGGCTTACTACAGTTTATATTGTTATACTAAAAAGATCACGGCTTTCTGATTAACTACACTAACAATTTGTAAGATAAAAGATCGTATTCTACCCCGAATCAAACGCAAAACTATAATTAACACTATGGTACTCAATATTGTCACACTTTTTGATACTATAAAGTATGAGAGATACTGATACTAAAGTACGACAACAGAAGAAACCTCAAACCAGCATCATCCCACCCATCCTGAAATCTAATGTAATGAGCTCATAAACATGCCTCAAACATGGCCGCGTACTTTTCACACAGAATTCGTTAGTGCCAAAGGCCAAACACAAAAAAAGTTCAACGTTTCATCCCGAACACAATTTAAAGTTGAAAAGAAAACTGATTAGCATCATCCGAAATTACACATCCGGTGTAGCCGTTTTTCCCTCCAAAACAAACAAACTTATGCAAATCAGAAGTCTGAAAGGCTTTGGATGTTTAGAAGAACAATATTGTTATAATACAACTTAGAAGATTATGTTGCAGTACCTTAAGGTTAAGTAGAGTAGAGTAGAGGAGAGTGGGTAGGGTAGAGTAAGTTAAGGTAGAGAATAGTAGAGTAAAGTAGGGTGCGAATAGGGTAAAGTGGGTAGGATAATCATCAAAAATCTACAAAATGTATTAATAAGTACTAATACTATACTTCCCACACTTGCATAACTAACCGCACATCTTCAGATGAGTTTTCTGAATCTATAAACTGTTATTTCCGTTAAGGAAATCTCATGTAAAAACAAATAACAATCATAATCAGAAGCCGACAAGAATGTGTACGAATGATTTCTTGGACACCGTGATAATATTAGGTCTATACCTATAAACCTGCGGATTTTGCTACCACTATGACAAAAGCTGGACAAAGAACAATCTTTCTTTGCTAAGATTATGTAACCAAACGCTATATTGAACTTATAGTACCAAGGAATCAATGTCGATTGGCGTATTTTACATTTTCCGCAAAGAGAACTTAAAGGACCAGTTCGCCCATTCAAATATCATGCATTCTGTCGCAAAAATTCGACGTTCATTTTTTTGCAAAAAACCTGAGAAGGTCGGTCCCAAATTGGAAAATTCATTTCGACACCAACCCACTCACGTTTTTTGAGAAAAATGATTTTGATTGAAATTGCCTGATTTTCGACGCTTTTTGCGACAGAATGCCAATGATATTTGAATGGGCGAACTGGTCCTTTAAAAACCGCTATTACTATAACTAAAAAAAGAATAAATTAACTCCTTTATAAGCCGCACCTTTACCGTTAGGGCTGTCTTCAACAAGAGACAACAGTATTAGTAGAATTTTTTCTATGTTGACCAATATTGGCTAATGCAAATGTACCTGAATAACCAAAAGTTTGTTTTATTTTGAGTAATTATAGCTGCCAACTTTCAATTTTGATACAGCGGAACTCCTATATAACAAATCGCTCGGGGATTTTAAAACAGTTACTTATATTAAAGTTATACTAAAGTTTCACTATGTCTACAATCAGTACCGGGCAAGCCTTTTTTTGTCTAGAAATGAAGGTAAAAAATCTTTTTTAATCCATAAATACTTTTTTTTCAAATCAACATAGGGGAGGAGTAAGACAAACGTCTTTCAAATTTTATCTAAAAATTGAGAATCCCCTCCCCAGTGGTCCCGGCTCTCCCTACGTTAACAAAACACGCACGCTTTTTTATTTTAAAATTTTTCCAACTACAGTCCACCAATCTTACAACGCTTACCTCTAACATGCTTGCAATTACTGTTGAAAGCAAGAGTAACTTGCTTTTTCGGCCCAATTACCATCGGATCTGAGGTTTTTGTTCTCATTTTATAAATTTGCAAATAAGGCCAAACGTTTGCCTTTTTCGGAAAAAAAGTAATTCAAAATTACAGTAATTTAGAAGAAATAGAAAATTTAGAACATGTAGCATACAGTTTTAAAATACTATTTGAAAAAGTTTTTTCACATAGTCAAAATAAAATACTTTGTAGAGCGCCTCCGTATGTGTTGTGCCACTCGAAGTGATGTAAAGCAAAGCTATCTTACTATATGTCAAGTACATACATTTCACTTTTCTATTGAAAAAAAACATGTTTTGAGCTGTCTGACCATAAACACAAATATACAAAAGTTAGTCTAAAAATTTTTAAATTCTTCAAATTTTGACCCTTTGAAACATCAGCATTGCTACCATTAACACAAGTTTTGCCGATAATTTTTTTAAATTAAAACTAAAAATAAAATAAAAATTCAAATTCATTTTTCAAATTTAACAAAAGACATTATATTATAGCATAAAAGGTTAAACGAACTTACATATCCAATAGTTCTATCAATTTGCTAAACCATCTTCGTTTTTAGGCTTTAAGGTTGATGACCATCAGTATTTTCATCAGTAGATTGGCCAGCATAGTCTGAAAAATCAAATTTAACGAGATATACAATTTTAAATCGGGAAGTATAATATGACGAAATATATTTTAAAAAAACAATTTTTCGACAGTTATCGTGTATTATGAGTCCAGTGACATGGCTGCAGATTTTTTCTATGGAAAATGTAAGCTAAATCATTTTGGCCCACAGACCTACCTTGTCCCCTTAGCTACCTCCCTGGATCACACATGTTATAAAATAAAAATTAAAAAATTTCAAATAATTTATTGCCTATATGTAATAAAATCATGAAAATTACAGATAGTACAATAACATAAAGTCAAAAGTACTGTAATTTTTAATAAAAATAAGTTTTTTAAAAACTTTCACTAAATATAATTTAAAAAACTATCAACAAACCGAATTTAAACAGCAAAAAAAACCCTTTTCCAGTCCAAGTTTTGAGCAGTAAAAAATCGTTTATTGCAATGTTTCGTATAGAAAAAACTGTAGTTTTTCATACTTACTTTCTGTAAACCCTCAAAAATATTTATTAATTCAACAGTAATTCAATTATCCTTTAAAAATTATCCTTTGTAACCCATCCAAAAATATAAAACACAAAGAAAGTTCTAAATCCCAAAAAATGTAACCAAAAAAGCAACACGTAAGCCACAACGACAGCCCCGATGACCTATGCAAACACTCGAACAACAAACCCTCAACGAGGGATTCAATTTGAAGCGGCACACTATCAGATCGAACAATTGTAAATAATAATCTGGTTGCGGCCATAAACAAAAAAATTGTGCCGCAGGGCTTTTTTGGCGAGAAACAATGCAATTCCCCGGACGACGATCTTCATTTGAAGTTGTCTGTCCAAGCATAATTCGACTTGTCAATTGTGCACCACTTTGACAGATTTTCGAACTGCTAGCGGTTTTTCTTGTCCTGTTTATTTGAAGAGTTGAAAAGCTTACTTTTTTGATTATTATGTCTAACATTTTTCGTTTTTTAATAAAACTTGTCATTTAGGACTAGAGTACCCGAGTAAGATTAGTGTAAATCATAACTATCTTACAAGAGAATGTTACAAACTGTCCATTCGCTTTTTAAAAATGAATGGTACCATGTGAAAGAGCGTAAAAAGTTGACTAGAAATCTATTTTCATAAACTGCCAAATTTGCCTTACAAGCTCGCTAGCGAGATTTTAAAATCATTAGTAGAAGGACCTTTTATGCTATTACGCTTTCTTTTGGATCTTTGTACTTTCGAAAATTTTAGTTTTTTGTTGTTTTATGTTTTAATAGATATAAGGAACAATTATCAACAAAAAAAATTTAGTTTTGTTAATGCAAATTAATTTTTATTTAAATTTAAAAAAAAATAAAACTCTTTACCCCAAAAGAGAATCGAACCTGACACGCATCATTGCGCAATCACGGCGCCTTTGACCACTTGGCCGATCGAGAACACTTACAAGGAAGGTACCCGACCTGCAACGCTCAGATTTCGGTCAAATTTTTTTTATTTTTTTTTACCTTTGCCCTTTATTGCCAAAAAAACTTTTTTAAGAAAAAACCTACAGTACCATCCCTCTCACACTCCAGCTTCTACAAATTTTACAAAATCTTCTAAAAATCCTCAAAAATTCCAAAACGGCAACAATTTTCGGACATTCGAAAATGTTTTGAAAAACAGTCCAAATCAATTTGAGGGTTACTTTTTTAAGAAACGACGAAATTTGAAGAGGTTTTCGGATTACCCGGAAATGCTCCAATCCTCTTTTTAGCCTTTGAAAAGGAATTTTTGCCGGAAATTCGGTAAAATCCGTCGCTTTTTTGTTCAAAACATCTCGGACTTATAGGGTGAAAGGTCACTTCGTTAGCCAATCATACAAACACTGTCATTCTGCAGAGTTCATCAGCAAGCTATATGCTATACTTTAGTTACTAAATCAGCACTGGAACTACCTCACCCTACCTTACCGTGACCTACTCTGCATTACCTCGCTCTATAACCTGCTTTACCTTACTCTAACCTTTATTACCGTATATTACCCTAACTTATCAGACCATAATAAAAATGTTTTCCTCCTAAAATAAATAAAAACCAAAAACTATGGGGTTTTTGAAACATTGGCATTGAAAATCCTTGCCTTTCACCATCTCACATTCCGTTTAATCTTCTTTGGCCTCACGTTTCTCACAGTCATCAGAAATTTAACGGATATACTTCCACAAAGATAAACATGTTCAGATTGTGTCTCGGTTGAAACTTATATCTTTATAAACTTTATCTTCAAAAAAGAATAAAAAATGTCAAAAAAAATTAATAAATAAAGTTTAAAAATGTGGATTTAGGCTTATTTTTTACCTTTTAAATTTCAAATAACACTTAAAAGTCTAGAATAATAGTGCTTTTCATAATTTATGGCCAATGAAAATCGACACCAACAGTAATCTTCACATTGTTATTGTATGATTGTTTTAGCATCAAACGTGGAGGATTTGGTATGTTTTGACAAAAACGGTTGCTCAAGATACCATCTAACAAAAATGAATGATTTGGCTCAAATAAATCATCAAAAGGATCACTTTCACCATCTGGGCAACTACAACAACATTTTTAATGTCTTAAACATTGATTTTGACCTTTTAAACTCTAGATTTTTTAAAAATCATTGTAAAAACTAACTATCATTAAATTAAACTAACTATTGCCCCAGAAGTTACATGTACAAAAACTTTTAAAAAACTATCAAAAATACCCCCACAATTCAAAAAATCATTATATTCTATAACTTGACTTACTTCAACTTGCTATTCGTTTCCAAATGAAGCATCTGATGAGCATACGTCAAAGTATAGAAAGCTTCAGTAAAGTAAGCAGAACATTTTTGTCGTGCCAAACATACAAAAGGGTACAAGAACTTCCTGTTCATCTCACAAACCTCTCCCTTCGGCCAACAGTTCTTGTCATACGCATTAACATTCAGAATAGTCAAAAGTTTGGAACGGAAGTGATGTGGCATCTGATGCAACAGATTCTTCGTACAATTGCTGTATACATCATGAGCTTCAGCATCTATTTCATTGTCGTTCCCATTCTTGTTAATATAACCGACAGACAGACCAAAATTAATCAGCAAGTTAGCTGGACGAACGTTGAGGGCCGCTACGCAGTCGAAGAGACTGAAAATAAGCATATAAAAAATAGTTTATTACATTCAATTTTAATTCTAAAATTTAAAAACTTTAGTCTTGAAAATTAAAAAATAGACTAAACAACTTACTTGTCCTGATCTTTGCAATCAGCGATCTGTTCATGTCTATAATCACAAAATAAACTCAAATTTACATAATTTAAATCTGTTTTTCATTCTTTGAATAAATTTTTAAATATTTTTCAATAATTACGTATCTTACACATCATTGTTATCATAATCTGAATAATCTCGTTCGCAACATAGTGAAACACTAAAAAATAACAAAAATAGAAACAAATTAGTACAAACGTAATTCATTTCAAAAAATGTTAAAATAATTTCAGTTATAAACAAATCTTTTGATTGTTTATATAAAGCTTTATAACTCTCACTCATAAAAAAATAAATTTAAAAACAAAGTAACATCAAAATAAGGTAAAAACCAACATAATACAAGTCTTGGAAAAGCATAAAACAATTCACAATAACTTATTTATTACCCCAACAATTATTATTCAATCACATTGACAAAAAAGTGTAAATTGTAGTTAGATAACAACATTAACCATTATCACGCAATAGAATATAAATTCAGGCCAAGGCGGTACCAATATGAACCATTTTCCTTTTCATTGCCACGTTCTTCTGAACAGGAACTCACTGTTCCAATGTGAGTTGTTTGACCGTGCCGTTTTCTGATGCCTTCTGACGACGGAGGCTCGAAGTCTTGACTAAAATATAAGAATTTAGAAACTATTTTTATATTTAAATCAAAATAACTCATAAACTTAAACCATTAGAGTTCTTATCCAAATATAATATGCAAAAATACTCACTCAAACTCCAGTCTATCAGAAAGTTTGGTTAACTTCCGTTTAGCATTGATCATGATGTATATCTTTGAATTCCTTGATATCTTATGAGCTTTATCTTCCTGATCTAATATTAAAGACGTATATATTCGTCTGCGTTCCCTAAAATTAGATGTACAACACATAATTTCCTTTGGATTGTTAGAAGCATAAATATGATACGGACATGAATCTATCACTTTGTTTTTATACCTACACTTTGAAAAAGCCCATATAAACCAAAAACTAACCTCTGACTAAGTTCACCACAATTCTGAGCACAACTAATCGTCACATCTTCATCTACTTTCAGTTCATGTTCGTGATTCCCACAAGGCGCTACGTCAATATTAAAAACTTCGTTTGGCGTAAAGTAATTACATCCTATCACTACTAACACATTCGTAAGGGCTTGTCGATTAGCTGATCGGAATATTTGACGCAGATTCGACATTATCTAAAAGATACAACAATATTAACTTCGCGTTTGATGTTGGCCATTTTTGATGCCAAACGTAGCTTTAAAAACTTTTTATGGCGTGAAAATACGAGTAAAACGTAGGTAATGTACCTAAAATACAAAAAACTCTAATAAAACAGCAACTTACTTCAGTATAAGTTTCGCAGAACTTTTTGGAAGATGCACTTTCATCTCGACAAAGTAATTGATAAGTCTGTGGAATAAATCCTCGTGAAAACGCAATGATCTGCACTGTAACATCTACCATTTGTAACATTGAATGAACACACAAACATCGTTCAAAGTTAATGTTAACTTGATTGTCTTTACCAACAAAATCCTGAGATATCAAGCCCATTTCAGACAATATTATCTATCTTTTGAAACTATATTAGTAATTAAATTAATAGAGGTACAAAATAACAATAACAGACTAGCTTTACAATACTTTTTAGGCGAAAAATATTGTTTTACGAAAGAACGCGAGAAAAATCCCAGATATTTTTTAATTTTTACGCATGTAACATATACTTGAATCCCGACACGAAAACAAAAAAATGCTAACGAAGGGAATTTGGCATTGTGTAAAAGATACTTTTAAATAAATTTTTACTGCTTTGAAAGTATGTAGCTTTGTTACTTTAAATTATTTTTGTTTATCAAAATTATTAGAATACAAAGTACTACAATATTCAACAGACTTTATTTCAAAAACAAGTCTCGGAAGCGGCCTATTCACTCTTGTCGTCGTCTTTGTCGTCCTTTTTGTCCTTCTTTTCGTCCTTCTTCTCCTCCTTCTTATCGTCCTTCTTATCCTCCTTTTCCTTATCTTTATCCTTCTTCTCTTCCTTCTTTCATCTTTCTTGTCGTCCTTTTTGTCCTTCTTATCGTCTTTTCCTCCATCTTTGCCATCTTTCTTATTCTTTTCGGCTTCTTTCCGCTTCTTTTCTTCTTCTAGCCAACGTTCCCAATCGTACGGGAATTCTTGGGCATTCAAGGTTTTCATTCCTTGTCGTAGGAGATTGTACATTTGGCCATATTTGGGTTCGTCAAAGAATTTGCCGCTGTCGATCGTTCTCAGGACGTCAATATACTCGCGAGGGCAACCACCAAAGAGCATTTTGATCTCCACACCTCCACGACATCTTCTTTTCAGCATTCCGATCTCGTGCATGTCCTAAAATTAGCTCTTGATAAAAAAAGTTGATGTTTTAGTTGGATTGCACAGTAATTTAAAGCCTCACGGTGCAACGAATGGATCGATTACAGTAAATTTTCAGGACACCAAAGGTAATACGCTTGTTAGGATATTAACTTACCTTCATGTTTCTCCACGGTAAACTTCCTTTGGTGAATTCAGCCACCATGTAAAGCCAAGTTTCGCAATCGTCCAAACGGCACAATTCTCTTTGAGCGTGACAGGCTACAGGAGCATACTTGACGGTCCCACGGAAACCGGCAACGTCTCTGGGCTTCTTGATAGTGCCATCATCGTGAACAAACTTTCTGGCCATTCCGAAGTCAAGAACGTATACCTAAAAATGGCTATAAATATAGTTTTTAGCTTGTTTTTTAGCAAAGCGGTTCAAATCTCCCCTACCTTCCTCAACTCGTTGATCTCAGCCCTGCCAATGGTATAATTAGCTGGCTTCACATCTCTGTGCAGATAACCGATACCGTGCAAATCCTCAAGCGCTTCCAACGATTGAATGGCTACACTCATGGCCGTCCCCAATGAGAACTTCTTTCCGGGCGCCCGCATTCTCAGATCGGCCAAGGATTCGCCCACGAATGTCATCACAACATAGTTGAAGTTTTCGATTTGGCCTTTGTCTTCGATTTTACAGAAATGTCGACCGCCAGCTTTGCGCAGTTCTGCCAATACGAAGACTTCCATTTTGAGAAGCTGGATCTGCTCGGCTACACCTTCGACCTTCAGGGCGTATAGGGCATTGCTCTTGTCAGTCACTTTGTACACAGCTCCTTAAATGTCATGATTAAGGAGTAGAAGCTAGATTTTTTGTAAAATACGTTTTGGATGTTCTTTTTTTCCAAAATTTCAATTTTTTAAAAATTTTTAAAACTTTAAAATTTTAAAAATAGCTAAAAATCCTCAAAAAATGCTAAAAAATCCAAATTCACCCCAAAAACATACCGAAAGCGCCTTCGCCAAGCTTCTTGACTACAGTGTAATTTCCTTCGACTTTGTATCCCGGATCCAGCTGAATCAGATCTCCCATGGTTCACACCACCGCTAACGCGTTGAAATGGCACAATGGAAGCAACAATGACAAAATGAGCCCAACTTTGGCTTTTTGTACAAAAAGTTTTCCGAAAATTTGCATATTTTCAAAATTTGTTAGCTTTTCCGTTTGTTTTTGAAACTTGCTAACATTTGTAAGTTCTTACTTTACACAGTAAAAATCTAGTTCTTCTGATTTCTTACAATAAAAAATGTCCGTATATTATACCAGGTACATGCCAAAAATCACAACTTTATTGTACACAGCTCAAAGTTTAAATAAAACTCAATCCGCATTCGAAAAATCCATAAACCTTGTCCTCAGGCACCTTGATCAACTGCTTGCTGAACTGTGAGTGCATAATGCATTCCAGTTCAAGTTTTCCGTTCGAGACCTTTTCGTACAACTTCAATGCCATTTTATTTGAAGATATGAAACGTGGCTTCACTGAATCCCACTTTTCGTATTCTGAATCCTCCAAAAGATGATATAACAAGGCTTCGGCAATTTCTGGAGATTCAGCGTAAAATGGGCCAATTGAAGCGCTTGTGCGGTTCAAAAGTTCCGAGAGACGACCAAATCCGACTACTTTGTTTTGGGAGTCTATGGCTACCTAAAGTTGTAAGTTTAGAGCACTTATTGTATTGTAAATGAAAACTACGGTACAGTAAAACATCAGAAACTAGTTCCACATTATATTATATTACCAAAATTTGCAAAAATTAAGCACTTCACATTTAAAAAACCAGTTCAACAAGTAAAACAGCAGAACCAACCTTAACAACCTGTCGTTCCGACCCCACCAAACACTGTTTAACGTATTTCGACCGGTTGATATCGCTGACAATTGTTCTGTCATACTCCACAACCTTTTCAAAATCAATATCTTTGACGTACACCATAGTAAGCCCTTCTACAGCTTTGTTCAGTTTCTTTATGTCAACATCACCAGACTTAATGTCGTAAGAATCAATAGTAAACTCAGGCTCCAACTTTAAGCCCCACTTTTCTGCGTACTTTTGGTGCATTGCCTCGACTAAAATAAGGTTGTAAAGCGCATTTTTGATATTGTAGTAGAGAAGCGAGTAGGAGAAGATAAGACATCTCCAAAAGAACCTGCCTTATCCCGGCTTAGATATCCATATAAAATAATAAGCAAACACTTTTATCTACCTCCAATCAAAGTGACATTACAATCAGCAGTGTGCTTCATAGCTTCTTCAAACACTTTGATACCAAGCCCTTTGCCTCGAAACTCTTGCCAAGCATAGAAGTAACCAACAGCTATCAGATCTTGAACTGAAGAGCTACAACTACGGTATTTGGCCGTTATCACCGCTGACACACATTTGTTACTGCCTTAAAAATAGACAGTTTTAAAAATTAAAATACAATTTTAAAATCATTTTTGTAAAGTTGCTTTATTAGTTTCTGTAACTGCTTCAAAATTGAGGTTACTGTAACATAATTTTAAAAATCGAAAAAAATAGTTGCCTGAAATGTTAAAATACAATATTTTGCCTTGCATATCCAATCTCATTTACCTTTTTCTCTCATCAAATACATAGCAATACAACCATCATCAAAGCCTTTGTAGAACTCACCGTACTCGTTGCCCGTTACAGCCCAACCTTCTGTTTCTCCTGTCTAAATTTAAGGTTTCACAGGAAGAAACGATTGAAAATCTTCGTGATCCTCTATCGTGATCCTACTAAACCAAAATATTGCTGAATACCCGCTCCTTCACGTAACACCCAAGCCCATCGAAATTTGACCCGAAACGGGTCCACGGCCTCATCCAAAGCAAATATAAAAGGACCGGACAGAAATACAAAACCTCGAGGGCCGACTTAAAAAATTGGGCCCGGCGTATTTTGCAGGTCTGATCATGCTCATACTAGATCCGTAACACTGTCTCTTACCCCAAAAAATACTTTAAGTGGTAACTACAACACGTTTTACTTACTTTTCTAATAAGCTCATCAAAGTATTCTTTGCCTGGGTTCTTCACAATCTCAAAATCACTCATAGTTTCCTAAAAATAGGTTATTTTATATTACTGTCAATGACACCACCGTAGTATTAAATATTCAATCGCACTGTCATAATGTTACAACTGAAAAGACGCGACACTTGTTTTATTCGTAGTTTAAAAGTAGAAAGAGTAAAAAACAAAAACAAACCAAATTTAATCCTTTAAAATCGTCGGACAGACAAAAAACTAAACTAGATTTTTAAAGAAACGTTTTCATTTCTACTCTTTCATGTGTATTTTAACATTCGGAAAACAAAGTTTACGTTTACTAATAACCATAGTTTTTGTCTATACGTTCATAGTCAGTATAGTATGTTCTAATAAACTCAAGAAGCCAAAAACAACCTGTCAAAAACATGGTATTACATTTACATGTTAGACATGTCAACAAACATGCTTATGTGGGAAAAAGTAAATTTAAAAATGTCATTATTTATAAATCTTAGACAAAATTCGTAGTCGATGTTTAAAATAGGCTAGACCTATAAGTTGTCTTCAGTTGGGGCCGAACCAAAAAAAAACTTTTAAGCCCAGTCCCCTTCAATTGCTTTGGCCCGACTTAACACAATTCAAAAATTATTACTAGAAAATTATTATTTTAAGTAAATAGCATTGGCGGATTTGCTTTACACTTTTCGCTAGCCAAATCTTTCGTTGCGAGATCTAATTCCCCCCGATGTCTTCCTTTGAGCCAAGCCCTCCGATATACACCACCCTGCTCTCTTTCAAACTTGTTACAGCGACCCTAATGGACCTTCCATGTCTACATTAAAGGCTTGACATAAAAACTGTTATAAAAGTTTTTGCCATTATAAAGGTTTTAGCAATTCCCTTGAAATTTAAAAATTAAAAAAAAATGTTCTTAAAAATTATTTTGCAACCTAAAAGATTAACCTATGCTTCACTCTTATTTTACAATTCAACTATTGATTGACCTTGCCAGATTTTTCTATTTTCGTATGTCACGTTGACAATGTTCCTAAACCTTGATATATGTTCGTTCCTCCTACGAAGCATATCAACAAAAGCCATAAAAAAAATTTCAAGGCTTTGCACCATTCATATTCAATCTGAATGTGTTCATTAATAAGCGCCTCGAAATCGGTGATAAAACGGTTCAAATGATTCGATTTGCATACGAATATAAAGTCGAATTATTTCCTGTCGCGTATACTTGATCGCCATGTTAGCCTACATAATCGGGCTTACTGTAGCTGCGGTTGGCGCTGTTGTAAGTTTTTTTTAGTTAAAACAGTGATTTACTAGTATTTTAAGCTCCTTTAATTTGAAATACTGGTTTTGTAGGTTGTTGTATGGTATAGGTACTGTCTTGTAAGATATTTTTGTTATTTCCTATTTTGTTCTTGACCAATAAATTGAGTTTCTAGACTTTTCTGATCAATTTTTGACCGGTAATTTCATTTTCGTTAGTTTTTTCTTATAAAATCGTTTATAATGCCAGTTTGGTGAAAAATTACATAGAAGCCTCTGTCTAGTAAAACCACGTCTATTTTTGTTACTTTCTACAAACTTTTCGACCAAGACGTAAATTCAAAGTACCAAGTTTCTACAGTGGAACTCCTGTATAACGAAACGCTCGCGGACTTGAAATTTGTTCGTTATAAAGGAGTTTCGTTATACAGGAGTTTTAAAAGCACTAGTGGTAGACGGGGATTCAAAAGCCGTTCGTTATACGGGATTTTCGTTATAGAGGAGTTAGTTATACAGGAGTTCCACTGTAGTTATTTTATTTTGAGACCTAAGCCATTACCTTAAACTCACTCCTCTTTAGTTGTTACTCACCCTTCTGTTAAAACAAAAAAAACCTTATAAATTCTCAAGAATCAGTAGCAAAACCTATGTAAAACAATATTCTTCAGCAATACAAAGGCTACACCATACCAACCGATAAAACCGGAATTATCGACCGGTCGTATCGTTTCGAAAACTTCCCTAAATTCATCAAAAACGAAGACAACTTTCATTATTTTTGTAAGAATGTGTACAACCTACAGAACGGCATGAGTCGGCACGATGCTGAGAACTGGGTCAAAAACTTTTGTTGCAAACGAAATGAGAAAGAGGCTTGTAAAAAGTATTTCGCGTTGGAACACAAGCGACAAGGGCTGATCAACGCCACACTCGCATATTATCATGGCAAGGCCAAAATGAGAAAACTGGCCAAGTCCATCATTGAGGATGTTCAGGTAGGTTGCTAAATACTATATATGAGCCCCAAAGGAAATTTTTTTTTAAATTGAGAAATCACCAAACCGCACATCTTTCATAAAAGAAGACCTCTCTATCCTTCCCCTCTCACATAAAAAACCAGCCCAAAAGTCCTAGCCTCTAACCAAACATCCAAAATTTCCTATTCCAGCTAGTCAGAGGAGACAAATGCTTGTCGATTGCCGAAGAATGTTATATTACAAATGGCATGAAGTCATTGATTCTCCACTACGATCGTCACATTGTGAAGACTGTCACCGAGAACTGTAGACATCGAGCTGAAGTTAAGCCCTACTGGAAGAAGAAGACATGTTATTCACAGTTGGACCCCGCTGAGAAGAGTGTTTACGCCTTTTTGAGATCGTAGAAAATTCTTTTAATAAACAGTTTGTTTTTGCTATTTTAAACTATTTTTGTACAATAACAGCTTCAGTTACAGTAAACACCTATAAAACAATGTTCAAAAGACCAGTAGCTTCTTCTGTAACAGACCAAAAGAAAGCCTGCAGAAAAGTAAACTTAAATTAAACAAACAACTTAAAATACAAGATCAAGCCTTAAATATCAGAAAAAGAAAAGCAAAAATATCATAAAACAAAAAAAGTATCATCAAGGTGCTACAACAATATAACGAAATTCTCCAAAAATACAATTACAATTCATTTATTAGCAGACTCACCGATATGAAATAAATTAACCTTACAACCACTATAATTAAATTCACAGTTCAATTCTTATGAACTTAACGTTCCAAGAAAGGTGTTGGTGGGGCTGAAGATAAAGCAACATTGCCAAATCTTTTGTCCAACAAATTAGAAAACTCCAAAGTCTTCAAGACATTGTTCATGTGATCTGCTTCGTTTTTAGAACGCCATTCCGTGACCAATTCCTAAAAATGTTCGTTAAGCTTCAAAAAGTATATATTATCTATTATAATGTCATTGTTATAGTTATTATAATCAAAAATTGGTCAAAAATTAAATCGACAATATATAGAAGCTTACCAACGTGCTTTACGCAGCTTACATTAAGATACCTTACAACAATTATAATAAAAAATTAAAAAAAGCTAAGAATAAGTAAAACCTATATTAACATACATTTTGATCCTTGAGCAAGATTTGAATTAAAACAGCCATCTTCCTATCGACTAATTGAACCAATGCGCTGTTCAGATTCAGATTTAACAGTGATTTCAGATTCGAGTCCATGTTTCTGATCATAGTGATAATGTATGCTTCAGCTCCTTGTAGGTCATGATCCTTGAAGAAAAGCAAGTTGAAGAAGTTGTTCATCACTCGGCTGAACAGCTCGTTTGACACCATAACAAGGTCTTGTTCTCGGAGAAGCTGTAACATAAAAAACGTTGATGTTTTAAACAAATTCAATTTTTTTAAATCAAAAATGAGCCGTGATCAGAGCCGCAGTAAAACAAGACTTTTTCACATAACCAGAACCTACGCTACGAACATTATATAAAAACCTCTCAACCACATGCCATAACAACATACCAAAGAAGCCTTGCCCATGAAAAGCTCGAGTTTCTTCCACATCTCTCCAAACTCGTCATCTTCACCATCCAGCATCTTCTGAATCGCCTGATCCGACAAAGCCAAGTGTTGATTTGCCAAGAAGTCAAGTTCCATTTCAAGAATCCTCTTTCTTTCCATCAAAATCCGTTGAAATTGAGTTGTACTATTAAGGCTTGTAGTACCCAACATCAAAATGACACATGACAAGAAAAGACAATCGTTTGAGTATCTGAACACATCTGTGAGGCCAATGACTTGCGGGCGCAATGTTGAAATGAAAATGTTCAAAACGCCTTCAATCAAAGTGGCAGGATCAACTTCAGAGTCTTCTTTTAGTTGACGTTCAATGTATAGGAAGGTTATGCGGGCGTGTTCACTAAAATAAAGTTTATTAGACGTTTAAAGCTAATTTTAGGTAATAAAGACAAAAATTTTAAATAAAATGTAAATTTTAAGCGTAAAAGTTACCTAATATAGAAAGGTTGCTCTAAAAATTTGTTGACAATCTTTTTGTCCTTTTCAAACTCTTCCAAACCCTTTATCTGTGCCGATGACATTACTTCTGTGTTCTGCAAATACCAAATTTCGATCAAAAAAACTAAAGAGAGAAACCAAAACAACTCAAAAATATAAAAAGTAACGTTTAAAATAGCTATATAAACCACCAAACCGAACATCTGAACCCACCTTGACAAACTTGGTGTAAGGCAAAGCCAAGTCCCGTCTCAACAATGCCTGCTTGTTGATGTTAACCTTCAAATCCTGTTCTCCCGACTTCTCAGGCACCCATTGATCCACCAATCCTGCTTCGTTCACAATCTCAAGTTTCTTCAAAAGATGTTCGAATTGACGTACACCATCAGAAACCAGCTTTTTAGTCTCAGTTCCCATTGAAGCACAAGTCTTGGATAAGTTTGCCATCCACAAAGTGTTTGTAATTGTCAAAATACGTTGATTTAAAGTTGCCAAAAGCTTTCCATTTCCTAAAGCTTCGTTCAAAGCTTTCATGAGGTATGCCATGAATCTGAAATTAAATGTGTTACAATTTTTACAGGGTTTAAAACCGAGTTTTGAGTAATAAAGGCTTTTAATGTATTCTTGTAATTGCTTTCAATCTATATTTAGTTTATTTCAACTTTTAAAAACTGTCGTTTTTCAAATATGTTACCTTTTATTACCTAAAAACAAAAAAAAACAGAAAAACCTACTGAAGCGCCATCGATGGTACCTTTTCAGCCACAACTCGAGCATTCTTCTGCATCACAAAACTGTACAGCACCGTTCCATTCTTGTGGGTCACTGAAATCCGTTTCGCATTCATAAACAACGGCTGCAGAAACGTTTCGACCAGTTGATCCACCGTACGTTTGACTAATTCTTCAAAGTAATTCAGCCTGTTGATCAAAAATAAAACATTCTCAGCAATCGGCACTTTTCCAATGATCAACTGCCCGTCATCAGTAAAGCAAACAGATTCGGAAAACGCTTGGAACAGATTTTGTTTCCAAACTTGAGTTCTGAACAATCCCAACTTGAGTATTGCCACAATCACCGGCTTCTCGTTTTCTGTCAACGTTTCTAACAAAAGATGCTTCAGAATTGGCCATTTAAACTCTAGTGGAATGATCGGGACCTCGTCTACAACTCCAGCTTGTAAATACCTAAAAATTAGAGTTTACATTATTTTTTAGATATAGATTTGTAATATATTAAGATGTACACATGACAAAGTTGGCCGTAAAGAATAAGATCATTGTCACCAAGTTATAACTCTTATTAAAAAACGTCCTTTGAAAACTGGCCCCATCAACTCTCACTAAACGCTGTAGAAATACCTAAAAATAAAAGTAATACAAGAAAATCTTACTGCTCAATAGTGTCCAGCTCAAGATACGAATCCAAACAAAGCCGAGCACGTTCGTAGAACCCAGAAACATATGTAAACTTGGTATCCACCTTTTCATCACCTTCAAAAGCAGCATACTCAATCTTTAGCTCTTCCATTCTCGATGAGATGAAGATTATCGCATCCTTGGCCGCTCTTAACCTGGCTTCTTCTTCGTAATTCACCAGACCTTGACAAACATCTTTGAAATCTTGGAAAACTAAAATATTATGATTACCTCAGTTCATTTTATATTATTCACACAAAATTTTAGAAATAGGAATTTTAAATTATAAACTTTATGAACAAAACTATTTCTTGTTCTCAATAAATTAATTAACCAAATATCTACAAAAGCACAAAAAAATACTCCTAAAGATAAAAAATCAACATACATCTGACCAACCGTGTGTACACTTCCTCCAACCGATCCAAGAATGTTACACTTGACATGTGGAAGAATATTAACTGAAACAGAAGATTTATTTAAATGTAACATAAAGTTCGAAGTAAGAAAACTAAGAAAATGTGTAAATAAAACGTTTACAAACCTTAAAAAACAAGTTACACTTTAAAATCCTTCAAAAAAGGCGTGAAAAACAAAATTCGCAAAAAAAAACTAAAAATTCCTTTCAAACAGAAATTTCGCGCGCTTCTTTGACGAAACGCCAAAGGCTCCCCCAAAATAAAATTTTTGGGGCCATACTAGAGAAAGCACCCAACATAATAAAGGCACCCACTAATGGTTTAAAGCACCCAGCAATCTTTATTCAAATTTTATCATTATGAAACGTAGCGCTTTCGAAGAGCGGTGTAGAAGTGCCCAATTCGTGAATGGCGATCGTCGTAGCAAAAACTGAAAAAAATATAATAAGATGCACGGCTACTGTAACTAGATAGTTGGCCACTATAACTAGATGGTTGGCTACTGTAACTAAGAAATGGGCTACTATAACTAGATAGTTGGTTACTGTAACTAGATGGTTGGCTACTGTAACTAGATAGTTGGCCACTATAACTAGTTAGTTGGCTTTTGGCTACTGTAACTAAATAATGGGCTACTGTAACTAGATAGTTGGCCACTACAACTAGATAGTTGGCTACTATAACTAGTTAGTTGGCTTTTGGTTACTGTAACTAAATAATGGGCTACTGTAACTAAATAATGGGCTACTGTAACTAGATAGTTGGCCACTACAACTAGATAGTTGGCTACTATAACTAGTTAGTTGGCTTTTGGCTACTGTAACTAAATAATGGGCTACTGTAACTAAATAATGGGCTACTGTAACTAGATAGTTGGCCACTACAACTAGATAGTTGGCTACTATAACTAGTTAGTTGGCTTTTGGCTACTGTAGCTAAATAATGGGCTACTGTAACTAAATAATGGGCTACGTAACTAGATAGTTGGCCACTATAAATAGATAGTTGGCTACTATAACTAGTTAGTTGGCTTTTGGCTACTGTAGCTAAATAATGAGCTACTGTAACTAAATAATGGGCTACTGTAACTAGATAGTTGGCCACTACAACTAGATAGTTGGCTACTATAACTAGTTAGTTGGCTTTTAGCTACTGTAGCTAAATAATGGGCTACTGTAACTAAATAATGGGCTACTGTAACTAGATAGTTGGCCACTACAACTAGATAGTTGGCTACTATAACTAGTTAGTTGGCTTTTGGCTACTGTAGCTAAATAATGGGCTACTGTAACTAAATAATGGGCTACGTAACTAGATAGTTGGCCACTATAAATAGATAGTTGGCTACTATAACTAGTTAGTGTGCTTTTGGCTACTGTAACTAAATAATGGGCTACTGTAACTAAATAATGGGCTACTGTAACTAGATAGTTGGCCACTATAAATAGATAGTTGGCTACTATAACTAGTTAGTTGGTAGTAGGCTACTATAACTAAACAATGGGCTACTATAACTAAGACCAGACCAACGCGGGCCCTACGGGCCCGCTATGGTCTGTGCATTTTTGTTGTATTTTAATTTTTATAAAATATTTTTGAATTCTCATAAAATGAATATTTGAATTTATTTTTAAAAATGGCGCAGGGTCTGTAAAAATTCAATATTTTTGGGCAAGGAATGCGCCATTTCAGCAAAAGTTAAAAAAATGGAGCAGAAAAAAAGAAAATCCTGCTCCATTTTATTTTTTATGAAAAAAATGACGCAGGGTCCATAAAAATCCTGCGCCATTTCAGCAATAGTTACAAAAATGGAGCAGAAAAAAAGAAAATCCTGCTCCATTTTGTAATAAAAAATGGCACAGGATTAGCAAAAAAACCTAAAAAAAAACTAATTTTTTGAATTAAAATTTGAAAATGGGCGGTCAGGTATTTAAAATAACGTTTAAAAAAAAACAAATAAAATAGCCATCACACATTTATTCTGAACATTTAACATATGCCACAGAGATAAAAATTGAATTCCGCTTTTATTTGAATGTAGAAGCTTCTGTTGCTGCGTCTGGATTACATTGGCCATAGTATAAGGTAGAAGGTTAATGAGAAGAATCTTCGTTTGAATTGAACGTCGATCTTGATAAGAAGGTTATGCTTTTGAATTAACTTCACCATGGAATCAGACGATTATTGAAGATTGTGAAACTGTCTGTTGAGTTCTTGTCTGTCACCTTTTCAATAATTGATATGATTGTTCAGTCTTCCAGCATAAAGAAAAAACTGGGACACGCGTTGGCCATTGATTTGACTCTATGACATAGATTATGTCCTGGCTTGTCGTTTATATAGAATTGATGGCCTTCGCATGTAGATAAGTAAGCCTATCAGTGTTGATGTACATAGACGTTTTGTTGACATAGACATAGCAATAGGTGAAGATGTAAATGGGCTTGCAGCTATGGTGGTTTAGGCAGACTGTTGACTTGTGGCTTTGGTGATATTGGCAGGATTGGCACCTAAAATATAATATTATGATAAAAATAGGAAAACTTACTTTCTGGATAGGACGGCCGGCCGATGAACTGCCCGTGAAGGGCAGGTGACCCCGCAGGGTCTTAATCTACATTCTTTAATATAAAATTTTACCTGTTAAAAAATAAGTTTTTACAAAAGACTATAATATAATGTTTACAACTTTTAAAAAATTACTGTTTTTACAAATAAGAAAAGCGGTCGTTTACGAAAAAATAATAAAAAAGAGATGTTAACTAAAAAAAGCACATATATCTAATCTAAATTTAATATTTCTTGGTATACCACGTTTGTAACCTCTGGAATCTCTTCATTTTCAATTTGTATCTTTAGACGCGACCAATTTTGAATTCGAGAGAGTGCTACGTATAATTGCCCATGCGTGAATACTTGATTTTTGCTCAATTTTAGTCCGATTTTTTCAAATGTCTGGCCTTGGGACTTGTTTATTGTCATGGCAAAGGCTAGTCTAACAGGGAATTGGTTTCTATAAAATGGTATTGGCAAGTTTTTGTTATTTTCAAGAGTTATTCTTGGTATAAATACTATGTTTCCTGTTTTTTCACCGGTCAAACATTCACATTTTAAAACATTGTCTTTCATTTCTATAATTTTTAGTCTAGTGCCATTACATAAGCCCTCTTTTATATCTAAGTTTCTGAGTACCATAACTACTGCGTTAACTTTTAAATTCAGTTCAAATTTTGGGAAGTTGGAATCACCTAAAGTATTCAAATACTCTGTCATATATTTGTAACTGTCATTTTCGCCTTCTTTTATTTCATCTCTGCTGAAGTAAGTTCTTTCATCACCTTGTACAATTTTAAATATTTCTTCATTTAGTTCATCAACTTCTACATTTAATGGAGCCAAAATTGATTTTCGGGTTAACTGGTCGGCATTTTGATTTGTTATTTCATGACCATATATTTCATTTACTAAGTTGTTTTTGTGACACAGTTTGAAGGCAAAATTATTTTTTGATTATTTGTGTTGGATTTTCCTTCACCGATTTTTAAAATATCAGAAGCAAATTGAATATTTTCAGCTCCAGCCCTCATGTTTTGTTGTAATTTCATAATTTTAAAGTTTGACCGTAATATACTACCTTTTACACTTAATCTGACTGTCTGATTTGGCGTGGCGTTTTCTTTTATGGGTAAGATTTGCCTAAAATCACCTCCAAGTAGCATAATCTTGCCTCCAAACGGTAATGTACAGCCGGTAAAGTCTTGTAATGACCTATCAATGGCTTCCAGCATATATTTACTGACCATTGAAGCTTCGTCAATGATGAAAACGGAAGTTTTGATTATTTCTTGGCATTGTTTGGTGTTTTTGCTTATGTTTGATATGCTATTATTATCTAAATCTAGACCGAATTTAAATGTGCTGTGAATGGTGTTGCCATTTGGAAGCAATGTTGCTGCTATTCCAGTAAAGGCCATGCACATAACGTCTTTTTTTAGCCCTTTTATAATGTATCACGGTTTTGTACACAAAAGTCTTTCCTGTGCCTCCTGGACCATCAAGAAACATAAGCTTTTGATTAGTTTCATTGTTAATCATTTTGAGTACTTCTATTACAACACTTTTTTGGTCTGAATTGCAGCTTTCAAGCATTTTTTCACCTTCATCCTTGAATTTTTCGCTATCTTCAATTTGTATTTCCATTTCTAAAGTATTCTCATAATTTTGCAGCTGTTCATCAGAAAACTGGATAGCAGAATTCATTTGAAAATCATTAAAGTTTTTTCCATTTCTAACTAAAATTTTTTCAATAAAATTATATGCTATTTTGTAGCCCTCTTCTCCGAATTTTCGTACACAATCTTCAGAAAGATCATTTTTGAATAAATCGTACAATTTTTGAGGATTTGTTGGTGAACAATGTATAAATAGCATTGCAAAAAGAAATCGAAGTTGACGTGGCATTTTGGAAAAAGCTGCTTCTTTCATAGCATTAATATAATCCTCATCGTCTTTAATAAACCCTCTAGCTAAACATGCTTTTTTGTATGTTGAGTGTAAAATTCCGTTCACTGTTTTCAGATCTTCAAAAGATTTGGGACCACGAATTCTCAATAAAAGTAGCCTTAGATGAAAAACTTCAGAATTTTTAGGGCTAATGTTATAAATTCGGCCGACTGTGTTAAAATGACCTTTTCTTTTATTCCATTTCATTTCCTTTCTATTCCATGTATATTTTTGGGGAACTTAATGATATAGTAAATTCGTGTTTTCAGCTTGGTTTAATTCAAAAAACGCCATAAGTTTTGATTTTTTAGTTTGTTTTAATTCTTCAATTCTCTCAAGACTGTCTGTTTTTTTGAAAAATATTGATTGTTTTCCTTCGTCATGTAGTTCTAATCTTTCAATGGCGTGACTTTTTACAATAATTTCGTGTCCTAATATTCTCCAAGCAGCTTCTGGAGCACTCAAGTACCTACACTCGATATAACGTTTGATTTCGTCATAAATCAGCTCATTTTGGTCACCATCACTTGAAACGCGCTCAACTACCGCTTGGTCAACACCTTTGAAAACGTACTTATGTAGGTATTTGACTACTTCAATATCAGCTACATGTTCAACATTGATGTGACAATTGAATTTTTTTGACAGGTGCGGAGAATAGGAAACTACATATCTGTTATCTAAAATTTGGCCATCAGGAGCTTCAAAAACGATACCATTTTGTCTACGCCTATAGTTTGCATAACCCCCTATTTTCAATTCTGTTTCGGCCAGGAAAGGTTTTGGGAATTTTTTTGAGCATTTGTCTGATTTTTCGATGCAGGGGAACTTTTTCCAAACAGCGCCAGTTTCTCTGTTCATTTTTTTACATTGATGCATGTTATTTTTCGTTATTATACGGTATAAATCTGGCTCGACGTCTTTATCTGGAATTTCAGCCCAAATAACCTTATCTATATCCTGGGGGTCTTTTAACTTCGAATCTTGTCCCAAAATCAATAACAAATGTAAATGAGGTAAGCCTCGCTTTTGAAATTCAATTGAACCCGTATAGGCGATAACTTTTCCAAAAAGTTCACTTTTATTTACAAAATCGATCATTTCTTTGTATTTAATACGAAAAACGCGAGCGACTAAATCAGGTCTGTCAGCGGAAGTTTGGCCAGGCAATAAATTGTTTTTGGTCTCCGGCCATTCTGGATTGCATGTCATAGTAATGAAGAGGTCCGGCTTTCCATAATTTCTAGTTAAAGTCATGGCATCATCATACGCGTTTGTCATATACCTTGGAGAACCTATGTAACTTGAAGGCAAAACATATTTTTTACCAATTTGTAGACCTTTTTCTTCAGCTTTTTGTGCTAAATACTCTTCGATGTATTCATAAGATTCAGAAATTTGCTCACTTATATAATTTTTAATGTACTCAAGTCTTTCGCGATCTATGTTAATATATTGTGTTACCAACCATTCTTGAAACGATTTTCCACCGTATAAAATGGGCGAGAACGGATAGTCTACTTCGTCTCTTTCAAAAATTTTAAATTTGACATACTCAGCATTTGTTATTTTTTGATTATTTGATTTGTATTCAGGATGCCAGCCAAGTTGTCCGGTTGGGTAAAATAACGTTAAAAGTAATGGTTCAGAAGACTGATGGATTGATTTTAAAGTTATGTTTTTTGCCATGTTCATTAACGCAAACTTCGTATCGCGGAACTTCACCATCAACACCTTGCTCAAAAAGAACTGCCACTTCATTTACACGCGGTGGATTGAATCTTCTTTTGTCTAAATGGTCTTTTAAACAAAATAGTAATTTGTATTCTAGGTCTTGATTATCATTTCGGGCTTTTTGCATTTCGTCTTTTAGCATCGTGTATGATTGAGCAAAAGGATTGCTTGATCTTATTACGGAATCCAACTCAAATAACAAATCCTGATTCAAGTGACTCACAATGTTGTACCGGATTCCGCAAGCTTCGTCAGCTTCTATCATGAACAATTGGCCAAAAGTGGGAAGTTCATCAGGATTTGGATGGGCAGAAACATTAAATTTTTTTTTGGAATTCGCCTACTTGTCGATATGTGTATGGCCCGCCTCCATTAAATTTTATTTCTTTAGTAATAATACTTGCCATTGACAGCGCTTTCATATAACCTCTAATATTCGATTTGAACTCGTTAGAAAATACATTTTTATTTTTATATAAATCTTTTAAAAATTGGGGAAAATTGTTCTGAGGTGGTATATGTACTTTGCCTTTTTCACAACATGCGCTGAATTTCATATTTTTGTCATGTGTTTCAGCCAAAAATGCTTTCCTTTGCAGCTCGAACACTTCAAGTTCATTTCTCCAACATCATTCACCTCGATTTGTGTTAAATCCGTCATTTTGTACGCGTTTCGTATATTTCTTTGTGCTTGTTGATGTCTTCTTCTTTCTAAACGCGAATTTCGTCCTTCTTCAGTTTCTTGGTGCCTTGATTGTCTTCTCTGTTGATTGATGTTTTCAAGTCTAGAATTATACTCTTCAACAGTTTCTTGCTTTATATCTAAATTGTAACTGAATTCATTTACAGAAGATTGAGTCAAACGATTAGATTTTTTATGTTCTCTGTCTTTTTGTAAGTTCAATTGACGGATTTCTTGACTTAGATTGCTAGACGAAGGTCCTGGTTCACATAACTCGCGTTCTCGTTCTCGCCTTTGCTTTTGCAATTCAGTTCTTCTCTTCTTTCGATCTTCAGCCAATTGTCGTTCTTCAGATCCCGTTCTTTCAATTTTACTACGACGTCTTTTCTCCATAATTACAGAATTATATGTTTAACGGAATTTATGTAATATTATTCGTGTGAAAAGGTCTGGTTTTTAATTTTATAATGTGAAACTGTCTTTATTTTTTTCAAAACCAAATATAAAGGTCAATTCTTAAAATATGAGTGCTGACAATATACGTTCTAACGGTATAAGTTCTGACGATATAAGTTGTGACAATATAAGTTCTGACGGTATAGAGTTCTGATTCTGGTTCTGTTTCTGATTCTCGAAAATAAAAATAAAGTTCTTTCGTTCTGAGTTCTTTCGGTCTAAAGATTCGTACAGTATAAAGAGTTATTTCTGTTTCTGATTCTGGTTCTGTTTCTGATTCTCGAAAATAAAATTAAAATAAGGTACTTTCGTTCTGAGTTCGTTCGTTCTGTAAAATAGTTCTGTTTCTGGTTCTCAAAATTAAAATCAAAATTAAAATAAAAATAAAGTTCTTTCGTTCTGAGTTCGTTCGTTCTGGAGAATAGTTCTGTTTCTAGTTCTAGTTCTGTTTCTGGTTCTCAAAATCAAAATTAAAATCGCTTCAGACAACGAGTGTAACATCGTCAAAACGGGACCGACCGCTCGCCACAGTCGAAATTATGTCAAAAGAAACGTTTTTGTGAATTAACATGAAACCACCGATTGTTTTTCTAAAATTCGAAATTTCTTATTTTACATATTTTTAAAAAAAAATTATTGAGAAAAAAATGGCGCAGGGTCCGTAAAAATCCTGCGTTATTTCAGCTAACGATAAAAAATGGAGCAGAAAAAAGAGAAAATCCTGCTTCATTTTATAGTAAAAAAACGGTGCAGGATTAGCAAAAACTTTTTTTTAAGAAAAATGGCGCTTTGTTGAGTACGATGCTGTTTTTTTATAGTGACAAAATGAGACTGCAGTCGACTGTACATCTTCACATTTTTAATAATTTTGATGGAAATAACAATTATTTTTTTCAAAATTCGGAAGTTTTTAATAAAGGTTGATAAAAAATGATTTACATTTAAAAACGGCGCATGATTTTAACTAATCCTGCGCCATTTTATTTTTATAACAAATTTTCTACAAATATTTTAACTTTTTTATACAATTTTCTTGTTTTCAAAATTATTTTGAATTTCGAATTTCCCGACCGCTCTTTTTTTCAAAAATTTTATAAAATTTTTCACCGATTTTCTCAAAATTTTCATTTTTAAAATGATTTTTTTTTAAATTTGCATGGCTCTCTCACTTAGTACAAATGCACTCTTACAGCGGCCTCAGACATCCACCGCGTCTCCGTTTATATACGGGGACCAAATCAACGGAGGCCCTGCGGGCCTCCTTATGATCTGGACGTTGCAATTTCATGTTATTTCATTTACATCGTGCCAATATCAATACCATTTTTTTAATATGCAAAAACATGGGCTCGGGCCTGCGGCCCTCGCACTGCCCTTTTGATTTTTATGTTCTTATTAATCAATAAAATTAATTTTCATTTTAAGCTACAATATCATAAGCTCGGGCCTGCGGCCCTCGCACATTTTTAAAAAAATTTAAACTAAAATCTGTTGCTAATCACATTCAGTTGAAACGCAGCATGAATCCTGAAACTATTTTGAGTATGATACGCTTTAAACCTAACTCCTATATTTTTTTCATCATTAAAAATATTTCAAAAAGAAAAGTTTCCAAAATCATACACAATATACAGTACCATACTCAAAACAGTGTCACAAAACATACCTACTTTCGTTGTCGTATCTTCCAAAAATATTCGAAAAACAACCGTTCTCCACCATAAAATTCAATTCAAGTGACCGCTCGCTTTTGATTTTCATTTACAAATTCAAAAGTTTTTACAATTTTCATTTTCAAATTCCGACCGCTCAATTTCGACCAATTTTTTAACAATAAAATAGAATGTTTCATTTTCTTGATACCACGGCTCTGCATTCAGTACGGGGATAACATTAATACTATGGTAAAATCAAACGTATTCTTTAAGTAAATACTAAATTCTTACCTGTTATCCATCTGTATAGCATAGTAAAAGTCTTCATAAACTCGATAGTAGATGAATCCTTTGAAGGTGGTTGGTCTTGGCCTAGGTTGTCAGGTAGTCGATGGATCCATGATCACCACGGTCAGATTCCATGCTGACCCGACCGTCTCACGCAGTCGATAAAATATGAATGACCGTTTTCAAAAAAGGAAAAACAACAAAATGAAATTGCAAGATTATGCAAAATTTGAATACTTTTGGGTGCCTTAAATAGGATAAAAATTGGGTGCTTTCATTAGTAATACTGGGTTATTTCTTTAGAGTAGCGCCAAATTTAAAACGTTTGATGTATTCTAAATTTCCCTCTGTTAGAGAATACGGTTTTTGAACCCACCGCCTTCTGCAACCCAAGCGAATTTCTTAACCCCACGACCCCACTGGCTTAAAACTTCAATCTATTCGTTTTACTCAAGACGAATAAGTAGAGTCAAATAGGAAACACAATGTAAATCCTTTAACCGCTAGTATCTCGCTAGTCCAATTCATTTAGCAGTTTTTGAAAACGGTTTTCCCGGTAACTTTTTATGCTCTTTCATCCTATATAGTAAGCGGAGGGATATTTGGTGACATTCCCTAGTTAGCAGAAAAATGGCCAAAGTAGAGTTAAAAATAAGGCAAAAAATTCAAAAAGTAAAGTATTTCACAAAGCAAAAGTTGTAGCAACAACAAAATAAGTTTTCGTTTTCAAAAAATTTGTTTAAATTAGATCTGTAAGGCAGAAAAACGAGAATAATTTGGCGACAAGTTATGTATTATGGTTTCATACTGGCGCCGCGCATCATTAATGGACTCCTCTGTAACCTGACTTTCGATAATCTTAATGTTGGTTAGTATAAGGTAATCAAAGCCCATCACATTGGCGTTTATAGGTTGAAACTTCCTCCAAGTGAGATGACCTTAAAATTGAATTTACTGTCAGGATAATTTTTTAGCTGTGCCATAAGCTCAGTAATTAATTCTATGAATTAGTTTTACCTGAAGACCAGTCAAAATGCGTCAAAGTTACAGCTCCTTTTTCTTCAACACGTTCTATTGTTGCCCATAACAAAACTTGAACATTTAAAAAAATCGGCAAAGAACTTTCATAAGGCCACTTTCCCATTTCTTCCCAATTGTTCTTTTTCTTATTGTAACTGATAAACTGAAATATGGAATAAAAATTAATTTTTTATAAAAAACGAGGCGTATTCTGCTACAGTGGGACTCCTGTATAATAGAAATTTCCGGATATCGAACAGCTTTTATTTAAATCCCCATCTCCCACTACACAGTGCATTTAAACTCATATCAATAGTTGTTTTTATCAAATATGTCGCTTTTTTGCTACAAAAAAATATGGCGTACCGAGTAATTCGTTATAGAGGAGTTTAAGATGTATATATTTTATTATAAAAATCGCCGACAATGTCAGCATTTATATTTTTTCCATAATTTTGTACAATATTACGGTCTATCCGCAATAAAATTTAAAGCAAACTCTCAGAATTTTCATATTTTAATTACATGCGTACTTACTTTACTGTCTTCATGAAAAAGTATCCCACCAATACCCTTTACTCTGTAATCATCATATACGTTTGAGGTGTTTAAAACGTAAACGTAAGTTCTAGTTGTAATGTCATAAATTTGAATACCTACGTCTGAAAAAAGCAATTGCACACATGTATAAAAAAATATTTGAATGTCAAAGAAATCCTTACCTAAATACATCAATTGATTAAGGTTATCCAAGTACAGGACGACGTGGGTCTGTAAAACGAAATATGACATCCTGTCTACCGGTAGATATGTGTATTAGTATTAGTTCGTTTTGGCAACTCCGGTACGCAACATACTTTCTGTATCCATATATGTCAAAGTTTATTGCATCACAAAAGTCAAAGTCGGCAGCCTTGACTTTGTATTCTTTCTGATTATATAAGTCAACTAGAGTACCGTCGCTGTAATATAACGTATAGTAAGTGTAACGTTCTTCAGCGAATGCACTGTATACTTTGATTATCTTTTTCTTTATTAAGTCGTATACTACATACGACGTTTCCATATCTACCAGAAGTTGTGTTGATTTGTTTATCAGATGTAGGTTATCGATAGTACCTTCAACGCTTTTAAAGTCAATAAGTTCGAAAGAATTCTTGTTCCGGTATATAAACAACTTATCGATTGGTTTTTAAAATTAAATGCATCCACTTGTTCAAGATTCTTGTCAACTGTACGGTAGTTTGTGCTAAATAAAACTTAAAGTAGTATAATTTTAAATTTAAGAAAAAAGTTTAATATTTTATTTTAAATGGGTGGAAATAACTTACAGCGAAAAAGCTTCTGCCCAAGTTTCACCGCGAAGGCGGTATACCAAGTTTTTATAACACAGACTTCGAAAGTCAGTGTTTATTAGTCTGTAGAATGACTTGTTCAGTGCTGCAACCCTACAAAACTCTTCCATGTTTTCTATATGATCGACTACACGTAGCCATACCTAAAAATAGAAACTAACAAAACGTAGAGATTAATGCTGTTAATCATTATTAGTGCAAATGCAGATGGATAAAAAAGCGTTGTAAACTTACTTCATTTGGCAAACTTTTATAAGAAATCATTTTTGACTTAACCTAAAATCAAAAATTTCTTTCGTGCTTTTATCGTCTAGATCGAACAAGAGCCCGCAATGCTTTTATAGTCTATAGCTATAGCTCTTATCGATCTTTTTTATCTTAGAGAGCTTTCCAACGGTTTGTGACATGTCGTGTCATGGTAGATTAATTTTGTCAGCCACTATATTAATCTTATTCGTTAGTTGAAGCTAAAAAACACAAAAAACACAATTTTAAATAAAATTATTCGGGTATGGTGCTTTTTACTAATTATTTGAACTATTAACGAGTGTAATCTTAATTAATTAGTAAGCGCACACCTTCCAATACTACAGAAATTTTCTCGTATAATACGTCCACCGCAGGCTGCAGCGATTTTTCGGAAATTCGGAAAAGGCCGAAATAAGGACGCAAAAACTATCATGATGTGAAAATGTGCTTCGATTTTTATTAAAAATATGTTGTTATAACTGCTGTTTTTTTACATTATTATGGATTTCGTTTCGTAAAGTCAATAGATCAAGTTTAAGATAATTTATGGAATATATCTGTTCTGTGCAAAACAAGTTCTTTATATAACAATATTGTAGTAGCTATTCAATTTTTTACATGATTTAAATTTGAGAGTCCATCTTTTGAACCTCGAATTATTGCACGAAATTCATTTATTTTTTTTTCAGTTAAACGTTCACGCCACTATTAACATAGCGGCTTTAGAATATTTATGCAAATCAAGGCTACTTCTGGATTCATATCATGATTATAATCATAAAACATATTCTATGTCATTGGTTATGATATATAGGCGATTATGAAATTCAATTTGTACAGTCTTCTCAGTTATGCTTCAGAAATGGGCGCTGTTGGTGATGGTGGCGTCTGTTGGTGGTGTTGTAAGTTGATTTAACGGTAAAGTTTTTGGTGTTTTTTATTCAATAAAGTTATACTGAATAATAAGCTTTATTTTTTCTTTTTGTTACCTGATCGTAAGCCGTTTTAAGACCTTCAACGGCGTGGACATTGGCAATCCCAACGGTCAGCTGATCGATCGCAGTTTTCGAATCGTCGAGTTGTCCAAATTCTTAAAGAACAAAGCCCATTTTAACAAGTTTTGTAACCATTTACCGACCTTGCTAACAAAAATGAGTCGCGCTGATGCCGAGGCGTGGATGAAAGATTTTTGTCGCAAAACTGGAGAAAAAGCAGCTTGTAAAACATACTACAGTCAGAACGCTCACAAACAGAAGGTGGTCGATGCTACGGTGGCTTGGTTTAAAAAAGCTAGGAAATACACGGCGGCCGAAGACTACTACATCAATAGGGTTATGGTAGGTGTATTTTTGGATAAATTATCAAAGGTTAGCTTAGGGGAAGAACTTTTGTTATTGATGAAAGGTAAGGAAGGAATCCAAAAGCTTTTGAAAAAACCTAACCCTACCAAAAATTTTTTTTATTTAAAAGTACCCCTTTAGGCAGTCCGAAAAGACAGATGTTTATCAGTGGAAGAGGAGTGTTATGTTACAAATGGCATAAAACAATTGACAACAAGTAAACAACGTCATACTATGAAGTTGACGACAGAACTTTGTTTCCAGCATCGTAAAGCTCATCCAAATTTTGCCAAGAAGTCGTGTTACGGTGTAGGAAAAGGAAGCCCAACTGGAGACGAAGTCTTCCAACTTCTTAGGTCATAATGCTTCATTTGGCATAAGTTGACACAAAGTGTTACCTAAATGGGCCTTAATAAACTTGTAATAAGTCTGGGAACACTTGAAAGGTGGTGACAAACTTGAATTTATAAGCTTTGGCAATAAAGTTTCGTTTTTTTTTCTGAAAGGCGAGGGGGGGGGGAACGGAAGAGGAGAGTGTGGTGAATTTCAATTTTTTAAGGGAGAGGGTATTTGGCCTTTCGTCATTTATGATTTTTTGTAGTTTTGGCTATGGGCTTTCAATTTAACGGTCTGCCTGACTATACCATGCCATACCCTGCTTTAGCTTTAGTTTTCCTGACTCTACTATGCCACCTTACCAAACTCTACTCAGTTCCTCTCTATCTTACCCTTCCTTATTCTCCCCTCCTCCGTTCCTACTCCATACCTTTTCATAACTCGCCTAAATCCAGCCGCCATACCCTAAAATTGAAGTTTAAACTATATAATTATCTTACAATAACATTTCATATACCATTACAGCTGTTATCAACTAATGACATCCCCTCAACTATTGTAACTTCCTCAAAAACATCCCCCTCCCCTCTCCACCCTTATACCTTACAATTAGCAGGAATAATTGACTTATTGTGTTTTCAAGCCTAGTAAATAAAACCGACGTCGCACCGACCGGTTGTCATAACGACGTCACCGAAATAGAAAACGGCCGAAAACAGGGAAACGTTTGGCCATGAGATTACATGAATTCTTCTACATTGCTTTACAAAGTCTACATCCGGTGCTTTGCAAGGTTTTGCTTTTTTATAAATTGTGTTGTTTTTAATAAGTTAAAAACTATTGTTTATTTATTTTTTAATAATATTTATGTACCGAGAATGTATCTAGGATGTACCGGTAAAATTTTATATTTTGAAAGGGGAAGGGGTAAAAAATGGAAACAAAAATAACGGAAAAAGGTAAAAAATTTATAATTTTCTAGTTTTTCAGAAAAAGTCTTATACTTTCACAGTATTTTACTGATAGTTAATAGCCATTGATTGTTGTAAAATTAATTAAAAAATATAGGTGAGCATTTTATTTTGACTTGCAACAGATTTTATACTCAAACTTGACTTCTCCGTCGAATAATATAAGTTTGAATCAGTGCAAATTTTAAATGCTAAAATAAGATACAACTTTTCGATCGATTTTAATGAAACAAAATTTATTTTTTAAATATAAATTGGGCATGAAATAAGGATTAATTTGCTACTAAAATTGAGTGAAACTGTAAGGTAGTTTTTGAAATTCAGTTTTTTGTTTAGCGATATTGTTTTAGGTGATCAAGGGTAACGAAACAAAAAAGTTTGGGTAGTACTTGAAATTGAAGTTTTTTGGCATGTATAAAGATAGTTTAACAACTCTATGGTTTTATTTTTATAAATACGGTGTTTTAAATCACCTAAAATTTGAGTTTTTGCCTTACAAACTTTTATACTATTCGGTGTTCAAAAAGTAATGAGCCATGTCTCATAGTGATTTTTAAAAAAATCAGGAAAAATAAATATTTCGGCTTCATATTTTTTTGTTTTTCTGTATTTTGATACCTAAATTTTAGAAATTGCTTTTATTTTTTAAAAGCTCTTTAATTTTATAAAAGCCAAAACTTTTAAAACACCATTCTTTACACACATACGTACTCTGTTTATTCCACAAATGTCTTGAAAAGGACTGGTTCACGCCAAATAATTTTCTGTTTCATCTGTGGTTGTAAATGTGTAAACTTCAAGGAAAACATTGTAATTCTCACGTTTTTCCTCGTATTTGAATATTTCGAAAAGTGTTTATTCAACGAGTGTTTTAAGATGTCTTGTATTCTATTATACCTTCACCGGTCTATATTTTTTTTTGAATTTTACTTTTTAGAGTTTCTCAGCTTGTTTCTTTATAGTTTTCATGCTTTATATTGTTATAGGCGTTTTGCTTTGTATTGTTATAGTTTTACAAAATGACGTTTTATATTCACACATCATGTAAAATGTAATGTAGGAACGTTTTGTTCAATTTTACTTTTGCATTTTTAGCTTTTTTGAGGTTTTTATATTCACTAGTATATTGTTTTAACTTTAAAACTTCAATTTTTTCTATGGAAACCTTATTTTTTATCGTCTAAATTTAAATTTGTGTTTAAAGACCAGTTAGTGTTGTAAAATGGTTTTTACTAATTCAATGAGTTAATCTTTTTATCGCATTTAAATTATCATTTGTTACCTAAATCTAAATTATTATAGGATTGGGAACCGGTAGTCCAATTGTTACATTGTTTGGAGTAATTGTTGAACCGAACAATGAACGATAATCCAGCCGAGGTAATCTTCGATGGGCCTCCCAAGAGTCCTTCGATTGATTTCGCGTAAGTACTGTAATTTTATAACTGAAAATTATTTTTTAATTTAAATTTTTAAACATTTTCAAATTTTTTATACAAGCTAGAGTAGGGTAAGATACAGCAGGTAGTGAAGGGTTAGGTAGTGGGTAGTGAGTAGGGTAGGGAAATGTCGGGTATGGTAGGGTAGGTTAGGATAAGGTAGGAGTACGTTAGAGTAAAAAGCAACACAAAATAGTTGTTTTTTATGCTTTTCCGGATACACAAAATGACAGAAAATTAAATTTAAAATTGCTTTTCTTGCAAAATTAATGCATAATAAATGTTGTTGATTACAAATTGGTGTTTCTTGGAGTTAATTAAGCTTATTAAAGGCTAAAAATGGCACAAATTGATATTTTTTTATATGAAAAACCTTTTTATTGACTAAATATATCAATAATGTTATGTGTGAAATGAAAACATACCATAGTTCGTATAAAAAGTAATGAGCTATGTCTCATAGTCATGTAAAGTTTAATAGCTTATTACTTTTTATACAATTATATAATTACTAGGGGAGTGTAAAAAATTTTTAAACGTGTCTCAATTTTTTAAATCAAATTTTTTTAAAAATTTTTTTTAATTTTTCAATTTTAGTGGTTTTTCAATACCCGAACTTCCAAGAGGCAAGGTATTGAAGTTGGCGTTAGCTGGACCTTGGGACGATCCAATATACATGGGACTGAATGCCATCGAAATATTTTGTTCTAATGGTGCTAGAGCTGAGGTTGAAAATGTAAGTATTCGAGTATCGGTTTGGCATTACATACAAACAAAAAAGTCTTTGTTTGCGCGGCCTGCAGCCCTTGGCTCTACTTAAACGTTCTAGACCGGTCTTTTTCATGCTTGCTGTAAGTTTTAAAGTGAGTCAGGCCCGTGTGAGCCAGCCAAGCTTAGCCTAGGGATCTAGTTAATCTTTTTTTAAGTCTAGTCTAGCTCCTTCCTTTACCCTATAGTTTGACCTTTTAAGACTAAAATAGTCAAAGCCCATAACATTAAAATGCATTTTAACCATCATTTCTTGAGGTTTCATTCATTTGAACTTTTTCAGTTCAAGAACAATTTGTCAGCCTGCTTAAGCTGTAATGCCATGTTTTGAATTAATAGCGTATTTCCTGTTGTAACAGCTTAATGCAGTCTGAACTAAAGTAAGAGCTTAATGACTTTGAATAGCGTCACTTTGCTATCATGTCGTGATGTTGAAAGTTACTCTAATATAACTGTACTCTGATGAGTAGGTTTACAAGTCTTGTCGCATTATAAGCAGAGTTAACTGTAACATATAATTGTTTGGCATGGGTAATATATGTTGTTTTGCAAAAGTTGTATATTATATGAGTTTGGTTAGGTTATGTTACTGTTCTGTTATAGTATAGTATAGTGACATATATTGTTATAGATAGAATCCGACGCCAACGAAGAATACGGTAACTTGAAGAATCTTTTACATTGTGCAACATGTGTCAGTACGGATGCTAGGGATATGTGGATGTGCAAGTACGAACGGGTACACCTGCCAGTGAACTTATCATTGACTTTTAAAGAGCCAACTACAATAGCTATGATTAGGATATGGGTAAGGCGTTTAAAATACGATATTTTAATAGTAGCTACCAATATATTATGTGTAGCGTAAGATAGGACAAGCTAGGGTAGGGTAGGGTAGGGTAAGGTAAGGTAAGGTAAGGTAAGGTAGGATAGGGTAGGGTCAGAGCATCTTATAATACATAATGTTAACCAAAACCTATAGTACTGCCTACATCAATATGCTTTGTAGTCACAATAACTATAAACCTTAACTGATTTCAGAACTACAGTGAGAGTCGCGTGTACGCTTTGCGTGGCGTCCGTCGAATGAAAATGTTTTTGGACGAAGAGTGCATTTTCAATGGTGAAATCAATTGTGCTTTCGTGGACTTTGATAGGCGACCGTTGGGTGATGTAAGTGCTTGGTTATTGTCGTATTTTAAATTTTTTAAATGTTATAGTAGTGCCGTGTAAAAGTAAGAACTTGTCTTTTTGTGATTTCTGAAATATGCTAGAGGTTGTTTTTAATATTTTATGGTCGTGCTTACAATGTATGCCATATGGCATAGATGTTGATTGAAATTAGCATATAGAGAGGAGAATATCGGGTAGAAGACGGTATATTAAGATAGTCTTAAAAATGGTTGTTTATAGAGCAGGGGTAGTTCTTTAGGTCAAGTATAAAGAAATTGGGACAGGGTTGAGTAGGACAGAGTATAATTTTTTTGCAAGTTTTTGGTGCTCCATGGTTAGTTTTTTAAAAAGAACGAACCTATCTGCTCTTTTCTCACTTACTAGTTTATGTCTACTTCTGGCAGTTTGACTACTGTTTTGATTAAAGGTGGACAGCTAATAATAAACCTTCTTTAAAAAATTGTTTTTTTATAGATTTCACTTTTGCTTTTTGCTATGAAGACTTGAATAATTTCTGTAGCTCATAAAATGCAAGATAGTAACGTAGCTTTTTTAAAATTTGCATAAAGCAGTATCAACTTTAAGTGTGCAAAAAACCGTCTTTGTAGGTATCTCCATCTCAAAAATTGGAGGCTTTTTTGTAGATATCGCGATCTTTCAGAACGATGTCTTCTTTGTAGGTATCTCCATCGCCAAGAACGGAGACTTCACTTTTGAGTTTGTGGCAGTATAAGTATCTAGGTTGAACCAAAAGTAGTGGGACACATTATAGCTGAAAAATAAAGGAAAAGTGTCCCGCTACTTTTGGTGTAATCCAATACTAGGTTGTTCAAATAATTCCGTGCCTTCTAATTCTGAAGATTTGCTTTGAGTGTGGGCACAGAATTATTTGAACAACCTAATAGAAGGGACGATATTTTTAAATTTAACTGTTTCAATCTATTAAAAACTACAGAATACAAACAATAATCCCGAGTACATGCCAAAACACTTTCAGTACAATATAAACTTCAAAGCGTGACTTTTGGCTGAAATAAACAGCGCCAAGCTTGACTGGTTTCTTAATTTCGATTGACGCAAATGAAACTGTACTGTGTTACAGTGTTTAGTAACATTTCACGCTTTATTAGATGGTGTTGCCTTTGGATGGGCGGGGCGGACAGATTAGTGTGACATTAATATAAAGTGTGATATTAGTGTAAATATGGAATGATTAGAATTTTTGCGGTATTTGGTTACGTTGGGGACAGGCATCAAATATTAATGAGATATTAATGATGCTCACGATTGTTATAATACCATGTATAATGTTTTGCAAAGCTATAGATCTTCTAAGCTTTTAATATTGTAATCATGTTTTACAGTATTATGTTAGGGTAGTGTGGGGCTTGGGTTGAGTAGGTTTTGGACAGTGTAACATTTGCTTACTTGTTAGGTGTAAAGTAAGCTAGGGTTGGTTGGAGTATGTTAAGAGGGAATAAAGGAGAAGGATAGGGTAGGTTTGGGGAGCGTAGTCTAGGTCTTGGGGAGAGTAGGGTAGGATAGGATGGGATAGGTTAAGGTAGGGTAGGATACGGTAGGGTAGGGTAGGGTAGGGTAGGGTAGGGTAGGCTAGGGTAGGGTAGGGTAGGGTAGGGTAGGGTAGGGTAAGGTAGGGTAGGGGGAGAAGAAATAGAAGGACTATCTGGGTAAGTGGATAGACTTTTATTGTATTGGTTTAATGTAAAAACTAAAAGTACTGTTGATTTGAAAAGTGCATTATCTTTTGCTGTGTATATACAGTGATAGTCAAATCTGTTTACAGTGTTATTATACAAAGAAGCCTTGTATATTACTGGTAATTACACGACAAAACTGTACTTTTTGTTTTTCGGGACAAAAATTGGCGGTATAAATACGTGTTAATGAGTTTGTCATCTTATTTTAGAACATAGTGTTATCACATATTCATACATTGTTTTCTTTTCAGACAATTCTATTTACGACTAACGACGAAATCTTGACAGCCATTGCTCAAAACGACATTTTCTTGAATACGGTAGACGAAATTCCATCATTGGGAAGTCAGATGGACTTACTGAGTGTTGAGCCTAGTACATCAGCTACTAGTAAGTGTATTACTACTTATTCTTAAGGTTTAAGCTTGTGTTACTGGGTTAGGTTTGGACTGATTTATGTGATATATAGGTAATAGCAGGGTTAAAGGCTTGGGATTAGAAAGTAAAGTAATATATGCATTGGGTAAGGTACAGTAGGGTACAGTAGGTTAGAAGAGGTTAGGGTAAAGTAGGAATACAGCAGGGAAGTGTCATAGTAAGGGCAGGACAGGGTAGGGTTATAGTAAGGGTAGGGCAGGGCAGGGCAGTTCAAGGCAAGGCAAGGCCGTAAAATGCAGGGCATGCAAGATAGGACTATAGTAGATAGAGACAGCAAGGGCATGGCTGGTAAGTGAATTAGATGAATAATATATTAAAACCATTTTCAATTGTAAAGCCACTTTTCTGTAACAATGTGACATAGAACAAACACATTGTAATTTTAAAATGTCAGCTAACACTATACCCGCTTTGTTCTTAATCCATTTACACAAACTTCGCAAAATTTGAAAGGATTAATGAGATTACGAGTGGAAGATTAACTGAAGAAGATATTCATTATTTATAAATCTACATTCACATATAAAGGTGTGAATGTAGAGTAATGTCAAGAGGGAATAAAGGATGTCATGGGTAGATGGGGTTACACGAAATTTTGCTATAGACTTGGCTTGGCTTGGCGTGCCGTGTTTTGCTTAGTTGTCATCAATATATATACTCATATTTCTTGAAATTTTAAAATTTTAATTTTAGTGTCACCAATGCTATCACCCTTAACAGACACCTCGATTCAAAGACCCTTAACTGGAGCCACTTCAATTCACTCTAGTTCAAGTGACATTAACCTAGCAGTATCAGAGAAAGCAGTTCAAATCAACGATGTGCCAACTTCAATCAAATTCATCGAACGTGAAGAGATTCACAGTGACGATGAAGAGAATCTGAGCGAACACTTTTTGGAAAACGAAAGTGGCGAGGGCTTTGTTAGGGGTAAATGTAAGTTATTTTACTGTAGGATTGTCTACACTGTCCGTATTTTACTATGATTTATCATCGTTACCTTACCTTGCTTTGACTTGGCTTGGTTTACCTTGCTTTGTCTTACCTTGCTTTGTTTTGCCTTGCTCTGCCCTACTCTGTGCTGCCTTGCCATACCTTATTTTGCTCTATTTTACTCTACAATGCTCCACTTTACTATACATTGCTATAACTTTTCAACATTTCAATTGCAGTATTCCATCTGGAGCTCACCGCCAACTGGGGCTTTCCTGACGCAATCGGCCTAACAGGAATTCAATTTCTGGGCAAAGACGGCGAACCTCTAGACAACCTTGACTGCACCGTAAGATGCTCAAATGACGATGAATCAGATGACGCTAAACGGCTTCTAAACAACCGCAACCTCACCTGCCACCCTGAAGACATGTTTCTAACATCTTTTGATGTCAACAAACCTGCTCCAACTTTGAGTTTCCAGTTTGCTGAAAACATTGAAATTAGCGGAATCAGCATTTGGAACTACAACGCTACACAAGAGCTGGCCTGTGCTGGAGTCAAGTGTATGCAGATCTATATGAACGGGAAACCGATTGTGAATACGGTGATATTGAGGAAGGCACCGGGTTATGTCTTCTTTGATTATGTACAAGATATCATGTTTGATCGATGTCATTTGTTTCGACCGTTAACTAGTCGACCTAGTACTAACTCTATCAGTGCTTGTGAGTTTTGTGGCTTTATCGAGGGATTGTCTTAACGTATGGAGCAAAAACACTTTTCATAGGGGGTAATTTTTAACTTTTTGGTAGATTATATGGGTAGGGTAAGGCAGGGTAGCGTATGGTATTGTAGGTATGGTAGGTTAGAAGAGGGTAAAAGTACATTTTTATTGCTTTTTAGCTGAAATTTTTAATTTCTTAAGGCTTAATTTGCATAATTTTAGTCATTTTCCAAGTACGATTATTATCAAGCTGGGGAGACGAGTTTTACATTGGACTGAATGGTATTGAACTCTACAACAGACGCAACCAAATTATCAAGTTAAGGCCGCAAAGTAAGTTATTATCTACTATAATATAATACAAGTCAAAGTTTACGGGGTAAAATATCGCAGTAAAAATTAAAAAAATATGTCATCAAGCTTTACCGTGTTAAAATATGACAGTAAAATCATAAAAAACGTTTTCAATCTTTACCGTAATAAAATACTGCAGTAAAAATCAAAAAATGTCTCCAACATTTCTAAGCACGTAGACAATTGAAATTCCCGCGCTAAACAGTGGTTGAACTTACACTCTAGCCTCAAGTGGAGCCATACATGTCATGAGTCGAGTGAATGTATGGTTATTGGAAGGGCTCTCTCGAAAACGCGCGCTATTTCTCTCTGTACGCGGGCAGGTTTTGAACCATCGTCTTTCGTAACGTTACGCGAGAAATTTAACGTTGTGCTATGCAAACACGGGGTCAAGAGGGTTTTGTTTGCAAGTGATATGAACGGAATGAGGCTTTGTGGTATGAAAGGTTTATATAAGGACAAATAATTTTTGAAAATTTAATAGAATTTTAATTTTAAGTAAAAAATGTGTTTAGATTTTATATTAAAAATATTTTTGTTTCAGATTTGGCCGCGTTTCCAGAAAGTGTCAATATTCTGCCAGCGGTCGAAAGAGACCCAAGGACCAGTGAAAAACTTATCGATGGAGTTAATGACACTACTAAGTAAGTTGTACATAAGGTTCACTATCTTCCCCGAAATGTATCACTACTGGGAAATCTAGTATTACCTTATCTTTACTGTAGGCTCAATTAATAATACTCTAGTCATACTATAACCATATACATACCATGTCATATTTCAGACCTCAACACATGTGGTTAACACCAGCATTACCTAACAGTTATGCTCGAGTTTTTGTGATATTCGACACGCCAACCTATGTTTCGCGGATTCGCATCTTCAACTACAGGAAAACGCCGACCAGAGGTGTTAGACATGTTGCGGTAAGTTGTTATGGCTTTAATATTACTAATAAAGTAAAGACTTGATTTGAATAACATCACGTCACAATATTAAGTTGTTCAAGCAATTCTGTGCTTGCAATCCCTTCAGATTAGATTTGTGAGGGAGCACATAATTATTTGAACAATCTAATCAAAACAAAAAAGGCGGTTTGCTTGTGTTTTTGTCTATAGCAAAAGTTACTTTTCTTCATTATGTTACATTACTATGACAGTAAAAATATATATCAATTTCAGATCTCAGCAGACGACCTGATCATTTACAGCGGCGAAGTACCATTAAGTACTAGTGCAGATACTGGTGTACTAGACGTATCTTTGAGAGAACTTGAAGATTATTAAGATTAACGGTGTATAATATTGTTTTATATCTAATTATAATTCTGTAAAGAAGCTTTTGAATGGAACGTTTAATGTAACGTGTAATAAAATTTTTTTATTTTTTTTTTATTTTTAAAGATGAATTATGTTTTTATTTCGAAAACATCGTAAAATACGCTATCTGTCGTATGTTTAGTTTATACCTTTATAGTTATACTACTTTAAATTATACCTTCATACCTATTTCGTTGTTATATAAACTAAGACTCCAAATTGTAACGGAATGTGCTTTTGAACAAATAAGTTTTGACTCAAGGGTTTTTCATGATCATGAGGTAAATAAGCAGCTAAAAAGTCAGCGGGTGCAAAAAAACTAAAAAGTCGAGGCGGCCGATCAATTCATCTGCTCGTGAGCTCAAAAAATGCCTCAATTTTTATGTTTTTTTTTCGTTTTGTTTTTACGACATTTTTTTCTAAAGACAAAACTTATAACATGATAAGATGGGGTGGAGGTCTTAGTAATGTGTGTCAATGTGTGAATGTAACGTAATTTGAAGAGGGAATAATATTATGGGTAGATGAAGATATACGAACTTTTAAGATTTGCCTTGCCTTGCCTTGTCATGCCAATCTCTGTCAAGCCTTTTCAAGTTCTGACCTCACTTTGTTTTACCTTGCCCTCAATGCTTCTAGCCCTTACTTCATTGCTCTATCCTGACCGGCCCTGCTCTTCTCTGTATTGCACCACCCTGTCTCATATTCATAACACTCACTCCAGCTTTCTTACTTAAAAGTTACCTTAACATAAACTTGTCTTTTCCCTATAAAGCGTTTGTCAAATAGTAGTGTATTATATTTTGGTAGAGCAGGGGAATACTATTTTATATTCTTGCTTATTCTTCTTAAAACTTAAAACTTTTTAAATTTTTCGCTAAATTTAAAAAAAAATTTTGGATTGACCAGAGCTATCTCAATAAATGCCAGTTTGAATTCGATTTTCAAGGAAGAGAAGATGATTCAATGTTTTGCTTGTTTTGCGCCAAAACAAGTATTTTATAATGCGAATAAATAAACAAAAAACTGGACTTTGGCAGGCAGATCATCACCTACTCTCAATCTTATTTATCTTTCTAACGCAATCATCTAGAGGTTTATTTACTTTTGTTACTATATTAATCTGAAAAATATTATTATACTAAGCTTATTTTTACATAAAAAATATATTTTTACTTACTATAAAAATAAGAAAAAGAGATGTTTACGGTACGTTGATTTTTCACAATAAAAAGATTTAAAAATCGAAAATTTTTAAAGTTCAAGTTTTTTAGTTATTTATATAAAATTCGAAGTAAGCAAATATCCGTAACAATTAGGTATCTAATTATCTAGTCTTTAAAGCTCGCCGTATTAAGTCTATTCATCTTTCGCTTCGCAAAATCCGCTTTCTGTAACAAAAGCTTACCATCAAGGTGGTGGTTGGTTTCCAAGTTACCATCTTTTCAGCTATTTTGGTTTTAAGGCACTACTTTGGCTTCAAATTAAAAATAATTTTTTTTGAAAAGGTGGTATAAATATTAATTATTCTTAAATTGAAAAAAAATTTTAAATAGGCTATGTTCCTTGTTAATTTTGTAAAATACGGTGAGCCTTTTATGTATATATATTTACTTGCTCGTAGATTTTAAACTTGCTCGTTATGAAAGAGTTTTGTTATAAAGGTTTTTCATGTCTAGTGCCAGAAGGTAATTTGAATGTTTTTCGTTATATAGTGTTTTGGTTGTAGAAGGGCGCTAGGACAAATGCGGTTTTTGGACATTTGCGGATTTGCGGTTTTTGGACACTTGCGGATTTTTTAAAGGGGGTTTTTTTTATTTTTTATTTAATTTAGTTGTAGTATGGTACTAAATGGTACTAAAGTTTAAATTGGTACCTTTTTAATATGTTTTAGTGCTAAATAGTACTAAATTTTAAATTGGTACTGTTTTATATTTTTTGGTCTGAATGGTACTAAAAGCCCAAAAAGGTACTGTTATGTTAAAACCGCACCAATTTAAACTTTAGTACAATTTAGTACCATACTACAACTAAACTAACCAAAAAATAAAAAAAAACCCTTTAAAAAATCCGCAAATGTCCAAAAACCGCATTTGTCCTAGCGCCTGTAGAAGAGTTTGTTACACAGAGGTCTAACTGTATGAAATTTGTTTTTGCTTTTCTTTAAACTTACAAAGAAGGTGCCCGACCTGCTTGATTTGATTGACTTCGAACTTTTTATATAGAAAGGTAATGTAAATATAATTTCTGCAGCAAAATACTAAATTGCGCTTTCCAGTCAATCTCAAAAATCGAGATCTAAAAATTACGTTTTGTGTTTCAAGTTTATAACTTTGTCATTTCTTTGACTATGAAGCATTTTTCTTTGATATACTAGTAGAAAAGTTTTAATAAACTTACATTATTGAATTTGTAAGCATAGTTTGTCTGGAAGGTAAAGACAACACTTAAAACACAATGCCAAATTTGAAAAGTTGATGGGAAGCTTAATTATTTAAATTTTAAAATTCAAAAAGCGCGAGTTAATTTTTTTGTGGGTACTATTAATGATACAAAGAATCTATAAAATAAAATGGAGCTGGTTCTTTCTGAGTGGAGCACGTTAAACACTTTCCTTGTTAGGCTTCAATTACCCTGTCAGCACTAGTTGAAGAGATATACCTCATACAGTGATCTTGTATTTTTATAAGTTTTATTATTTACACTATGTTTTGCTCCAAATCCTCCGAATCTAAAGTTTTCGTACTCTGTTTGCACGCAGCATTCTATTATGCATCCGTGCACGTGCTGTGAAGAACAAAACGGAAATCAAAAAAGGAAAATATTTTACGGCGCAATCTTCAGAGGGCACAATGTTTGGGAAAACATGTTAGAACACCACTCTCGAGACTCTCCACATTTATTTACATTCTTGGTGGGAATCCCTACGAATTAGCGGATGGGCGGCTTTTTACCCTTTGGCGGGGTTTTTTGAATAAACTAAATAACGGGTTTAATAAAAAAATGTGTTCGAATTAGTATCAGCTTATGTTATAGTATGTGTTTGGTTTGGTATTAGTATGGTTTATCATATATACATGGTTGGGCACTAGGGATTACTTGATTTAGGTAATAAGCTGTCATTTTAAAGGGGTAAGGTAGGGTAGAGTAGGGTAGGGTAGGGTAGGGTAAAGTAGGGTAGGGTAGGGTAGGGTAGGGTAGGGTAGGGTAGGGTAGGGTAGGGTAGAGTAGAGTAGAGTAGAGTAGGGTAGGGTAGGGTAGGGTAGGGTAGGGTAGGATAGGGTAGGGTAGGGTAGGGTAGGGTAGGGTAGGGTAGGGTAGGGTAGGGTAGGGTAGGGTAGGGTAGGGTAGGGTAGGGTAGGGTAGGGTAGGGTAGGGTAGGGTAGGGTAGGGTAGGGTAGTGTAGGGTAAGGAGGGTAGGGTAGGGTAGGGTAGGGTAGGGTAGGGTAGGGTAGGGTAGGGTAGGGTAGGGTAGGGTAGGGTAGGGTAGTGTAGGGTAAGGAGGGTAGGGTAGGGTAGGGTAGGGTAGGGTAGGGTAGGGTAGGGTAGGGTAGGGTAGGGTAGGGTAGGGTAGGGTAGGGTAGGGTAGGGTAGGGTAGGGTAGTGTAGGGTAAGGAGGGTAGGGTAGTATCTGTCTCTTCCAAAATTATTTTTCAAAATGCAAATTTAAATTTAAAAAATTGAATAAAATTAAAATTTTAAGATTTTTCAGATGTACGTCCAAACCACTCAAATTGGAGCCGTTTGCGTAGTGTTTGCTGTACTATTCGCTTTGTTGTTCATTAGTATGATAATATGGCTTCGATTAAAACAACACAAGGCACAGCGAATTCAAACGACTACTCTTCGACCGCCGAAGAGAGCATTCAGATGGAGAGACGACAGCGATGCTCATCCAGTCATGGACATGATCTAAAAGTGGTTTGTGAAGCAACCTGGTCCAGCTAATTTTCTTGGTTTATAACCGGCCTATGAGGCAAATTAACTATCTTTATATATGATAATTTTAGAAAGAACCATATTGTACATAATATTAGCGTTTGCCCAAACTGTCTATTAGTTTTACGTTAGCAAATCTTTAATTTTAAATCTAGTTTGTATATAGATTATACATTTAAGTAGATGTTTTGATATTTCATCAATAATGGATGTTTGCGTTTTTAAACCACACGTTTTGGTAATGTATATCTTGTCTTATAAGATACAGAAAAAGCAAAACTGTTTTACAGATCTAACAGGTATTAGCATTATAACGGGTAATGTGCATTTCAAATAAACTGTAAATACTCTTTTCATATCTTATTGGTTATACTAAAATTTTTAAAAATATACATAAATTCGGCCAAAAATTTGCGTTTGGCTCGCTTGCTTTACAGGTTTACAAAGTTATACAGTTAAAAATCTTTACTGTAGTTCACTGTTTAAAAGTCTTTCACACTTTATTCTGGTAAACCGTGCAACCTGCCCTTTAAACAAATCAACCATCGTCCACAATTACAGAGTACACAACAATTCCAACTTCCTACCTGCAAAAACAAACCCCAAAAACAATCGACCGAGTACTTGAGAGTTCGTGACGTAAAGGAATTATCCGTTCAAGAAGTAGGTTCACGTCACATTGTTGATTAATGGAAGTAAACGCCGTTCTTTACAGTGTTCGCTGAATCATCACAGAGTAAATTAACCTTTCACCGAGTCACCACCCCCGCCGGCGTATTTATAAGTCCCAAAACGTTCCGAATCACTGTTAGTGTTGGGTTAAAATTGTGACCGTAGTTTGGAGAAATTAATTTGAGACCAACTCGAGGTGAGGGTGTTAAGACCGGAAAGGTAGCGAAGTTCTATATAAGGCTTTTTGTAAATGCTTTAGGGCTTTACGTAAAGGTTGACTTATGTTCCTTCTTATGGCTTTTTGAAACCAGTTTTTTGTTATATGTTTTACACAATAACCTTTACTTCTAATGGCATAATAACTACACAAACTTTAATAAAGCAAAAGCTGGGTTTAGTACAACAAGCTTTATAACAATATAGGCATTTATCAGCGTATTTTACCGTTTAGTGAGTTATCAAGTCAAGTCGGGCTTTAACTGTAGTTTAGTCGCAAATTGAAACTTTTGATCTGCCAAGTCATAATATGTGTAGTTCAGCTTTATTATTAATTACTCCGCCTTACCCTATCCTACTTTTCACTATTCTTCCCTATTTAATTCTAATCTACCTTACTTTACTATAAACTACTCTGTTATATCACAACGTTTTTTTTTGCACGTCCTTTTTTTCTTTACCTACTCTAATGTACTATTGTCACTCACCTTAATCTACTCTAAATAGCAATTTTTAATGTTAAGATCTGCAAAGAGGTTAAGCAGGCTCTACATGCATTTTTCTTCACCCAGTCCCAGTCCCAGTCAAATCATTCGTTCCTAGACTTGAACTGGGCTTATAGAGAACCTCAGTTTGGGCTCCGGCCTTTGTGTCAAAAATTCAATATTAATATTTAAAATAATATTAACCTCGACTTTTCTTAAATTGATCTGAAAGTAGTATGGACCCTTTCAAGCCTACATACCACTATAGGTTACTCTAAACTACCAAACAGCAAGTTTTGTTGTTAAAGCCTTCTTTTTACCTCTTGTTTACTATAAGAAGTTGCTCGCTTATTTAACTAACCACCAACTTCAAAATCCAATGCATTTCAAAAACTACCACTCTTTTGTAACATACCTACAATTGTAAACGCACTTACTGAAATCTTATTATGAAACCTTGCAAGCTAGATATTGTTGACGTCGACTGAAAGTAAGAAAAAACAAAAACTGGTAACAATTTTCAGACTCCAAAACAGAAAAAAACCGTTCAGCGAGCGACAAACTAAATATTTTGATGGATTATCGAGTTTTGGCGATGACTTTTAGCAATAACTTTTTTCGCTTTGAACCACTTTCACCCATTTTCTTGTTTTCGTTGCGGTTAAGGGTCGTTTTTTCTGTTATCAGTGCATTAGAGGAGAAACAGTTTTTGTAAAAGTTGAAAATTCTTTAGAAGTAAAGTCTAAAGTTTGAAGGTTTTTACAGTTTTTCCGAAATACTGTAGACAGGGTTTGTAGTTCCACAAAAAGCATGGGTAGTGAAGATCTAGAAGCCAGGGAGTTTTAAAGCAATAGGTGGTTAAACAATACTCTTGCTGCAGCATATAAGGGTATGAACTTTGAATCAGTCTGGTCTTACGAACAGGCCTGGCTAATCTTAAGCTAAAGTTGAAACAGGCCGGGATTAAAAGTAAGGCCCTCTCTGCGGTCCAAACTTGAAAATTAGACTCAACGAGCTGGGCCAGGAAAAGCCTACAATTTTTTGACTGAACCGAGCCGGTTTGAAAAAGATAAGACCGGGCCGGGTCTTAACGTTGGGCCTCGTGTCTGAGCCAAACCTCAAAATTGGACCCGGTCCGATTCTTACCCTGTATTAGTAAAAGCTGTAGCGTGGCTTATAACTATAATCTATAGTACAGTAGAACTAAAACTTTTGTATAGCAAAGATCTGAGCGATTTGTTATACGCAAATCCTAATCTATTGCATTTTTTGTTACCGTAAAGCTCTTTTAACACTATAGCTATTAACACTCAAGAGTTCTGAACAAACGTGTCATTATAACAAGGATGTTATAACAAGGATGTCACACTATTCAAATTTTTTTTGATAGAAGTCCTATTACAAAAGGCGGTGAAAAAGCTGACATTTTTAAGAGAGCTCGTACTATCGAGAGTCATAATAAAGGGGTTTTAGTGTAAAAGTTACAGTATTTTTTATTTTAAAGTTTTTTAGCGTTATAACATCACATCTTAATTAAAAGTACAGTAACTCACATTATTTTGTATTTTTCCTCGAATATCAAAGTTAATTAAAGTCACATAATCATTTTTGTTTTTTAACCACCTATTAATTTTGAAAAAGTCTTGTTTACTTTACTATGGCGTGACTGCACTGTAATGTTCTAATAGTACTTGCTAAGAAAATTGCTCTCAAATACAGTAAACAAAACTTTATATTTGTGAAATTATTGGTCATGTTCTTTTCATATAATTGATATAAGTAATACATTATGTATTGTACACTAGTGATATATATTTAGAGGCATTAACATTAAGTTGTCAAAGTAATTCTGTGCTCCCACTATAAGCAAGTTTTTGGGGTTAAAGGAAACAGAATTATTTGAACGACATAAAAAATATTATAAAGTGTGTTAACGTTGTCTCTATTATAGTAATGTACATCTTTAGTCATTACATTTTACTGTACTTTGTAGTTAGGTCAAACAAGAGATTCGTCTCTGCTTGTAACATTGGAATTCTAGTTTAAATTTCACGATCAAAAAGCATTTTTTACATGAAAAACATACCAACCTACGCGATTCCAATCACACCACCCAATCTGTCTTACTTTCGAAATTAAAGTTGCAAATTACAATGTTTTACCATTGCAGTTACGTTGATGTTTTTATCATACCAATTCGTTAATGACAGACTTTACAGTGTTTTATTCAGTTTTGAGTTTCAACGCTTACGATTCGAAGTTTAATTTTTGTTTAAAATTTTGATTCTTTGAGATTTACCTTTCTATAAAGCAAACTCGTAGACTCTTGTTGGTAGTAACTAGGCTTATAAAGATTAGCTTAAGATCAAGTTTGTTTTACATTATTCTCAAATCCAATCTTTCGTTGCGGGACCTAAGCTGGGCCTATAGAGTCTTGGTTGGGGCCATGGCCAGGGTTGGCAACAGGACAGGGCATTGGCGATTTTCCATGCCCTGCCTTGTGGCCTGCTATGCCCTGCCCGGTACAGCGCATTTTAGTTTTGTGACCTGCCTGCCCTTAATATTTTGTTGCTAACTCTGGCAATGGCTTTCGACTCACATGCTATTGCCCGGTCTTTTCAATTTTATTGGAGGACTAAACCTGGGCCCTAGGGCCTTGATTTTGACGCGAGCCTTTTTTAAATTTCAAATCCTTATAAAAAGTTAAAACTTCCATTTTTTAATATTTTTCTTAAATTTAGTGTGATGTCATGTCACTCTCACAATAAAATTAAGAATCGATCAAAAATAGCTACAGTAATTACTGTTTTTGGGTTTCAACTTTGATCTTTCATTGGTTTCCAAACTGACAATTAGATTGTTTTTAAGCAGAACAATAACTGGTAAACAGTAAAGTCGAGCTGTTAACTTGTTGTCAATAAAGGTTTAAGTGAGTTAACTTTATTTGGCAGGAACTTATTTTGCTTATTCTACAAATAATTTGAAGTTTGTGTTTATTAACTTGGCATTTTTTATTGTAATATGTAGTATGTAATACATAGCTTTGATAGTCAGTAACCGATTAGGAGTTTGTTAATAATGGGTTGATCAAATAATTCTGTGCCTCTTTCAAGCCAAATTTCCGAGACTAAAGGGCTCAGAATTATTTGAACAACCTAATACATAGCATTGATGGTTAGTATTATATTATAGATGATTACCAGATGATTAGTAGTACGTGTAGTTTTCTGTGTATTAGTGTTGTACATGTTCGAGTATCGCTAGTCCTTTTAAATCGGTTGTATATTTCAAACCTCTAAAACAATATAATCTCTCCCATTTTCAGCATGTCCCTCACCTCCACCTCCTACACCTCCCTCGAAGACCTTACCACGGCCAAGATCGCGCGATCAAGGCCAAAAACCTCGCATGGTCGAAGCTACATAGCCGGTGGCTACTACTTCTACGACGACTACAGAAACCTTACCTACTTTATCAGAGAAGGCGTAGTACCATACAGTGAACGGAACGAATCAGAAGGTCGTGTGCCGAGGACCATGAATCCCATTAGCTACGACGGTCCTTCAGTCTTCTACGCTTACTTTGATCAGAAAATGAACTCGATCTTCGCCATTAACTACGTTGATCAGATCAAAAGTGAGATATATGTTGGGTATAGGCCAGATGCGTTTGAGTTTAAACAAAGAATCAAGCCTTATCAACCGGTAAATTTGGAAGATTTGAGGAAGAAGGAAAATGAAAAACGGAAATGTATGTCTATGCCACAGTTATGTGGGGATATGAAGGAGAATTGTAAGTTTACTTTGTAGAAGTTGTCAAAAATGAGGGTGATGATTTAAAATAGCATTTTTATCAAAAAAAATGGCATTCTTTACCGAAAAATGCGATGTTCTACCACAACAAGGCCGGAAAAAACACTTTTTTTAAATGATATCTAGTTCATTTTTACGTCATATAGCTTTTACTGTACCTTAAAACATAGTAAAACACCCTCAAACTTCAAAAACACTTTTTACCCCGCCCCAACTTTCAGTTATGCCCCGCCAAAAGAAGTACTCAGTAGTCGAAAACGTTAAAATCCAAACCAACCCAGCTAATTTTGTAATTCGACGAAAGATATCAACCCCCTCTTCAACATCTACAGTACTCACCACACCTTCAAACACGTCTACAGCCCGTAGTACGGTGTCAACCACCTCTGTGCAATATAAAACCGATCTTAGTGTTGGTTCATCACACTTGAACCCGCTTTACACTATACAACGCCAGTTCGACGAACATTCCGTGGAAACGAACGAAACCGGCTACGAAAGCGAGGATTCTGAAGGTAAGGGTTGGTAATCTGAGTAGATAATCTTATGACGGTATTCCTGTCTCTTTGGCTTTATATTATATTAGGTTGTTCAACTAATTCTGGGCCCCTGTCAAAGCCGATTTGCTTGGTTAAGGGGCGCAGAACTATTTGAACAACTTAATATTAAACTTCTATTTAGCATCCCTTTCTTTTGTACACCCATATAGTGACTATACTTTACAATACCAGCCTTACCTCAACTCTTTTCAGTAGCCAGATCTCGCCGCACTCCCGACCTCCTAGGCTCAGAATCCCCAAAACGTGCCCCAACGTTCCGCCAAATCTACGTTCCGCAGAAAGTGTCCATGCCCTCGAATCACCCCAAATCAAAGTCCGAGGAGCTGTATTCAACTTTAGAATCGATCAGTGAAGATCCGGCGGACGATGACAAAGGTAGTGCCACTCGCTTAACAGTACCAGTCCGATCGCTTCGGTGGCTCAAGTTTATTTCGAATTAATCTGGTGATTGTTATATGTGATTAAGCTGGTGATTGTTGTATTATTTTATGGTTGTATCTGGGTTGAAGGTTATTATTAGCTGTATTGTTTTAGTTTTTGCTTTGGGGGAAGATTTTTTGGAACTTTTTTAAATTCTAAAAAAAGTTTGAGTGTGAATGGTACTATTGGTCTATGGATAACATCTACGACTTTTTCTTACAAAATCCAGCCAAAAATATGCAGGAATTTAGTTTTGCTATATTATAATACCATTCATGTCAAAAAATAGACATAGCACCTCTGTTTTTAAAATACCAAAGCTAGCCTAGCACAATCTTATGTTAGACCTACATTCAACTCTAATTACTCACTCTTTTTTAATAGTAAAGCTTATTACCTATCGTTTTGAATAGTCATTTCTTGTTTTTCTTTACCATTACATTCCTTAAATCAGTCAGTACTAATACTACCTAACTATAATATAAGGCTAAAAGTTTTATTTCAATAAATACGTATAATAATATAGGCTTATTTTTAACATTTTTAAATTTCAAAGTTCATTTAAATTTATATGCTATTATGTTATAGTAACAAGGAATAAGCCTAAGTAAGCCTAATCGTTTTTTAAAATATTTTAATTTTTTAAAACTTTGTAAATTAAATTTAATCAGAAAAACCATTGACCAAGCAAGAATCGACCGACGGCATTGAACAGACCTTGGATGAACTATCCGAAACATTAAACAAAAAGTCAGTACATCAAAACTTATGGTACAATTGGATCGGCCCTCGATTGTTATTTACTCTACCAGTAATATTAGTATTACTCTTTGAATACTTTGGTAAAAGCTTTCTTATTTATTAGATTTTATGACATTTTACATTTTTATAGTGACTTTATTAGGGTTTTCAAATTATTCTGTGCTTCATAATCTCAAAAATTAGCTTTGAAAGGTTGCACAGAATTATTTGAAAAACCTAATATTTACGTAGTTTTAGATATTTTATATTGTAGTAGATGAATTGCAATAAATTATTATAGCTAAAAATTGATAGATTTTCAAAAATTTTTATAATGTCAATTTTAAAATGGCACAAAGGCTGTTATTTTATCTTATTTTTTTAAATAATCTTGATCTACCACTCAAAAAAAATTGCAAAGTTAAGGGGCTCAGAATTATTCGATTTCTTTGTTTTACCTCGACTATACCTATAAGGCTATAATATAACTAATATATATCATATTTTAGTATAAATATATCAGTAATACCTATTTCAATACTTTTACCACATTACTTTAAAACCATTTTAATTGCAAAAACTTAATTTCCACCATCAAATTCTCCCAAATATAACCAATTACCTCTACTTCCTGGTGACGTTTTGTAATAAAGTGAGAACAGTCTAGCAAACAAAAACAGTCTACAGCAGCTGACTTGCTTGTTATTCAGTGTAGAAGATAACGGCTACTTGCTGATCGGTAATTGTTACCTTTTCGGTCTCGGATTGATCGTTTGCTCCTTGAAGAGAACAAGTTGGATCAGCTGCCATCATTGATTATCATGGAAAACAATACTTTGTAACACAACAGCCATCTGACAAACACACATTACAGTAGTAGAAAGACATGAGACTGCTAGATTTGCAAACTTAACTATTTATTTGGTCGAATTGATACCTAAAAGTTCAACAAATAAGAAAGAACAGTTAGCTAAGATGAAAGGTAATGTTTAAAAGACGAAAAACATGTTTGTTAAGCGCTCAAGGTCTAAAAATATCTAAATATTTAACAAATATAAGTTTAAACTTATTGTGATGCACTAATATCGACTTTTTGATATGATCAACTCCATTTTTCAATCTATCTCAGGCATGTTGTATATCACATTCAAGTATTGCCCATGACTATAAAAAAAGCTTCGCTTTGCAAAACATCCACAAACTTTTAAAACTTACCCTACCCTACCTTAATCTACCCTACCCTAACCTACTCTTTATTAACCTGCTTTACCCTAACCGACTCTACCTTAACCTACCCTATCTTTACTATTAATACCCTTAATGATATGACTATTCCAAAACAACGGATGCGCCCTGGAAGCTGCAGGCTGCAACTTACTGTACCCGGTTTGAAAACCCTACGGTGACAAAAACCGCAATAAATTTCTGTAAAATTAAATTCTATTCTTTATAGACAATTATTTTATTAAAAAATACAATAGCAAGGCAAGGCAAGTGTAACATCTTTCAAACAGATAAAACAGGAATAGCATTGACCATAATACTCAACTTTCCGAAGACGGCCGTTCTGTTTTCGCCCATTATCAAGTCGATGTAGTTGTCGTTGTTGGTATCCAAGACAGTATTCAAAAAGTCTTTTAGGTTCGTTATCTTCTGGTTTTGATGTGTCAACTTCCACGCCATTTCAATTCGGTTACTCTGAAGATTAAAAATAGCAAAATCAGTAAATATTAACATCAAGAACTTACCGTTTCTGTTTCTAATTGATCCTTCATTTTCTTGAATTCGATTTCTCGTTCATCTGACGACATTTTCAGTTCGTCCAACTGAAAATAACACTATTTGTTTAACGCAACATGGGAAAGTGTTCCATTCCGGAGGTGACACAACACGAGATTACCAATTTTTCATTTGTACATATTGCCTTACCTCCTTGTTCAACTTGGCCACTTTGTCCTCACTTTCCTGAGCATCTCGAAGTCTCAACTCTTCACAATCAGCTAGCCTTTCTTCACATTGTCTTAGCTTTCTTTCAGCTTCTTTATTAAAGTTGTTCAATATGACATCAACCCTTTTCTTCTCTTGGTTTATCTTCCTCACATCAGCCTTCATTACCTCCATATCGGCTTCAAACTTGCGTCTTGAGTTTAAAAGAGTGTCACGTTCTTGCTCTACCTTCTTCAGGTCGGACTTGGCTTTTTTGACTAGCTGAAATGGGCTTTATGTTAAATTTTGTGTGGAATATAGTCAAGTAGGGTAGAATAGAAGTCATGTAAAGCAAGATAAATAGCTTAGTAAAGTGGGACGTGAAAAGTTAAGTTAAAAACAGTAAGGTCTGTAGGTAAGGGATAGTCAAGTATGAACTTACATGTTGATTTGCTTCCATATGAGCCATGTTTTGAATTCTCATTTCTCGTTTTACTTTTGTTATTTCTTCTTCAAATTCTTTCTCTAATTCTTTTCGTACTCTAAAGCAATATTTTTGACATAACATTACCTTAAAAACGTTAGATATACATTAAAAAATAAATTTTTAAACAACATATGCCAAGATTAGGCATAGTATTAAACTTTTTTTTTCTGTGCCCCCTAGCCCCAAAAATTTGCTTTGAGGGAACGCAGAATTATTTGAACAAATTATTTTACAATAAAAAGTGTATAAATGTACTAGAATCATCAAAAACATTCATACTTTTCAGTAGTAATGATCACCAACTCCCGCTCCTTCAGCTCTCGCTTCCCAATTTTTTCGTTCTTTTCATCTAATTCTTTCCTCAGGTCTTCTACAGTTTGTCTCATCTCTTTCAGTTCCAAATCCATTTGTTCCAAATTACTCAGCTGTGTCTTCATCAACAAATTTTCCGAATTCAGTCGATCGACTGAAAGTTTTAGTTCTTCCATTTCTTCTTGAGCTTTCAAACGTTCTTTTACCAGTTTTTCTTCAAATAATTTTTCATTACTGAATATTGTTTCGTCTAGGCGTTCAATCTGGAAATGGCATCGGATATATACAGCTTTATGACGGTAAAAATCAAGTTTAAACTTACCTGTTCATCTTGTTTTTCAATTGTTCTTTTACAGTATATCAGGACGTCTTTGAAGGTATGAGTATTTGAAACAAGTTTTTGATCAAGTTGGTTCTTTTCTTTGGCTAGCTCAATCAAATCATTCTAAAAAGTAATTTGAGGATAGTCAACATTATAATCCTTAACAAAAAGATAAAAATTTTAAAAATATGTTAATTTTGTACAAATGTGCAAGTTTTTACAAAGTAACTAAATCTTACCTGCATAGCTTTAGCTGCCTCCGCTTGAACACTATGTCTTTTCTCAAACCTTGTCGATCTACTGGAAGGCACTGGACTTTTAGACTTTCCATTGCTTCGACCGGTCGGTGGGAGACTGATTTTCGGAGTGTTTAACTTACTGTTATTTACACTGGCAGTACTATGGTGAGACTTTAGTGTCTTATGTTTAGTTGATGGACTAGATTTAGAAGCAACGCTAGGCCTACGAGAGTTACTATGAGAAGATGGAGCTAGGCTAGCGTTTTGAAGCGTTTTGAGCATGGTAGATTGTTAGGTTATAGGCTGACTTTAATATTGAAAAATATTGAATAATAATTTCAATTTGAAGACTTAATTTTTTTTTTAAAAATAGTTAAAAGTTAAAATACGTCTATCCAAGTATGAGTTTTCAAATATAAGGTTTTAACATTTCATAAACGGTTTTTGACTTTTAAACTTCCGGCTAGCAGAAATGCATGTTTTACACTTCAACAAACCTAAATTTTAGAACTCTTTTTGCTATCGAAGGTTACTTTTACATACTAAACCTTTATGAAACATTAAGAAATCTTAATGATTATTTTAAAAGTTAATTGGTTATTAATGTAGTTATATCAGAGCCAATGTGCAAGCATTTTATTCACAAAAGCAATAAACAACATTCTCAACGTTACTTCACTTTTACACACTAAAAAACAAAAAAGTATATAACTATTCAGTAGTTTAATAATTTAAAACAAATAAATTGAGAGCTGAAGGCAATGCGACAAACTGTAGAAGACCTGAGGAAAGAACTGGATGAAAAGAATGAAAGAATTGGGAAGCTAGAGCTGAAGGAGTTGGTTCATAATCACAATTGAACAGTATAATTACTTTTGATAATTCTATTATAATACTGTGAGGTTGCGGTACAAAGGAGTTTTAAGTGCACCATTTACAATTACTGTTTGGCCAAATGTTTAAATGCACCATTTACAATTACTGTTTGGCCAAATGTTTAAAATTTGTTCGCTATATGAGGTTTTTATGATAGAGAGTTTGCTATATAAAGTTTTTTATATGACGTTTGTTATACAAGAGTTAGTGCTACAGTAATTATATTTATATATGACTAAAATAACAAAATTTTGTGTTAAAACTTGACTTTTTTTAATTGTAGCACTTTGTGAAGATTTTAAATCTTTTATACACAAAAATATCACTACAGTATCAAGTCTTTCAATATAATTACTACAGTATAAAAACTTTCAACATAATCAATACAGTATCAACCTTTTTTCATTTCTTCAAACAATTGCTTCTTGTTTTACATTTCCCAAAATCTTATTTCAGTGGAGCTGATCGGCCCCAAGGGGACGCTCTTCAAATGATTATCCACTCTTGAAATCTTTTGCATTACACAGTCGGTGCCCGCGGGGGATAATTTTACGCAATTTTTAACATATTCAAAAACAAAATAATCGCTGTTTTGCGTTTCCCCTCGAGGGACCCAATAGAATTAGAATCTGACAAATAAATTGCATTCCGTTTGGCAAGTTTGGCATGTCCTTGATTACGGTAGTTAATGTTGGGGGGATTGGTGGATTGACAGTAGGACAAATGTAGATTTAAAATGTTTATTTTTAGAGTAAAGTACTTTTGAATTTTAAAAGCTTTTCGAAAAAGTACAGTAAAATCTTTTTAGTTACTCTCGATAGTATGATTCTCTCTTGATAATGACATCTATTTGAATTCCCTTTGAAATAGAGAAATTATCAACAATTACCTAGATAGTAAAATACCGTGATTTTCATCGCATTTTGATCTACTCCTTTAAGTGCCATACTAAAGAGTTAAAAGGATGATTATTAAAACCAGTCCGGGCATGGTTTCGCTAAAACAACGTTGAAAGGTCAGGTCGGATCAGCACTTGTAGTTCCAAGAGCAATCGCCTCAACCAGGTTACAGTGTCCAGCTTATAAGAGACCACACCGGGTCGAAGAAAGTTTGAAAAGGTCGGGCTATGCCGACACATGGGGGTCAAGAGACCAAAAGTTTAAACCAAGGCCCAGCCTAAGGGTCAGGTCAAAAAGTTGGACCGGCCCGACTTTTTTAGCCCGGCAAAAACAATTTCAAAGAAGCCGAGGTGGCACGCGTAAGCCTAAAAGTCGCAATCAAATCAAAGCGCAGCTTGTTGACCGGGCCAAAAAATTAAGCATATTCTTTTTACAAGCCTAGGATGTATTGTAACTTAAAAATATACTAACTCCGAGATGTACTGTATGTTATAAAAATTAAATTCGGCTAAATTAAAGCCCTTGAATTGGGATAAATCACTGCCGAAGTCAATTTCCGTTCAAACGTATCTTTGTGTGGCCAAGAAACAAACAGCCGCGCACTTTTTTCGACCGCAATCAATTAATTTCCAGCCAAGAATTAATTGTTATTTTCTCTTTTAAGGTTATATTAATTTAGGTAGTGCGAAAAAAATTCGAATTTCATTTATTTTCTTTTTGTAATTAAATTTCAAAGGCTTTTCAAGGAAAGTTATGGCTGGCATTTTTTATTAATTTTTGGGTTTTTAGATATACTGGAACTACTGTAAAAGGGATTGCTCTATGCTTTGAAATTGTTCGTTATAAAAAGGCTTCAATATACAGGGGTTTTAAATTCTGGTTATTGTGTTAGCCGGTATTTAAAAGTTGTTTGTTATACGTGAGTTCTACTGTATGTCGTTAAAAGAATCAAAAAATCTTGACGTAGAGTTGAGCTTTTTCTTGATTGCCGTCCAACTGTAGGCCAGAAGGTCATGACTGCAAGATAGACTTAAAAGGAGATTTACAAAGCTCAGTTCAACTTTTATCTGGGCCTGGCTAAAGCAAACTTGAAAGGAGTCGGGCCGGTCTGGCACATGTAAACCCGAGGGTCGGAGCTCAAAACCAAGGTCACAGGGACCCAACTTAACGCAACAAATGATTTCACTTAAAAAAAGTGTAACGAGAAAGATTAGGCTCTACCAAATTTCTTTGTAGGTCTGTTGATGGGTGAGGGGAATAAGATAACAAGGTTGTTATTATTTTAAGCTGACGGCTTATGCTTGACATATCAGAAACTTTTTTGTGAAAGAGTCCTATGTTTGTTTTTTGTTACTCAATCTTTTTGTCCAGACTTGATTACATGTGTCAGAGTCTATAATTTTTATAAAAAATTTAATTTGGCATTTAAAAAATGATGTAATTCGAATTGGCGGCTACTGTCAATCGGGTATCTTGCTGCGATTTTATTAAAATTAAATTTATGTCATTTCAAATCTTATACTTTAAAGCTAAAAACTTATAAAACAAAAAAACTCAATTTCAATGTTTTATAAATTAAAAATTAAATTTTCAATTTTAAATTTGAACCCAATCAGTTCAAAGTAAATGTTTAAAGAGCACATGATTATTCTGTCTGACTCGATCATTACAGTTATTTTTTGCCTTATCAGATCATGAACTATTTTCGAATTCGAACTCTTCTCTGAAAAAAACCAACATTTTTCATCTTTCTTTGATTTTTACGGCAAAAAAAAAACAAAAAGCAACATGAATTCAAAGTTCGGCGTTGCGAAAAGGACTGTCAGACGAAAGGGACGAAGGAAAATAATTTTTTTTAAATTTTTTTAAAATAAGTTGGATCAAACTTCTATTTTTTTATACTTAATATAAATAATATATGAAAAACTCCAAAATTACCGCAAGATTTTTGTTATAATTAAATCCGTAAAGGGACCGAATTCACTTTTTTGCCCGGGGATTGGGTTAGACTCAGGATCTTGAGCTCACATGTTCAGGATCAGTTCTGCTTGGACCAGAACGAGCCTAGCGGGTCCGCTTTTAGGTCTAGTTATTACTTATGTCATAAAAAAGTACCATAAACCCTACTTTTGTCTACTACAATATATTTATAAAAACAGGCATTTTTTATTTTTGTTCCGTCTGTTTTGAACCTATAGTTTGACCTTTGGACAGAAAAAACCGGTTGTCAATAAGAGATTGGTATCTCGAAAAGCCCCGGGAACGGGGTAGAGTTATGAAAAGTGAGCGGGGTAGGCTTAGTCCCGTTGCGGTTGAACCTTAATTCAAGGTCAGACGAAGGATGTTAACTGATAACGGCAGGAAACGGTAATAAGCATAATATACTATAATATTAGGCTTTAATATGCTTTAGTATATCTATTCTCAAAAATGTGCTTTAAGATAGGCACAGAATTATTTGAACAACCTAATAGTATAGGCTTAAGACAAACTGACAGTCCTTGATTAAAAACTTTACTATTAAGCCCAAAACCCAAAAATTTGCATATAAACTTGCCAAAAGTGATCAATCAAAGCACGAAAAGTAATGTAGCACTAATGTTGATGCTGATGTCCCAATTGGGGCCGTTATTTACATATTCCGCTAGAATTTAGCGCACTAGCGAGCTGTCAAATCGGCTGACATTCCCGACAAAATTCCATAAATTTTATGCAAATTTCGCGGATATTTCGGGTGTTACTGTAACTTTTGAGTATAAAATTTGACAGGAGTGATAAATAGGGTAACAGAAATATTTTTTTGAAATGAGGGGTATAGTGGGTTTTGAGGATAAGTACGACCAAACGAAGAAGATGATACTCAGGGCCGGGTGTTGGAGAGGATAACCATTTCCCTAACTTTCAAAAAATGAAAAAAAAGTTATTAGTATATGTTTATTTTTACTTTTATAACGGCAAAATTTTTTTTAGCCCTACCAGGCTCGCACGACCCGGCTTTTTTAGATCTTTTCCAATTTGCTTTTTACCGGCCGGGCCTTGGCCTTAGTAGATCTGCTGGATACGTGTAATGGCTTTTTCACAACTTAAAATTGAAAAAAAACTATTTCAGATCTTTATTTATACTTCAATATGTACTATATTCCAGATTTATTTCAATATTTATTAAAAGTATTGGTTACCCGTTTATAAAAATATAAGTGAAATACATATAAGAGCGTATCAAAGGGATCCAAAGTAATTACCATGCAATAAAAGGTATGAGATCATGATTACAACAAATACTGGCTAAAACACGAAATACCGTTGAAAACAGAGAGAGTACCGAGTTGACAGACATTGAAAAACAATTTAAAAGTTTGTAGTGTAGTACTACCTTTAGTACTCAAAAAGACTCAAATGACAGTAAAAACAACCTAAAACTCTTATTGAGTACCATTGTCGAATTTGAGCGTAGCACCAGTCGGCTGGCTCATCTGGAACAGTGGCAAAAGAAACGGCGACACACTCTTGCACGCCTGTACTCGCGGGTATTTGGCGTTGGGCCGTCGGCCTCGCGGCACTTTCGAAGCAGCCAATAGGGTTTCGACCGAGAACGAGGGCTTCGTGCTGGAGACAGCCGGCTCTTGGATCGAGTCGGGCTTCGTGTCCAACGTGCATTCGGTGGAGTCGGCGCGTGGACAACGATCACGTTTACGCCATTTGGCACGTCGGTTTTGGAACCAAACCTGGAATTGTAAAAATTTAAATTTGCATAAAAGGCTCTATGTTTTCATTATTATCTTTAAAGTTTAAGGTCTGCAGAATTTGTGCTAAATTAAAAAAAAAACAAAAGCAAAAGTAAGGAAAAATTAAAGAAAGAGTAGAGCAAAAATAGAACAACATTAGGACAAGAATGGAGCAAAAATAGAGCTTAGATAGAGCAAAAGTAGTGCAATATAAGACAAATATAAGGTAAAGATACAGCAAAAGAGGTAAAAAAGAGTCAACTATAGGAATAGGATAGGGAATGTATAAGGGAAGGGTAATAAAAGTACAAAGCAGGAGTAGAGCAGGTTTAAGGCAAGGGTTAGGCAAGTATAAAGCAAGAGTTGAGCAAGGGTTGGGCAAAGGTGTAACATGGGTAAAACAAGCAAGGGTAGTGCAAGTATAAGGCAATGATATGACAAAGAATGACAAAAGTAGGGCATTTACATAACAAGGGTAACGCAAGTATAAAGCAATAGTAGAGCAAGTATAAGGCAAAGATAAGACATGAGTAAGGCACGGGTAAAGCAAGCATAAAGCAAAGTCAAGGAAAGGGTAAGGAAAGTATAAGACAAGGATAAAACAAAGATAAGGCTACATAGAGCAAACGACAGATAAAACTTAAATTTTTAAAATATTTTAAAACAAAAACTTTGTTTACAAAACCCCTTTAAAAATTAAAAATTCGGTTGGTCAGACGTTTTTTACCCATCTTTTTATGCAAATTAGGCACAAAGTTTTGAGCGCCAAACGAATTCCTTTTTCATGCGATTGAATTTCGAACTTGGAACAAAACTATTCGAATTTCATTGTTGCGAATTAAAAAAAGTTATTTGCATATATTACTGGGACAAAGAATTAGTTTCCAGCTACCGGATTTTTGGATAAAAACTTAAAGAGGTTACTGTAATTTTTTAAGCAAGTTTTTTTGTCTCCTTTAAATTTTTTTAAAATTTTTATTAAGTTGTTAAAATAATTCTGAGCCCCCCCCCCCCCCTTTCAAAGCAAGTTTTTAAAGTTAAGGGGCCCATAATTATTTGAACAACCAAATAATATTTTTACTTTTTTCAAAAATTTGAACGGAAAGTCAAAATTTCAAAAACTTACCTGAACTCTACTTTCCAACAAATCCAGTCTAACGGCCAAAGCTTCCCTCATGAACACATCTGGGTAATGACTGGCTTCAAAAGCATTCTCAAGCTCTTCCAACTGCCAGGCTGTGAAGTTAGTTCTTGTCCGACGACGCTTACTTGCCAGGCTTTCGCAGTCTTGAACTGAAATTATAAAAATGTTTTAAATTTTAAAATGTTAGGTTGTTCACTTAATTCTGCGCCTCTTCTCGAAGCAAATTTGTGAGGAATAGGGGCGCAGAATTATGTGAACAACCTAATATTAAAAATATTATTTTATTCTACTGGTTTTACTTATTAAAGCTTTTTACATAAAACTAAACTTTAATGATTAATTAAAAAAAATTGTTTTTTGAATGTGTAAGTTATATAAATTATAGTAAAGCCCCTGTATAACAAATTGAGAATCTTCAAATTTGTTTGTTATATGAGGTTATCGTTATAGAAGAGTTAGGTTATGCAACTGTTTCAAAAGCACTATGTAGTGTTTGGTCGAAGATTTAAAATTTGTTCGTTATGAGGTTTTTGTTATAAAAGAATTTGTTATACAGGAGTTTTACTGCGCAGTGACAATAAATTTTTTTTGGCTATAAAGATTTTACGTTAATTTTTAAATTTAAAGTAGACCACCGTGTAAAATTTAAAATTTTTAGTAAATTGTTCAACAAATTCTGTGCCAAAACAAATTTTTGAGTTTAAGAGGCACAGAATTATTTAAAAAATCTAATATAAATCAGTTTTAAAAGTAAAAAAAAAACCTTTTTTTATCTTATTATCCTCACCTTCAAACCTTCTAGCCTCAAAATTCCAAAAAAAAATTATTTTTATGACTTTTAAAAACTTTTTATAAAAACCAAACCTACTTGAACTAGCCGGACTCTTAGGAGGTCCATTACAATCGATGGCTTCAATCTCTGACGAATTTGATGAAGTTGACCATATCGAGTTGTCTGAAGCAAAACCCGAATTCGAAACGTTTAAAGTCGAGTTTTGTGGAGGAAAAAAGGCTTGGTTTGAGAGGTTTACTGTGTTATCCAATGCCGATTTGGCCAGGGCTTGCCAAAATGCCTCCATTCTAAAAATAGGATTTTTTAATTTTAAATTTTTTAAATTTTTAAAGTTTCAAGTTTTAGTTAAAAATAAAAACGTAAGTTAATTAAAAACGTGATTAAGAGGTCTAATCAAGACGGAAAACAAAATAAATACAGTAGAAATCCTTTATATCAAATTGATCGAAAATTGTAAATTTATTTGTTATAAAGGAGCTTGGGTATAGACTGCATACAACAAAAATTTTGAAGATAGATTTTTTAATTATAGGTATAATATTACATGGACAAGTCAAAAACACAATATTTCTATATGAAAAATGGTTAATAAGAACCAGTTATAACTTATATGTTTCTCATTACACAATTTTATCACAATTAATACGAACTCTAATCTTTTAATGTTCTACTATGCTCTATAGTAATCACTGTAATCCCTGCCTCCAGGGCCGGGCGCGAGGGGGGGGGGAACGGAGGGGGGGGGCTACCCCCCCCAGAAAAAAAATTTTCGAAAAAATTTGAACGTGGTCCCCCCTGTGGACTTTTAAAAAAAAATTTTCGCAAAAAATCGGCACAGGTAGCCCGATTTTTTGGACCCCTGCCCCCAGACCAAAAGTCCCCGCCCGGCCCTGCCTGCCTCACCTCCCGAAACCGCAAATTCTAAAAACTTTTATGAAGACAAAAATTGTATACAGTACTATAATATATAGGAATCTACTGCCAAAACCACGCAGCTACCGTATTATAATTGCCAATATTAACCATGTAGTCGAAAAAACAAATAAAATTGGAAAATGTGCGAAAAACAGGAAAAGTGGGCGGGGCTTCCGGCCAAGATTATTCAAATAAGAGGTGGGGCATACTGTCGAAATTGTTTTTTCGAAAGAATTATAGATTACTAAGAAAGGGAGAGTGGTTTACGGAGATCTGTGTTATCATACCGTGAAGTTACAGGGTAGAAAAAATATTTTTAGAGTTTAATATTAAACCGATATAGAGGGTAGTACAATATGATAGTGGATAACATTAAAAAAGCTGTATAATAATTTATTAATTTCTGCATAGCCGTGCTTATGTGTTTTACAGTAACAACCGTTCCTAGCACAGTAACTACTCTTCAAACCACAGTAACTACACTTCAAGACACAGTAAACACCCTTTAAAGCACAGTAACAACCTTTAAAAGCAAAGTAACTGATCTTCAAAACACAGCAACCATCTTTAAAGCACAGTAACCACTCTTCAAATCGCAGTAACTAACATAAATACCTTTATAAGTACAGTAACCAGGGCCAGGCGCGAGGGGGGGGGACGGGAAGGTACCCCCCCCAGAAAAAAATTTTTGAAAAAGTTGAACGTGGTCCCCCCTGTAGATTTTTGGAAAAAAAATTTTTGCAAAAAATCGGCACAGGTAGCTGCTACCTGTGCCTATTTTTTGGACCCCTGCCCCCAGACCAAAAGTCCTCGCTCGGCCCTGACAGTAACCACTGCTCACGACACAGTAACTACGTTAAAAGTGAAGTAAGTACTCTTCAAAGCACAGTAACTACCTTACACAGCTTAGTAATCGCTTTGAAACAACAGTAAAAACCTTAATTTTTAAATAATGAAGAAACTTTCGTTCCACTCAATACAAAATTTAAAAATAAAGACTTCAAGAAACACAGATGAAAAGTGTTGATGGCGGCAAAATACCGTCGTCCTCATGGTCAAAAAGGCACTGTGCGGTTTTTTATGAATACTTTTTGATTCGAACCAGTCTAGCCAACCAGTTATTCGAAAAGTGCAGGAATCAGTTAAGAAAAGGAAAACTTTGCACTAATTTAGTTTAACAAAGTTTTTGAATTACTGGTCAAAAAGTTTGTAGAAACTAATTTTTATCTTACCAAAAATTTAATTTCGTATTTTACCTTTTAACTTCTTTTTTATAAATTTTTAAGTTTAAAATTTTAGGCACTGTGCCTACAACAACAAAGATAGACCACAACTAAAACAACATGGTTGATGACACGCGCAATTCCAACGTCAACCAATACCTTAGGTTACTTGAAAACAAATAATTACAATATTGTTGATTTATATGTTTGTTTAGGTCTGATTCGAAATCGTAGCAATTCATTAGAAATAACATTATAAGTTTAATTGTTATTAATTACCGCGCTTAATTAAAAAAGTATTTACACTTTAATTTGTAACAGTTTAAAGTGGTTTGGCAGTAGGAAAAACACTGTTGTCTACTGTACTTTGCCTTATGATTTGTACTGATAGAAACCCTTGCTGATAAGAAATAGATGTACCCTACCCTAGCTTACCCTACCCTACCCTACCCTACCCTAACCCACCCTACCCTACCCTACCCTTCATACCTTACCGTACCCTGTCCGACTCTACCCTTTCCATTGCCTTAACCTACACTACTTTACCTTACTTCACTCTACCTTACACTAACTTAAATCTAACATGTCCACACCAGCTTATTTAGTTTTGTTCTCCCCTACCCTACTCTGTTCTACCTTATTCTAAAATAGTTTCACCTGCTTACTGTAGTTCTGAACATCAGTTTTTATATTGTTATAACAAAAAATATTAAAATTTTTTTAAATTCAAAATTTATAGAAATTCATTTGAAAAATTACCACCGTAACCAGTGTTCAAACCCATAAAAAGCAATGAAAGTGCAGACAAACAAAAAATTCAAAATCTAGCTAGCCCATGATGAAAAAGTTAGCGTCCCAAAAAAGTAGTTTATCATGCCTGTCAATGTATCAATTTTTTCATCCTCTTTTACTGTTTTGTTTTCCCTCCGATCGTTATCGTTGCCAAAACTTTTTTCGGCGAAATTACCACGAAACGAGCAAATTAATGGTTCTGGAAGAGGGGAAGAGGCTTCCCAACATGGTGTAAACTCCAGGTTTGAGTTGGCTATGGAGACGGGTAGGGTGAAATGTTGCTAACCTAAGTTTTTATAGTAGACTTGAAATGAAAAGGGCCCACTAAGTCTGGGCCGGAATAGGTAGGTCCAAAAACCAAGGCCAAAAACAACACTAGAGAGATTTGACTATATTTTACAAAAAAAAATAGATTTAGGGTGTAGTAGACTTGAAAGTGGGTTCACTAAGCACAGCCTGTACTCCGTTAAGCCAAGGCAGATTAGAAAATGGCTAGGGCGGGCACCAGTAGGCCCACGCGCTGCGGCTCACACTAAAGTCCCAAGACACATCTTAGGTCCCGCAACGAAAGTTTTGAGATGCAAAATGTGTAACAATGGATCAGGTGTTAAAGCTATTTACTTAAGGATAATTTTTCAAGTAAAAATCAAAAACTATAGTTGAAATATTTTTTTTATATGTTAGTCAAAACTCCTTTTAAAAAGTCATAACTTAAAGTACAAACCAGTATAAACTAGAAAACATTTAATAAAAGTTGCCAGAGGATTGAAAAACAAACAAAAACATAAAAGGTTACAAATGTTGCGAACACCAAGGCATCCCTTGCAGCTGGTCTTTACAGTGTAAGAAATAAATATGAATTGAGAAAGTGGTCGTTTGAAAGTGTAAAGAAGGTATTAAACATGGTCAATCTTACGATTTTAATTTGAAATGTGACTCATGTTATCTATTAGGTCCTATAAGATAGAATAGGTAACGTATATGTTATATTAAGTGACCAAAAGTCCCCGCCCGGCCCTGAATACGATGTTCAAATAATTATGAGCCCTTTCGTCTAAGCATCTGCTTTGAAAGGGACACTGAATTATTTTAACAACAAAATTTGGTTTAGGTGCTCAGTACTTTTTGAACAACTTAATATTAGACGATAACATATATTTACTGTTAGCATAGTTTAATGGTCTAAAAGTCCAGAGAATCTTGCCAAGAAGCTTTTTTATCAGCATCGCTCAATTCTACAAAACTTTTAGTCATATTAACCTTGTCTTTGGTCAATATGTTTCTAGAAAACTGATTTAAAACCGCGTTGGTCAAACCTTTCTTTTCGAACCAATATTTTTAGTCTGAAAACTTTTGAAATCCGTTTTAAAATTTAAAAAACGCTTTAACGGCCTAACCCTAATGCTTTATTTACTTATTATAGTCTAATTTGGTTATGAGTTAATTCAATTACTGGCCTATTAATTTATGTTATTGTTGTCAATTTAAATTTGAATCATCCCTTGAAGATAATTATTTATTTTTTAATTCGTGAACATTCAATTATGCTAATTCCCTTAGTCAGCTCTTGAGGAGCCTGTGGAAACATAAAAAAATAAAAATTTTGGTCTAAAAGTGTGTAGAAATGGGTTTATTAAGTCGAGTTTAAACTTTGTGACCTAAAATGAAATTAAAAACCGTAAAAATAAAAAAAAGCTTAAAAGACTAACATAATATAAACAAAACACTAAAAATACTGTCAACTTTTATTGTTCAATTGTCAGATTTTACTGTAACCGTGCCATTTTTAATGTTATAGTAGACTAACCTTGTTCCGAAGGTATTTCAAATATTTTGCGCCAAAATTTGTCCTTAACGGAGTCTGTCTCGAAAATGACGAGAAATTTTGATGTGCCATTGAAGCCGGTTTTTTTTTGTCTCGAGAACGCTGGTTTTTTGAAATTACAAATATTTTTGAAATACGATACTGTAACAACCGGTTTTGAAAAAAAATTGCAAGTTAGAGAAATAACATTCTAATAGATATTCACATAATGTACTTTTAACCTCACAAAATTCAATTTTTTTAATTTGTTATAATACAGTAAACAGAACTGGTTTCTTGAAGGATAATGTATACATAACTTGTAAGTAATATCTCTTTTATCCATTTAAAAATTAAATTACTTTTAAAATTAAAGCAAATTTACTGAAGAAACTTTACCTTTTTATAAAATATCAAGCTTCTTTTCCTAATTACTGTAAAGTAACGACAAACATTTCTTCGTATAACATGTCAACTGCAGTCCGCACGCTTTTCTTTCCTAACTGCGGAATAAAAAAATAAAATATTTATTCTTTGCTTCGTTATTTTTTTTATAAAATACCTTCGTTAGTAGAAGAAAGCCATCGACTGTTCAATAATGGGCGATTTAGAGCCTAGATTTGAGCGAAATGACAACAGAACGATGGGACGGAAGCCTTTACCTACATTGGGAGCTATTCCAGTCAAAAATGAACAGGGAAAGGTTGTCATGAAGAATGTCAAAGTCGAACGATATGTTGCTGGTCAAGCGTGAGTATTTTTTGGGTTTTTTTACTTTGATGTTATTGTTTTTTTATCATAGAAAAAGAAAATATAGGCTTTCAGTTAATCTCTCGTTTTTTCTTTAAAAAAGTTGGCTTCAAGCGTTGTTCCTTCAACTATTCTTTAAAAACATAAATTTGTTTCAGACCACGGTTTGCGTCTGATTCTGATGAAGACGATGACGATTTTACTGTCAAACGCCTTGAAGAAGGAGAAGAAGCTGAAGAAGAACGTAAAGAAGATCATAGAAAAGCTGAAAGACATAGAGAAAGACGTTCAGATGATCATTCACATAGAAGGCATAGAGAAGACAGATATGATAGTAGAAGGAGAACATACAGAGATGAGTAAGTATATTATTCTTGTGTTTTGTTTTTAGGTACAAAACATAATGTGGTTTATGTTTAATTGACATTCTTTTTAGTCGCCGACCTGAAGTAGAAGCAAAAGTAGTTCAAAAAGCGGCTAGAGAGGAGTCGGATTCAGAAGATGAAGAACAACGTGAACGTCGACGAGCTAGAGCTTTGAGGAAACGACGTGAACGTGAAGAGTTGGAAGAAGCTCCGTTAGAACAAGAAGATGAGGAGGATGAAGATGAATTAAGGAGGCAGCGACGTCGTGATATGATTAGGGAACAAAAGATTGAACAGGAAAGTAAAGATGTTAAGAAGAAGGATATCAAGAAAGAGGTAAGACTTCGAAAGATAGGAACTTATTTAACAAGGGAATGTTACAAACTGCCCATTCGATTTGTAAAAGTGAATGGTACCATGTGAAAGAGCGTAAAAAGTTGAATAAAAATCTATTTTCAAAAACTGCTAATTTTGCTTTACAAGCCCGCTGGCGAGCTTTTAAAATTTTTACTATCAAAACGGATTTTTTAAACCCGCTTTCTTTTGGCTTCTTTCAAAAAAGAGAAGTAAATGTGTTCGAATGGCCAAGTGGTCAAAGGCGCCGTGATTGCGCAATCAATGGACTTTAGGTTCGATTCTCTTTTTGGGTAAATGATTGGTATTCTTTTTTATTTAAAAGTTAATTAATTTAAATATTCAAAGAAAAATTTTTTTTGTTGATAACGGCTTCTTACATCTAATAAAACATAAAAAAGTAAAACCTAAGGTTTTTAAAAATACAATAATCCAAAAGAAAGAATAACAACTTATTAGGTCCTTTCACCAATGATTTTAAAATCTCGCTAGCGGGCTTTTAAGGCAAAATTAGCAGTTTTTGAAAATAGATTTCTAGTCAACTTTTTACGCTCTTTCACATGGTACTATTCACTTTTAAAAATCGAATGGGCAGTTTTTAACATTCTCTTGTAAGTTTTGATTTTTTGGGTTTTATTACTTAAATTTATCTTTCAAACGTTTTACAGTTTTTTATGTATAATTTGCGCTTTATAAAGCTTTCAAACGAAATTTTAGGTGAAGAAAGAAGAACTGGAAGTTCAAGAAGAAGATGAATCGGAAGAAGAGTCCGGCAGTGAAGAAGAATCGAGCGAAGAAGAGAGTGATGAGGAAGATGATAGGATAAAGCTTAAGCCCGTCTTTGTCAGAAAGTAAGTCAATTTTTTTTTGAAATTTATTTAAAAATTTATTTTTATAAAATGAAGGCTCATAAGTGTAGAAATTTTTAATTCAAAATGTTACCTAAAACATAATTTTAGAAAAGACAGAGTTACATTGATCGAATTAGAAGAAGAACAAAAGCGTTTAGATGCTTTGAAAGTACAAGAAGATAAAAGGAAAGAAGAACGGAAAAAGGAATCAGTTAAAATAATGGAACAAACTCTAAAACATGAAGAGGAAATGGAGAAAGCAAAGAAGAAAGACTTGAAAGACCTCGAAGCAGTGAATACTGATGATGAAGAAACAGATGTTACGTACGAAAAGTGGAAGATCCGAGAGTTGAAGCGGCTGAAACGTAACAGAGATGAACGAGAAGCGTACGTTTTGTCTTGATAACTTAAATTTTTATCCGTATTTTAATAAAAATGTTAGTGAAATTAGTTGTTACGCTTCACTTATTGATAATATAAGGGTATTATTTTAGAATAGCCAAAGAAAAGGAAGAAATAGAGAAGATTCACAACATGACAGAAGAAGAACGCAAGAACTACCTCCGCCTGAACCCGAAGATTGTCACCAACAAGCAAGACAAAGGCAAGTACAAGTTCCTTCAGAAGTACTATCACCGTGGTGTCTTCTTTTTGGACGAGGAGGACGAGATCTACAAAAGAAACTATGCTGAAGCTACGGGTGAAGATGAGTTCGATAAGTCTGTGTTGCCTAAAGTAATGCAGGTCAAAAACTTTGGCAAAGCCTCAAGGAGTAAATGGACACATCTTACGGCTGAAGATACGACCGATCATCAAGGGGCATGGGCTGCTACTACTGGCTTTACTCAGAAGTTTACTCAGAAGCATGCTGCTGGACTGAAGGAAGAGTTTGATCGACCGACGGCCAAAAAGAGGAAGATTGATTGATTTGAGTGTAATATAAAAATAAATGTTATTACTTGAGCTTGCTACTAGTTATTATATGATATTTTCAAAAATTTGATTATTTTTGAATATTTTTTTCATTTTGTTGGGGTTTTAAGATTCATTGTACGATAGTTTAGATATAATATTGTTTATTTAAATATTTATTTGTTTTATTACTGTTACAATATTTTTTTAGGCATAACGAAATTTTATAATACCTCCAGACTTGCTGGGGCTTCTATACAGGGCTCGAAGAATGGTGATTTCTTCTTCATCGTTCCTTGGCGTTGGCACTTCTATGGCCCTCGGATGCTGCATCTCCCATCTGACGATCTGTTGCATCCTATCTCTGATTATCTTCTTCAATGGTGGCTCATCCTCTTCCTTATTCTTTCTCGTCCGTTTTCTAGACTTCTTTGCCGCGGCTTCTTCTGTAGCCGGCTCTTCAGTCTTTTTGGCCTTGGTCGTGGCTTCTGAAGCCGCTGCGCTGGTTGAAGGCTCCTGCGGTGTTTTGTGGAATTCTGGAGCCATTTTCTTGATTGGGCTTGATTCTGGCGATGAAGCCGGACTAATTGGAATTAACTTTAATTCCAGTTTAGTCTTTGGCTTTTCAGCCATTTCTTGGGCTGAATTGGGTCTTTTTGGGCTGGATGGACCGGCTTCTGAAGCGGGAGCTGGGGACGATGGGGGTGAGGGAGAGGACTGGCGTTGGTCAGCCGTTCTTCTGATCAGCCTGGCTTGGTTGAGCGTGGCTCTCAAGCCATAGGATGGCTGTGTGGCCAACGAAGCCAACAATTGTTCTACGTTGGAGAACGACATTCTTCTGAAAAAATTGCTACAGTAAGTATCAATTTTTATTAAAGTAGTTGTTTTCACTAAAGTTAATGTTAATTTATGAATGCACCAAACATAATCATAAGTTATTGATTCAGCTTAATACAAATTGTTAAAAAAAACTTACGTTAATATTATTAAAATATTAAAGTAGGTGAGGAGCAGGTTGGTGGAAGCTGTTGCTGGAGTGAGGATAAATGTTGAAATGTTCTACGTTTATAGTTTTCAGAATTCTGTGTCGATTTTGTATTTGTTGTAAAAGTTCTTTGATTTTATTTTTCTGCCGTTTCTGAACCGAGTAAGAAGTTAGCGAAAGGGTTGCGCAACGCCAAAGACATTAATACTTGATCAAGAGGCGAGAGAGATTATGCTAATTGCGTTTGGTTAAGGGTCACGCAAAGGTTCGCGGGGCCTAGTATTTATTTCGTTGATACAAGACGTAACTTTCGAAAAATTTTTAAAGACTTTAAGGTTCTTTTGAATTTTACAGTATCAGGTGCGCTAGTTATCAGGTTTCTTAATTTTTTTGTTGTTTATTGTCATCTTGGTTTTGAAAGTTTTTTTTTAAATGTGCTAGGTCATAATGGAACTTTGATTGAGTCTCTGTGTGTCATACTAAAGAGGGTTGATTGTATGTGGCTACTTTTGCTTTACTTCATTAGTAATTGGCTCTATGTTTACTGCTACAGTATGCCCAACATACATGACCCAAAGAAGTTTAAAAAAAGCTTTGAAACACAATTTTATTCTCAAGATCAATCAAAATTAGAAATGTATTCATATAAACAAAAACTTAAGATTATATTAACAAAAATCCACAAACAATCCTTTCCAGTTTATTAACAATAACAAGTACCTAAAACATTAAAACAATATTTATCGTAAATGATCTGCAAGTCTGTTCTCTTCTCCTCTATAATATGCTTCATGGACCGAATTGGTGGGTCGAAAGACTTTCTTATCGGCCAATGAAACTAGTGATCCTGGCTCTAGTCCAGCGAATATCTGATCGGGCGTCTTTTTTGGTCCAGAATCCATGTGGCGAGGTTCGTATTTGTAGCCCACGATGTCGGCCAGCTCTTCTGATGCCTTTTTGATTTCGGCTTCGTCTGCTAGGTAACTGAAACTATAAGGTTAGTTTTAAGGTCTAATACTCTTTAATACCTCCAGCTCTCAAACGATCCGCTAATTCTAGAAATCTAATTTTAGCAAAATAAATACAATAATATCACATAGATAAAAACAAAAACCTCATATTAACCTACCCTCGATTCTTTGGGTTCGAATAGAAGTTTATGAGTGAATGTGGAGGGCATTTCCTTCGTGGAATTGGTGTTCCACTGAGAAAGAAGGCTTCTGGATCCGTGGCAGCCTGAAGACTCTGTAGATCATAGTACGCTAATCTAATTCTGCCTCCAGCCTTTTCGATCGCTGCTATCACTGCTTGGCTAGCCCATTGAACTTCAATGTCTATTGGGGTTGTGAATGCTTCGGCTCCCTGAAAGAACTCGTATAATGAAGGTATCTTATGTTCTTACAATCCTTTATGAACTTGAAAACTAAACTATATTAATCTAGGTGATATTATCTTAAATCTACTATTAATCATGTATAACATGTAACTAAGTACCCATACCTCATGTGTAAGATCAATTCCGAACTGTCGCAGCTCCGTGTCCACCCACAATCGTTGTGTATTGCAAAGCTGTGTAATATCGATGGTTTTCGAGGTATCCAGCCAATTCAAATCGAGCAGCCTTTGTAATTCGATCAATGACAACGGAACGTACTCTCTTCTGATGTTGATATCGCCATTGAATGACTTTTCGCCGGGGAATCGACGCTGCCATGGCTTGTAGAAGTCGCCCCATACCCAACCAAGTGGAGGTTTGGCGGAACGTTGAAGCTCTCCCACCGTGTGACCACCTTGATTATGGATCTGGGCTTTTAATTGGCGGGCCTGAAGGATTCATTAGTTTTAATTATTGTATTTCGATCAAGAATGTTTATTCGATTTTAGACCTATATAAATGTGGTCTAATATAATAGAATATTAAAACTTTCTCCAAAATGATACCCTATCAATACCTTTTCCCAAACATTAGATTTATTGCGGTTTATCTTACCCTAACCCTAGCACCAGGATTGTCTCTCAAATCATCCAGCCGGATTCTTGGAGCTTGTTCAACGTACTTGGTGGCACGTTCCGTTTGACTGACCTCCAGCTTAGCCAACCGTTCGGCCGCTGCTTTTACCGCTTTTGAGGCCATCTAAATGGCGCATATTATAATAAAAAATTTAAGAATAGAAAGAAATAGGTAAAACTTTAGTCTTAAACCATAGAAAATATGAAAAAAGGTGATAAAACAGTAAATCATAACAAAAAAGCAGATACTAGGTGTAAGTAACCTATATTAACATTATGCATCGATTAGATAAATTAGTTTATTTAATTTAGCTTGAAAAATGGTTTTTTGAGATCAATTTGAGTCTTCAGGGAATCGAAGAACACATTCCAATAAGTCGGATCTTGAGCTTCAAAGTTGTCTGTGCCGAGGTCTGTCGAAAAGTATACCTAAACCTTTTATGTTAGAAGTTTTTTAAATATTCTTAAATTGTTCAGATAATTCTGTGCCCTGGACCCCAAAAATTTGCTTTTAAGAGGTACAGAATTATTTGAAGTACCCAATATTAACCAAAAACATATTTCTTTAATACTAAAACATGAAATAACTTATTTTAAATCCAATGTAACACTAACTTAATTCAACACACATAAATGTTACCTAAAAACAGTTAAACTTCATAAAACCATACCTGTTTATCCTTGAATAACTTGGCCAGCTTGAGAGTGAGTTGTTGTAGCCAAATCAGATGATTGGGCGTTGGATCCCCTGATATGTGAAGACTGTGATCACCTCTGGCAAAGAACAGAATGTCACATATCCTGCGTTTACCGGCCCACAAGTATATGCAATCAGTTAAGACTATTGCTTCGGCTGATAACTGTTCCTTTAAAACTGTGAAATTGAAAGAAATCTTGTGAGAATCTTTCGAATTTAAGTCTAGATTCTGAAGTTGTGACGATACTTCCGTCATTTCTAAACTGTTAATGTAAAATAAGGTTTAGTAATATAACGTTCCCCAAAGAGGTTTTGTAAAATGGCTACTGTAATATAACGTTACTTGGTTTTTAACCTGTGATAAATTAAGTGATAACTTCGGAAAAAAAAGTTTACCGGTATTGAAATATGGCAATAACAATCAATTTACAATATCAACAGATAACAAACCTAATTTGATAGAAGAAACCTCTTTTAGGCCCTCTAAAATCTCTAGACCAGCTTATAATAAGCCTAAAACAAGGTAGACGTGTGTATATGAAAATAATATCGAAATACCCTTACACATTATATATGTATTACTAAAGCGTAAGATAGTAAAAAACTCATATAAAATGAAACCAATCTATACCTACATATACCACAATATAAATGTAAACAACCTTATCTATCGTCACCGCAGACTCTTGACCATCTTCCCCACCTTATCCATCGAATAAAGGAACCCTTTCCTAAATCCGGCCGTTGTAGCATTCTTTAAAGTCTGTCGTATCGCTGATCGTGCCACAATTTGCGACGTCACATAAGCAGCATGTTCACATACATCATGTCGATGAGCTATGGAAAAGACCATTTCCTCCAGATCCCGCCGACGAGGATCTCTTCCCGCATAATAATGTGCTGACAGTTTTTTAAGAACATTAAATGGCAACAGCTGAAGCCGATGGTAGATGGCCGGAGTACTTAAATCATGTTCGAAGCCTTCTTTTTTACATTGTACCCGAGGATCGGCTTGAAGAAGAGGAAGATAGATCTCACAGAATTCTTCGAATGCACCATCTACTAGCTTGTTAATCTAAAGTAACATATTTTAGATTTATTCACAAAAAATAGTGTTAATTCCTTCAGATCCGTAAACAAAAAACGTACCTAAACTAAAAAAAAATTAAAAAACTCAGACCTACCTTACTTCGATCTTCGCCAAACTTCATTCTAAAGTCTCCATTATAACTTATGGCAGTTATCGTCCTCAACAATTCTGTTAATGTAAATGATTCATCAAGTTGCAGCAGAGCTATTTGAAGTGCCGACCTTCTATTCTCATCTAAAGCTTTTTGTAAACTCTTCAGTGGAGATATTACATCTAATACGGGCTTATGAAGACGACCCGCAGCATATAACCAACGCCATTCTAACAAGTCTTCTTTTAAGTCCTAAAACAATATACATTAGCCTTTGTTTTGCTATGAAACATTTAAAATATAAGATTGATGTTCTACAAGAAGCTAAAGTATTCGTTCCCATACCTAAAAACTTAAAAATCAAACAAAAACACTTACTTCTGTATCAATCACGCCGTATTTTATCATTCGCCCACAAGATTTAACCCTGGTATTGTAAAACAACCTCGCGGCAAAGTAACGTTGATAAGAACACAATTTACTGGCTCCCAAAAAACCGATAGAACTATAATGAGGCCGATTCCTGTCAAGATTCAGCTCGTGAAAGTGTTGTGTGTCTTTGGTAACTATAATAAAGTCAACCATCTTGTCCTCCTTCTTCTCATCTTGCTGTTGAATAGCTCCAGACCCGTAAGCAAATGCATATTCAACAAATTCAAGTGGCAAACATTCTATCAACTCTAATAATTCATCCGCTAAAAAATATTCTTTTATCAAATCGTAGTAGAAGATACTTTCTTTTATAATATTACCTAAAACAACCAAATCTAAAAAAAGTTAACTTACGATCTACTTGCCGTCGTTCTGCCATAATTAACAAGGATGTTACAGACTTTTTAGCCACTTACGTTATCCATATACCCCAAAAGATTAGCGAGAACTTTAAATTTTTTTTGGAAAAATAAAATGAGGATTTTTTTTGAGTTGCGCCCTCTTTTTTGCAGACTGCAATATTTTTATACGCTGCAAAATACAAAGCCTTTAAAAGACACCTATAAATTTGCATGGCTTGGCTTCTCACATTTTTTGGAATCAACCTGAATCAAAAAATTCCAGTTTCAAAATTTTTTTCTTGCTGGCTGGTTCGTTTTATCACGTACAACTGATTTTGGTTGTCATTTTATTTACAGTTTGGTCATGTCTTCCAGTGAAAACCCGTAAGTTTGTAACAGTGTATTTGAAGGTATTGTGATAGAGAAGACCGTCAGAAAACTAAGCAAAGAACCTGTAGTCAAGCCTAGCATAAAGTTGAATACGAAACCAGAAGAAAGAAAGAAGAGCCACAAATTTAGGATCAAGTACAGCCATAAAAGTCTGACCTGTCCAATTTTACGTAACATTTTTACAGAATGAGGAAAAACCAGAGTCGCCAAGCAATTGACCGATCTACTGAAATTTTTTTAAAGTTTATCAAGTTTTTATAAATTTGTCGTACAGTTTTTTAAATCTGATGTTTTTTTGGTTTGTATAATCAATATCAAATAGGAATCAAATTTATTTTTCGAGATTTAATTTGCTATTGTAACACCTGTTTTCCATGTATATTATTATAGGCGTTGATCTCGATTCTGCTGTTTTCCGCGTCTTGTCTTGGTTTTGCTGCTGACGTTTAGGTAATAAGAGTGGATGAAGTAACAAATAAGATGTTGATGAGTGCAGTGTAACTCATTATAAATAATCTAGTATCCTGGTGGGGTTCTTGGTTCGGGGCAATGGTCGCATGGTCCTTCTGGTCCCTTCTCTCCTGGTGCTCCGCTTGGGCCGGGTGGACCAGGATTTCCTGGTGCTCCTGGACCGCCTGGTTGTCCTGGTTCTCCCATACCGCCTTCTGGGCCTGGTACTCCATCTGGTCCTGTGTTTCCTTTGGCTCCAACTGGTCCCTGTGGTCCCGGCTCTCCGGCTGGTCCAGCTGGACCGTTGACTTGAGTGACGCGGCCTGGTGCTCCTTGAGTCCCGGGTGGACCTGGAGGTCCAAGTGGGCCTGGCAATCCTTGAGGTCCTGGCAGTCCCATTTCTCCCTTTTTGCCATCTGGGGCTTTGTCTCCTGGCTTGCCTACAACAATATCATTGTTAAAATATGATTGTAATTTTGAAAATTTTTGTGTGCTTTTCAGATACAACATAAAGATCTTCGTTTTGAAATTTTAAAGTATTACCTTTGGGTCCATTAGGTCCCTTGGGACCGTTAGGTCCGCATGGTCCTGGTGGTCCGGGTGGGCAAATGATACATGGTTCTTTTGGTGGCAAGGCACTTGACAAAATTTGACCTTCCTTTCCGCTAGCACCATCAGCACCAGGAGTACCATCCGAGCCTGGAGCACCATCATCTCCAGCGTCTCCTGGTGGTCCAGGTGGTCCTTGTTGACAGTTACAGCATCCAGCTGGTTCAGCCGCCACAACTGGAGATCCATAGCCTCCAGCTTGTGATGCTCCATATCCGGACGAAGCTGGTGTAGCTCCGTAGCCGCTTTGACGCTTCACGCGGTGTTGGTGCACTTGGAGCTGATGCATCTCCACCCACATGTCACGGGCGCGGGTCTTACAGAACTCGGTTTCTAGGTCGATGTGGGACTGGAAGCGTTGTACGTAGGTGTACATGATAGGTAGGGTGACAATCGAGGCGATTACTGCGAGAGTTGAGACTACCGTAGCTACGAAGGCTACACGCCTCATCTGACGTTGGTCTTCACTTTCGTATTTACACTCCATGGCCTAAAAGATAAATTTATACTTCGGATAGTGCAAGGGTAACAACCTAATTTAAGCAGTACGACAACCTAATTCAACAAGTATAATAGGTTTTCTTAATGAAGCCCTCAAGCTCTACTAACACAAAAACAGTATAATCCTATGATAACATCAACTAAAACCGATGTTAATCGACTTACCGTCAGTTGTCGACTAAAACGGAGAGTGAAAATGACAAAAAACACAACAAATCCAGCCGTTTTATTATCTGATCCGCCCCGATTTCGGCGCGATTTCACTTTTAAACGGCTGATAATCAGGGCAGGATTGTTTCTGTTCCGGATGCCGATTACCTTGGGAATCTAAACAACTGGGAGTTTAGGTATGGAAGATGATTTCACATTAAGTCTTGAAGTTGTTTTACATCGACAAATGTTTTTCATGTTGTTAGTGATTGTACTATCAGTTAAATAGCCTAAAATTCGTATTTTACACTTAAAATGTCAAAGTTTAGATTGGTTTTGTTAACCGAGAAATAACTTGTCGAACACGACGATTAACATTCCTTTCGAACTTGTTTTTCACTTTCTTATCAGTAAAACGAAATGCCGAAACAGGATTCTGGAGTTTTGTAAAAATACAAAAACAACTACTGGTTTATGTTTGACTTGATAATGTTTTGGGAGAGATGTGAATTAATAAAATTGAGCTATATCTTCATCAAGTTGAGTTATAGATTATTTAATTGGTTTTACTTTAATTAAAAAGGCCTTACCGACGTTAATATTATTTAAAATATCGTTTGTAATAGCTTTTTCCAATATAGAAGGTCTAAAACAACAAAAAAAACAAACCACTATATCAATGTGAAGATCATTTATACAATTCAAATAACAAACCAGCAATTTAAAAAACCTTAAAATTCAAAAAATTTGAAAACTATCCAAAAGTGGGTATAAGTTAAACAATCATTCTGCCAAATGGTCGCCTGGTGCACCACCCATCACGTGGTGCACATCTCTGCCCCATCTGAAAGACATTCCTCCAATGTCAATGCCATCAAATCCCCAGCCGCCTCCACCGCCGCCACGGAACGGCTGTGGATTACCCCAGCCTTGGTTGAATTGGGATTGAGTACGGGTTGGAATGGCACCACCACTACGACAGATCGAGCGGAGTTCTTGGCCGTTTAGACAGGTTTGGCAGGATGCGCGACAGTTCTCCTTCATCCATGGGTTCTTGTTACACTCACCGGCTCGGGCCCAGCCGGAACACTTGGTGTTGTAGTCGGAACAGGCTGGAATGGGGTTGGTTAAGATAACAGGACTATAGAAGTTCAAAAATATTAAAATAATGTTGCTTTGAAACGTGAAACAAAAAAATCCCAAAAACTAAATACAATAACAAAAACACCTATCTTTAAACCCAGAAACCGCCTTAAAATACTCACTTCCATACTGATAATCCTGTGGAATACATTGTCCACAGCTAACTTTACAATTACATGCCATCCAAGTAGCATTCGTCCTACATTGCCCATCCATAGCCCAGACAGAACAACAGATATTCTCATTGAAACAGCCAGGAGACTTGCATTTCGAAGCCCATCCTGTAGTTGGAGCTGGTCTAGCCGGCTGTGTCGCCTGTCCACCGCCACAAACACTGGCTTTTGATGTAGAGCATCGTGCACACGACTTGCGACAGTTCTCGTACATCCAGTTCTTGTTCTTGGAGCACTCGCCTTGTCTCGACCAGGTGACACAGTTGGGGTGATGGTCCGAGCATTCCACTGCCAAACTGTACTTGGGCCTGCAGGTACCACACGATGCTTTGCACCATGAACTCATGTAGCCAGGGTTCTTAGTACATTCTCCTTGACCTTGCCAGACTGAACAGCATTCGTTCTCGTTGAAGCAGGTTTCTTGAATTTGAGGTGGTACAATTGGTGTAATTACTGGTGCTTGCGTGGTGGCTGGTGTTGGGGTGGTCTGGACGGTTTGGACACAAACCCCGCCTCGGCAGGCTCCATTGTAGCAGGGTTGGTCGGCTGGAAGATTTTAAAATTTTGCGTTTATTATTAGTATGGTCAAAAAGTGTTTTAAAAAGTAAATGTTAAGATCAAGAAGTAGATAGAAAAATCAACTTTTGTTTAAAAAATGATAAACAAATCAACTTTGCGTCATTTTTAAACAAGTTTCCTCAATTTCACTCTAATTAAGCCTCATTTTCGCAAAGTTTACCATTCTGAAACCCCAACATACCTTCATTAAGGCCAGCACAAGATCCACCTGTTTTGACTTTAGCAGCGCATCTTGGCTGTCCGCCACTTCTCATACAGAACAAGTACTTGGATCCTCCACAAGATGGACAAGTTGGTCTAGGAGCATACTCGTACATAAAGTCAGTGTAGCGATTGGAAAGACCATCACGGTTGTACCATGGAGTAAATGGAGCCATCGAAGCACCGTTGAAATGTTGAGGAGCTGAACAAGCTTGCATATCTACTGGGTAGTCGGATTCACGTTGGGCGCGGGTCTGGAATAAAATTTTTAAAAAACGCTCTTTTAAACAAAAATCATCTTATTTACCTCCCCTAGACAATAATAATTCTCACAACGTTGTGCATGAAAATACCATAACCACTATATTACACTACCCACCTGCCGGCTCTGTCTCCACATTTCCCAGATCAAATCGACGAAAGAATGGTGCATAAAGAAGATGGGATCATTGGAAGATGTAGATTGATCCAACATGTCACCACCAACGTAGATGTGCACATTACCGTGAGTATATTCAAGCCAGTTCCAGTCAGCTCGAATTGGGCATCCTTGACGTGGAGCCGAATAAGCCATTACATTCTCAACTTGAGTTTGAGCCATGACATAGGCAATCTCGGTCTCACGGAACAAAGATCCTTGAGCTCCAACAGCACGACGGGCGCTTGCTCTGCCCTGAAATTGATATTGTAGTAGATTATGAGTACTTTAATCTGTTTTAGATATATTCTGAGCTAGAAGATGAAAAGTTATATATATTCGATTTTTTATTGACTTTATAGTTAACTTACTCATATTTAATCACTTTTTAATTATCTTTAATATAAACTTACATCCATTGTTCTCCAAGGAGCAAAAGGTCCCCCAACCACGTTACCTCCAGAATCCATCGTTCCAGCAAAGTCATTTGTCCACAAAATTGAATCTTGGGGTCGTGGAAGGTTGTTATCCAACACAGAATCCCAATAAGGCAGTGCTACTGATGGATCTACAGCTCTCAATGCCAATTCGTATCTCTTTATGAACTCTCTGTGCCAGGACAAAAAGGCTGGGCCAGAATGAGCGGCTCCAGAAGTGGCAAAGTCCGAGTGAACCTTACTGATTCTGTCGTAGGCTCCATTGTTCTTGATCGTTCTGACCGCAGCGTGATATCTTCGTCGTTCATCGTCGGTTAGAGCACGGTATTCTTTTCGCAGAGCTTTGCGAAGAGGCTGGCCGTTGCGGAGGGTGCAGGAGTTACCACTGCCGGAGCCTAAAACAAGTTAAAACTAAAAAATTTTTAAACTTAAATTTAAAAATGTTATTAAAAGTTGATTTTTAAATACGAATACTGTGAACTACGCCAATAATTTACAGATAAAATGACCAAAAAAGAAGTTTTGTGTCAACTGTTTCCCTTTCTTTAGTCAAGTGTTTCACATAAAGCTTGCTGTTACAAAGTAGCTAATAAAATCAAGTAAAAAATTTTAATTGTAGTTAATAGCTGTAAAAATTTAGAATGTTTGCTTTTGTTAAATTTGGTAAACCATACCTCCCAAGAAACTGCAAGCACATGCAATGTCAGTACATTGCTCAAGAGTTGTTGGCTGTGTAGGCAAATCGAAGCCTTGTGTAGCCATACTCGGGTCAATTCCGGGTGGCAATGCCACTTTAGACGTTGGGTTTTTAGCTGCTGGAGTTGCCTGCAAAACAAAAATTTTGAAAATTAAAAATCCCAATTAACTTTATTATCAATTATTTTTAAAGCTTGGCCATTTTAAAGGCCTAATAAGCTATATGTTTAGACTTCTTCACAACGCTATAAAGTATTTTGATTTTTTTTAAATTAAATTTATTAAAATAAGCCCAAAAATATAAAAATACTGCCTTACCCTAGCATTTTTGTCCCATCTTGTCAATTGTTCGCAGATAATCTTCAGCGATGGAGTTGGGGCTTCAGCACAGTTCAGCTGACCCGTAGTGTAGGTTATAGGCAGCAGCAGTGCTATTAATATCCATGTTTGAGAAGTCATATCTACAATTTTTGAACTTAGATTTTGATTTTGTAAAATACGGTCTTGAAAGTCTGTTCACAAATTGTTTCGTTAATCATACTGCGGAAAAAAATGGTAAATAAGAGCGTGTCTTGTCGGGAGGGCAATTTCGAGCCAAAAAACCATTTTTTGGTAAAAAAAATTTTTTAAAATAAAAAAAAAATTGAAAGCAGCAGAAGACCTAGAAAACCAGGTACAACTATATATTATAAGAAGGTAAGAATCTCCGCTCCCCCTCCCCCCCCTTTCCCAACTGTAAATAAAAAAAACAAAATTTCCACTCCTTGATGATGACTATAACAGAACCTTCCTTTCTATACCTAACAAAAATTTTTTTTTGAATGTTTTTAAAATTACGACGATTAGTGAGCACAGAATTTTTTGAACAACCTCAAAAAACATAACTACAATATGTAACTACTCAAACTCAATCAAAGTAGTTGAGAAGTAATTACAAAAAGTGAGAATTATGTTTTTGAGTCATGAAAATTCAGCGAACGTACGATGAAGATTCTAAGGGTTGCTGCGTAGGAAGTAACGAGAATTGTAAATATTACACTGACACTTTTTATTGGTCTGTTTTAGCGGTTTAGGTTAAAGGGAAAGAAGACGAACGATCAAAACATCTTGTTGTAGTAACTTTCAACGTTGGAAACGGTTTGTGGAACTGTTTTTTGTTGATATTGTTATCAACTGCACGATTGAGACGTTATATCACACAAAAAAAATTTCCAAAAAAAATTTTAAATTTTGTCGAAAAATCTAAAAAAAATATGTCAAATTATGACCTAAAATACGGTGTAAAACCATCTTTTTGTCAAAATCATCTTATTTTAAAATTCACAAGCTCTTTGCACTTTTTTAAAAAATCCTTTTCTACGATACCCCAACAGACCTACAGTAACCCAACACAACTACAGTAACCCAGTGTAAAAACCCATAGTAAAGTAACAAACAAAAAACGTCTTCCCAACTGTTTACCGGTAAATACACTGAAAATAGTTTTATAATTCGAAATAATTATAGAGACCGTGTTCAAGGTCAGTCAACGTTTTGACAAAATTAAAAAGTAAAGACTTGAATATAAGAACAAAAAACACGTCTTCTGAAGACCTTGTTTCAAATTGATTCTATTACATGTTCTGCACGTTTGATCGTCGTTTTTTGAAACACAAACGTTCATTTTTGAGGTAAAGGTTCAGGAGTTCAAAGAAAGTTAGGTACAGTAAAGACTAGAAAAAAAAGTTACAGTAAGAAGTTGACGTCTCGATCATATTGGTATATTAATTTATCTAGAGCTCTTCTTTTTTTATAATTTCGGCTAGAGTTGACCATTTTTAAAGTTTATTAGGTATCAACAGTGTGATCAGAAAGCACTAATTAAAAAATTTACATAGCCTTCCATTAACAAGAGAGTTGCACAAAATATCCCTCGGGTTTCAGAACAATACCAATATAGGGTGAAAGAGCAAAACAAGTTTACAGTTTGCACGAGGGATATCTGGTGCAACTCCCTGCTGAGCATTTTAAAATTTTACTTGGTATTATCAGTGCCGAGGGATCAAAAAGTTTTAAAAATTAATATAACCTACCATTAAATCCAAAAATAAAAAAAACGGAGTAAAAATGAAAGTTTCAATAGATTACGCAAGCATATGAAAACTTTTTTTGATCGTGAATTTCGGGAAGTAAAAAAAGACAGTAACTAATTAAAAACTAGACGAAAAGGAAAACAACAAGCAACAATCAGGAGTTCATGTCATTATTTGTCGTCAATACGTTATTTACAAAACTTTTAATTTAGAGATTTTGTGAAAAACCGTGACAACTGTGGCCAAACCTAAAAAGGTACTAGACGAGGTACTATACTATGCAAGTGAAACAAAAGACATTAATAATAATGATAATAGAAAGTTAACCTATAAGAATTAAAAATGTAACGTTATGTAAGTCAAAACCCAAACTCCTAGAACATTTTTACAATATTTATGCGTTTACAACATAAAACAACACTAGTTAGTGCACTATAACATACAATACTATCCATTAGACAAAGAACATTAGAAAAAGCATAAGTAATACCCGTGAGATTAAGAAAAAACCGGTTGTTAGAGAATGATAAAAGACTAGAAAATTTTATACAAAATAAAACTAATAACATAAGAGTTAGTCATCTTTGTCCATAAGTTCACCATGACCAAAAAAGACAAAATATTAAGAATTATTATTAGAGGATGATGGTAGTGATACCATCATCGCCTTGATATTTTTAACTGATTCGGCCTTAAGATCCCAAGTATAGAACGTCTTCTGGTCGAAACTGTGTTCTTCGAAAATACTAGAGAATCGTCTTTGATACCGGCAAACTTTTCTCGTGCTAGTTGAAGACATTCGGCCTAAATTATCCATAAATTAATTTATTGTTGAATATTTGTTCTAAACTCATTTTAAATAGTTTTACTGATACTTTTTTACAAAGTTATAAAAATATAAATTCAATCGATTTAAGCAAAACAATTCTACAAAGTTATAAATTAGGTACCACTTACAGCTGCTAATGTGTTGTTATGAAGAGCTGCCACAACGTGTGGATGACCGCCTAGATCTGCTAAAACTTGAGCATTTATTCCCAGTAGTCTAAAAAACGTTTTTTCATTAAAATTTCAAGTTAGCTCTTTCGTATTTAAAAAAATTACCTAAATATCACAAACGAACATGAATAACACTACATACGTTAAAAAGTCTAAAGTCAAGCTGAAACTCACGTTGTCCTGTTTAAATCAACGCCAGCAGCCAACAGCCGTTTCACCACTTGAAGATGCCCGTACCGTGATGCTATTAAAAATGGTGTAAAGCCCAAAGAATCCACAATATCTGGCTTAGCTCCTTGTGTTAACAAAATATTTACCTAAAATCAAAATAAACAAACCAAAAATTATCCTACCATTCCTACAGATCCTTCTCTAGCGACATAATGCAACGCTGTTGCTCCCATCTCATCGACAAAGTTAACGTTAAACCCAGAACTCAAAATGTTCATCACCCACACCTGATCTGAAGATCTTATGGCTTCTTTCAGCTGCTCAAACCTGTCCGTCGCTGCTAAAACATCATCCACAGATTGCATTTGACTTGTTTATTAACCTGAAAATCGGTATAACGAGTTTGAACGACTTTTAAAACAGTTTTTAAACAAATTGATATTGTTTTAGGCAACAAACGGTTGTTGGGAAATGAGACGATTAAATTCGGCCCAAAATTAGATTTTTTACAAATGTAAACAGCAATATAAACCAAGTATACAATAACTTATAATTTTTTTAATTAAAAAAGTTAATTTTCAAATTGTGTTATCTGAACCAAAATTTGCAAAATATTTGGCCGGACTTCATGCATTGAGAAAAACGTGACTCAAAAGCAATTTTTGCGCCAAGTTTACCATTGCAAGCAACTTTATTGCGCGTGATTGCGCCTTTGTCCGTATTTTACATTATCTTTGTCGTTATATGTTATGTAAGACATACTTAACACTTTTTCGTTAATATTATGATAGGATTACCCTTTTCTTGTTTTGGTCTTTCAAGTAAATCAAATTTTTACAGTTTCCAACAGAGAAATGACTCAAACTTTAAAGTTTTTCGATCGTTTCAAAGTAAATTCTTGTTTCTTCGGCCGCTGGTGAGTGACATGTTAGCCAACTTTACTGTAACTTTAAGTTTTTTTTAAATTTTAAACGTTTTAAATTTGTTTTTTGAATTGAATTTTTCAATATTAGCTTGAAAATAGAAATTTAGGTATAATGTAAAATTATTTTAAATTTTGATGAGCTATTCTTTATCTTTTTACATTAACAATTAAAATTTTTTAAATCTTGATGTCTAGTAAAGTTCTGTGAGTTCAAAAAAGATATAGCATAAGTTATTTGTAAATTGAAGGGTCACGAGTGACTTCAGGTACCTCCTCATCTCGATTTAATGGCTTCATTTCACTCGCCTTCTTTTTCACTTTTATATAATTGGTTTGTAACCTATGGTTTTCAGCTTACTTTTAAAAGCCTTTGGGGGTTATAAAATACAAAATTGTATTTTATTTGATCTGTTAATGTTATAGTATACCAAAAAGTGAAAGCAGTGTAATATTTGTAAAATACGTGTATTTGCCGGTTGCAGTGTTTAGATTATGTTAAAAACTACGTTTATACATTAAGATTTAAACGATGCATCGCGATGTAATTTGAAGTATTTATAGGTATAAACAAATTTTTAAGACCTATTTGTTATATGTTGGATCTAACTTTTATGGCCTTCATCTAACACCAACAACAAAATTGAGCTATATTACCTTCAAAGGCATCCTTTACTTCAAATTTCGAAAACTATTTAAAGATTCATTCTCTGTAAATAGTGGTAGTAGTAAAGGTAGACATCACTTCACTTGCCTGTGGTTTGTTTTTTGTGTTTATTTGCTAAAGATGGCGCTTTTTGGCGGGGCGAAAGTTGTGACCTTGTAATTCCGATGGAACTGTTATTTTGAAAACATTTTACACTTTGGGAAACCGCTGAATAGTACATTTTTATACTTTTCCACTTTACTTTATGGTTTCGGCGCTTTTCAAAGTTAAAACTGGGAAATAACGCTTATTACTCGTTTATTAGTAATGGTGTGTAAAGTTGATGCTAGGTATTTGGTCAAAAAGTTTCTGGAAAAATGAAGTGAGGGGAATAAGTCTGGTTAGGAATGGCATTATATGGAGTTTTTGACCGCTGCTTACTCGTTTAGTAGTAATATAGTGTAACTTTGATGATGCTAGTAATTTGGTCAAGGAGTTTGATGAAAAGTCGAAACTGATTATTTTTGATTAGAAATGGCATTCTAATGAGTTTTTGACCCCTTTAATAATTTTGAAAAACAAGTTTTGAAAATTTTTATTTTTTATTTATAGAAAAGAGTTATATTGAACTTTTAATAAGAAAGATAGGCATAAATAAGCTGTCACTATCATAGAAAACTCAAAATTTGTAAAATCTTTGAAAGCTTTTTTAAAATTTTCAAAAAATTGGAGTTAAAAAATTAATTTGGATAATTTGTTTACAGTCACCAACAGTAAATAAACTCTAATGACAAACGGTTTACAATAAGCGAATCGTTTGATTGTTCAATTCCTCTGTTATTTTTTGCCCGAGGGACCGCGCAGTAATGATTTTTTGATGAATTTTCCAGTTTTCCACCTTCTACCGGTTCCAAATAACAATCATTATCAGGTTTATTGCAATGTGATCGCACAACGTTTTTTTGCGGTTATTGGACTACCATTCGGTCTGTAATTATTCCATACAGGGCTCTGGGTGATTCAGCTGGTTAGAGTATAAAGTCAGCTATTTGAAGCAGACGTTTAGCTGATTCAGCTATTTGAGACGGATATATACTGATTAGCATGGCTAAAGGTTAATAATGTTGAAAATTGACGTCATGGATAATATAGCAACTTTTGATTGTTAGTAACAAGAAGTTTTTTAAAGGTATAGGACTGTTTTTCTCAGCAACTTTAGCACAGGCTAGTGCAATAACCAGCAAAATCAATTTTTCGTGGTGGGATTAAAATAACCGCCGGATTTTATTGAATTTCACAATTTTAATCGAATGTTGTTTTTAGAAAGGGCAAAAACAGCTTGAAGTGCTTGTAAACATTGAAGATGGCTTTTATTTTTACCTTGAAACTTTAATTTTTTGATGTTTTTTATTTGCGATCTTGTTTTAGTTTGATTTTTTGTGTTTTTTTTGCGTTTATTCGTGACTTTTTTCTATATAGATAGCTGTTTCATCAACTTTTTGGTATTCTAATAATACATTTTCAGGTATGACCTCAATAAAACACCTAGTACTGCTGTTACTCGCAGTATGGTCAGTAAATTCCGTCAAACGAGATGTTGAAGATGTAGATTTGGATCTTCTGGGAGGAAGTGCAAAGTCTGGCATTCGTTTCCGAGTGAATCCATCTGGCTTCAAATACGCAAATGAGCTATTGGCTCCTTTATTGAGTCAACAGATCAGAAACATCAGGATCCCAAAGGTTGAGCAATGCATTGAGGAGGTGAGGTTATGGTTAATATCTTTTTGTTACCTATTTGTTATATGTTGAAGATTTATAAGGCATAAAACCCTTTCATTGAGTAAAAAACTGTGTTCATATAGATGGTAAAATAGCTTGTGAAATGAGTAGTTATTCTAGTGTTTTAAGTGATTTGAAGCTAAACATATTGTAGTTGTTTTTGAAGTTTAAAATAAGGTGGTCTATATTGTTGATTTTTAGGTGGATGGATGTATAAAGGTTGAGAAGATTTTGGTATCACGTTATGAATGTCCAGATGTGATCAACTTGAGGCCACAAAGCCCAAATGAAGTGATTCTGGAGATAAAGAACTTAAATTTGGGGTAAGTATTATATATAATGGTTATTTCTCTTTAGTTTTTGTAGTATTTAATACCGTTTTGTAAATATATAAATGACACTGAGTTAAATCTTAACATTTTGATCTATATTTGTGTATTTCAGACTTACAGGCGACTTGGCAGGCTCTGTGAACACCAGTGGAACCCCCATCCCAGTTGTTGGTCAAGCTAACTGTAATGCTCATGGGGTACGTATGAAAGAGGGTTAGGTTTTATACTAAAACGTTTATGAATGGTACGAAGATGGTTATTTGAATATAGTAAAAGAACGAATGTAAAAATTGTAAAATAGGGTTAGATTTTACAAAATGTTCTATCAGAACATAACTCTATGTTTAGATCGCCATTCTTGTTGGCCTAACCTTGACCAGGAGTAACAAGAAAGAGCACATGTTGAAGATCACTCAATGTCACGCTTCAGTCGAGTCTGTAGATGTCTTCGTAGAGAACGGTGGTCTTCTAGGTGACACAGCCAACAAAGAAGAATTCAAATCTAAGATTTCATCTCAACTAAAGACCTTGGCTCCGAAGAAGTTGTGTGATTTGTTGCCACAACTGATTGACAAAGACATTAACAAGAACCTAAGACAACTGCCTAGCTCTGTCAGCATTTCCGAGATTATCAAGATGTTCAAGGATATTGTCTTACCTTTGTTGAGATCCAAATTGGAATGCCCTGAATCTTGCGCCGCTGGAAAGACGAAGAGAGACGCGGAGGAGGAAAAGAAGTGCGAGGAATGTGGGAAGATCAGCGAGACAGTCGAGATGGCCAAGAGCATTGGCAAGTCATTGGACTTGGTAAGGGCTTTGGAGGGTTGAATATAGATATAAAGAACAGCATTGATGATATTTTGCTAGGGAATGGTTTTTTGGTACCTAAAAACTGTAAAAATTGATAAAGAGATCATCAGAAACCTTACTTTTTCAGAAAAAGCTCAACGATATCAACTTTGATTACTCAATCGTCTACACCCGGGCCTCATCTCAAGATCTGAACATCAATCTGAAGGGTGAATTTTCTCCTCCAGATAGAGTGACACCCTTCAGACCATTTGCCACCAAATTTCCGGCTGCTTTGGCTCCAGTGAAAAGAAGAATGGCCGAGACCATCTTGACTGACTTCACCTTGAACTCGTTGTTCTATTGGCTTCATACTGTCAAGTTCTTGAACATCACACTTGACAGCTCTACTCCAACTGTCGGAGAGATACTGAAGACGACTTGTGGAGAAGATGATGACAACAGCGAGTTTCCTAGTGTTGAGGTGGGGTTTGATGTTGTTGTAAAGGGTTTTGATGGTTTCTAAAGTGTTTTTAAATGGGTTTGGATATTTTTTTGAGTTTCCTATATTGTTTAAGGGGTTATGGTATTATTTTAGGTGTTTTTTGATATTGTTTTGGTTTTTTAGTAGCTTCAAGGGTTTAAACACGTAATTTTGCTTAAAACCATTTGAATTTTGATCAAAAATTGTGCTTTTATATATTTTTCGATTTAGAAAATGTTAAAGTTTCTAAAATATGGACATTTATATTGCACAAAGCTAAAACCTTGACCTAAACATTGTTTTAGGTTGATGAAGAAGTGCCAGTGATCTTCAGAGTCCGCCGATCTCTAGACACTCTCGAACGCTTCACAAGAGACGCTGATGAAAAAGAAAGCAAGAGTGGAGGTGGTCTGGCTGACTTGGGCATCTGTGTAGGAGATATTCTGCCAGCTATCAGAGAGAAGCATCCAAATGAGAATCTGACGATTACCGTGCATTCTACTAAAGCTCCAGCTGTTATATTCAGCGAAAAAGATGGTGGAGCTGCGATTGGGAGGTTGAATGCTGAAGCTACGGTGTTTATTTCTACTGGCGAAAAGGTTGGCACTATTGCTATTGATTTTGAGGTTGAGGTCAATGTTGTCACTAATGGTAAGGACGATATTATTGATGTTTTTGGGCTAATTTAGTGTTGAAGCTGAAGATTTTTAAGGTTTTGTTAAATTAAGACGTGGTCCATGAGGTTTTAATAGACAATATGCAAGCTGTTTTAAATTATTTTATATGTTTTTAAAAGTTTTAGTGTTTTTTATTGTAAAAACTGACGAAATCTTATGTTTCATGATATTACACTTGGTATGAAGTATGATTTTTGATTTAATGTTTGTGTTTTTAGATGGTAATTTGACTGGAGGCGCGAATGTAACACGATTATTGCTCAAGGACGTTGATCAAACGTTGGGCTTGCCTCAAGATGCGTTAGACTCACTGTCGCAGCTGGCTATTGACTTCAGTAACAAGGTGGGTATTGTAATGTCAAATGTTTAAAAAATTCAATTTTTTATTAAAATTTTGGTTTTGAAAAAAAGGAAGTTTGGGTTCTTATTTAAGGTAGGGTAGGGCAAAAAAATATTTTTGATAGGGGTAGATTTTGAAAATTTTTACTTTTAGAAATTTTATTTTTAAAAATAATTCATGTTTTGAAAATTGAGCTAATAAAGTCAAATTTTTAAGGGTATGAACGATGCTCTGTCTAAAGGAGTCAGTGTTCACTTGCCAGCCGCAGTAACCGGCCTACCAGTATCATTGTTGAAACCCGACATTACCTTCATCGATCACGGTCTTCACATCTCTGGCGATGTCGAGATTGACGCCAAAACTTTGGGCGAAATTGTTGGCAAAAAAGGAATCAAAGCTGACAAATGTGGAGTAACAAGCAACTAGGTATCAGAATATGCTTGAGAGGTACTCGTGTCTTTATACTGTCTTAGTACTCTTCGTTGTACAGTACTGTCAGCCCCGGGCGGGAGATTGAGGTTTGAGGGAGGGAAGTCTGATCTTTACAGGAAGCTACCTTCCTCTTCGTTAGCCTACTCTCCCTCTTTCTTCTTTTAGCCATCGGCCTTGAAGACTGTCAAAACACTGTAACTTACTTTACTACTAACTTTTTTGTAGCTTCACGTACCTTAGTACTCGATTTTGAGTATCATGTACTAACGTTTATGATAGTACTCAATTCATGTTGCCATTTTCAAATTTTAACTGATCTATACTCATGTTTAGTGGTTGTAGATAACATTTTTACTGTTATCATGATGTGTTAACTAGTTTTGTAGCACAACTTTTCATGTCTAACATATTTTAACAACGTTTTACTTTTCATTGTTGTAAAACTACTTACAATATACAGTTGCCACTGTTGTTATACTTACATATCTTACAAACAGAGCCAAATAAATATATTATACTTCAAAGGTTTACTATGTTATATTAATTTGTATATTTAGTTTATTCTGTGGATATTTGTTAAACATTTAAATTTTAAATCAGATATTTTGATGTTGACTGCCATTTGAGGAAAAATACTATTTTAAGAAGGCTGTTGCACTGTTATGTCATAACAACACGGTTTATGAACATTGGTTTAATGACATTATGTTAGAATTAATTATATTTTGGATTAACAATTTTGTGTTTAGGTAATCTTACAAATGAAAATATGCTTTACAGATGTACGTATTTACATAGACAAGATGTTTTTACACTATATGGCTTGTTTTTAATTTACAGAGTAAGTTTACATTACGACAACGTATAGGTTTATCAACATTTACGTGGATAATATCAAAAGTATTTCATGTTAGGTCGTTCAAATAATTCATAGCCTCAGTTTAAAGCAAATTTTTGGGGTGAGAGGGCACAGAATTATTTGAACAACATATTAAAGCTTTGTTTTTTTTTATTTTGACATTAGAGTATGTGTTAAAAGTGGTTTTTAACACTTATTCAGAAATACAGTAGCTCTACCATAACAAAAAAAATTGTTTTTGATCTGTAATTGAACATGTTACTCTATGTTATAGCCTATTATACATAGTTACATAAACAAGAAGTGTATTTTTGTGGTATAATCTTTTAATTCGCAGTATAACAAGTTCAAAGTGACGTTGTCGGCTGTTGTTGTTGGTTAGGTATTTGAAAGTTCGACTAATGCGCTGTTTTACAATTTTTTGCGAGGGAAAAGGGCTTAAAGTTTGTCATCACGTAGTCTATGTTTATATTTATAAGTTCACGAGAAAAAGTGCTTGATTTGTATTGTTTTGTATACAAGCAAAATTAGCCACATACAGTCAAACTTCTTTAGTGTGACACTTAAAAGACTAGTCTAAATCTTTTTTTATAAGCAGGGTGTCACATTGCACAGGTAACTACTTTTTGATAAAGTTCTATTACAAACGGCAGTCAAGAAGCTGCTATTATAAAGGGTGTGTAATATAATACTATGGAGAGTCATGCTAAAAAGGTTTTACTGTAATTTTTAGCTAACGGGAACTATAAATTTGACTATGTTTTTAAGACAAAAAAACTGTAAATTTCATTTTTTTAGAAATCAAGAGATAGAGATACGGATAAGAGGACTCAAGATTGAAAACTGGACCATAAATCAATGAATGTTGAGGTCGAAAAGGTAGGTTCTTTTGTCAAACATTGTAACACGACTAGGTAACACTTGGTTTTTTGTATTTTTAAGTTGACTAGACCTTTTAAAGTTGATTAGACCAGGAAGTAAGTAGTTAACAAATTTTCATGACAACAATCATTCTTGGCAAATGTTCCTTTTGGGTAGGGTAGGTAAAGTAATAGGTAGGATCAGTTAGTATTTTTCAATTTTTGAACTTTTTTCATAAACCATATTTTATTTTTTAAATAAGTCTTTCATTAGAGTGTAAAATACGTAGGTCTTCTCGAAGTAGACTTTTTTTAAATTTAGCAGATTATCCCTTCTCAATAAAATTCGTATCCCTCAAGATCACCACCTTCTGCTAACCCTACTCTGAATTAAATTTTCAGCTCATTAGCTCAATCATTACTTCTTATTCCCGTCTAATCAGCTGAAACCGTCTGCCTACAGCTGTTTTGTGATCTTTCCTTTGATGTTTCAGCCAATTCGTCGACTTCGCCCGACAACTCTTGTCCTTCAAAACAGATTCTAATCTCGTTTTAAAACAGTTTAAATATTATCATAACGGCTGTTAATGTATTACCTGTCTTGCGTTTCCAGTTTGTTTTCAACACGTTTGGACTGGGCTTCTGGACTTCTGATTTTGAGTTAGGGGAAGGTTTTTTGTGATGAGGGCAGGGTAGATTTCCAAAAAATAAGGGTTTATTTGTAAGGGTATGACTAGAGCTTGATAGAGGTAGATTTTAAAGATTAGTGACAGTTTTAAGGGCATCTTTGGAAGGGTAAAGCAATAAGTAAGGGCATCTTTTGAAGGGTAAAGCAAAATTTATAAGCTACGGTGGGAACAGGTTACGGTCGAGGGTAGGTGCATAAAAAAGGAGCTATTGCTAAGCAGAAAGATGAGCTGCTCTAGGGTTTGGGTGTGATACTACAAGGTTTCTTACAAGAAAGGTGCCTGACCCGTCATGCTCTGAAATGTAAATATAAGATCTTCAACAACGTATTGAGTTGCGCTTTCCAGTCAACTTTGAGAAAAGCGAGGTCAAAAAATTACTTTTTGAATTTCCCGCCAAGTTGGCATTGTGTTTCAAGCTTTTTACTTTGTCATTTTTAGACTTTTAATTATTTTCTTTTGATATGCTAGTAGAAAGTTTTTAATGGATCTAAATTTTTTAATTTTTAATTGTAGCTTATCTGGAAAGTTGAAAAAGTGCTTGAAACACAATGCCAAATTTGTCAAATTGGCGGTAAATTCAAATATTTAAATTTTAAAACTCAAAAACGAAGGCTAAAATTATTTATGGGTTCTATTGGTGATGTAAGAAATTCATATAAAGATTTTTAGTCGATTCTGAATGACGCAGGTTGGTGTTTTCGTTGAAAATTATAGTAATCATTTGACATGGTTAATATAATTTTTTACTAATAATTATTAACACTTTTTATAACAAAAAATTGCGTTTTATGGAACAAACTTTACTTTTTCAATTCCAATTTAAAAATAACCAACTCTTCAACTCGTAATTTCCTCAACCCCCCCCCCCCTCAAAGAAAAGAGTTTCATTAAAAGTTCCAAACTTTTTCGAAATTAGCCTAAATTTGACGTGCAAATTGTGGTGAAGATCACTGTTCCTGAACAGTATTCGAGTTCAAAAACATGGAAACAGATCTATTCTACTTTGTTTACAGAGTTTTTGTTGAGTCATGCGCGCGTTTTAACCGATTTTTGTAATCCTTTTTTGGAGGAATAATAACATTCGGCTAGCCAGAAGTTTGCGGGTTTTTTATTCAAATAACATTATTCAACGGAATGTTATATTCTTTTCAAATTTTTATAGTTTTTGGTCAAAAAATGGTTAGAAAAGGCGAAAAAATCAAGAAAAAAGGCGAAAAATAAGAGATTTTTCTAACTTTTCATCTATTCTGAAAAGTAAAGTATCCAATCCTTCAGAATCAGCTCAAAATCTTTATATGATTTCTTTACATCACCAATAGAACCCAAATAATTTTAGCTTTCGTTTTTTAGTTTTAAAGTTTAAATATTTGAAATTCCCGCCAATTTGGCATCTTTAACATTGTGTTTCAAGCACGTTCTTCGACTTTACAGATGAGCTACGCTTACAACTTTAAAAATATAGGTCCATTTAAGGGTTTTCTACTAGTGTATCAAAGAAAAACGGTTAATTTTAAAATTGATTATTCGAGTTTTACGTTAACTTTTCTTTTCAAACTAAAAATTTATTTTTACAGAATTTATTTAAAACTGCCCTTCATGTCAAACTGATAAGAGTTCTAAACCTACCGTAGCGCTATCTTCTTACTGTAAGTTTTAAATTTTTAAAATTTTTAAATACTTTGGTTTTATTTACCAAACTAAATTAGCATAAAAAGTTGATTTTTAACCTTCCGAAACGCTTTTCATGCCAAAGTTAATTTACTTTTAAAAAAGTTTTGGCAATTTTTGACTTTCTTGAAATTGATACTGAAACTGCCCTAAAGTGCTCGAGGGCAAACAAGTTTGGTCACTTTGGAAAGGCGAACCTTTAAAGGCCGGCTTTGAAGGCGTAATTACTGGCTGAGTCTATACTGTATTGGCTTCTGATTTTAATTGTCTAATTTGAATATTTTATTGTTTATTTTTATTTCTATTACTCTGTTTATATACTGTATTTATATACTGTATTTTTGGTTCTAATTGCTAGTATTTTAAATTTGAAGTTTTGATTTAATTTTTTCTAATATCTTGTTGATTATGTTTGCTGTACGCCAAAAAGTCAGTGTAAATGAAAGACCACAGGCGTTGAATGCTATCAGTTGGGAGGTAAGTGTTCATGGTAAAATACGCTTTAAATGTCTGTCGCATTTAATTTACAGGGCAACTTTTGTATAACAAACTCCTCTATAACGAAACTCTTGTGTAACGAGCAAATGGCTTTTGCCAGCAGGGCTGTCAGTGTATTATTTTAAAAACAGTGTTAATTGTAACAGTGATCTTGTACACTAAACGTCTTTTTAAATATGACGAACAAATATGAAAAGTTCCAAGCGATTTTTATATAGGAGTTCCACTGTATTACAAGCTACAACTTACTTTCTTTTAATTCTCGAGCTTTTTTAGAATTTGTCAAAAACGAATAATTTGCTCATATTTTGCTTTATATAACATTATTACTAACATCTGGAAAATGTCTTTTTCTTATGGCTTTTCACTAACTTTTTTTGATATTTTTCTAGTTTTTTGTTTGAAAATTGATTTTTATTGAAAAAAATTTATTTGTTAAATATTTTGTTGTTTTTCTTGAAAACTGAGTTTTAAGTAATTAATTATTTATAATTTTTACAGCCATAGATAGGTGCGGGCTACAGTATAAATTGCTTTTTTACTGGGTTTAAACTTGTGTAGTATAAAAGGGTTTAAAAGTCTTGTCGTTTTTTGATGTGAAAAGCTCTATAAGTTGACGTCAAGACTTTTAACAAAAATATACTTTTTTCAACAGAAGTGTATAAATAGTGGGTAAAATTTTAAATTAACTTTTTTTTTAAATGTATAGTAAGCTCTTTCTTCCCCCTCTCATTTCTTCTGACTATCCGCCATTGTCTTACCATAACTACTTTTATGTTACCTATTTTTTTTAGAAAACGTATTTAAATATGTAAATGCGCAAGGTTGAAAAGGGTAAGAGTAAGAAAGACATAGCAACCGAATGAAATTTGTCTTTTGACACTTTTAGTGCACGAGAAGAACGTCAAGTTCAGGCCCTAAGGAGAAGCGACAGGAAACGAGTTTTAACTTGTTTTGTTGCACTTTAACCTGTTATTGAACTTAGCTTGTACTGTGGTGTTGTAGCATGTTACAATAGGGTTTTGGGCTGATTCTTGAGGTTTAAGATCTGCTGAATAGTTTTTTAAATTTTTTTGATTTTTTTTAGTTTTATTAATGATTTGTTAGGTAAAATACGAGTCGACATACGACGTTTATTTAGTATATGGAATTAAAAGTAACCTTAATTTTAACGTGCCAGTAAATTTTTTCTAAATTTTGCAACAAAATGCCAAACTAAATTAGCATAAATTTGGTGCAATTTGGAGTGATGTGATTCGATTTGCATAAAATTATGACATAAAGCTTGTGTAATACGTTGGACTGAATATAATATTTATAGATACACATGTATACAAGGGATTAGAGTGTAATTCGGAATAAATTACAGTCACGAGACTTGTAATATTATAGTGCAAACGTGGTGGGGTGACTCTTTTGAACTTGGATATTGAGGAATTTCAATTTTTTGGGTGGGAAAGTAGGGTATAAAGTTTAAATTGGGCTTAAAATGCCTTTAAAGGCGATTTTTACTTTTTGTTTTATTAGGTTTTTCGAATAATTCTGTGCCTCTAACCTCGAAACTATGTTTTGAGAGGAGGCACAGAATTATCTAAAATAATTAAAATAAACCAAAATTATTGTTCGGCATTTTTTCATTTTTTATGTTATTTTTGGGCAGGGCTTCTGTTATGCTAGATATGCAAGGCTGAGAGCCCTATATATGTATGTAATGACGACTTGTTAGAGATTTATAAAAAAACAAAAGTTTACAACCACTTTTTCCAAAAATAATTTTGATGAATGAACCTAGTATAGTAGAATATAAAAGGAATGTTTTTTATTTTAAAAATGACATATTGAAGGCATATTTTTGTCATCATTTCCATATAAACATCTAAAAATAGTTTTGAACTTCGATTAAATGGACAGTTTTTTTGAAAAGGCTTTTATTTAATGACATAGCTTTTTAGAATACCCCATACTATCACAAATTATATTCCATAGCCTTTGAGGGCGTGGTCCTGTTATCCGGCGTAATTAAATAATCTTTTATATTATGTAATGGTGACCTGCCCACGGTGGTTCTCTTAAAAATTTTTAAAAACGTTGGGGGGGGGGGGGGGGAGATTTCTTAAAACAGTTTTTTTTAATTAGATTTTATTCCTTTTTTTGATTTTTCAAAAAAAATATTTTTCTTACCCACTCTTTAGCCTACCCAGTTAAAATCGTTCTCTTGAATGGGATCATAGCCTTTGGATACGAAAAAATTTTTCATAATGTTTCTATTAAATACACATGCCTTTCAAAATACCCTTAAAACTAAACGCCATACCCTTTCCATGCCCAAAATTAGCCTGCCATCCATTTTGTTGTTGATTAATCGCTTCCCCGGTTCAAAAACCGGCTGTCCCGGGGAGTTCCATGACATATTTTTCGTTTTATGAACCGTCTGCAACGAACTAAATATTGAGCCCTTAAGCATGTTGGGCCGCATTTTTTGTTTGGAGAAAAAAAGACTGAAATTTGGCCGAAGATGTACGGGCCGCAGGGCATGAAACGGAAAAGTGAGCCAAGAATTCCAATTCCTCGGCTTTTTTAATTCTAATTTGGCGCCGGATTTTGATTAATTTAGCCGCCAGATTAAGGTCGATTTTGGGGGTGGTTATGGGTATGGTTACTGTAATGTTTGTGTTACAGTGTGGTTAGGCAAAAGGGGAAAGGAGGTTCAGAAAGGGCAGAGAAGTTTAATTTAATATTAATTTAAAGGGCACTTTTAATTAGATTGTTCTGTTTAATAGCCGAAACTTTGTTTACAAAGTCAGATTTTAAAATGGGTAAGGTTACTGTAACTTTTAGTTTACTGTACTTTAAGAAAATTGTAAAAACAAGCTTAAAAAGTGAAGAAGTTAAATTAATCTTACTTTTAAAGCCGTTTTAAGTCAAATTTTACGCTTTCGAGGGCAAAAACTTTGTTTACAATGTCAGTTTTACTGTTTTCAGTATCTAAATTTTAAAGTTAAAAGTTAAAATAATTTGAGTGTTTGCGCCATCATGGTTAACATAACTATGTGAGAGAGTTGATATTGTGTGTATGTGAAAAATGAAGTGTTCGAAAAGACACGCCTATCAATCAAAATTCTGACAGAATATGTTCAAACGTTTGAAAACAAATGTCTCCGTTGCGGTGAGGGTATTACTGTAAATGTCATGGGTTGTTCTTTTAGTTACTCTTTCAATTTTTGCAACTTTTGCAAAGTTTTGCGAAAGGGTCAGGGTTCAATAAGATGGGGAGGGGGGGGTTAGATTGTTGGGAGGGTGGTAGCTGCTAGGTGATTGGGGCTTTTATTATGTGTTGAGGGACGTGGGGAGGGAATATGGTAAAGGAAATGGGTGTACCTGCTACCTGTGAACAAAAATTTTTTGCTTGTACCTTCACTGGTCATCAGGAGCAAAGAAACAATCGTTTTCAAAAATCTTTCAAAAACTCCAGAAGTAAGGTGTGCTCTAGCCTAAAACAATATCAAACAAAAGTTTATATTTTTGAAAAAGTAGCATCTTTTATTGCTGAGACAATCTGTTAATAAAACTTTTTTTCACGGCCCAAATCTCTAGCTCTAAGCTTTGAATCCAAAAAACTAAAAAAATCGTATAGGTTTTGTCGTTTTTATACGTATATATTACAAAGTATGATATAAAAAAATTATGAGATTATGATGTGTGTTACATTTGGTAGGAATTAAGAGTTACATAATTATTTTTAACATATTAGGTCTTTGAAAATTAATATCAAAAGATTATAATAAACTTTGAAATTTAGTGCTATTAAACCCCTTTAGTATGACACTCAAGGGACTAAACCAAAGCACCATTATAGCCAGGATTTCACACTCTCCGGGTGTTGTTTGATAGGACATTTACTACAAAAGGCGGCCATAAAGGTGTCATTATAAAGAGGGTGTCATACTATCGAGGGTCATGCTCAAGAGGTTTCACTGTACCATCAAAACATAATTTTGTAGTTATAGTAGGTTCAGTTTCTTGGCGATGATATGGCGTTAAAGATAGGACTTTAGGCTTTAAAATGTTAAAAAATATAGCTAAAAAGAACTCAATAACAAATTATAAATCAAAGAACTAGTAATTAGTTACTTTTCAGAGCATTTTTTATACTCTACTTGTTACAAAATACGTCATTTCTCATGCTATGGGATACTATATAATGTGGGCCAATTAATTTATCAAATGTTTGTCGAAATAACAAGAGTAGAATTTCATACTCAATTTGTATTGTTAACGCCACTTTGATTCAAATTTTATTTCCGTTTTTGCTGAAAGGAATGGTACTGGTAATACTGTTTTGTATTCCAATTTGAGTATCTTATGCTGTATAATACCTAATTTGATGAATTTACAGGCATTTTATATTTAAGTTTATCAGAATCGTATACCTAATTTTTATTTTCAATGCAGATTCATAGCTTTATAACTTATTGTAGGCCAAATTGTAGTGGAAATGTTATTGACGGTTTATGAAAAACAGTCTTTGCGAATAATATGCAGGGCATAAGATGGATAATGTGGGAAAATAAATTGGCCAAATGCAATTTAAATTTGGAGCTCTAATTTTAAACCTTGGTCAGCGCTAGGGAGAAAAAGTCAGGCCAGCTGGAGCAAAAGAGAGATTTAAAAAGAAGGGGGGGGGGGGAAGGCCCGGCTAGGGCAAAAGTTTCTGAGAGTAGAGCAGAGTAGGAAACAATTTTTGGGTAAGAACTTTTGCTTTTTAAAAAAAACTTTAAGGAGGAATTGAGCTTTTTTTTCTTTCTATAAAAATATATTAACCAGGCTTAACTTTTCCATCTTTTGAAAAAGTTAGGTCGAGGCATGGGCTAGAAAAACCTAAAGTTTATAGAAAACAATAAACTTTGGCCTATCTAACCTTAACAGTAGAAAGCATAATTTGATTAGGAGAGCGCTTTATATTCAAAACAGCTGAAAACATGAGAAAGAATGTCATTAATGGAGTTTAAAAATTAAAATTTGTTGAGTAACAGCTGCTTACCTAAATTTAAAGTGTTGAACCTTATATTACACTTGTTGATATATTTAAATTTGACGAACAGTGTTGGACGTGTTATTTTTGCTTCGTGCGTTTGGCTACGGTATATTAGGGCTGGGGCGGCTGCCAGAAATATCAGTGTTAGGGCTAGGGCAGGACTAAGACTAGAACTAGAACTAGAGTTAGGACCATTGCTAGGACTATGGCTATAACTATAGCTAGAGCTATATCTAATGCTACAGCTAGGGCTACGCTTTGGCTTGGAATCGGACTAGGATTAGGACTAGGACCAGCGTCAGAAGCAAAACCAGTACTAGAAACAAAACCAGAACTAGGAACAGTACCAGGTTCAGTACCAAGATTAGAGCTAAAGCCAGAACCAAGAGGAGGACTAGTACCAGGATTAGGGATAGGACTAGGGCTAACTAAGATTATGACTATGTATTTTGACTAAAGCTAAATGTTAAAAATCGGTGGTAAAAAGCGTTTGGCTATAACAATAGACGCTAATTTCAGTCCAAAAAGTTTTATTTTTTAAAATTTTTGCATTTTTCTAAAAAAAATGTTTATTTGCATATCCTCCGCAAACTGATTGTAACCCATTTTTAATGTGTTTCCACTCCAAGCCTAGTGTAATATTTATGAATGGCCAGTGAGTAACTCGATAACTATTGGGAAGGCATGTGTAATATAAACATTACATACTTGAGTACGATAAACTGTGAGACAGACAGTTGTATGTAAATTGAGGTTGGCGGAGAATGATATTTGATCTTTAGAGGATTAATAGGGGTTTTGGTGATCAAATTATATTATAGTTGAATTTTGTGAGAGTGTAAGAAATGGACTAAAAACGTTAAATATGGTACTACTGGAGCACTTAATATAAAATATGGTTGTGGTTTAAAAAAAGTTTTTGGGCATATTTTTTGGGGTGTGGTAGCTGCCGATGGGTGGATTTCGATTTTTCTTTACGTTTACTACGCGTCGTATACAAACATGTTACTGACAAGCTTACTGTTTTAAGATGAAAATTTAAAATCTAAATGAAGTGGTTTTAAAATTCGAAATTGTGAATACGGTAGTTAAAGATGACCAGTTTCAAAGACGCGGATTTACTCGAAGCTGACGAGGTAAGTATCATGTTAATCTAAAAATGGTAAAATGTTACACTTTGGCCGAAAAGATACTCATTATAGGCCAAAAGTGTGCTATTATACCTAAAAGGGTTTGTTCTACAATTAGGCTTGAAGGGGGCTTACTATGGGTCCGGCACGGTCTCGAATCAGCCCCGACTGTACTGGGTCGAAACAATTTTGAAAGGGGCCGTGTCGAGTAGTAATTGGCTTGATCTTTTTACTTGTCTATGTACCACTTATATCATAATTTCACTAGGCTTACTTATATAATATGATGATGCTACAAAAGTCTTGGCGTCAAATTGTTTAGCTTTGAACGTTCTTAACCGACAAGACTTATGACAAACTAATAACTTCTTGTTCAACCCCACTTTTTACTGCAATTTCTTGAAGACCTTAATTTAGGTGTTTCTTCTAAAACCTATGTCTATTACTCTCCGATAGTCATATTCACAAGTTGTCTACCACTTACCTACAATATCATATTTGTCTCAATTTAAATCTAACGTAAACTATAGTATTTACAAAATTGACTTCCCTGAGGCATTTCTAAAATCGAATTCCCTGAGGCCTTTTCAAAATCGGCTTCCCTGAGGCATTTTAAAATTTCAAATTCCGTCTCAAAAACCCTGAGGCATTAAGCGATTTCCGGTTAACAAAACAGGAAACTTGGCGTATATGTGACAGTGGAAATGTCACACGAATACATTAAACGAAATTTCCGAAACTTTTCCCGAGGCGATTCAATTTCATATTCAAATAATTTATTTTTTCGCTAAAAAGAGTTTGCCAAAACTTTTTGAAACGTGTATCCATGGATTAAAAGCTACGTTCTCTTCTGTTCCACCTTGTTTATCTTATACTACACTATTTATCTTTTACTTTGTTTATACTACTACCTGCCTTTACTATACTCTATACGTTGTTTATATTATATTATACCTATATTATACTACCTTGAACCTTGTTTTCCTAAATGTTGGCACTGATTATCGCTCATTTTCGAGATCCCGAAACGGAAAAACGCTTTTCTGTGGTCAGTACGAAGATTGACTACGATTTGGTGGGTAGTTTTGGAACATATACTATATAGGATTGTACTTTAAGTTTAAGTTCAGGCAATGTAGATAATTGCAATTTTATGATCTGGAAAGAAAGTTCTCGCCATTTTATGGTCTGTAAAGAAAGTTCTTCTATTTTTAAGGCTGTAAGGAAATTTCTTGCCATTTTTTGAGCCTGTAAAGAAGGTTCTTGTTTCTAAAAGTGACATTTATCTCCTTAAAACCTTTATATAAGGAATGTCACGACCTGTATAATATCTCTTATTATACCCGACTGTACAAATAAAAGCCCATTTATAAAAACCTTCTTTAAACTCGATATTTAGTCGCGCTTTACCGAACTTTTTTTTAAAATTTTAAATAAAAAATCGGATCAGAAAACTTTTTTTTTGGTTTTCGAATATCTACGTATAATAATATCATCTCGTCTGTGTTAGCTAACTATAAAAAAAGGTAAGAAAAAGTGGTTTTGTTTACTCAAAGTTTAAGAGAGCATTTCGAAAAAAGTTACAGTGTTTTACGGTTAAGGGGAGCGCTATTTTATTCTGTCTTATTTATGTTTTTATAATAGGTTCAGTGCAACTCCTGTATAACGAATGGCTTGGTGATTTTAAATCTGTTTCTTATAAAGGAGTTTCGGTATATTGGAGTTTTCAATTTACTATATTGTGTTAGTCTAAAAGTTAAATGTAATTTCCTCATACTTTATAATCTTTTTTTTTATTTAATGATAGATATCAGCTAAATGTCTATGAAGTGGTCTTATTTTTAGTGATTTTCATTTTTAAAACCGCAGCGACTTCAAGGCTTGGATTTGGTTAGGGGTACATGTAGGTGAATAACTTCAAAGTTTTAAATTAGGAGAAAAATGGCAACTAGGGTCGAAATTTGTTACAGAGATGCGTGCGGGTCTAAGAATCACCACAAAGTTGGTACCAGTTTTAAAGTTTTCTCCTCTCTAAACAACCAAACTGAACCATCTTATTTTATTTACACTAAAGACGTGGCATCAAGTACAACTTTTGTATAACGAATTTCTCTATATCGAAACTTTTTTATAACGAACAAATTTTAAATCTCCGGGCAATTCGTTATACCGGTGTTTCGTTGTCCATTTTACCGGTGTTTCATTGTCCAAGATGTTTGTCATATTTTGGCGAAGAAAGTTGCGTGTCTTAGTTCGATTACGTAAGTGAAACTGTCATAAGTTTGACACTTTAAAACGATAGAAAAGCTATTTTAGCTACATTTATTTTTACAACAACTTAGATGTCTCAAAACAAAGTGTAACATCTACTATAATATAATATTTTCTGGACTTTTGATTAAAAATCTATTGGCAGCTTTCAAGTTAATAAGCCTAGTAAATAACAGTCAATCTTTACTAAACCATTTTTAAATTAGAATTTTAAATTTGTAAATATTCTCAAATTCGATATTCTATTATAATATTGTTTGTCAGCTCTCCTTATCACACTCTGTTTTCCATTTTATGATACGTTGAAATCAGCTTAACGTGAGCCAACAATGGCTTCCTTCGGCCGAATGTAATAAAATAACATACGACGACTCTTATTTTGTCAAGTACTTTCGAGCGGATATTGCAGCACGTTTTACTTAAGCGGGCAAAGCAGGGGGGGGGGAGGATTAGTTATTCTCTGGTATGTTTCGTATTTTACACATTATGAGTTATGGGCAATGAAAATTAGTTTTAGGGGTTATTGAGGATTTAGTTTTAATATTTTAGGTATTTTAAAGCAGAAAGTTGGGAGGTACATAACAATTCCCTATTAAACTAGGTAAAACTTGCTTATTATAGTATGTACCAAAGTGTACTTTGGTTCATTTTAAGTGCTCTTAGCGACTTTTAAATTAGTTTTTCACGCTTTAACGTTATAAGGAAGTACAAGGTGGGCCAAAACATGACCGTAGGGGTAGGATAGGGTAGGGTAATGTAGGGTAAGGTTGACTAAGATACGGTATAGTAGAGTAAGTTAATATACGAATATAAGATATATAAGAGTACAAAAGTAAGACTTCCCTTCTTTAAAAAGTAGACAATTAAAAAACTTTTCGAATTTCGTCAAAAAAACTTTTTTCCATTGAAAAAGGCGGGTAAATTAAAAAACCGCAGACGGTTTGCTTGGCCCATCATGGGTTCGGCCTTACGCTTGATTTAACCGTGAGATAAGAAGGAAATAGGTCGGGTGTTATCACGGTAAGAGAGGGCTTTTTTTGAGAAAATAGACATGTTTTAAGGATTTTGTGGGAGGAAGGGGTTAGGGATGTTGTATTGGGTGTTAAGGGGTGATTTTAAAGTTTTAAAAATTTATAAAGGAGAATTTGGGAAATTGTCACCGAAACATAGCCCAGGATTTTTAGTAGGATTAAGGCCAACTGGGCTGAAAAGTGGGACATAGGGAGGGTAAAAAACTTTAAAAGCGACCATTTAGTCAAGAAAGAATAGCAAAAGCAAACGGTTTTAATAAGCTATGTATACCGCTGGATAGCTTCTAAAGTCCTTAATACTATTAGTAGATTATGTTGACTATGCGTGCATAATAGCCACAGCTAACACTAATATGCTTTGCTTTCAGCTGGCTATTAATATTTATCCTAGATCTCTTATCTTTGGCTAAAATTGTATTATTCTATCTTTACACTCTGTAATCTTACCTCAAACTACATAATACAGATCTTTTATACTTTAATCTTGTAATTCCTTTCTATTTCTGTCTTTGACAAATCCATATACCCACAAAAATAAACTACAACCTCTATAACCACCAAAATCTACTATAACGTCTATACCTACAAAACCGTATACTGTGATATCCCACCCTCATTTCAATAAAACGTCCTAAAATAAAACGTTCTCTGAACGCCTACAGTAATATGTTGTAAATAACATCATTCAAAGTCGATTTCACTTCACTTTTATACGCCGTTTGGTCGTTAATTGAAGTATCATACTGAGTAGGACTCGGGAGCGGTACTCGACGATTCGGATGTTCTCATGCTTAGTCACATGACAGTCGTTAAGTATTTACATGACTATTATGCTGCTCTTTGCTAATATTATTCGGAATCTACTGAGCTTACCTTAGAAAACTTATTGTGGTTAACCTAGGTATCTTATTGTAGGCTTACTGTATTTTTCGGGTCTTACTACTGTAACATAAATTAACATAGGTTATCTTACTTTTATGGTCTTCACATTACTCTAGATACTTCGTATTTTATTGTAAACACTCATTTTTAACCCAAAGTTATGTTACTTTACACAAGATACGAACATAACATCAAGTGAAGTAACTCTGTCTATGTTACATTACTTTACATTGGGAAACAAAGCTAATCTCTTGTTGTTTGTGTTACACTGTTCTGTGAAATCTGCTAATTACTCGTCGGAGGTTTGGCTGTACTTGACATAGTACGTACTACAAATTGAGGCTATATTGTGTTACTACATTTGGACTATTGTACCTTTTACTGTGGTGCTGTACATAGTCCTTCTGACTGAGATTAGTTTTGGTTTGGAAAGCTAATTTTTGAGGGCCTGTGTAAGGGCAGAAAAGCTTTAAAATATAGGGTTTTTGACAGTTATTCTCATATTACACTTGATAAGCAATCATTTTATTACCTAAAATTATAAATTTCCTTACCTGAACTCTTCTAAAATCTATTTCTCTAAGACTAGTCTTCTACACATTCTAACTTTAAATCTCTACCTAAAATTCACTAAAAAACCCACCAAAAATGCGTGGAACAGCCAAACAAACCCCCTATTCTCAACGCCGCACCCTCCGCTTCAAGTCATTACCTTCAAAATCAAAAGATACCTCGGCCAAAAAACGGCCGCGGCGTATGTCGACACTGCTACGCCGTATTTCGACCAAAAAACGCCAGTCGAGTCAGGCTTTCGATCCAAACGAAGGGCTGAGCTTCTTCCTCCACGCCCAAGGCTGGCAAATGGGATTGGGCGAGTTCAACGAACATTCGTTTCAGGACCTGGCCGTAGCCTCGCCCCAGAAACGCAACTGGCGTGGCATCATCACCGCACTGGCCGTCATCATGATCATCTGCACGCTGATTCTGATCGCTGTTATGGTTTTGACTCCATGTAGGTTTCGGCCTTGATTTTAGGTGTAATTTATATTTTTCATATTTAAAAAATATTGAAAATGAAAATTTATAAATCAATTATTACCTACAATTTATATTTTATCAATTCACAATAAAACTTCTAAAAATGACCTCATTTTGATCCTTTTATAGCCTTTTATTGGTTTCGTATACGAAGTGTCACAAAATTTATCGTTTTTTCGAAAGTTCGTTTTCTTACTTATAAAATTCTAAAAATAAATAAAATAGTGTCTAAATAATATTACGTTACAGTAAATGCTGATGGAGACGGAGCACGACAACCTATATCATTAAAAGATGCCATAGGATCAGCCATATTAGGACATATCGAGGCGTTGGAATGGATGGACGGGAACAAACTTTTGGTCCGCGCCAACGATCTTGTTGAAGTTGTGGACTTCAGCACGGATACGTGGAAGAACTACACTTTGTTTGACACGGAGGCACTTGTAAGTTTAATTTTTATTGTGTTTTAATACATTGATTTAAGGTTATTTTTCTAATAATAACAGCTATTATCATAAATAATATATGGTTTTCCAATGTTTTATTAAAAATAATATAATTTCTGGGTATTCTTTTAGACATACTGATTAGTATTGATGTTTTAACAGTTTTACGAAACGATTTTATTAATTAAATATTGTTTTAGTACCGGCATGGCAAGGTAAAGTCGACCAATGTTATCCACAACACTCCACATGTAGAAATCACTTATTTTGGAGAGAAAAACGTAAGGAAAATAGTTTTTTGATAGTTGAGGTAACATTTTGATAACATTTTGATAACGTTTTTATTTTTAGAGGGAAGCCACCTTTGAAACATACACAACAAAGAGGTTATACGACACCAGGACTGGGTATGTTAACATTGGCACTCTTTGACCTAAAATTGTTTTGGAAATTTTGAAATCTAAAAATATGTTGTGGAAGAGATTATGCTACGTATTTCTTGATCAAATTAGTATTAAACTTGTTTATTTTTTCAAATATTTCTAAAAACTTTAAATTTAGAACGTTTGAGAACATTGGACCAGAAAAGACTGGAAGTGAATCTGTCGATGCTCTAAAGTTTAGTCCAGCTGGTTCTGATTATGTACGTTTGAAATTTTTACTCATTTTAGCCTTTAATTGTGACAGTTTTCAAAAAGAAATAAAATTATATTATCATTGACAGCTAAAATACCTAAAGTAATATCCATTAGTCTATACATCTCTAATCTTTTAATTTTAGGTATTTGTGCACAAATTCAACCTCTACTACCGCTCAGGCTTTAATTCTGATGACTTGATAAAGATAACGTCAGATGGCGCTACAGACTTCAGGCACGGTATCACAAATTGGGCTTACGGAGAGGAACTGTTTGGTCCAGATGTGTTCTGGTGGTCAAAGGATGGAACAGAAGTGGCATATATGACTACAGATTTGAAGCAAATGCAGTCATACAACATTAGCTACTATCTGGGACAACAATACCCGCTAACCCAGAGTCAGAGGTACGCCAAGACTGGTGTCAGACATCTGGAGAAGGTGGACTTGAAGATCTGGAACAAGAACACGAAGAAGACTGTCAACTTGGATGTTGTGTTGCCTGAATAGTGGGTTTTTGAGGATGTTATAGGTATCAAGTTATTGAAAATAAGGTTTTTTTAATTAAAACATTTAGGGAAAACGATTAGATATCTTGAGAAAAAAATTTTTTTGTAAAATACGGCGTTTGCAGTGTTAAGTGCTTTATTTTTAGTCAAAAAACATACCTAATGCACGCATCCTACGCTAAACTACATGGCCAAAACGTGGTAATCGCTGTTTGGTCGAATCGATTCCAGGACGACATCTCTTTCACAATATGCACAGCAGCTTCTGCTAAATGTATTTTAGTAGGTTTCTATTTGTTGTTTAATAGAGGTGAGAAACTGGCTGTGTAGGCTTGGTTCGGCTCGACCTTACGGTCAGGTTGGGCCGGTCTTTAGCTTAAGTTGAAACGGGCTGAGCCTAAAATATGGGCCGGCCTTAGGCTTCTTAAGTAGGCGCGGCTCTATTTTTTTGTAGTTTTATTATAAAAATGTAAAATAATAGGTCATTCAAATAATTCTGTGCCCTCTCTCAAAGCAAGTTATTGGGCTTAGGGGGCACAGTGTTATTTGAACAACCTAGTATTTATGATTCAAAAAAGTCGTATTTTACATCCAATTTGAACTCAATTTACTCCCATAACATAACTAGGGGTGAGAAACGGGCCGTCTAGGGCTTGAAAATTGGGCCCGGGCCCGAAAAAAAAATTTTTTTAATTTTTAAAAATGTTTTATTTTAATCCCCGTTGATATTTTTTGATTTTATTGGGTATCATGATACATAAATGATCTAAAAGAACAATGCAAAGCCAAATTTCCGTTTATTTTTTAAGTTTTAAAATTTTTTAAAACGGGCCGGGCCGGGCCTAGAAATTTTCTGACCGGGCCGGCCTGAGAGAAAATTGAAAACGGGCTGGCCTTAACGTTGGGCCCTTTTCTCACCCCTAAACATAACTTGTGACACTTCAGACATATCGCCAGAGTTACGAGATTGGAGAGTTTCATCAATATGCTCTACCTGAGCATGTTAAAGTAACTGCATCTACCAACAACTCTTTCTTCACTATCTTGCCACATCGACGACCAAACGGCGATGTCTTCAATCAAATCGCCAGAATTACTGTGCCGGTAAGTTCGTTAACTTTATTTTATAGAAGTTTGGTGTAAGGTTAATTTTGAAAAGTTAGCAAACAAAATTGGTCAAAAAGTTTATAGAATATGATTTTTTTAAGTTTTTTATCTTTATTTCTATTTTTTGATTTATTTTTTTTTAAATAAAAATTTTGAAAAAAAAATTATTAAAGGTAGATTATGCGATCGTATTTTACAATATAACCTAATATAAATTAAAGACATTTTTTGAAAAACACTAAGTTCATATTGTTGTAGCCTCAATTTTTACATGGAAAAGAGAATTTCTTGGTAATGGGAGATCAAGAAGTGGATTCCATTGACAGTTATGACCCAAACACTGAAACAATGTAAGTGTAAATGATTTTTTAAATATTTTTTACTTTTCTATTGAAAAATGTTGTTAAAATTAACTTTCCTGTCTAAAAATTGTATCATAATGTAATGCCTTTCTAGCTACTTCACCTCCCCAGCCCCAATCCACCGTCAACTGCACTTATACGCCACATCAGCCCTACCTCACTCGAATCAACAGCCAGCAACATGTATAACATGTGGGGTCTCATCCAACTGTACCTACCACACCACTACCTTTGCTCCATCTTCAAGTAAATTCTTTATGAATTGTAAAGGAATCGGACCGACAACAGTATATGTGGCCGAAGTCGATAGTAATCGGACAGTAAAAGTGTTGGCTGAGTTTGGTCAGACTTCGGAGAGGGACGAGGAGTTGATCAGGAAGAAGTTCCCGACTGTTCACTTTGAAAATGTCACTTTGGCTAATGGTTTTGGTAGGTTTTTCAGGGATTACGTTATCTTTTAGAGGTCTTTAGGTAATAAAAAGTGATTTTTTAGCTAAAATTTATGATTTTTTGTTACGTTAGTACACTTTTAAGTCTTACCTTTTATGTTTTTTGTTTTCATTTGTCTACTATAATATAATGTACAACCTTTCCTTGTTGCAGAAGTCTACACTCGCATGTTCCTACCCCATGGTGTCTCCTTGAACACGATCGGAAAGCGATACCCAGTACTTGTTTATGTGTATGGTGGACCAAACAGTCATCAAGTTCATGAGGAATGGCTGCCAGAAATGCCAGTCGATGTATACTTCAGTTCTACATTAGAATATGTCATTATCAACATCGATGGCAGAGGGTCAGGTAACGCCGGATGGAGGAGAAGACAGTCCATGTACGGTCATCTAGGCACGGTAGAGGTGGACGACCAAATCGAGGCTACTAAGTAGGTTTTGGGTGGTGTGAACTGGGGTTGTAGTTGTTTTATAAAGTTTTATTTAGTAGAAATTACGTATTTTACAAGTTTTTTAAGGTTATATTAATTATTTGACTTCATCTTTATTCTTTTATTACTTATAATTGCCTACTACAATATAGGAAACCTATGTTAAGTCCATTTTTAAGACTTAATATACCTTATGACACTATATAATTAATATACCTTATCTTAATATACCTTATGTCACTAAAGTAATATTTTAGGTTACTGCTGAAGAAGCACAAGTTCCTGGACAAGAAACGAGTAGGTATTTGGGGATGGTCGTATGGTGGGTTCGTGACAGCTCATGCTGTAACACGAGACAACGACCACGTTTTCAAATGTGCGGCCATGATCGCACCTGTAGTCAACTTCAAGATGTATGGTAAGTTGAATCCAAAGTAAAAAATTTAATTTTATAGTGGTAGACATCATTGTGAAAGTGGGGGTGGTTTTGAAAAACAGGGAGGGCGAAAACAGTTTACTTGTTTTAACGTGTACTATATATGTAATACAAAATATAGTAGTGATTTAGCCTTCTAATGTATATTTTTCAACTTTACAACTCATCAGAAGTGTTAAAAGTAATATCTTAACTTTCAGATGCCATATACACGGAACGCTACATGGGCAACGCTTCCCAGCCAGCCTATGACGTTACGAATGTTGCCAATAATGTCACAAACTTTCACTTTATTCGAAGTTTACTTATTCATGGTCTGGCTGATGGTAAGGGCTTCAAATTTTGAGTTTTTTCATCATACTACTTATAAAAAATTGGAACTTCTATATAACAAGGGGCTTGAAAAATTGTTCCCTGTTGTGGGGTTTCATTATGTCAGGTGTTATATTACTTAAGAATCAGTGTATTTTTTTTCAAAATATTTAATATGTTTATTACATAGAGCATTTAAAGCTCCTGTACACCGAAACTCCTTCCTAACAAACAAAATTTTAAAACCCAAGCCATTTTTTATGCAGGAGTTTTACTCTATAATCGTTTATACTATATGAGACGTAAGATGCTCATCTTAATCATGTTATCTTAAAGAAAGAGATTGGTCTAAGACATCATAAAAGGCTCAAGACGTCATAAACTTTATATTTTAGACAATGTCCACTTCCAAAACACGGCCGAACTGATCAATGCATTTGTACGAGAAAATGTGCAATTCGAACTCATGGTAAGTAATTCCGTATCATAATTTTATTTCGTATAACGATGTCTTACTTTATACAATACCTCATATATTGAAAAAGTAAAACCCGATCAACAAGTAAAATAAGATATCTAATAAAAAATTAATTTGCGCCAATAATTTAGGTATATCCGGACGAAATGCACTCTCTGAAAGGCGTTCGACCTCATTTGTTCGAGATGTTGATAGGCTTCTTCAAAACCTGCATGGATGACATTGTCTGACCGATGTTAACTAAATTGTCTAACAGCTAGACAATTTAGTTTCATAGAAACGAATCTTTGAGATTTTACAGTACCCGTAGAGGATCATACTGTAACCTCTGAGGATTATACAGTAACTTTTGAGGATGTTGCTCACATGTACATTGCATTTACACTCTTGTCCTTCTACTTTGTTCACAAGATCTTTGCTTTTACTTTACCGTTCGAGATATGTTACAGTATCGCCAAAATTGTTTTACAGTACTAACACTATTAGGTTGTTCAAATAATTCTGTGCTCCTTCTTAAAGCAAATTTTGAGGCGCAGAATTATTTGAGAAGCCTAATATATAGTATTATATGTCCATACAGTACTATATAGTATTATATGCCCATACAGTATTCCTACAACTACTGTAGCTGAAATGCCAAACAGGTTGTCTCACTTTGTATCATTTCATCGTAATTTTTGTATTTACTTTGTTTACCGGTGATTAATAACTATTTAATTGTAATAAACTACTAAACATATTCGTATTTTACTATGGTAGGTCACATATCTAATGATTACATAACACTATATATAACCAGGCATTACTTTAAAGAAAACAACTTTTGTATACCCACTTACATATAATAGAAAGGGTAAAATCTTTAAACTTCAATAATCTTGATATTCACCATGTTTAATATAATTTCAGCCAAACTCAAAAATCACACCAGATTTATTTGAAATTCAAGAACTTTATTTACAGAATCCCAGCCTCATAAATCCATACTCAGTAGTGTCTTCTGTGGTATGATTTATTGTAGTTTCCTTTGCCTTTCGTCACACTACTAGTGTTGCGAGACGTTCGTGCTGAGAGGGTAGCACTGCTTCTGGGCAAACTCAAAGGTGGTGCGGTGAGGTTACACGCCTTCTCCAAGTACTTCACGATCTCTGCCATCGTGGGACGAATCGCTTCTTCGGCAAAAATCTTGTTCATCACCAGGAACTAAGACAATATATTAATCATGGTAGGGTTCAAGCCTAAGGTCTTAGCTCAAATTGCTTTAGTGAACATGGGCGTGGTTTTTAAGAGGGTAGGGAGAAAGTTTTGAGAGAGAAGGGGGCTGAAATGAAGTTTTGGTAAAGAAGAGGGCTGAAAAGGTGGGTGGTAAAGATTTCTTTCTTATGAGAAGAGGGGAGGCGCTAAGTAGGGTAGGCAAGCTTAACCTACAACAATATAGACCTACCCTAACTTCCTGTGGTGTTTCGTCTGGGAATGTGAGTCGATATCCTTCTCGAACTCTTCGTACAACATCACTACCCAGCTCAGAGTATGGGTCTTTACCACACGAGTAAATCTCATAGCACATTACTCCTAAAAATATCATTTTTATTACCTAAAAATTTTACAATTAGCCTTTTTAACAAAAAAATATCTAAAATGATATACAAATGTCAAAATTCGTTCACTGGTACTCAAGCAATACCTACAAATCAAAAAATTTTTAATAATGTTACCTAAAATTTAAAAAAGCCAAAACATCCCCAAAAAACAAAAAAAAATATATTATCCACCCCTCTCCTTACCATACGACCAAACGTCAGTCTTATAAGTAAACTTGAGCGTGCCAACCGCTTCTGGAGATATCCATTTGACAGGAATGGGCTTGGTTGGGTCAATGTCATACACAGGACCATCTCGAGTCAGACCAAAGTCCGAGATCTTGACCTGATCATCACTGTAGAGACAGTTACGGGCTGCAATATCACGGTGTAGCAGTTCACATTCATGTAGGTAATGGATGCCACAGGCTGCGCCGAAACACATTTCAGTCCGTTTGTCTACTGATAACTCGTTCTTGGATAGATAACTGTTAAGCGCGCCTTGTTTTGCGAATTCCATCACGATCATCAAGGGCTCCTGGAGAGCGGCTACACCGTAAAGTTTTACCTGAATTTCATTTTTTTCAAAAAATACAAAACAAATAATTTTTTAAAATTTTTTTTTGAAATTTCGAAAAGTTTTATTCCTCTCATTACCCTTACCACATTCGGATGATTCAACGGTCTCATAACCCTCGCCTCCATCATGACTTCCTTTATTTGTTCCTTGTTTAAGTTCTCCAGTTTCGCCTGTTTAATAGCACAATCCACAGTCAGGCCAGTGATCCTCGAGGTCCATTTCCCCAGACAAACTGCACCAAAAGCACCTTCACCAATCTGTTTTGAAACAAATATCTCATTGTGCATCAACTCCCAATGCTGGCGGATCACTGGGAACTGGAGTGTTGTTTCTGGGTGGCCCTGAAATGTAAATTAACAAGATTTATAGCTAAAAACCAAAATTTGAGCCGTCAACACCTACTATAACATAAAATTATAAGACATAAACATTGTTTAAACTTTACTTTATCTATATAACACTTTACTGACGCTGTATTAAATTTTACACCAAGATATGACAGTTAAAACCCACCGAATTCAAAGGTTCTCCACTGGTAAGGTGCTGTTCAATAAGCTTGCTAATGCTGTCAAAGCGACGTTGATGAATGAAAAACGTACCAGAATCGTAGCGGATAATAAAATGACGGATCTAAATATAATTTTATATCTACATTTAGCTTTGTCATTAAAAAGTTGCAGTATAAGATTGGTTTTCACTAAAAATCGCAAACATAAACATCCAAGTCTGGCTTGGTGTGGTTTACTTAATAGTACCCATCTTGTCACATTACGACAAAGTGTATCCAACCCGAGTGGTAGATATTACAAAACATTCTATAAGGCTTCAAAATCTCAAATTTTATCCAATTTTACATGACAATTTTCAATATATATCAAAATGCGTTACCTACATCGGCCTCAATGTCTCTGAAACCTTGTAAAATGGATATCTGGTGAAACAACAATATCAGTTATCCAAAACCTAACCCATATCAAAGCAAAAAACCTAAAGATCGTACCCCAACAACCTCACACTCACCGACTCCCTATCTGTTGGCAACGGCGCCTTCAAAGACAAGACATGACTCCTCGGCTGTCCCTTCACCGGCTCCGTTGTTCGAACCAGAAAGTCGCCTCTCTTCCTCAACATTTTCGGAAGGTCTTCGCGAGGCAGAAGCCCATGGAAGTAGGGTTGATGCATCAATGAAGGGTCCATTCCAACAGAATCCAGACGACCGTCTATGGCAGCGGCTTTGATAGAAATGAAAATCAGACATTTTGGTTCAGGTTGTCGATGTTTTGTTCAGAACATTGAAATCTTTGTTGTTTCTTGTTGTAGAAATAGCCTTTTTTGCCTGAAAAATATAATTTTACTGTTCTTTTTTCTTTTAAAAATTATTTGAAGCTGATTTCGCGAAATTGTGTTTTCGTGCTCGTACCAATTTTATTACTTTATGATACCGAGATTTCGCGTTCAAGTTTGACGAAATTTTGTTAAAACTGACGAAAAGTAATAGAATCTTGTCGTACCTTGCAGTTCAAGAGTATACCTTTCAATTTCAAGTATTTTTTGGTATTAACATCTAGTTTATCGCCATGACTAGCTTCCTCAACTCTAAAGTAAGTTTTTTCGTTAGTTTTGTTTTTAATTTTAGGTAACGCTGGGGAATTAGATAGTTTTTTTACGTTTTAATGATAAACTTTGTCTACGTTTATACTTTTGACTCATGCGGATGCATTGACGAATTATGTTGTTTTAGGCGTTGTCACCCGAAGCCTTTTCTTACTTTGGTGATTACATCATTCAGAATTGGCAGAAGAGAATTTCAGTAAGACCAGGATATTTTGATGTTAATTGTATTAATTTGGTTTGGTTTACAGTAAGTTAACTAACGATTTTGTTTTTTCTGTATTGTTCTAGGTTTAAGGTTAACGAAACTTTTATAAGATTAGGTAACAATTTCTTTACTTGTTTTCGTGTCTTATAAGAGCTAGTAAGATGGTTGACTATATTACGCATAAATTTATCATATTCTAGGTGCCTTAAGAAAGCAGTTTTCTGAATAGTTTTAAATTATATTGTTTTAGTGTATCAGCCAAAAGGCAGCGCTATTCGTTCGTCGTCGAAACTTGTTTTGCCTTCGAATTCGTGCTTCTTATCGAAAGATTACAGATGTCAGGGTGGGAGTTATGATCAACTTCGAGAAAATAAAAACGAGAGATGAAATTACCGAATATGATTATCAGCTACTAAACAAACGTTATCAGGAGATTCTCATGGTCTGCATGCCAGTATTTTCTGGCATTTCTTTTCAAATTGACATGGATCGGAATTCGATTATCACGTTTTATGGATATTCGTGTAGAAAGGCTTCTCAAGCGTATTATGACACAATGAATTGTAGGTTTCTGGTTATTTTTTTGTGTTTTAGCGTTATCTGTGTAGATCGACAACAATTTCTGTTTTTGGGTTGAATATTGTGAAAAAATAAGTTACTTTTAATATCAGAGGAGGTTTTGGTCTATATTAATGAATGGTCTTTATCAAATATGACTGAAAACAATTTGTTTTCAGCTTTAATTCATAGCAAATTGAAGATCAACCAGGAAATGGTGAATTATTTTTTGAATATGATGAAAGAGCACTTGTTTACTGTTGACTTCTGCACTTCTGACAACACTTGTTACTACAGAGTGTTCCCTGTTTTGATGGAACTTGAGAGCATTGATTTTCGTCGACTTTCAATCCGAATCGAAGGAGGTCTAAATCCGTGTACATTAAGATTGCTAAAGAAGCATTCAGTGAAACATCTGGAGCTGTTACCCTGTGCATGGCAGCTGTATCTGCTCCCAAAGATTCGGATGTAGGTTTCTTGATGTTTTCTTCAAAGTTTGGTTATTATTTTAGTTGGTTTTCGGTCGAAAAATGGGAAGAACATTAGTTTTTTTTATTTTTATATATTAGTTTAAGATTAATGTAGTAGTTTTAGTGATCATGCTTTTACGGTGGAAAAGTTGACGGTGAATTTTTTGTATTTAAATCAGGAGTCACTGCTTGACAAAATTGTGGATCGCATGGAGGTCTTCATGGAGTTGGTCAGTATTTACGTGGAGATGGATGTGTTTGAACTGAAATTGGAAATTGTAAGTTCGTATAACCCTGCTTTATAATTTTTCTTGTTTTTTACGATTTTACAATTGCTAGAAACGAAAAATACCAAAACTACTGGATCTGCCTATGTCTTATGCTTTTTAGAGTTTTATTCTAAACAAAAGTAGCGTGGTTAGAACGTTTGACCGTATTATTGGAAATACAATGAATCCTGCTGTGGAATACATGGCAGAGGTGGCGGTGGCGCAATGCGCATACGGCGTAAGAGGAGACGTTAATCTGCATGACTTTGAAGAGTGGGATTAAGTCCAGATACTGCTGGGAGATTGATTCTTCTTATCTGAAGTGGAAAAGAAATTGCTTACAAGGAAGGTACCCGACCTGCAACGCTCAGGTTTTGTTCAAACTTTTTTTGGCTACGTAAAGATCTTATGCAAAATTATAAGTTGCGGTTTGCGGTCATTGAGAAAACTGAAATCAAAAAATTGCGTTTTGAATTAAACCGGCAGAAAATTTAAATATATTACTTTTAAAACTTAAAACCGCAATCTAAGATTTTTTATATGTACTACTGGTACTACAAGGAATCTGTATTAAAATTTTGAGCTAATTCTGAGAGTTGCAGGACTTTGCTTGTTAGTCGAATTGGAAAATCTAGTTTCTTGTTAATCTTTTATTGTTGTCATTACTCAATATTGGGTACTTATATGGAAGTTTTTGTTGTAATAAAAGGTTTCTGTATATTTTTGATGTAGAACAAGGTTGTTTTTTGTCAAAATACTTATTTTTTTCAGTCGAACTAAAATAATATTTTCAAATTTTTAAAGGTAAGAGAAATCCGGTAAGACTATTTTGTGATGCCTGTTTATTATGAAAAGGTTTGTAACATGAAAAAGTGCATTATAGGTAACAGTTACAAATGAATGTTATGTATTATCAAATTCAAACCAGCTATTACCAAGGGTAATATCGCTTCAAGCACGGATGCATTCACGGTGGATTTGTACTTCCAATGGAGTGACAGAGTCGCGGATCTCGACCTCCAAACTGTCGGCCAGCTTCTGCAGGTTCTCGTATTGGTGGCGACGGATTTCGCGCAACATACGACGAGCATCGGCCGAATGACGTTCCCAGCAGACAAAGTCACGTTGCTCGGTCTTCTCCTTCTGCTCGTTGCTGTAGCTGTTTTGTGGGCAGCGGGCGACAGAGTTGCGAGAGAAGCAGATCTCGTGCTTGCGTTCCACAACCTCAATCATGTTTTTGGCGGCTGAAAGTAGGTGTTGTAGATATAGTTTTGTGATATTAATTTAGGTATTTAGGTATAGATTTTTTACTTAGTGATCTAGAAACAGTAATGCCATTTTTATCGAAGTAATTAAAATAGGGTTTTCGGTATAATAATATGGTAAAACGGTGTTATATAATAGTAGCCTTATATTGAGTAAATTGGCAAATATTTCAACATATATTACTTTTTATGGTAAGATTGTTATTTCTCATAGCTTACCGTAACATACAAACTTAAATTTTACTACCATAACTATAAAACTTTACTATTCAAACTACAATATACAATCGCCTCAATAACCTACCAACAGAGTTTCTCTTGCCAGTTTTGTAGTCGTATTCCTCGTCGCTCTCCTCATCGTATTGACGTTCGGTTCTGTACTCTCCAGATTCCCATTCTTCAGAATCCTTCTCTTCGTATTCGTCGTACGAGCGGGATTCAGAATCCATCTTGCGGAAGCGGCTTTGTCTTTGTTGTTGGTTACCGTAGAACTCGTTCAAGTGCTCTTCGTCGCATTGCGAGTCGCGGACGGTGTAGGAACGGTGGAAGTCGGCAACATCGTCGGTTTGTTCATTGTCGGCACGGCGGAAGGTCTCATCGTACTCACCGTTCAAGTGGCCGCACAGACCGCATTGAGCGTTGGCGAATTCGGGCGAAACCTTGACGAACAGCTTGCGACCATCGAAGCGGACGGTAACACCGTCGAAGCGAGCGTACAACTCTTCACCATCGTACTCCATGTTCTCCAGGGGGTGTTCGAAGGCCTTGACTAGCTCACCGTTCAAGGTCAGCTGCAGGGAACGTTCGGTCTTCTTGTCGGAGGCTGGTTGGACTTCAAGGACCATGTCTTGGGTGAGGATCTTGACGATCTTGTTGAAGTTCTTCTGTTCCGAGGTCTGTTGCTTGGCTAACACGACGAACAGTGGTTCTCCAGTGTTCTGACAGTCCTTGGCCACCACGCTGTAGCATTTGTGGCTCAATGGAGCGCGAAACTCGACGTCGTTGAAGGTCTGGATGATGTTGTTCTTCTGGATACGGCATTCAGCACGGGCATCGTCACTAGCACGGCTCAAGATGGACTTGACGGAGTGGTAGGCGGGGCGACGTTCTTGTCTCTGGGCGTAGAACCCGAGCTTGACTGGGGTGTAGATGTTCTCCAGGTGGAACACTTCGTTGGCGGATTGGAGGGTCAAGTTGAAGGTCTGACGTGAGATGGGTTCGATGGCCAAACGAGCACGGATGTGACCGTTTTTCTCGGCGTCAATCGATGGCTTCTGGGCGGGGTAGACTTCGCTCTGGAGGTAGTAGTAGGCCTTGATGAGACTGTACACGCGCTCGATGATGCGTTGGGATCGTTGGTGAAGCATGTAGTCGGCGGAGACGTCGATTTGGTTCAAGAAGAGGGCGACGTTTTCTGGGAATCTGGCTTGAGGGCGAGCGGACAAGAAGGCTTTGATCTTCTGGTCGAAGTTGGTTCCCCATTGGACGTGGACACGGGCCAAGAAGCGGTTGTGAGCATCGTCCTTCATGTTTTCGGGCATCAAGGTGTCGACGTTGGCTTCGACCTTCCAGTCGTTGGACTCGTCGAGGTAACGGATGGCTGGGCGTTGAGCCTTGGCTTGGAATCGGCAGGCGGTCAAAGAGGCGTCACAAGTGGCTTCGAGCTCCAATTGGGACTTCTTCTCTCCGGCTTCGGCAACAAGGACGAGGCGGTGCTTGTAGGCCTTGTTGGAGGTTCCGGCGGTGGCGATCTTCTTGTGGTAGTTACTCATGAAACGGTCGGTACGTTGTTGTTCTTGTTCATCGTACTCTTCCTCTTCTTCCTGTTCGAATCCGCCAGTCCATTTGTCGATGGAGATGACTTGGCGTTGTTGTTTGCTGAACTGCTTCAACTGGGCGGAGATGGCTTCTTCGACTTTGACGGGCTTGAACAAGAAGCCGTGAGCCTTGAAGTTGACGGAGCCTTCGTAGTTCTGGGATGGGATGTAGTCGACGGTGAGGTGGTTCTCGGCGGTCAACAAAGTCTTCAGAACTTCGGTTGGGCGAGTCCAGTCCAAGGGTTGGTGTACGAGGCCGGAGACTCTGAAGCTCTCGGTGTTGTATCTGACTTCACGTTGGAGTTGTTGAAGTTGGCGGTTCTGGATGGACTGGATCTTTTGGTGTTCCTTTCCGACGAATGTGTATGGCAAGGTGCGAAGGGCGACCAATTGCACCTTTTGCCCTTCAGTCGAGGTCTGGAGCTTCAAGCCGTGGGCTACGGAGGCTTCGAGGCGGAGTTTCATGTTCTTGGGAGTCTGGAGCTCGACCGTTCTGTGAGAAGCGACTCCAGCGTCCTTCTTGGCGATTGGGTCCACGATTCTGAGGACTTTTTGGTGTTCAACAGCCAATTGGGCGCGCTTGATGTTCATGTTGGTCTTTAAGTGAGAGGTCAAGTCAACGTTCACTTCACCTTGAATCTTTCCGTGAGCCAAAACGATGGCGAGTTGTTGAGACTCGATCTTGAATCCAGTTGGAGTTGGGACGACGAATCCAGATTCGTGGGCAGAGATCATGGAGCTGAAGCGTCCTTCGGTCGATTCGGTGATCTGGAAGAAGTCGGCCATCATGCGAGCTTGTTCGGCGTTCTCCATGAGCCAGTTGAAGGTGGCATCGGTCAATGGCAGTACCATTTGGTCGACATCCTTAACTCTGATGGAGATCATGGCAAATGGGGTCTCGGTGGATTGTTGACGCTTCTCGATCTTGATGGACTCGAGGAACTGCTTCAGGTCGTTTCTTCTCTTCGAGGCCGAACGGTTGGCCGAACGGGCTTTGCGTGCCAAACGTTGAATCCATTGGTCAATGTTTTGTTGACAGGCGGACACGTAGATGGTGTGCTTGTTGACGAGACCGTTCAACATGTTGTCGACGTAGGCGGCAACGTGGGTTGGGAGCAGGGATTCGGGGCTGAAGGCCAAGCTGGCTCCAACGAAGACTCCTTCTTGTTCGGTGTGGCTGTAGATTGGCACACGGATGTGGCGAGAAGCACGGTTAAGACTCTCTTCTTCATCGAGGTTGGCAATCTTGAGGGATTGACGCAGCTTCTGGGCGACTTCTTGCTCGTAGACAACTGGCGAGTTGGCGTAGGCACGGCACAAGCTGTAGGTGAAGGCACGGACTTGCTCAGAACTTTCCGTCTTCAAAGTGTAGACAATTTGGTCGACGATGGTACGAGCTACCTCAGGTTGAACGTTAAGGGTGGAGGCGGTCAAAGAGAGGGCGGCCATACGAAGTTCTGGCTTTTCTCTGTTGTTCTCGAAGATTGGCATACAGATCTCTTGGATTCTTTGTGGGTGCGAGAAGCGGAATCTTCTCAACGTATCGACGGCTTCGGTTCTGATGAAGGTCGAGTGTTTGCGACCTGAGGCGATCTGTTCCAACAATGGCAAAGTCTTTTCTAAAGCGGCGTTGGCCAAGCACTTCAAGGCCAATACTCGTTCGTACTCGTTCTCGGCTTCTTCCCATCTTCTCTCCAATACCTTTTGGAACTCGGCAAGACTGGTTTGGACTTGTTGTTCTTCCTTCTGGGTGGGGTAGGCGGAGGAGAGACGAGCTTGTTGTTGTTGTTGGTTCAATTGGCCAACGATGGCGGAGAAGGCGATCCAGCAGGTTTGTTGGCGGGTCTGGTCTTCTTTGTTCAAGTCTTCACACACGTCCAAGATGTGTTGAGCGATCTTGTCGGATGGAGCAATCATGTTGCCGGAGATGGACTTCATGACCTTGACGAAGTGGATGGTGTTCATCTTGTTCAGTTGGTGGGACAAGACGGCGATCGTGTTTCTGGTGGCAGACATGGCCAAAAGGTCGTCGAAGAGTTCACGCTCGGCAGTCTCAGTGTACTGTTCGCGGATGTGCTTCAGGGTCTTTTGGGAGCATCTACGGATGTGGTAGAGACATTCAGTGACCTTGGTGATGATCTCCTGCTTGGACTCGTGGGCGTTCTTCTCGAAAGCCGACACGATCTGGCTCATGTGGCTTCTGATGATCTTGGTGCGGGATTCGTCGGAGTGCTCGGCGTGGAAGGGGTTGGTGGAGAACTCTTCGTCACCGTACATGAAGAAGCGCTTCTCGTTGGACTCGTACTGGCTGTTGTACTGAAGAGTCTCTTCTTCGTTCAGCTTTTGTTCTACGGCTTCTGGCTTCTGTTCCTCGACCTTGGTCAAGTGAAGGCGGGCCAAAGCCAAAACTTGTTGAGCGTTTTGGTTCTCGGCGTTGGTGGACTTCATCTGGTAGCTGGAGACGGTTTCGGAGTTCAACAGGGCGATCTTCTCGTTGTTGGCACGGAGTTGGAAGAGGTAGACAGTGGAACGTTCCAACTTTTCTTGAGGGATTGGCTGGATTCTCTGTTGTTGCTTGCTGGATTCATCAACGGTGTTCTGTTGACGGTACAACTGTTGTTGGCTTCTGATGAACAAGTGGGATTGGGCTTGTTCGGATTGAAGACCGTAGGCAATGTCAGAGACCTTGCGGCAGGCATTGAACTGGATGGCCTTGGTCACGTTCCATTGTTGTTTGCCAGTTTCAGCCACGGTGTATTGGACTGGGCATTCACCTTCCAAAGTGGTCTCGATCTCGGTGAAGGTCGAGGGTCTAGCGTCGGATTGTTCGGAGACCTTTCGGACGGATTCGAACGAAGCCTGCTTCAAGTTGAGCTGCATCAGGTTGATCATGGCTTTCTTGATGTTGCGGGACCAGGTGGGGTCGTTCTTGGCGAATTGGACGCGTTCCACGATGCCGTCGGCGATGGTGAACTGGACTGGCAGACGGAGCTGGGCCATCTTTTCTTCGGGGATCTGGGCACGTTCGGAGAGCTGAATGTGCTGGAGTTGAGAGGCTTCAACTTCATCGTTCAGTTGGCCAAGACGAGCTTTCTGGACGCGGAGGATGGCGGAACGGTCCGAGGCAAAGTCGACACGGATCTGGGCGTTCAAGCGTTGTTGGGCACGTTGAGAGCTGATCCATGGGGCGTAGCCGGCACTGAGCTGAGCGTCGTATTGGTAGTGGTAGGCACGGTTGGCTTGGGCGAAGGCTTTGGACTGCCAATCGGCGGATTCATCGTTCGACGAGAACAGTGAGGCCGAAGCCACACTCAGCGCCACGAAGGCGACACACAGGAGCTTCATTGTCCTGTGGTGGAGTCGGATGGTGAAATCAAACACCTCGAGTTCTTTTATACTCGGCTTTATCAGTGAAATTTGGATTGACCTCCGAAGAGTCCATCTGAATGTGATGGACAGCTCGTTTGGGTTGGTTGAATGCACTCAGTTTTATGGCTTTCAAGGGGTTTGGTGGAAGGTTTTGAACTGTTTTTATGTTGCAGTAGGCTTTGTGATACTGTAGTGAATTTGATTTCTCAATTTTTTACTTTGGTTTAGTTTATTTTGTATTTAAAATTAAATTTGTAAATACTTTATAAACTTTTTTTTGTATTTTAGGTAATATTTTACATTATTTTTAAGTTTACTTATGTTTAGCTGTAGTAATTTTGTACATAACGAGCTTTTTTATATTTTACATTTTCAAAAATATAAACGTATATTGTTGCAGATGTGTTTGAACTTGCGTACGATGTGATTGTCATGCTGTTTTTATGGAACGGTGATAAGCTAGCGTGAAGTGTGATAAGGCAATCAACCTGTCAGTTCTCATGTTCACGGCTAAAATTAACTGCAGAGAAGGAAGAACAAGGTTTAAGGTTGTCAAATGACACTTTTTGCAATTAAAACGTTATGGTACAAGTAAGTTTTATGGTATTTTACTTAAGTAAAGGTTTAGAATTTTAAAAATTTGTCAAAATTTTAATTTTAAGCGTTTAGATTAAAAAATTGAAGGTTTTTTGATATCTGCTAAAGGATTTAGGTTTTAACAAGTATTCTTCAGGGTCTGAAGCTTCAGAAATGTACCGCGGCATAATCGCTCAACGTGCTCAACAACGCTTGAACGCTAAGATTCATTTCGATTTTGCCTCGGACCGTTCCGCCATCCTCCGCGTCCAGAAAGCTCGTCTTGATTAACTGAAAGATAGAATTGAACCTCAACTCTAGCACATTTAAGCTTTCGACAACGTAAACAATATGAAGAATTATGGTGCACTTTTCTCTCTCTCGAATGGTCGAGAAATTGCCGTAAGTTAATTGTATTTTTTCTTGTGTTTTAGGTAAACTTTGATGATGTTTTTTGGGTTATAACTGTTATGAGAAACACTTTTTTCAATCAAAACGGTACTTTTTATGGGTGTTAATTAGATTTGGAAGAAGGTCCGGGCTCGAATCGAAGGATATTTGAAAGGGGTCGGTCGGGCTGCCATAAATGGGCCCGAGGGCTATGGTTTAAGAAAGGCCTGAACATTTGACTCTAGATGAAGTATATTGGACTCTAGATGAAGCGTAACTTTTTTTTGAGGATCTTTTGTTATAAACCTAGTCTGAACTCTAATTTTTGGTTTTTGAAAAACTTAATATAATGTTATTCAATTTCGATTATTGTATGTATTTTTATTTAAATTTTTTGTACATCTTACAATGGTTATCAATATTCTATCACAACACTTCAATATATGTGACTATAAGCATGCATCACTGTATTACAATGTACAGTCTACCTCAATATGTATGACTATTAATACATCACTATGAATATTGTGTTTGAATTGTCATCAAACTGAAACACAAAAGTTGATATTATACTTGACTGCAGTAGCCGGGCTGATGCATAGACTTGATTTGTGACTGTGTGTTTCATGAATCGAACGGTGAAAACGTTCCGAATAAAACAATGGGAAGAACGATGTGAATGATCCGTTAGTAATAGTAACGTTCTCAATAAATTTTCCTTTTTTACTATTCTGTTTTTATTACAATCTGTTTCGAATTTTGATTTCTGAGGTTTTAACTGATATATGGCACGGTATGATAGGGGGTATTGAGGTATTGTAGGTTTACTACGAGTATTTTTCAGTACAAAACTGAATTTAAATATGTATTGCAGTGTTACTGAGTACTGTATAACAAGATGTGCCATACTGTTTATTTATGATGGATATTTTCAATGTAGTATATATTACGTATGATACTGTAGGGTTTCTGACTTCTATATAGATTAATGTATGGTACTTTAACCTTATTTGATGATTAAAGTACCACACACTTGTATTTGGGTACTCTATTATATGGAGTATCATACTGTAGCATTAAAGGTTTTTGATCTTTAAATTTTACTTACTGTAACTTTAATTCATTAGTGTGCGGTAGATTTTAATCGTAATTTAGCTTGATGATGAAAGCTTCTTCTTTAGTACAATATACCTATAGCTTTAACTATAGTATTCAAAAACCGCCTGCGGCTTATCACGGTTTAGGATCGGTTATTCAGAAAGGAGCCGAAACCAGTCCAGTCTAAAGAGGAAATTAAACTGTTCGATAACACTTAATGAGGCTCTTAATTACGTTGTTACGCAACACGTCATTACTTTAAAGTTATCTCAAGTTAACGTTTACATCAGTCTGGATTACTGTGTTCTTGGTCTGGTGTGATACGTTGTCATTGTTTGTGGTAGTAGGGTTAGTGCAGTCGAACAGTTGTTGTAAGGTTAAGAACCACATTAAGAGTACTGTTTCTATGGTTTTCTCGGTATTGGTACTGTAATTATAAGACAGACCTGTTTGGTAGATCACTTGGTACTTTAGCGACATGATTTGTTACTGTATGACTTACTGTACTTTAGGTTTGGTTGAGCTTTCTTATGGAGATTAAAGGGTTTTGAACTGGCTATGTTAGAGTACACTTTGACATCAAACTCCTAGTAGTCTAGCCTAAAAATCTAAAAAAACAAAAGTTGTAATGCTAGTTTCGACTTTTTTTCATTAAGACTCTAGTGGTCTGACCCGTTTAACATAGTAATTTTACACTTTTCGACTCGATCTTACGCACTTGACTTACATTTACAGTTGTAAAACGAGGCAACAGTTACATTGTAACAATTTTTTACACATTTGGAAATTGAAAACGTATAAATTTTTGAAAATTTTGAAAAAACTGGCAAGACAAAGCCTCGTACAGGCTCGGGCGGGCAGTTTTGCAATTTTGAGCTGGGGGAGGGAAGGAAAAGGGGTTGAATTTTTTTTGGGGGGTGCGTTGAATTTTTGTGGTTTTTTTTAATTTTTCATCAGTTTATTTACCTCTCCCCGCCCTTTCTACCTCTCCTCGCCTTTACTTTTTGTTCTTCCTTTTCCTCCCCCATCTCCTTTTCTTGGCATACCTAAAAGTTCAGCTAAACAAACACATACCATACTTATGTCACTATGCTCTGTACATTAAAAAGTGTGGTATGTTTTTAATGTATTACGATAACTGTGCAAATGCACCTGTAATCGTATTTTGTTTATATAGTACTCATATGCACATGTACGAGCGATTTTCCGCACCTGAAGGTTAATATTGGCATTCTATTTTTGGAATTCATAAACTTATGGCTTTAGGTCTAAAAGTTGATAGAAAAACAAAAAAAAGTTGGACAGTAGGCAAGAGCCAGAGTTACTAGGACTAACTCTTTACCTCTGGGCCACATTGGATTCATGCTCAATTCGCTTTGCTCAAGGCAAATAAGAAGGATCAACTAGGTTGATTCTTTGACTCTTAGCATCTCGCTAGCCAAAGCCATTTATCAGTTTTTGAAAATGGTTTTCCTGTTAAACTTTTATTCTTCTTCATCCTTATATACAAAAACCTGAGTGATATTTGGTGCAACTCTCTTGTTAGGGCTCTAGTTACGATAAAAGTTCAGCCAAAGATAGCGCGGTCCAACTTAAAAAGTACATAGTAAAACCTGCTATTGTTTTACATTATAGTAACTTGGAGATAATACAGGGTTAGTGACAATTTGCACAAAATGACATGCATGAGATTACACTAGGTTATTGTTGTGTTTTTGTGTTGAAAGGGCATTACTAAGCCTGTTATTACTGGCCTTAGCTATATGTTTGTTATATTAAAGCTAATTGCACTAAGCTTTGTCTGTTTTGTCATCAATGGCGTTTGGTACTTCAAAGATTATTGATATTACTGTTGTGGTACTTGACTTTGCAAGCAATCTCTCTTTTTAGTCTTGTATAGCCTCTTAACCTAAACCATATCTTACTTTACAAAGTAACATATGCTTTACAAAAGTAACATATGGCTTGTAGATAGGTATGTTATAATGTTACCTACTATAATATCACAACATACTTCTTTCCCCTACGTACCCATTTCAACATACGAAGTAGAAAACACTGTTCCTTGTCATAATGTTTTCGAAAGCTGCGAAATCAGGTACAAATATTAACATCTGGGTGCAATAACACTAGTTACTTATGTCATTCATAATTCATTATCTGTCTCTGTTAAAAAATATCTTACAAACTTTTGATTTTCGAATAAATTTCAAAGTTTTGGCGCAGTTTGAAGGAAGTGGGCGGAGCTTGAGGGAGGATGAGCGGATTCGTTGAATTCACTCGTTTTGGAAGATGTTGGGCCTTTTTCTTGCGGCCAAGACTTTCTTGGTTTGGGGGTTGGGGTGGGTGTAGTGTAGACTTTCTTGGCTTGGGAATAGGTTAAGTTTAGGGCAGGAAACTTTCTTTTTAGTTAGTATTTTAATGATATTTTACTGTGTAAAGTCATACTGTTAAGTCGCCAAGTAATTATTTGTTTTAAGGGGGTGGTAATGAAAATTTTTTTTGGGATTTGGAAGAAGTGGGGCGTGGGGAGTAGGAGTTGGGGCGATATTTACTGCTTTTTGACAGGACTAGGCCGATTTTTAAGCTTAGCCTGAAAACTGTGTTTAGCAATGTTTCTTTCTCTACTCTTTCCCCAGCGGAATTGCAGGAGAAAATATTATTCTTTCTGTCTCAGCTTTGACTATATTAGCATATTTCTTAACTTTTACCTTTACTATCAAGCATGTTATCGAAAATTAAAGAAAAAACTGTGATTTTTAAAAATATAATTTTTTATAAACAGTAGAGTGCATGTAATTTTTAAATATTTTAGCTGGCTGTAACACTGCAAGCCCACATTCATTACAAATTTATGAGTTTTTTTTGAACTGAACTCGTTAGTTTAAATTAGCAATCTAATTTTTTTCTGTTACTGTAGGGTTGTATCTTTTGGTAATTTTAAAAGTATTTTTTATTTCATTTCAAGAATGAAATTGAAAACATTTTTTACAATTTTTAAATTTTTTGGCAATTATTTTTACATTTTTAGATAGGGGAGGGGAGGGAAGGGAGAATTTAAATAAAACTGACATGAAAAATTTTATTTTTTGCCTTTTTCCCCTTTCCCTTCGTGGAACAGTCTAATCTACACTAAATTTTCTTGCTGGTTTTATTATTATTATTACTACTTGGGCCTTTGTCTGTAATATTATACTATATTGATATCTAGGGTCGAACCAAAGGGTCGATAGGTACTCACCCGTGGCGAAAAAAAAGTTTTTTTTTCAAATTTAATAGTCAAGTTCAGATTCGACTTTTTAAATTTTTTTTGCGGAGCCTAGTTTGTATTAATACTACTTTCTATGATTACATTTTCTTCTATCTTCTTCTTCTACCATCCACTGTCTTTTTTACTGTACAACTCTCTCTAAAGGAAGTTGTTAATTACCCAAAAGGCATATTGTTGTTTTCCAGTTCTGTAATTTACAATTATTCTCATGTTATTGTAAAGCAACGGACCGTTCCCACCGTATATTGTTGTTGTGTGATAACTGCATGTACTCGACCCCGACTACTGTACCTCTATTATTCACAAGTCGGAATATTAATTTATTATTTTGTGTATGAGCAGCAGATGTAAATGTTCTACTGGATTTATGTGGGAAGGGAGGGGGAGTCAGTGTGTGTATATTCATGTTGGTACGGGTATTTATGAGGTTCAAACGGGTTGTTAATGTTAAATGTTTGTTAGTGATAAAATATTTGTAGTTTTTAAGGTAGGAGGGGTGATTACTTATGTAAAAAATATGTGGTTAGAGAAAGTTTAATCAAGTTTTAAAGTATTTAGGGGGTGTTGCAGTTACTATTGTGTAGTTTTTGTGTAGCTGTAACAATTTTTGAGGTTCTGAGTTTGTAGGCTTATTTTGCAATCTTTGTAGGCTTATTATGCCGTTTTAATTTGTAGGGTTATTTTATCATTCTGATTTTCTAAAATGTTCTTGTGTTTATACAGACTGCTAGTAAAGCAATACTTTTTTGGTATTGGGGGATAGTAAAACAGGGGAACGGGGAGAGTGAAATTCCTGTATAACGAAACAATAACGAACAATTTTTAAAAAAACCGAGCGTTTTGTTATACAGGACTTCTACTGTAACTTGCTCTCTATGATATTTTTTGCTGTTCGAAACTCATTCTTGAGTTTCGACCTGATCTACTTACTTTTGATTATAAAAAATACTCTTTTTATACAAAGTAATATTATTAATGATGTTTTGCTTTGCTATATATCAAGATAATCGTTTTGTACTTACTCTTTATCTAATTTTTTTACAATTTTCTGAAAGCTTTTCTATCAGATAGGCTACTTAATAGTACTCAATATATTATAAACCATATGATTTGCTAAAACAAATATGACGGGATGTTACTATGTTGTAGACGTACATATGATGATAAATATTTAAGAAAAGAACATAGGGTGTAAGGTAGTGAAAGTAAGGCAGTAAGTAAAAGATATGACATTAGGCTAGTAAGCAATGTAGACAGCAAAACAGCCATTTTAGGTAAATAACATCTAAAGTAGATGGTAAGAAAAACATAGTAAAAATAGAGTAAAGGACATAGAAATAGAACAAGTAGTAAGAAAATTTTAGTATCTATAGATACTATTGGTACTACTGAGTACAATAGTCTAGTATGTACTATACTACTCAGTATTATAATGTAGTATCTACAGATAATACTGTGTACTACAGAGTCACCTAAAAACCCAACAGAGTAACTAACCGATACCACACAGTAAAAACAAGATAGACAGCCGGCTGTCAGCGCAAAAGGAAGGGGAACAGGGGTGGCTAGCCGGGGGGATTAGAACGAGTTCCTTTCGCTTATTCGCTTTGCCCGAAATGAGTTTACGGTTGTCCCCGGAGACAAATTTGGGACAAGTTTAAAGGAAGGTTTCTCCGCCGTTTAATGACCCGCCCTGCCCCCCTCCCTTTCACTTATCCGCTTTATAGCCGGATTATATAAAGGGCATGGTTAGGGTAACTCGGGTTATGACAAGTTCGCTGCCATGGTTGGTTTGGCAATTGACGGTTGGGGTATGGGTGTTGAGAGGGAGGATAAGGGTACTGTAGTTTTCTACTGCTTTAGAATTTATGGGTATGGTAGTTTTTTATAGGTTTAGGGGAAGAGTTTTCTAAGGTATGAATAGGTTAGACTAAAAGTTGGGATTTTGAATTTTAAAGTCTTACCCTCAAGGTATTTATACTGCAACTATGATTAAAAAGGTTATATTGTAATTTTTAAAAAGCATACTGTATTTTTGTGTTTAAAAATGTCTTGTAATTTCAAATTTTTTGTTCACTATGGTTTAAAAAAATTTTTTGTGGTGTTTTACATTTTACTTTGACATCGTTGCTACTTCCTACCGCGTACTTTAAAGCGAAGACATTGAAGGGTTCAATCAGGCTCGAGTAGCCGGCTGTCTCTAACAGATAACCCTTATGTAGGCACTTTAAGGCTTCTGAATCTGACAGCTCGTTGAGAAAGGAACTTTTTCAAGCATTTAAATTTACACTGGCTTCTTGCGGGTATACCAAAAAATTTTTTTTTATTTTAAAAAATTTTTAAGTTTACTTTTGAAATTTTTTTATTCAAATTTAAGCTTGTTATATCGATATTTAAAGCTAAGTTAATTGCAGCAATTTAACTTTAGTGACCAAACCCTCGTATTTTACAAAAGTAGCTACTCCCTCCTAAAATACGAAATGTGAAAGTAGACCCATTGACCTGCCTCTCGAGCAGTGAAACCTTTCGGCTGAGATTTCACGCCAAGATATGTCTGAAATACGTTTCGCCCGCATTTACGTTGGTTAGAAAGTTCACTTGAGGTTTTTCCAGGATTTTTCGAGGAAGAATACGTTATAGTTAATACTTGTTGTAACCGTTTTAGATCTCAAAACTTTTTTTAAATTTTTTTTGGGATTTATCGCCGCTATAATTAGAGTTGAACATACATCAGAGTGTTAAATGCTCTGTCCTAGGTTTGATTGCTCTGTGCTCTGCACTAGGGCTGAACAGGGTGTTCTGTGCCTTGCCCTTGGGAGGAGAAAATTATCAAAACGGCAATTTTTTTGTTTTTTTGAGGCAATTTAACTCTGTGTATAACTTACGTTGTAGTACATTTTTTGTGGATTTTTGTAATTTTTTTGAAAAATTTTTATTAATTTTGGGTTTTTAAGATGTTGATAGTGCCTGGCGGATGATTTTGGACTGTAATGTAAAAAAATCTTTCTTTTAGGTATCGATTTAAACTTAATTTTTCATTCGCCAAAAATTGAGTAAAAATTCAAACTAAAAATCTAAATTTTAGTTATGACCTCGCTTGGAATCCAGTCCAGTTTAAAGTTTTGCGCGGCGTGTCATCAGCCCATTCTGGACCAATACCTATTAAACGTGCTTGACCAGAACTGGCACCCCAACTGTCTACGCTGTGTGGACTGTAAAGAGCCTCAAGACGAGAGTTGTTTCTACAAAGACGACATGATACTATGCAGGGGAGATTTTACTCGGTAAGGAAATTATATTTTTAAGACTTGGTTTTGGTTGAAAGAGACATGTATATAGGTATGGACAGGGTTTTCATAGACTGAATTAGGAATAGACATGGCTTTCATACAGTAAATTAGATACAGTCAGGGATTTTAGACACCTAGATAGGTATAGCCAGGGCTTTTAGAGACCAAAAGAACTTAGAGAATGGTGTAGAAAGGACCTTTATTAAATTAAATAGGTACAGACAAAGTTACAGTTTGTATACTTGGTCGGAGGGGTAAACAATTAGGGGGGGGGTTTTAAATTTTTTAAAAATAATTATGGAGGGAAAGCTGAAGCAACGTTTAGATTTTTTAATATAATTAGGTAGAGGGAGAGGTTAAAAAGTATAAAACCCTAATAAAACATAAATTTTCAGAAGATACGGAATCCGCTGTGCTGGATGCAATATGATAATAGAAAGAGAAGAGTTGGTTCGAAAAGCCCGAAATCAAGTATTTCATTGCCAATGCTTTTGTTGTTCAGTATGTCAACGAGTACTGGATACTGGAGAGCGGGTACGTTTTTTTTAAAATTAAATTAAATTTTGAATAAGAAGTAGCGGTATACCGCGGTAATTTAGCCCTGCAATACCCTAGCCTTACATAAGATTTAGCCTTTGTGCTTGAACAACCCTCAAACTAGCTCTGACTGCCCACTCCTAGCTCTGGTCTGCCTTGTCCTACCCTACCCTAGCGCAAACTTAGCTCTGCCGTATCCCTACCCTAGCGCAATCCTAGCGCAATCCTAGCCCTGCTCTATATCTTCCCTAGCCTAACTGAGCTCTAGCTTTGCCCTAGCCAAGCCAAGCCCAGATTTAGCCCTGCCTTAGCCCTGTCCTACCATACCTTATTTTATCTTACTTACCCTGCGCCATTTTTTTCCCTTTCACTTGCGCCACCCCTCTTATTATTACCCTCTTCTATCTTATAAAATCCAAATCAAGCCCCCCCCCCTCTTTTTAAAAACCTTTTTTGACGTAGATCCCTTTGTCCTATCTGGTTACCTTCATTTGCATGTTCTAGAATTCAGAATCCGACTTCTCTATTCATCTTCGTCTGTTTGTCTTTTTTTATTTAAATTTGGTTCCGGCTCGAAAAAAAATATCCGCGCGGATTGATAAATTGACCAGTTGGTTTATGTCGGCGGCTTTCACTACATATCTATGATGTCTTGCGCTTTCAAAGCCTACTGTAGCTTGGATATGGAAAAAATTTGAAATTTTGAGAAATTTTAAAGTATTAGGTTGTTAAAATAATTCTGTGCCCCATAACCTCGAAAATTTGCTTTGAGAGTTTGAGAGGAGCACAGGATTATTTGAACATACTAATATATTTGTCAAAGGTCTAAAAAGTTTTGTCGTTTTTCAATGTGCAAGACACTGTTAAAAAACGACAAGGGGCACATAATTATTTGAACCTACTAAAACCAAATACAAAAAGCAAAAATATAAAATACGAATGCACATTAAGGTAAAATAAACAATTTTTGGTCGCCGTACGTTCCCTTGCTCGTCTATGCCCTGGGGCATCAGTTTTGACAGCGAAGGGAGTGTCAGAATGTCATAACACGAGATGACAATGTTTGTCACAAAAAGTGAAACAGTATGGTAAAAAAGGGAACACATTGGCACACTTTTCTAGATTTTGCGACATTTAACAGCAGTTTTTGTACAGAAAGCGCTAAAAATTATATTACGCTCGACCAAACGGCATGGATAATATAATTTAAAGCAAAAATTAAAAAAATAAAGAGTTGGCAAAAAGATACCGAAAAACACTGTAAAAACTAGCAAAATCAGCATAAGTTGCGTAATAACTTTTTAGTCCAGCCGGCCTTTTTGATACATTTTCGTCGGCCGACGTCCGCCGGGAATCGAATTTGATATCGGATATGGAGACGTCAATCCAAGAGATCTTTGACAGCTCGCACGACTACTCAGTCGTTTTCTTCACTCACTTAACAATTCATAAAAACAATAAAAGCGAAAGTTACAGTAGTGCGTTCGACGTGTGTAACATAGTAGGGAGATTGAAAGTCTAGGACAATATTTAATGGGATTTTTACGAAAAATGGGTTATAAGATTAAAAAATAGGTTGCATTGTATAATATAAAGGTTTCTATATTAGTGTAAGAAATTGCAAAAAATAAAAGAAAATGCGCATTTCATGTTTTCGTTGCGGGACCCAACTCAAAGCAAGATGTAACTAAAAAAATCTTGATTTTAGGCTTTTTTTAGTGTCATAGTAAATTTCTACAACGTATGTTCTTTAAAAACTAATGCCTTAGTTACTTTATCAAAAGTTACATCGACTTTTACTATCAACTCTCACTTTACAGTACGGCAAAATGTACTGGTCCTCCGAATTCCCCAAGGGCATAAGTTTTGGGGACTTGAAAAAGTCGCTCGTAAATCATAAAAATGTCAAAAAACGAACCGTCGAACACTTTCGGAACGTCGAAAACACTATTCCTACCATGACATACGACCCCCGACCATCTATAACCAATTAAAGTTAAATTTACTGCGTTCGAAAAAAGTTTGAAGAATTGTAAAGTTGGGTTTTACATTACCAAATATAGCAGAATCTATATAAGATTGTTAAAAGCATGAAGATTGAAAATTCTCCAAAAATCAGGTTTTCGTGGTGGGACCTAAAAATGTTTTAAAAATTGAAAAGTTAAAAATTTGAAAAACAATATGCCTTTCTAACACAATATGATGACAAAAAACACATTTTCAGTTATACATAGTGGATGGCAAGAACTTTGTGTGCAAAAACGACTATACCCCCAGTAAGATCCTCGGTACCACAATGACAAATCGATCATCCAATGACGAATGTAGCTCAGATGAAGAGGTCGATGACCACAGTGATGATCACGGTAAGCTAACACAACTTTTTCAATCTGAGCTTTTCAAAAAGTTTAGTTGAAAATTTAAAAAACTTCATTTTTACTGAAAAATTGGCTAAATTGGTCTAAAAATGGCCTGAAACTGGCATTATTTTGACTAAAATAGTACCAGATTGGACTGAGTCTTGTAACAAACTGTACCCTATTGTCTTATCTGTTACTTTACTGTCTTGTCATTAAAATAATGGCCACTAACTACTACTATATGCAATGTGCCACTCCGAATTCCCTAAAATTCCCTGCCTTTGGGCTGAATTTCCGTCGAATTTTGTTTCGAAATCCAACCAAATCGATCGTTCTGCTTCGATTTCATTGGAAGGAGGCTCAGAAGCTGATTGACATCCCAGAACAACTGGCAGCGGTACCACCGGAAGGCTTTAAGGCTGTCGTTGTATGGTTGAATCTACCGAATATTGTGGATAAGGATGTGGTCGAGAGCAACTTCATTGACATTCATTGCTGGGTGGTGGAAGACCTGGATTCGACCGAAAATTGGCTTCAGAATCCGCCTGGATATCAGTTTTTGATGCACAAGATACAGGTATGTTGTTTTTATATGGATTTAAAAAAGACATTATAAAGGGGAGTTTTTGAGGAGTAGGTTATGTTATAGTAGGTACATTACAGTAGGCAGGGATCGAGCTCAGGGACGTCGTTTGGGGAAGGGGGGTAAGGGGGGGGCTACCTCCTCTCCCAAAGCCGATCCGAAAAAAAATTCCACAGGTCCCCTGTACGCGAAAAAAACAAAAAAAAATTTTTTTTTAAATCGGTTCACAGGAGCTACGTGTGGACGAAAAAATTTTTTTCGACCTCCCCCTCCCCCAGAGAAAATCCGTAGCGACGTCCCTGATCGAGCTAAATTGTTAATAAAAGAGGTGAGGAGCGGTATGATATAGATTAAGAAAGGCAGGATAAGGAGAGTTTTTGAGAACTAAGTTATATTATAGTAGGTATGTTATAGTAGGTAGGGATCAAACTAATGGGTTAGAGAAGAGATGAGGAAGGTAAAGTTTACTTCATAAAACTATGAGTATAAATTACGCCGAAGCTAGTATTTTTTAAATTTCAGACAGAACTGACTGATTATGTGGATGAATCTGCCTTTCAACCAACGTTCATGGAGGTATACCTAAAAGACGCGCACAAAGATACGATGGCGGATGATACAGTCGGCTTGGAAGGTAATTTTTTTAAAAGTTAACTGGAAAATACGATGTTATATCTACGTTAACAATAGCTTTCGCAAAAATATAGCAAAATTGCTCAGAATCAAGTTTTCGTGGCGGGACTCAAAGTTTTTTAAAAAATTTTTACAATAAATAACTTTGTGCCATTTTTAATAAGACCTTATAGAATTAAGCTTAACATTTTTATTATATTTTTGCAACAAATTTTAAACTTTGTTTTAAAATGGTTTTGATGTGGTATATTATAAAGGTTAATATTAGGTTGTTCAAATAATTCAGACCCCTCTCAAAGAAAATTTTTTGGGGTTATGAGGCCTAGAACTATTTGAACAATGTTATATAAACATTAATATTATAAAATTTCAGCTCTTCATCTACTGATCACCAAGACCTTGAAACAATGGAAAGAGGATAAGCCTCAACTATTAGAGACCTCGAATTCGGAATCGACCGGTCAATTGTCTACAAAGTCTTCTGGTCTACCTTTGGTTTGGGCGCAAATGCTCAGAAGATACTGGTTTTAATAAACTTGACTTACTCGATTGTTATTGTCTTCTTCACCTTAACCAAGACTTGTCTAAGGCTTATAATTACCTTAAAAATATTGTCTTAGGCTTACAATTACCTGAGAAATCTGGTTTTAGGCTTATAATATTGTCTTTTGGGTTCTTTTTGGTGTTGCTTTTGTTCTTATTTTAGTAAGGTGTTTACTGACGGCTGTTCTATAAGGTATTTGTCTTATTTTGGTCTTTATAAAGTGTTGTACTTAAGGTTCAATGCCAAAAACTGGAATTTTTAATCAAAAGTTACGTCAAAGAGGCTATTATTAGGTTGTTTAAATAATTCTGTGCTCCTTTCTCTTACAAATTTGCTTTGAAGTGAGGTACAGATTTTTTGAACAACTTAATATTATACTAAACTAAATTGTATAAAATACACTCTTTTCTTTTAAAATCCAGGATTTCAAAATTAACTGAGATCGTACTCTAATGGTAATCGTATTTTACAGGAGACGCAGCCACAGTAAGCAACGAAAGTAATTCTGGAGCCGAAGAGAATGGCTCAAAGGGCGACGAAAATCATTTGTCCCAAAAACGAAGAGGTCCCAGGACTACCATCAAGGCTAAACAGGTATGTATTGACTGGTAAAAATAGAAAAGGCAAAACTTTAAAATTAAAAAAATTTTTTTTTATTTTGAAAATGAAAGTTCACTTTTACTCATACTGCTATAACAAGTTTTGTAAGAGACAAGAGTAGCTATTATACCTCTATTGTAAGCGATGTACGCTACTATCTGGTTGCTCAAATAGTTCTGAGCTTATTCAAAACGAGTTTTTAGGATTAGGGCTCAGAATTATTTGAACAACCGAATAGCTCAAAAAACTTTTAATTTGTAAAATACGATCCCTATAATGTTGTTGTTTCAGTTGGAAACCCTGAAAACCGCATTTGCTTCAACGCCCAAGCCCACGAGACACATTCGCGAACAGCTAGCCGCCGAGACTGGACTAAACATGAGGGTTATACAGGTAGGAGCCGTAATTTTGACTTTAGTTTTTTGTTTATAAAAGTACAAAAGACTGTAGTAAGTATAGGAATAGTCTGGCAACGAACTGCGGATCTTTTTATTTTCAGTTCAAATAGCGGTCAAAAAGTTTGTAGAAATGCTGTTTATTTGGGAAGTTGTGTGGTTTTTATGGCGTTTTTAGGCATTTTTGGCTAAATTCAGGTTTTACCTGATTTAACATAACTGTATACCATAGTAAAATACATTTTCTTATCTGCAGTACTTATCACTACTATAATATATTACCAAATTTGCCGGCAAGACAACTTATAGTAGCTTATATCTCTTACAAAAGTTGTCATATTAGTTTGTTCCAATAATTCTGGACCCGCTGCCTCAGAAAATTTGTTTTGAGAGGGGCTCGGAATTATTTGAACTAAATATTGGGCCGTTCAAAAAAACTATCCCCGACGACTTACTTTCAGAGGGGGCACAGAATTATTTGAAAAACTTTATGTGAGGCTGGTCAAATAATTCTGAGCCTCTCTAACCCAGAAAATGCGCTTTGAAAGGGGCTCATAATTTTTTGAACAATTTAATAGTAGCGCATATATCTTACAATAGAAGTTACAGTAACTTATCTCTCTTACAATAGAAGTTGTAGCAACTTATACCCGTTACAAAATATGTTATAGTAGAATGGGTAATCGAATACCCCTTCCACCAAGTTTAATTAGTCCCAAAGACCGTGGCCAAAAAACGGATTAGGCATTCGAAAAGACTTGGAAATCGAATTTGCTCGGCGAATGAAAATCCGACCCCCAGGGGATTACGGTAATTTCCGGAAAAACGCGGTAAACTTTTACGAAATACCATGTAAACTGTTGCCAAAAGAACATAAAAGTTGGGTCAACAAGGTTTTTAAGGCACTAAAGTTGGATTTAACATCATTTTATGGGAAGATACAATAAGATTTGGCATTTTATTACGTTGTTCAAAAATTTCTGAGCTACCTCTTAAAGCAAATTTGCAGGATTGGTGGCTCAGAATTTTTTGGACAATTTAAAATTAGCTGACTAGCTGAAACAGTAGACAAGATCATACCCCCATGCCCTGACAAGTCCATCTCCATCTCATTAGCGCGAAATGTCACAACATTTTGGCACTATTCTAATTAGGCCGACACCTGCTTAAGCGTTTCGAATGTTCGGCCGAGCGGAATGAAGCTCCCGGCTCCTTTTATCTCGAGTTGAGTAATCGCCATGACAGAGTGCATTTGGCCGTGTACAAACTCCTCAGCTCTCAAGGGGATTACGGTAGTTTCGTACCGTAATTGCATTAGCCAACCTGACAGTCAGGCAACATAACATGTTATAACTGGTTGTCCAAACATGAATGAGCTATATTTTTTGAAGGTTCCAAGTTACTGAAAATTTGTTTGAGAAGGGGCTCAGAATTATTTGAACAGCCAAAATTATTTTAAAAATATTATAAATCAAGCACTTCATCTTGAATATAACTTTAGGTATGGTTCCAAAATCGGCGGAGCAAAGAAAGGCGGATGAAACAGATGAGAATCAATGGAAATTACCGTGGTAATCGACGACAAAGACAGAATAACAACAGAGACGATGATGAGCCACAAAACATGGACTTTTTGCCTTTAGGTAAGGGTTTTTACCAAGTTCTGCTGAATTATCATCAGAATCAAATTACAGTCATTTTGGTAAAGGGAACAGAATTATTTGAACAACCGACTACTCTCTTTGCCAAAATTTATTTTAAATTTTTCAGAATCCAACCTCCCCACGCCTCGGTTCCAAACAATCCAGTTCTCAACAAATCCACCCCCAAACACAACTACCCTACCCTTGATTCCACACACTCCCAACCCACCACCTCTAGCAACATACGATCTGTATACCGCCGGTTCCATCGATGAAATTCCGTTGGATTTCTTGGGGAATCCGATGGAAACCAGTGCCATTCCTTTTTGGACCACCCCCAACCTGGATGACTTTAACAAGTTGACTGCGAATGTGTAGTGAGCGTATCTCATAGTTTATGATAGTCGTTTTTGTATTATAGTTTATCTTAGTTTAGCTTTATACATATTGGCTATGTTAATTTGTTTAAAATTATTTGAGAGCTCTAAGGCAATTTGCACAGTGCAAAGCATATGAAAGGTTTGCACTGTGGAAAGCCTATAAAATCGTTAGTACCGTGCAAAGGTTAAAAAAACCTTGCACAGTGCAAAGATTATAAAGCGTTTGCACTGTGCAAGCCTTCCAAAAACTTTTGAGGCCATTTTCCATACATTTTGTCTGGTTATTTAAAGTATAAGTTGGCCTACTGATATTACTCAGTATTACTATGTAAAATACCAAAACCCATGTTAATAGAACCTAGTCGTCTGTTACTAAGCCATAACAAAGTCTCTCGGATCGACTGCACACTGCACTGTGCAGTCTTTTAAAATAAATTGCACGGTGCAATCAATTTAAAAATGGCATAAAATTGAATTTTAAAACAACTTTTCTCTATAAATAATCCGAGAACCTTTGCCAAAGTCTAGTATCATACCATAAGCTTGAGCTACATCTCCTCTCTCCAAATGCCATAACTGCAATATTGTAATAGACCACTTCGATCTCCGAATCTACTTTAACTCTCTGTGATTACCGATCTTTTCCCCATAATATTGAGCACAATAACTCGTAACAGATTCATCTCGCAAATATTTATTTTTCATATTAAAACCATGTTATTTACATCAGTAAGGATCAGAGGTCCAAAGTCAGGCAAAGTCTACATCGCGGCCACCTCTACAACAACGGTTACCCATATGTTGATTACTATAATGTAAAATTTACATGACAGTGCCATATTCGCAATACTAGAGCTCGGCAAAGTACCATTTCTCATAGCTTTAGTGCCAATTTTAATAGCTTCATTACCATTTTTATTGCCTTTAGTACCATTTTCCATGGATTTAGCACGGCTTTAGTACCACTTTTCATGGCTTTAGTGACATATTTTAAGGCTGCAGTACCATTCTTCATGGTTTTGGTACCATTTTTCATTGATTTGGTACCATTTTAATGGCTGTAGCATCATTTTTCATCGCTTTAGTATCAGTTTCCTCATATTTTGATACAAACAAGAATCAAAAATGAAATATTTAATTACTTATGCCTCCATCTAGCTGCAACTTAATGCCAAGGTACTCAAACAACAATAAATATTAAAATGTGACATTAGCCATGTACATCAATATCAACAAAAAAATAGGTGAAAAGGTATTCCGTTCGAGGAATTAAAAGCGTTTTCGAGATTTCAATAATACAAACGTTGGAAGACAATCGTCAAAACAGTACTGTAACATTGTTCGTTAACTTATATATCATTGTGATATAAGTTTAGTACAGTAAGATCTACTATTCTGAAATTTTACGGTACGGTACCTAATAATAATACAGTAATACTAGTATATATAAAAACACGGCTTTACGTGGAGATACGACAATGTAAGATACGACCATAAGTAAAGATACAGTAGCCACAATGTTATCAGATACCATCCAAAGTTGGATTGGTATGTATGTTGTATCAGAAGACACAGTAAAACACCAGTTTTTCATTTACAGTATCTCTGACAACCCAAGCATAACTGAAGACCCACAAAAAATACTGTATGTTGCTACTGTAAGAAATAGACTGCTAGAGAAGTTTTCCTATGGTTAATGTAAGCCAATATATTATTACTGTAACCAGTAGACAGATAGTGTAAACTCAATATTGTTATTGTAACCAATGGCTTGTTACCTTAACTAGTAGCTTACTACTGTAATCAATACAATAAAAAGTTTTTATAGACAAAAAGGCTACAGTACCAAATAACTACTGTAGCTACAGTACCGAGTAACTACTGTACGAATGCCCGTTTTCTGTAAAGTGAGAAGCTTGTAGAACGCCTAGTAGTTCCGTTGTCGTTTACCGTGATCATAGTCATCTGGGTTCCGACGTTTTTTGTCTGATGAGTCGAACTCTTCGTCTTCGCTGACTTCTGGCTCGTCTACCTCCTTCTTTTCGTTTGGATCCGTTTTCTTGAAGGCGAACACACGGTACATTGATATCACTTCCCATTCGGATTTGCTCAAGGTGCCCTGGAGTCAAAAATATATTTTAATTAAACCCAAAATTCATTTTCCGAAACAAAATACAATGAAAATGACGTTTTTGCATAGTATCATTGTCTAAAAGTCTAATAGTGAAAATACATGACCCAAAATAGCCTCAAAACCAAAATTTCGAAAAAATACAGTATGAAACCTACCACATATTCCTGATCACCATGTTCATTCAAGTAACTGTAGGCATCTGAATACTCCTTTTTGTGCCAATCACTTTCGCACATTTCTTTTCGGCCGAATGCCTCTAGGGCATTCATTCTTTTGAACAGTCTGAAGTGATCGCCTTTCTTGATAAAGTCTTTGTATCCTTCGTTCAGGGGTTTCGTGTATACCAACTCCATTCCATTCTCGGTCATCATCCTAAAAAACGTAGTTGAAAAATTAGGTTTATATAGCACAATTTTTAAATTTTCGTAAAAAGCCATAAAAAATGATGTTAAATACTTGAAAAACGGTACTAAAGCCATGGTAAAAATAGTACTGAATAAATAAAAAATGGCGCTAAATCCATGAAAAACGGTATAAATTTTTTATATAAGGCTTATGAGCCCACAACCTTTTACACAACCTAATACTGTGGTCTCACTATATAGTGAACCATCTGTATAAGCAACTCTCCTTATAGTAAACAAGAAATTTGGCCACGCCAAGTCAATTTGAACTAAAAATCCTCTCTGTAAAGACAACAACCCTTATAGTAAACTCAAAATGTCGGTCCCTTCGAGTTGCTTATATACAGAGAGTACTGTATTTAGATAGAAAAAATAATGTTGTCCGTGTAAATTATTATACACGTTCAAAAGCGACACAACTTTTTCCGCTCAGAAATGCCTATATTATAATCAAAATTAAATAAACTTACTGTTTTAAAAGTGAAAATTTGGCAAAATATTCGGGACAATTGACCACTTCTTCCAGGGAAAAGTACAATTGAGCTCCAAACAGTGGGATTTCAGAATCCTCTTTGTGAACATCAAAGTTTTCGAATGTTACACTACACACTTCGTTCTTATACTTGTTGTTGGCTCCTTTGTTCCGCACCAGGTTTCTGAAAACGTGACATTAATTATTTTAGAACAAAGCAAAGTAAAATAGTTTTAAACTTAACATAACATTACACAGTATGTTAATATAACATTGAAAAAGCAACAACATAGCCAAGCAAATTACTGCACGATACTATAAGCCAAAAGCCAGCACAACAAAGCAAAAATCGCGTCTGTTAAGTTGTTTAAATAATTCTGTGCCCTTTGAAACCAAAAATTTGCTTTAAAAAAGTCTCAGAATTACAACCTAATAGATAATCTCTTACAAAACATATTGTATTCGTATGGGTAATCGAATACACATACGAATATGAATAACGCCAAAAATTTGCTTTGAAAAAGACACAGAATTATTTGAACAACCCAATAGATGCTTCATCTTTAATACCCAAAAACCCCACTTACATGATTTGATCCGGATCAGTGAGTATCCCAATAAAGTAGCCTCCAGGCGTGAGTCGTTCCGTGATGTTCTCAATCATCTTCCTTGCTCTTTGTTCGTTGGCAAACTGATAATGTAAGGCGAACATACAGCTGGCCAAGTCGAATTTCCTATCTTTCGGTTCATATTTATCAGCCAATCGTTCTTTCCCAGCATCCGCCACTACGAACTGTGCTGTGAATGGGTCGCGACGTTCGTTTCTCATTCGATCCACCGTTTCTTTGTATCTGTCTTTGGCGTGCTCTACTGATACGGCGGCTACGTCTGAAGACAATAGTTACGTAACACAAAACCCTCAATCTTCAATTTTTTCTCAAATTTCATTGTATATGTTACAATGCTCATAATTGTCATGTTAGTTTATAATAAACAGCTAATCTTTACCATTATAAGCACCTATGGGCCAGTTGTAAAATAATACCCACCTGTCATGACGATTTCCTTTATATTAGACACCTTCCATTTTGACAGATCTCCACCTTTACCACAACACAGATCTAGTACTGCTGGTCGTTCTATTCCTTTTTTGTTCAATCGCTTTATAAACCTAGCTGAAATATTGTAATTAGTTACATAAAACTTAGTTTTGAAATCTCTACTATAATATTTATATCATTCACGCAAAGTTTAGCACATTTCAATTAAAATGATGCTCAATATGCCAAGTTTTAAACACCCTAATTCCTCAAAAAGAAAATATAAAGCTTCTCCAAGACCTAAACTTTCAATAATAATGTAAAAAACATACCGATTAACATGCTCTTCATCCAATTATTGTAATTTCTAAGATGTATAATCTTTGAAGCTCTTCTGTCTTCAGTAGTTTTGTTTGGTATCGCATTGTAATGATTAGCTACGTCTTGTGAGGACATTTTTGGCTAAAAACAGAAGAATTAACTTCAAAAATACAAAAAATAGGAATTATCACGACAACGCCAAGACTTATAACTAAAAGCAATAAACAGCTTCAACTAAGGTTTACAGCTACAAAAAGTTGTGCAAATCAATCAAAAAACAAATAGTATATCAATGGAAGCATTAACCTTTCAAAAACCCAAACATATTATACATCGTTTTATTACAAATTTGTTTTATGTCATTTGAATACAATAATCAACAAGAAAAACAATGAAAAATAATGAAAAAGTTTATGCTGAAGCAGAAGTGTTCAAGGATGAGTTACTGCAACTTTTATTGGCCTTTGGAGTTGAAACAGATGGAGATACAGCAGGCAATGTCAACGAGTCATCTATATCATCATCCGAGCTTTCCGAACTGAAAAAACAGTATTTTTATTCTTGAAAAAAACGAATAATTGTACAAAAAGACAGTAAAAAAATTTAACTTCGTCATGACGTCGCATTAAATTGTCTTACAGTCTATGAAATCCATCATAATATACATCTTGCTGCAAAAAACCCCCAACAATCAGTTTCAATAACAAATGTAGCTATTTACGCCTAAATTACAAAAAAATAAGTAAAAAAAACTTACTCTGAATCATACATCCCAACACCAGGTAAAACACCAGCCTGGATCAAAGTTGTCGGATATCCTCCACATTTCTGTAGCACACCAACAGCCGGCGTAGCCACAACTTTCTTTTCAGTTACTACTTCTTCATTTTCGCCTGAGAGTTTGCTAAAATTATCCATAATTTAAATAATAAAATTTAAATAAAAAAATAAAAAATGCTTTGTATAAACCTAACCCATCCGATTTTTTACCCTGATCCATGACTTTCCGACCGGTAGAACAAATCAGTAAAAGAATAAAACAAAAATGAAGTAAAATGTAAAAAAGTTCAAAATTTACCGTTTTCGTATTAAGCCAAGACAATTTGTAGCCTTTTTGTTAGCTAAAAGCGCTCCAGCTTTCATTTTTGGTGCTGTAAGATTAATAACTGATGTTGTAGGTTTATCTTGCTGCTGTAACACCCTTCGTTGTTGCTCAAACAAAGCCTGTTCTTCCTAAAAATTAAACTTATTAACGTTTTCACTAGAAAGTACAATATAAGACAGTTAACCATGCTTTCTACAAGTTATGATTCTCTAAAAATAAATAAGACTCTAAACTGTATAAAAATCATATAATATGATTACCTTCTTCTTGCTGCTTTCTTTTTCGTACTTTAATTTCGCCACAGAATGTAGAAAGTCAACTTCATCGTCTTCTAACCCAATCTTAGCCGCTAAAATATCAAAATGAGTAAAACCCTAAAAGCTAAACACAAAAAAATAAAACAACATACCATCAGCTGTTTCTGCATCTATCTCTTCCTGTTTTAGCTCTTTGGCAGCCTTTAGCCTTTCATACAATGGTCGTGGATCATATTCTTCTTCTCCTTCTAAAAGTTCGGAAAATTACCAAATATACAAGTAGATATAAAGAAATCAAACTTTAAAATAAACCATAAATTATACCTTTTTCTTGTTTCTGCTTTTCCAATTCCTTTTCTGAAACGAAGTCCATCTTTACAACAATTTTACAAGTTTTGTTGTTATGTGAGAAAATATTTTTGTTACTACACAATGCCACATTTTGTTTACGTTATGGGACGTATATAATCATGCAATGTATTTTATTCTTTTCACAAATTCCTGTCGTTCAGAAAAGACGTCATTCCTTCACCTTTTTTACACAGACTTGTAGGAAAATTATTTTTTCAAACTTGTAAATTTACATTAAACTTTTAAAGTCTAATGTGCATTGTTTTTGTTATGGTGTTATGATAAAGATCAATGTCATTGCAACATAATTTATGGAGAGCCGGGTTAGAAACGTGGATAGACAAAAGTTTTACGTGGATGTCGATTCTCTAAAAACGGACGACCCAACGGGAAGATAAGGTCGTCGCATCACTCTGATAAAATGAAGGTTCTGGTGGCTGGCGCTGCGGGCTTCATCGGCTCTCATACTGTATTGGAGCTGTTGGAAGCTGGCCATGAAGTTTTCGCCTTTGACAATTTCTACAATGCTGTACAAGGTTGGTTTTTGCTTTGGTGTTTTATATTTAGGAACTAGCTTTTGTTTTATTAGCCTTATCATGGCTAACACACTCATATTTTGGCAAAAGGCTTTGTTGCTGAGTTAAATTTGTATAATATAAATCTTACAGACTCAGATGGCCAAGCCGCAAGTCTTAAGAGAGTGACAGAGCTTACTGGAAAGCCAATCCGTTTCCAAAAGTTGGATTTGATGAAGCCAGAAGAACTGGAGCCAGTTTTTGAAGCCGAAAAGTTTGACGCCGTTATCCATTTGGCTGCGTTGAAAGCAGTAGGCGAATCTGTGGCCAAGCCAATTGACTACTATACTAACAATATTGTTGGGACTCTTAATTTGATTAAGGTAACTTGCGGTCCTTTTTATTTTTAATTCAGTTGACTAGTTCACTTAAAAAAAGTTTTGTCTGTACATTGTCTTGAGGAAGTAATGATATATTTTTTCAATTTTCAGCTTTGCCAAAAGTTCAACGTGAGGAAGTTCTTGTTCTCTAGCTCAGCTACTGTTTACGGAACCCCAGAAAAACTGCCATTGACTGAAGACTGTTCTACTGGAAGTGGAGTAACTAATCCATACGGTCAAACCAAGTACATGGCGGAACAAATTTTGAAGGACGTCGCTGTATCAGACCCATCCTGGAAGATAATTCTGCTCAGATACTTCAACCCGGTCGGCGCTCACCCTAGCGGCCGTATTGGTGAAGATCCTTGCGGAATTCCTAACAATCTGATGCCTTATGTCTCTCAAGTCGCCATCGGCAAACTGCCAGTTTTGACCATTTATGGCGACAAATTCCCGACCAGAGACGGTACTGGAATCAGGGATTATATTCATATCGTTGATCTGGCCAAAGGCCACGTTGCTGCTTTGAAAAGATTCACGGCCGATGATTCAGAGCCGGTTGAGGTCTACAACTTGGGCACAGGCTGTGGGTATTCGGTTAAAGACATGGTAACTGGTATGGAAAAGGCGTCTGGAAAGACGATCCAAACCAAGGTCGGTGTGCCAAGACCTGGGGACTTGGCTGAAGTTTACTGTAACCCTGAGTTGGCAGCGAAGAAGCTTGGGTGGAAGGCCGAGTTGGGTTTGGAAGAGATGTGCAGGGATTTGTGGAACTGGCAGTCAAACAACCCAACTGGCTTCAAAGCCCAATAAGTTTAATATTTGGGAAAATTAACGTTATAATTTGACTCATAAGTCAGCTGTCACGCTATAATTCTACGTTAGTACCTATTCAACTATATTTACGTCATAATTCCACACAAAGGTCATAGTGATCCATGAGATTGTCAAAAAAACATTCCAAAAAGTGCCTTAACCTTCAAATGCATATGCCAATGTTTTCATAGCATAACGTTTTACTAACAGTAAATAAATATATTTTGTTTGATGCATTTAAGCAAGAACTTTTTAAACTTTGAACCAAACAAACTGCACAAATTAGCCCGTTTTATTTATTCAAAAATATAAATTTCTTATCATAGATTTTTTGTTTTTGATATATATAATGTAGTAGTGGTATAAAAAGTAGAAAAGACTGTATCATACAATAATGTGAACCTGTTTTTTTGTAATTTTTTGGATTTTGAGTAAGAGATTGTTTAGCATCTTGTATACATGGATAAGGGTTGTTGTGGGAATGGATATGAGGCCGCAAATCATTTCAATACTACTGTAAGATCTTTTTTTTTTCGTTGCTTTACATGGGCGAAATTATAAGACAGTAAAGGCTTACGCCGTTAACGAAACCACTACTTTTTTAAACAGAATACTACTTTACAACAGCAGCTCAATTACTAATTTTACCACAGCTAATAACAAACAGATAATATCTGTGACTCAGACCATGGTAACAACTCTTCCAGTAGTATGAAACAAAACTGCGAAGCAAAATTAGATTAGAATTTACTAGCGAGTTAACATTAATAAAACAACAAAAACTCGAAAGAGGGGGAGAACAACCTGTGCAACAAGACACATGCGTATTACCGGATCAAGGACGTAATGACAATAAAGGAAGAAGAGATTTCGGAGCGTATCGTGTTATAACAAGTGTAGCACTACTCAATTTATTAACCGGAACATTACAATAAACATACAATAGCTTAGGTCTATACCTTCAGTACTTCATTAGTGCACAAATTACTCATACCAAATGTTTAAGGTGGTTACCAAAGTTCAAAAAACTAAAATATGCAAAAGAAAGTGCGAACAAAGAGCCTAGTTTTATCCCGTCTACAGAAATTGAAAGACATTGTTATAACACGACATTACTGATCAACAACAAATAATAAGATTAAGACCATCAGAAGACCAAGTCCGTGAGCTGGTCGTCTTGTGGACGGTGTCGCGACTGCTGGCGATGAGCGTTCCCGTTTTGCATGGTGTGATTTTGAGGACGGCGATTGGCGTGGGCGCCTCTGCCGGCCGTGAACTCGAAGATATTCTTCTGAAAAAATATTTTTTCATCAATTTTGAACAAAAATAATTTAACAATAACAAAGAAAACATAAAATTATTTTTGCTAGACGTGGTTTTCAATTTAGGCTTGAATTTTGTTTTAGTCTAAACCAAAATCCACGCTCAACCACCATTCGAAGAAACGACAAACAAAGAAGAATTTACCATATTTTTGGCCCTAAAAACAGAAAACAAGAAGTAGACTAACCGGTAGCAGGTCCACAACATGTTTGATGTTTGGCTTGGTTGGAATCGGATCAACAAAGAAGAAGTCGTCGTCCAACGCCTTTTCAGCATCTACTCTTTGTGATGGGTCCAAAGTCAACAGCTTATCCAACAAATTCAAAGCGTGTTCATCCTTAAAACGACTTCATATTATCATCAGATCATTTCATTCTAACAAGCAAAAAACCTTCGAAAACCGGAAAAAACAAAAAATGACTAAAATAATATCCAAAAACAACATTTTAGCTATTTTAACCCTAAGATAATCTTAAAAACTCTTACTTTCGTGAAACTACTCATCTTCGACCTCAAGAGTCTGGGCTGTCTCGGTTTCAGGTCCATGTGTTTGAAGAGGGGGAGGTTTTTGCAATCAGGCCACACTTCCTCGTTGATGCCTCCACACACATTCTGGATGATCTCCAGCTGTTTCTGTTCCGTGTCTCCTTGCAGAATCGGCAGTCTTGTCCAAAACTCGGCCATAATACATCCCGCGCCCCAGATGTCGATCTGAGGGCCGTAGTTCTTGGAGCCGAGCAACAGTTCGGGAGGTCTGTACCACAAGGTCACGACTCTGTTCGTGTAGTTCTGTTTGCTAGAGGATTCTGCAAAAGCTCATCGATAAAATGATTTTTTTAAATTAGCATAACTAAAACATTTGTTTTTGAACATTTGTTTTTGACAAATGTTTTAGCTGCATCATAAAGTCAGTCAACCCTAAAAATCTAATACAACAAAAACTCACTCAAAATAGGACGAGACAGTCCAAAATCAGCCAATCGCAACACTCCTTCGTTACTGACTAGAACGTTGGCAGCCTTCATATCACGATGCAGAATGTTGGACTTGTGGATCTTGAACAAGCCACTCAAAAGCTGTTTCATTAATATCTTCACCTCCTCCAGGCCGAGTTTGACATTCTGTTGGGACAAGAGGCCAGCCAAATCGTACTCACAGTAGGTAAAGACCAAATAAAAGTTTGACTTTTCGCGAGAGTTTGCACCTAAAACAAAGGAAAATTAGTCGTCAATCTATTTTTATGGAATAAAATTATGTTAACCATTAGTTAATAATTAGACCAATTCAATTTCTAAACAGCCAAAAGGTGCATTATAGCATAACTACTAGTTAAAACCGTGTTTTTAAACAAACCAAGCCTAAAACAACAAAACTCGAGTAGAATCTTACCTTTGGAGTTACAGATCTCAATCAGATCTGTAATGTATTCGTGTTTCAGGCGTTGAAGCATCTTCACCTCTCTGATAGCCGTAATGGGAAACTAAGAATCAAGAATAAAGTAAAGATTAGTATAAACCTACTCCCTCTCGCTCATTTTCCATTAAGATCTTCTTCAGTGCGACATACCGCTTCGATCTCTGACACTTGGCTTGGAATACCTCGCTGAAATCGAATGGGACATTAGGTACGACAATATCAAGGAAATATGAACATTATAAAACTATTTTGAGGTCTTCATTTTCAAAAATTGTTAATAATTCATAAATTGAAGGCTCATGCGATTTAAATCAAAAATTAAAATAACATACCCGAACGTTCCCTGACCTATCTTCGTGATCTTGCTGTAACAGCTCACGTCGTGAATGTACGGATATCTGAATTGGCTGATGTACGGGTTGTTCATGCGCTGAGAGATCATTTTTGAAAAGTTTTCAGCATACGCATTCACACCAGCGTTCTCCACGATCTGTGCCAAATTCCGATGATGACTTTCGGGTCGAGATCGGTGGCTAGATGACGATGGAGCACCTTGATGATGAGGGACTTGGCCCTGCCTTTGATGCTGATGAAATTGCTGTTGTTGTTGTTGTGGGTGATGATGATGTTGTGGTTGTTGAACCCCATACGGTTTCTTCACCGGTGGACCGTTCTGGTGATCCCTTGGGCCGGGGCGCTTCGAAGCAGCAGACGAGTACATTCTGTCGCTATTGTCCAAGCTGTAGACACAAAACCCGCCTTTTAGATTAGGGAATCGAAGAACGATATGATACTCGACTTTCGACGAAAAGAGTCAAGCTTTTTAGTAGTCGGAACTCTGAAACATAGCAAAGTTTATAAATTAGAACTATAGAAGTTAAAACCCAAACGAAACAATATAAAAAGCAAGAAAAGGTTAACAACAACAAAAAATAAAGTGTTAATAGTAAAAACAAGGAAGCGTTAAATAAAAACACATGAACTGAAACACAGAATCACTTCCACACCAAAAACTTCCACAGACAACACTTTTCCAGCACTTCTACCGAAAAAATCAATATTGCGTCATGTACAATATTATAGAAGCTGCACACAAATCAAATCGCCTAAAAGCAGCACAAAACAAGCTAGAAACGTACCTGGTTAGACCCTTGAGCTACGCCGACGAAACCAAGAGAAGCGATCAATTTGAGAAAGATCTTCTTCACAGCCTTAGGTTATCACAAGTTTAAAAGCCAAACCAATTCAAAAACTGACGTTCGGCCCTTGAATAACATTTTTCATTATTAGATTGTAATAAGTTACTTTGACTAGGCTTTCATCAACGAAAATTATCCATAGTAACCCTAAATTACTCATACTAACGTATTATCCTTTATACCACCCTATTGAGGCATAAAAAGTTGTTTTCTAAAGTAATATTGCTCATCCAAGATAAAAAATCAATTTTTCGTTAAATAATTTTAAAAAACCTAAAATTTCGATGATTTTCCGAACCTAAAACACAAAAAAAAGCTTTGAAACGTCTCAGCAGCATGGGAGGAGATTAAAAACTTATCGTTCTGAACAAAAAACCGACGAAAATGCGCCAAATCATAAGAAAACTTCGGTTTTTTCATAAAAACTAACATTTTCAGCTGAAACTTTGCGGAAAAAACGGTTGTAATGCCAAAAATAAGTTACTACTCAACCTTTACAATAAATACGAGTTAGATTAATGCCTAAACTCCAATAACAAAGCCGTGTCATCAAGTTCTAGAAGAAAAAATTCATGAAATCGAGGAAAATCGTCGAGTCTACGCAAAAAAAAGCTCAAAAAGACGGGTGTGTCGCATAACACAACAGATCTTGTCCATGGGATAGAAAGAGACGCACCACCCGCTTTTTCGTCTACCTCTCGCTTCTAAACGACCCAACAAAAGCCGGATTAAGAAGCCAAAAATTAAAAGTTGAGTTTTCTAAAATTTGAGTAACAGGTTCAGAAGGTTTCAGACATTTTATTTACAACAGACATCAAACAAACCTTCAAAATCATTTAAAAAATAATAAAGAACATGCCCATTTTAATAAGTGTAATATAAACTAAAAGAAAATCAAAGCTCCTCAAAAATCAGCTAATAATCTCTAAAACATCATAATCAACCTTCGAAATTCCTTGAGAGAAAAACAAAGCATCAAAACCACCGAAATCCCCTCTAAGATGTAAGCCAAACAAAAATCTGTTCTAATTAGCAAAATGTACATTTTATCCGTATTAAAACAATATCACAATGTATTATGAAAAGAAAAGGCACAGAATATGACCTATAATATAAAACCCGACAGAATGGACCGAAAACAAGCCTAAACCCAGGAAAAGCTGCCAAAATAAAACGCAAAAAACACAAAATTTACAAAAAAATGTGTATTTTGCGACATTTTGCCAAAATCCGAAAATGAAAAGAGTTGTTGAAAGATTTCGTGGCGAGAATCGGTAATTACACTTAAAATATCTTGCCAATCGTTTTCGAACCGTAATTTTCAAGCTTGAAGTAATATGATAATATATATTATTTTAGATCTATACTTAGGCCGGTAAAAAAGTTTTGAGCTTCGCTTCCATTTTCAGAAATGAAAACTGATCTCACTACTTCCTCCTGAACTTTAAGAAGGTTATACTAGGTGTGTAAACGAATAATACCACAATTAAGACTTTAAACTAATAAAAACAACAAAATTCTCGATTTACACACCGTAATATAAACATAAAAATGTAAAATTCTCTATATTACCAAAATAAACCGGCATTTCCAGCTAAAATTGTCTCTAATCTCGGTAAACCTACGTGTATATACATCAATAGACAGTACAATAAGATATGTCACTTAAGGGATTGTAGAAAGTCGCAGATGTCGGAGATCATCTTCTTTTCCATCACGTGTTGGTTCTGTTTGGTTGAAATGTTGTGGTTGAGCAGGTTTGACACAGTCCTCATCATTGTGTATGCCTTGTCGACTGTGATGGAGAATGTTGGAATGAATTCGTCCGATAGTACTCGGATATATTCCCAAGATCTGTAAAAAGTCGATTGCTACATTTTAAGGTTCAACCAAACACTAAGTTATCAAAAAATGCTTGAAAAGTTTATGATTATATATTAACATTGGCCATATTAATGTAATTTTAGGCATTTTATATGAAAATTAGGCAAATGCTAGTACTGGCAATGTACTATAATATGTATTTCTTACCCTGGTCGGAGTCTCCGTTGTGCCTTCTGTCTCAACTCTTCATCGCTATCAATCAAAGACTTGAATCTTCCTAGAGCAATAGGTATCAGTTCAAATGATAATTGCTTCTGTTTGGCTACAGATACTCGTAATTTCTCCGCTTCTCTGTCAAATCCAAACTCGTAGAACATTTTTACTTCCTGAAACGACAATTTAATCAACTCTATTTTTACAATATTAAGAAGTTCTACCTCAATATTGTAGTACATTATAAATTAGCGTTTTTTTATAACAAATTGATAATATCTTCTTATATCCTTATCCAAACTGACCTTAATTCTCAGCAAATCCAAGTCCAACGCCCATTCTCGGCACAGTTGGTTGACCAACTCCCATTTCTCATAATAATCTTCACTAGTATCTACTCCAATCGCTACAACAATATCTTCCAAGAACTTTTGTCTCTTTTCTTTAAATCTCTCATCTGTATCAGCCATTGGAATTAGTGGATGTGAATGGAACGATTCGAAGAACGCTCTGTGCATTATTCCATCGAACACATTGTACAGGTTCAGCGAAAGGTTTAGTGAAAGTTGAAGGTCGATAACTATGACTAAGTGAAGATGGTGGAGAACTAAGTGGTAGTTCACTGGAGTTTGTCCTGATACCAGTTCGGCCAATGTGTGTTTTCGGTTTTTCCTGTAAAATACAAAATGAAAATGTTTCTTTAGAAATAAGGATAAAATTCAGTTAGTATTACTAAAAAATAAGCCAGTACTGTAACAATAAACATTAATAAACAAGGTACTAGATAAAAATATACTAAATGAAATCCCTTAAGTAGAGCACTTACTTGACTTTAAAGCTCTCCAAGTACTCCTCCAAAAACTCCTCATACTCCAGATGCAAATGTGGTGCATATTCAAGATCAACCACACTTTTCTGTAGCACATTCAACAAAGTTTTGACACATTTCACAAATTCAGGAAGCTCTGATTCAGTGACAAAGACATCTCTTTTCAGAAGCCGTTCCTTCAAGGGTTTTCCATTAGACTCCATTATTATGGTATACAACTTTTGAAATGGCAGTCTAAAGAAAGTCTCCCATAGGATCACAGACAGTCCATGTTGAAGTCTGGCTGATGATGTGATGGCTGATAAATATGTCATTGCTTGAGTTAGAGTTGAAATTTGACGTTGATTCTCTTCCTTGAACCATGAACTTGCTGATTCCCATACACAGTCACATAGACAGAGGTCGCTGAAATGAAAGTAAATTAAAAATGTCATAAAAATTAATATATACAACAATGAAAAATAGAAAATATTGTATAAAAGTAAAGTATAAGACCTAAACGGCCTTCTCCAGATAATAGAGAGACCTAAAAGCCCCCCCCCCTTGATCTGGTTATATTTACAATGAAACACAAAGTAAATCATACCGACTAAAGCTCCTTTGAAAGACTTGTTGTAAAGCTTTCAAAATCTTCGCTTCTTCATCAATATCTTCTATTCCATCCATTTCTTCTTCTTTGTTTTCATCTATGTTTTCTTCTTCCTCTGCTTTATTTTCCTCATCACTTTCACTATCTCTATGTGCTTTCACTTTCTTATCAATTTGCAAAGTCTTCAACAATAGATCTACTGGTACGTTATTCGACGCAGCCCATTGGCCAATCTAAAGTACGACTTTTAATAAAAAATATGCTTTAAAAATTACATTTTAAAAAATTATAAAGAACATAAATGCTTTTACCTGTTCCCTATAATACCCATATCCTTTGACAGTAAACTTGTCCAACGATGGTTTCAACTCCAAGTCCAATCGACTAATTAAAGTGTTGGCTATCAAATTCTTGACTGTTAAATACCATGAATCTGTAGTTTCGTCCATGTTCTCAAACTCTTCATTGTCGTCTGTAGTGATGCGAACTAGTCCATCCACGTACCTAATGACAAACATCAGACACAATGCGGCTTCTGGATTCTGGCTTTTGATTATAAAACTTTGAGCGAATTGCTTGACCCGTATATCTGACGATTCCTTGAGATACGATACAACTGATATTGCACTGTCCAGTAATACCCATGGATTCTTGTTCCAGTCGGCTAGCCATGCTTTCATGAATAGTTTGGCAAGAGTTTCCTGAAAACTTTCTTTTATTGTATTCATCAAATAGGCAGTCTCATTGTCATCAGTCATAATAGAGTGCAGTTCAAAAAGTAATACAGATCTTATTTAGTCTGACATTCAAAAGATTTGACCAAAGTTCCATTATAAACAAGGTGTTTCGCTGTACGTACAACCCTTACAAACTTACAATATTGATGTTGATCTTGTCAGCTATTACTTCTAATTTTCCTACAACGTCATCTCTGTGAGAGAACAAGAGTTTTTGCATTAATACTCGAGCTAGATAGATCTCATCAGCTTCTGGGTTCAATATCCATCTAAAAATATTATTAAAGTCGATACAGTTGCAATAAAAATCTATATCTAATGTCAAAACACCATTCTTAACCTAGAGAATCTTAAATATTCCCTTAAAATCTTATAAATGTCCATCTTAATTACATTATAGTATAATAAACCTTAATATTAACTAATATTATCAACTATATCAATCAAAAAAAAACTTTTACTTAACCATTACTATCTAAAAACCTCCTTACTTATTCTCAGCAGCATTGTTAACCCGTAGCATTTCACGAAACTCCTTGAAAGAACATGCTTCGTACTGTTCGACGTCTTTTTGTGTATCCAGTAGCACATTAATAAAAAAGTCATTGTACTCATCAACAGTTGTTCCCAGATTCTGTACCAACGTTTCATATGTGGCACGTTTTTCCCTATCTTCATCAACCTCCTTGTTTGCTATGTTATATACATCCACCAGTCTAATCAGTGCGTCTATGTAAGATTTCAAGCCTTTGTCAGCCTGAAACATAGTTGATTATAATTAAAAACAAAAAAATTGTAGAAAGTTATCTAAAAGTTTATTTTGCATTACCTAAAAATCCATTTAAAGTATCAAAAGTAGTATAAGGTACCAAAAACCAACCTCTTTTAGTCTAACAAGAAACTCTCTCAGCTGCATAGTAGATATTCTCCATGATTCAGCCGATGACACCAATCTATCTACAAACTTCATTCTACTTTGACTCGACTTCAATGACTCTACAGTACCCAACGCCTTGTCAATACTAAAAGCACCATCTTCTTCAATCTCGTTGTGCTTGAAGTCCCTCAACATGTTTTCATCGTGAACTTGCGATACAGTAGAATCCATAGCTGACAGATGAAACGGTATTAGAATTCTTTGTACCATACCATTTGAGTTGACAAAGACTACTGTATTGTCATTGTAGGCTCCATAAAATTGTTTTTCCGACGGTCCCAACAAGACAGAATCTTTGGCCGAAGCGACAGACAACAATCGGCCCTTAGGGTCAACGTTAAAGGCGGCTACACGAGGACCGTTCTGCATCGACCACACCTCCAGAATCCCTCGTTTCGGAGCAAAGATGACCAAGAATAATGTTTTAGTGCGTTTCCTTTTGTTCGGTCCAACATCTGACAACGCTGCTTCAATGAATCCACAGCCAGCGTTCCTGTAGCCTTTCCAGATTCGCACTACCGTGCGATTCCGTGTATCCATCAGTAGAACACGTGCTGTACCATCGGAAATCGCCATCAAATTCCAACTTCTCGGTGCGATTACTGTCGTTTCACATTTTCTTCCCGGATCGACCAGTCGAACATCCAAAAAAGCATCCGAAACCTTGGCATCAGCTACAGATTCCTTCTGAGGACCGTCTTTTCGTGACACGCCTATCCCCAGGAATGATCTGATGCCAAATGACGGCATTTGTATTTGCGAAGCTATAGTGTTATAGGCTTCCTGTAAGATACCACTATTGTTACTTTCTTTATTGTGCGACAAGAATGCCGCATAGCTAGACCGTGTAGCACAGAAATAGTTCATCATGTTCTTGGCGCCAGTCTGAAGTTTATTCCTTTCAGAATAATCGTCCAAGGACGCCTTGAAGTACTGGTCGAAGGATTCTGGTCGAGTTATATTCAGAAGCTGAAAATCAGTCGGTTGTTTTAGATAGTCCAGCTTCACAGCATGGCTAGCCAAGCTGATCGTGTTGCAGATTTCTTCAAATGACTTTATTCCTCTAGCTACCTAAAAATGAAATGTATTAAGGTAGATTAATATTAAAGTTTATCAAAACCCAAAATTTAAAATTTTAAGTATTAACCCCAATATCCAAAAAATCATTTTATAAAGAAAACCTACCTCATTCCTAGCATTCCTCAAACCATGAAACAATGCCATGCCTTCCACAATATAAATCCGTCCCATGGCCAAAGCTGCCAACCCTTGTCCTCCATCGTATATCGTCGGTCCAAATCGAAGTCGTTGAATCTTGTAGGATGAAAACTTTTCACACAAAATCTCGACCCCACGGTCAGTGAAGAAATGAACATAACCTGAACTCGTACTAACTGCTATACAGTGCCAATCTACATTTGAAGCTTCGGTTTTTCGAGTCGAAGCCAGTGAAATCACTTCCACTGATGTAATGTACGCGTGTTTCTACAACAATATCATTAAGTTACCTACAGTTAAAACTATTATTTAGATCAGAAAGGTAAACATTATCTAAACCAGGACAAAAATATTAACAATACTAAAACAATGACCAATACCTGAATCTGCATATTAACATTGACCCAAGCCAATGGTCGTATCTTTTCATCTTTACCGTTTCGCTCGAATGCAACGAATCGTTGAACGGCTGCAAATACTATTAACTCCATATTGGCTGACGATGATATAATACAATTACGTAACCATTTCGTATCTACTGAACTTGACTTTGCATCACTTTCACTTAATTCACTCTGAAAATGTTAATGTTACGGTAGTAAATCAGCATCAGTTATATTTAAAATCACAATCAAATGCTTAAAAACTTTTACAATCTATTAAAATCGGTTCTTCTGCATGCAAAGCCCTGAATAGAGTAATAGACTAGTATAAGTTAAGCCTTTTTGAGCTAAAGGTATCATAATTACATAATATCTTTCTAAAATAACATTCATACCGATTCTGGTTCCCAAGCTGGCCATTTGTCGTTGTTATCATCAATTTCATCGTCGTCTGAATTCTCTTCTAAAAAATCTTGATCATCTGGAGCCAATAAAGGTGTACTTTTTTCTACAACGACCTTTTTACAACATAATAGTTTTTACATTAAGTTATAGAGTAAAAAAAGGCATAATTACTTTACCATAAAAAATATTATCCAAATGTTTTGTTGTGAACATCATGTACTATCTAATAGTCATCAGAAAATGTTTAATTTCATATAGTGCCGTGCCTAAATTTAAAAAAAATCGAATATGCTTACTTTGTGAACTAGAAGTAGATGTTGTAGCTCCCAAATCTTCGTTCAAAAACCGATCTACTTGATTTATCTGTTCTTGGGTGAAACGAAAGATTTCTTTCAATGAGCATGACATCCTGTGTATTATATGTTACATTAAGAAACTAGTATGTACAAATATTCACTATGAGTGAGCAAAACGTATGTTGAAGGCCTGAAAGTAAATTCAAAGCCATAATACCTTAAATTAACGTAGAAATAACAATTTAACGTAGACAAGTTCACAACAGTATCAACTGATTTACATACTCGTACTAATGATAAGTCATACCAAGCTACCGTAATCAGTAATACACGTTTTGTCGTATAAAACGTCACAAATAAAAAAAAATTTAAACTAAAAACATGATTTGAATATGCAAATTTACACTACAGTACCCCCATCAACCCTCACATCCCTATACAGTGACATTCAGTTCAATTGTAACCTTCATTACCCGTACCACCCCTCCCCTCTTATAGTCACTGTCTCTCCTTACTCCCCACACTCTCTCGTAAAACGTGAGACTGTCAGTGAAAAACTCTCTCAATTCCGCCCACTCCTTCGTCACCCTCCTCTGACCACTCTCCTCACACACCGTGTTCTCTTCTCATGTGTATGCTCACATGGTGTCAATCGATCCGACTGGTAAATCGAAATTTTTGCCAAAAATCGAATTTATGCAAATTTAGGTATGAAAAAGTCAAAAATGTTGCCCTGAAGGCATATGGAAGCCGACTTGCAGATGCAATTTACATTGCATCCGATGGAGCCGACCTCCATAGATTTTTTGTCCAATTTTTCCGCATGTTATTTTTTCCTGCAACGGAATGCCAAAATCTTGCTTTTCGTTGCGGGAGACAGCGGCTAAGAACGTGTTTACTTCTACTGTAAGTTGTTTTTGTTTTTCGTTGCTCCAAGCAGAAGGCTGGCCAAATGAATTGTTTACTCGTGATACTTATTACTTGCGGCTCAAAATAAATTTGAAAGTCAATTTTGATTTTTGGGTTTAAAGTCGATTTATGGTTTATGTTGGGGATGCGAGGCGTGTTTTGATAATTTAGTTACTGTGGGGAGATGGGCGAGGCGTTCTCATTGTTTACTTTCGTTCACAGGCATGTAAAAGGTGTTCTCAGTGAAAAGACACACAAATTTCATGGTTCAATTGGCGTTGAGTATGAAAACGTCAATTGAATGAAGATGGGGAGGGCAATATCTATAATATTGAGAGAATAACTTGAAAATAGATTTGATAATAACATTTTTATCTTGCCAATCATGATCATCATTAGGCGGTGAATATAAATAATGAAACTTTGTATTGGAACGTTGAATACATCAGAAATTGTTGATTATTCATGTTTTGGAATGACTAACCATTTCTGGACTAGACAAAAGGTGAAACTGATAGATTCTATTTCAAAACTGTTATGTTTATACTTTGAGGAGATTATATTCACTATAAAATCATTGAGATAACTTGTTAGAAATGTATTTTTCTTGTTTTTAGGAGTTTACGGATTTGATTTAGTGTTATATTATTGTTTTGGTCTTACATTACGCTGAAATTGACACTGGTGAGATCAGAAACCATAGTTTGCTTGTTTAGGTCTATAAAAACAGTAGATCATTGTAGTGTTTGAGTTCATCTTGTTCTTTGTGAGTTTTTGTTAGTGTTTGCAAGCTGTTTGCATGCAGTTATGAGACGTGCCACCTGTTGCTAGACAAACTGATTATCGCTTGAACTAACAGTCTTGAACTCATTCTTTATACTCAAATATTATTTTCATAATGTTGCGTTTTAGAGTGAGTATTGGATGATTTTACATTGTGATGATATTGTTCCTAAGTGATGATAACAGAGTTCTAGTTTGATCTATTGTTTTATGTCTTTTTACAGGTTTGAGTTCTATGGCGCTTTTATCAGCTCGTGTGTTATTCTACTGCGTTTCTTCACGTTTTAATTTGTGCTTTTTCAGATCGTCAAAATGCCACTACCGGCTCCAGTTGAAAAGTTCATCTCAGATGTGGACAAGACTCTTCATCAACCAAACAAGGCCACCAATGTTCTGGAAACATTGGAGAAGAAGACTGGTGTGAAACGTCTGCATATCGTTGGAGGTAAGTTAATTTATTAATATTTTTGTTGTTTAGATACTAATTTAGAGTTGAATACACGGGCTGAAGAACTGATAATCAAATATCGTATTTGTAGGTATTGCCGCTATTCATGCTCTCTACTTATTGTTCGGCCACTTCGCAGCTTTGGTCTGTAACTTCATCGGCTTCTTGTACCCAGCTTACGTGTCCATCACCGCCATCGAATCGATCACCAAGGAAGATGACACTCAGTGGTTGACCTACTGGGTCGTGTTCGCCTTGTGCAATGTTCTGGAGTTCTTCTCCAACACGATCACCTACTACTTCCCCTTCTACTGGCTGGTGAAGTGCGCCTTCCTCCTGTGGCTGTATCTTCCCATGACATTGGGAGCTCAACAATTATATCAACGTTTCATCCGCCCGTTCCACCAGAAGCACCACTCCAACATCGACTCTGCCTTGAAGAACGCCGGGGATCACGCCCGTGAAGCTTACAACGAGCACTTCAAGCCTCAGTAGATTAATTTTGTTGTCATTTTCTAATTTCTCGTTATGATATTCGAATCTTATTGTCATTTTTTATCCTTGTTTCCTTGGAAAACATGTAGTAGCCTCATATTTTGCCATAATAAACCTTAGTATTTACTCGTGGAATATACTTATGACTAGTTGGAAGTTGTACATAAGAGAAAGCTGGCTCCTAGCTGTATCGGTAATGCTTTCGAAGTTTAGATAATACTATCTTTCCTAAAAGTAAAGCGCCATGCGGCCTACCTTACTAAAATGAAGCTGTCCCTTCACTATTACTTAAGAATGTTGATAAAACATGTAATGCATTCATGTTTCATCCTTACAATGTATAACTAACACATTTACTTAAAAACCTTCCAAATTTAAACGAATAACAATGTATTAAAAACAAGTAATGTTTAATAACATCAACAATATACCAAAATTTACTTTTAAACCAAAACCTTGATATTAACAGGTCTAGGCGCTGTTGGAGTTTGGTCCACGCTTGCGGCCGGGTCCTTGGACTGCTTGGTTAACGAAACGTTTGTTGTATTGCTGACGTCTCCAAGCACGTCCGCGCTTCTTCTTTCTCTTCTCTTGCTTCTCGACCTTGGGGGTTTGGGCACGAACTTTACCGGCACGAGCGAGGGAACCGTGAACCTTACCTTAAGAAAATTTACATCAAAAAACGTCAATTGACAACTTAACAGTTATACTAGACTATCTATCACAAGCTTCAAATAAGTTCTACGTAAACAAATGACAAAATTTCAACATAAATTTAAAGAATCAAAATTTACCTCCGAGCAATCGGGCGCTGCAGTTCAAGGTGGCGAGCTCAGCTACTTCAAGTTCTTCCAATGAAGCGGATTCGTTGTCCAAGATCTTGGCTCCGAAAGTCAAGACAGAGTCGAGACATTCCAAATCAGCCTGAAAAATTCGATAATGATAATAATATTTTGAAATCATCCATGTAAAATATCCTCAAAAACCCTAAAAACAAAAGCAAAAATACTTTCAAAGCCTTACCTTGATGTCGGCAACTGTGGTCTTTGGAGTTACATTAAGAGTCACAACATCTCCGTTGGCGGAGTTGACAAAAACCTTCATGGTTTCGGGAGTTTCAACCCTGGATGAAAAACAAGAAAATTAACAATTATAACATAAACATAAATATGGCAATGTACCCGATAATACTAAAACACGCATAATACTCGTCAAAACTGTAAAAAGTCCCAAAATTTTATCAACTTTATCCAAAAACAACGAAAAATCGCAAGGAAAAAAGAAATATAAAATACCCACAGTAGGAATTGGCGTGAGAATATTTCGTTGCGGGACCCAAAATAGTCTCTTAAGTAAGCTTTAAAACAAGGCTTTGAAAGTTTCGTCAACAAATAAAGTACATTACTTGTTACAAATATATAATTTAAAAATTTATTCAAATAATATAATTTCAATAAAGTAAATAGTTTATTCCTAAAATAGGTTATATGAGGCAGTTTTTATTCAAAAGATATTACAGACTTTCCGCCGCCTTGAAGTTTGCCCACTGTTTCGTAAGCTTCACTTATATTCTCCTTGTGGTACACTTTTTCCACGTTTGGTACCATTTTCCCTTGGTCAATCAGTGTGGACAGCAAGTTTAGAGCGTTTTTGTCCGGTATAAAGAAGGCGTAGATGTAAGCTCGACCTTTTTTGAAGTTCTGTAAAGCACTTTTTGATATTTAAGGCTTAACATCTCATTTTAAATTTAGCTAGCAGTTCTGTAATTTCATATACTACATCGATGGTCAAGTAAATGTGGATTTTTGGTCGAAAAATTCAAATTGAGCTACATCTGCCACCTACCCAAACATTTCTACAAAACCATGTCGCGGCCGTAGATGCTAGCCCCAATGGTACTCCATATCGGTCAGTCTGCTGCATCAACGGACTGGTTAACGTCAAATGAACCGAGTTTCTCCAAACTCCCAATAATTCGTCTGACCAGTCGGTTACGGCGTTTGATGTTGTGCAGTCTAATATCAGATCAAATGGGCCTTCTTTCAGTAGTAATTCCTTCACGTTGTCTGCAGTATAATCAACAGGGACAGCTCCCAACTTCTTTACGAACGCTTGATTCTTGGTTGAAGCTGTGGCGACAATCTTCTGCGTTCCCCAGTACTTCAGGATCTGAATGGCGGACGATCCCACGCCTCCTGAGCCACCGTGGATGAGAACTCGTTGATTCCGGGCGTTTGTTGCATTTAAACGACCAAACTGAAGACAGAGCATTATTTATTATCATTAGAAGCCAAATTACTACAACATGTTCATTAGGAGTAAACTTACTCTTACCGCAATATTATTTGATTAACTTACAGTAGTCAAAGCAGACCAAGCTGTAGCAGTTGTGTAGATCATTGCAGCCGCATTTACATGATCTACAGTCTTTGGCTTCGGTATAATGTAGTTGGTATTTGTTATGACGTACTCGGAATGGGCGCCAGGCATAGCCGGTGGTACAACACCAATAACTTCATCACCTACTTTAAAAGCGCTTGATGTTGGAGCCTAAACGATATTTTTGAACGTATTCTTGTGTTAAAGAACATCAAGACTAATAATAACAATTAAAAGCATGCGTATTTTACATGTAAAAGTACCCATTTACGGTATTTTTTACCCGTTTACAGCCTTTGTTTTACTGTGCCTTACCTCAGCGACTACTCCACTAAAATCGCGGCCAAAAGTTGTTGGCAGCCGGTTGTCACCAGTTAATCGACGTTCCTGTAAATTGTTTACAGCTGTCATTAACTGATGTGCGTATCCCTCGGACATACGAACGTCTATCGGATTGACACTGGATGCCTGTAATATAAAGTGTTGTTATGCCAATCAATCTTACAGTAAACGTTAAATCATATTAATAAAACATTAAATACATTAATGATTAGTCTTTCATAATTAAAACGTCCGTATTAAGCTGTTATAACAATTCTGTGTTCCTACTTACAAAAATTTGTTTTGAAAGAGGGCACAGAATTATTTGAACAACCTAATACGATAAATCCCATAAAAAATTAGAGAATGGTTTGTATAATACTGTGGTACTTTACCCACCTTAACCTTAATCAAAACTTCATTATCACTTCGAATCCTAGGAGTAGTCAGCTCTCGTACCATTGGTTGTTGGTTGTAGTCATCACAGACATAGCCAAACATGGTGGCCGAGATCTGGCGATTACTTGCCATGTTCGACATACTTTTCGGCGTTAAAAGGCGAAAAGACATCTAAAAACATTCAAAACAAACATTTTAAGCGTCTTCGGTATCAGTTGAACAATAAACAAAAAAACAACATTGATTTAGTTAGAAAAAACTAAATTTAAAAGTGTTTTGGTTATTTTCAGTAATCAAAATGACGTTCCTTTGCAATTTAAATATCAAATTTAAAATTAAAATAGGTTCAAAATATTCAAAGTAGGTATTGAACCAGTTGAATAAAATTACCAAATAGCTAAATATATATTTACTTTGAACTAATCAGTAAAACAAATTGTATTCAAGACGACTTTTCTTCCAGTTTCTTAAAGTTCAATGTTTCTTGGCCAAATATTTGTGACATTTCTTTTTCCAGAAGTTCATGTATTGATAGCCCCAGACGTCTGTAGAACCACTTGTGATTGGTAACGTAGTCGTATCTAAAAACATAAAAATATTAGAAATAGTGCAAATTCACTTTTCCAACTCAACATCAACTCAAAAACCAAATTTAGTACACCAAACTTAAAAAAGCGTCAATATTACCTTACCTTTGAGGTCCAGAAACCGGTGAAGACAGCCAAATCTGCTTGTTTGGAGACTGTTTGTTTATCACATAAGTTCCTGGTTGACCTAATGCCACTGTAAGCACACCCATAGAATAAGATACATCGTAGTCAGAAGATGTAGACACTTTCTCTGGTAGCTCATCAAAGTATTCACATAAACCTCGTAGCGTTTCCTCCGAGATTCTGTCGAATCCATTGTCCGACAAGTCCTTAAACTTGACTTCATCAAGATTTACACTAAATGCACGTTGACAAACTGATAAACTCGACCTCGAGGCAATAGTTTACTGACCCGTAACGCTGTGGTGATCATACTGCAGCATTCAAAATGAAACAAATGTCAAAATTACACTAAAAATAGAGGCTTCGAATATAAAATATAAAAGAAATTAGTAAACCTTACGTTTTTAAACTAGTTAAAAAATAATTTCAGAATCAAAAAATATTAAAAACTATCAAAAATAATGGCAAAAAGTAATCGAACCTTTTTGACTTGTCGAAGTTGACCTCCAATATTCTTGAATTCTGACATTTGATCGTCAGAAAATAAGTGAAGTCGTTCGACTTGAGCTCTTCTGATCGATGTTCGTCCTAAAGTTTGTAAACAGCAGCAAACGCTATCCTCGTTGATTCGAATTCATGAATTTCGTGAGCACAAATATCGGTTTTACTCCTTGGATATTCCTACACAATAGAATTATTTTAATAATCAATTACGTCTTTACAAGCAAACTACTTAACATACAAAAGTTCCAGAGAAAATAATTTTTATTATTTTATAAAAATTTTTCTATATTTTTGTTTAGAAAAGCTGTCGTTATGATGTTTTTCTGTAATTCTTAACAAAATATTCTTTTTTCGAAATTCGCGTTTGAATTGGCGGGTGTTTTGCAAAAACGAAATATTTGTGGCATTCCGTTTTATTAAAAAATTGTTTTTTTTCAAACGTTTTTGTTGGCGAAAACTAATAAATTTATAAATTGAAGTTGTTTGTGTCTCAAAATGGCACTAACAGTCATTCTGATGGGCAAGCAAGCAAACTTTGCTTTGACCCAAAATGAGATCACAGAGGGATCGATAAAGTCAGCTTTCTTACTGGCTTCAGACACGGTTATAAACCTTTCTTACGAAGTAAATGGATATCGTACTTGGTGCACGTAAGTTATCTTTTGAATTATTTATACTTTATTTTAATGAATTTAGAACAAGAAAGGTTCCGGAACCCACATTTATCCTGCCAGAAGATTGGTCAGGGTTAACATTTGACGTTAATTCAGACAAAATGCCATCCCGCCCTGCAACACCGATGGACGGGGCCTCGAATGAACGGTCACACAGCCCCTACTACCCTGTCTGTAAGAGTTATCTTAAATTTCTAATCTTTTTTTAGTTCCACCAGATCCTGCTCCATCAAAGAAGGCTTTCCTCAAGTGGATTTTCTTCATCTACGATGAAATGGGGAAAGCTGCTACAATTTGCATTCATCCCCGATTCTTCGTTACATTTCGCCATGGAACTCATCTGCAGTTCAAACTTGGTGACTGTGTTAAAATTTATCATGTGGAGCAGGAAATGGACGAACAAGATGGAACTGAAGTTACTGTTGTCAATATCAATGATGATTTGGATTTTGTGCTGCTTAAGAGCCAATCTGAAGTGGTTGAGGTAAGATCTTAAAATATTTTGTATATTTTGTTGCTAATTTACCCATTTTTAGCGCGGTCCTCCTATCGTGCAGGCTCGAGAATCAGAATCCTTTACATTGGCTGGGTTTGGGAATGATATAGGCACCCTATCGTTCTTGCCTGGGATAATTCATTCGACGAAAGACTATTACTTCGATGGGGATCGCTTTAATATGGGGCCTTTCATTTTGGGGACGAGCCGAAGTTCAAGAGGGGATTCAGGTAAGGTTTATTACTTTTTGGTCAATTAAAAGTTAAACTTTTAGGCGCTGGAATCTGGGGTGCAAATGGACTGATAGGGATGAACTCCGGTTGTACAACGATGCCACTGCAGTTTCATCATTTGGCAATTTCTGAGGCAGTCACATTTTCTGCAAAGAACATAATCTCGCCTTCTGTTCGATTCAAGGAAGCTTACACGGTATGATTTATATAAGAGCTGATTTGTTTAACAATTTGTTATTTAGAAAGAGCTAAGAAAGGAACGCAAGGAGGGAAAACTCGAGTCGCCGCCTCAAAAGAAGCCGTATTTGATGGCTGAATTTGAAGGACTGGGGACTGGTTATTCTACAAATTAGCTGAGGAAATGGACGAACGGTGTGGTAAATCCTATATTATGGCGTAACCGTGTGCATATCGTTGGGGGTAAGTTAATTTATTACAATTTTTGTTGCTTAGATAGTAATTTAGAGTTGAATCGTTGGCTTAGGACCTGTTGATCAAATATTGTATTTTTAGGTATTGCTACTATTCATGCTCTCTACTTATCGTTCGGTCACTTCGCTGCTTTGGTCTGTATCTTCATCGGCTTCTTGTACCCAGCTTACGAGTCCATCAGCGTATATCAACGTTTGATTCGCCCATTCCACCAGAAGCACCACTCCAACATCGACTCTGCATTGAAGAACCCGGCGACCATGCCCGTGAAGCTTACAACGAGCACTTCAAGCCTCAGTAGATTAATTTTGTTGTCATTTTCTAATTTCTCTTTATGATATTCGAATCTTATTGTCATTTTTTATCCTTGTTTCCTTGGAAAACATGTAGTAGCCTCATATTTTGATATAATAAACCTTAGTATTTACCCGTGGAATATACTCATGACTAGTTGGAAATCCGAAGTTGTACGTAAAAGAAAGATGGCTCCTAACTGTATCGGTATTGCATTCTAAAGTTTAGATAATACAATCTTTCTTAAAAGTAAAGCCCCATGCGGCTGACAATTGTGAAGCTGTCCCTTCACTTACTTGAGAATGTTGACAAAACATGTAATGCTTTCATGTTTCATCCTTACCATGAATAACTAATACCTCTACTTGAAAACCTTCCAAATTTAAACGAATAACAATGTATTAAAAACAAGTAATGTTTAATAACATCAACAATATACCAAAATTTACTTTTAAACCAAAACCTTGATATTAACAGGTCTAGGCACTGTTGGAGTTTGGTCCACGCTTGCGGCCGGGTCCTCGAACTGCTTGGTTAACGAAACGTTTGTTGTATTGCTGACGTCTCTAGGCACTTCCGCGCTTCTTCTTTCTCTTTTCTTGCTTTTCGACATTGGGGGCACGAACTTTACCGGCACGAGCGAGGGAACCGTGACAATTGTACATCACAAAAATGTCAATTAAACAAAAGCATCAGGTTATCTTTCAGAAAAATCAAATAAATTCTACGTAAATATATGACAAAATTTCGACAAATTTAAAAAATCAAAATTTACCTCCGAGCAATCGGGCGTTGCAGTTCAAGGTAGCGAGCTCGGCTACTTCAAGTTCTTCCAAAGAAGCTGATTCGTTGTCCAAGATCTTGGCTCCGAAAGTCAAGACATAGTCGAGACATTCTAAATCAGCCTGAAAAAGTCGATAGTAAAATTTTAAAATCATCCAGAATCGCGGATGATCCCACGCCTCCGGAGCCACCGTGAATAAGTACTCGTTGAGTTCGGGCGTTTGTTGCATTTAGACGACCAAACTAAAAATAGAGCATTATTGATGACCAGTAGGAGTAGCCGTATTCCTAGCACAATGTTATTTGATCATCTTACAGTAGTCAAAGCAGACCAAGCTGTAGCAGTCGTGTAGATCATCGCAGCCGCATTTACATGATCTACAGTCTTTGGCTTCGGTATAGTGTAGTCCGTGTTCGTTATGACGTACTCGGAATGAGCACCAGGCGTGGCTGGTAGCACAACTCCAATAACTTCATCACTAATCGCGGTCAAAAGTTTTTGGCAGTCGGTTGTCACCGGTTAGTCGACGCTCTTTTAAATTGAGTCAATGTCTGATGTGCGTATTTCGGACATTCGGACGTCTATTAGATAAGATGCCTCTAATGTAAAGTCTTGTTATGACAATCAACACCGTTTTACAATGTCATAAACTATCAAAATTGACATACTGGCTTTTTTAATGTTACCCAATTCAGCGACTACCCCACTAAAATCGCGGCCGAGAGTCGTTGGAAGCCGGCTGCTGCCAGTTAATCGACGTTCCTGTAAATTGTTTACAGCTGTCATTAACTGATGTACGTATCCTTCGGACGTACGAATATCTATTGGATTTACACTAGATGCCTGTAATGTAAAGTCTTGTTATGGCAATCAATCTTATAGTAAACGTAAAATTATATTAATAAAACACCAAATATATTAATGATGAGTTTTTTATAATTAAAACGTCCGTATTAGGTTGTTCTAACAATTCTGTGTTCCTACCCACAAAAATTTGTCTTGAAAAAGGGCACATAATTATTTGAACAACCTAATATAATAAATCCCTTAAAAAGTTAGAAAATGGTTTGTACTTTGGTACTTTACCCACCTTAACCTTAATCAAAACTTCATTATCACTTCGAATCCTAGGAGTAGTCAGCTCTCGTACCATTGGTTGTTGCTTGTAGTCATCACAGACATAGCCAAACATGGTGGCCGCGATCTGGCGATTACTTGCCATGTTCGACATGCTTTTCGGCGTGCAATGTAAAGGCTTGTTATGGCAGTATGGCAGTTAAAAACACCTTATGGTAAATGTTAAAGTAATAAGTAAACACACCAAAATATATTGACGAAGAGGCTTTACTAATTAAATACTTCGTATCTGTTCAAATAATTCAAAGCTCCTAACCCCGAAAATTTGGTTTGAAATGAGGCACATAATTTTCTGAACAACATAATAATGTAAATATCTTGAAAAGTAAAGAAATTAGAAAATAATTAGTAGTTTAGTACTTTACTCACCTTAACCTTAACCAAAACCTCATTATCACTTCGAATCCTAGGAGTAGTCAGCTCTCGTACCATTGGTTGTTGGTTGTAGTTATCACATACATAACCAAACATGGTGGCTGAGATCTGACGATTACTTGTCATGTTAGACATGCTTTTCGGTGTTAACAAACGAAATAACATCTAAAGACATTTGAAAACACATTTTAAGCGTCTTTGATATCAGTTGGTAAACAAACAACAAAAAAACATTGATTTACTTAAAATACAGTACTCTAAAACATAATATTGATTATTTTCAGTAATCAAAATGACGTTCCTTTTCAATTTAAATATCAAATTTAAAATTAAAATAGGTTCAAAATATTCAAAGTAGGTATTGAACCAGTTGAATAAAATTACCAAAATAGCTAAATATATATTTACTTTGAGCTAATCAGTAAAATAAATTGTATTCAAGACGACTTTTCTTCCAGTTTCTTCAAGTTCAATGTTTCTTGGCCAAATATTTGTGACATTTCTTTTTCCAGAAGTTCATGTAATGATAGTCCCAGACGTTTGTAGAACCACTTGTGATTGGTAACGTAGTCGTATCTAAAAACATAAAAATATTAGAAATAGTGCAAATTCACTTTTCCAACTCAACATCAACTCAAAAACCAAATTTAGTACACCAAACTTAAAAAAGCGTCAATATTACCTTACCTTTGAGGTCCAGAAACCGGTGAAGACAGCCAAATCTGCTTGTTTGGAGACTGTTTGTTTATCACATAAGTTCCTGGTTGACCTAATGCCACTGTAAGCACACCCATAGAATAAGATACATCGTAGTCAGAAGATGTAGACACTTTCTCTGGTAGCTCATCAAAGTATTCACATAAACCTTGTAGCGTTTCCTCCGAGATTCTGTCGAATTCATTGTCCGACAAGTCCTGAAACTTGACTTCATCAAGATTTGCACTAAACGCACGTTGAACAAACTGATAAACTCGACCTCGAGGCAACAGTTTACTGATCCGTAACGCTGTCGTGATCATACTGCAACATTCAAAATTAAAAAATACACAAAGATAGAAAGTTTAACATACAAACTAACAATAAATTAGTCATTCTCACGTTTGTGACTATTCTACACATAATTTTATCATTAAAAAGTATTCAAAACTACAAAAAAAATGGCAAAAGTATTCGCTCCCGGGTGGACTCGAACCACCAACCTTTCGGTTAACAGCCGAACGCGCTAACCGATTGCGCCACGGAAGCACGGCCGCTTTCTATTTCTTTTCCGCTTTCGAGAGAGCGAAATTTTGTGCGAAATTCACGAATCAATCTGAATTTACAAAGATTTTTAAAATAGCGGGACAAAATTAGTAAAACTAAATTGTAAAAGATTCAAATATTAATTTAATATACTTTTGAAATTACATTTTTAGAAATCATCTTTCTTTATCAAAATCGTTTTAAATAAGTCGAACATAGCCTTAAAATACTAGGAATTTGTACAAACCGGTAGAATAACCTTCGAATTGATAAGTTTTCAGTTTATTCAATATAACAAACAACATAATAACAAAACAATACAGTCCTAGTCTACAATTCAATGCCTTTCGATCTCGGGCGGAGTTTGCTCCCAATCCAGAACGTGATCTGATCTTCTCTTGAACAACAATGGGAAGTTCTGCCGTTCTTCCTCAGTGTACTCTGTTGACTTCTTTGGCACCTTTTGAACTTGTCGAAGTTGGCTTCCAATATTCATTCGAATGAATTCTGGCATTTCATCATCGGCAAATAAGTGAAGTCGTTCGATTTGATGTCTTCTGATCGGTGTTCGTCCTAAAGCCTTGTAAACAGCGGCAAAGGCTATCCTCGTGGGTTCAAACTCATGAATTTCGTGAGCACGAATATCGGTTTTACTCCGTGGATATTCCTATAACATATTTTTGATAGAGCTAGCTTTATCAATAAAATAATAAACATACACAATAACCTTTTAATTTATTTTACCTTGTTATAATGGAAAAGCATGTGCTTCCAGTTAAATCCGTGCATAGCCACATCTTTGCAGTTAACGATAACAACATTATCTCCACAGTCAGTCAAAGGATGGTATATTGGCTTCCATTTGCCACTCAAATGATTTGCTGCTAAGTTGCCTAACTCAAAAACGTCCTAAAAACAAAATACATATAAATAGCACCAAAATATACCTGGTTTGCGCCATCTATAACATGCCATTGTCTAGAGAACAAAAGCCATTGGTTTACCCTCGCCAATCTAGAAGTCATTACCTGAAACATAACATATAAGAATTAAAGTAAAGTATTTTTACAAAGTATATTCACGTCTTTACTTTATATTATCCATAAAATACTTGTCAAAAACATTTTTATTGAAAAAAATAAAATTTTCTCTTTTTAGAATTTTTCCAACGGCGCCCCACGCTTCGCAGGCTGCAGTCGTTTTTATGATAAAATTACCGTAACAAACCGGTAAAATAAAGAAACAAGAATTAGTAGAGTAATAATGCTCCTCAAATTTACGCATACATACCTTAATAACATGATATACAAAGACATCACTAATCAATCTACTACAATATACCTTTAGTCGCCGTTTCCTGTAATGATGAGCATTTTGCCGTGAGATACGAACACCGTCTCGAAAGGTTGTTCAGAAGAGCGGCTCTCATCCTTTATCGTGGATTCGGAAGTTTTTTGAAAGAGAAACCAATTCTAATCTTTTTCTAATTTCGAAGTTTCGCGCGATTCTCTTCTGATCAGCTGCTTGTTGATAGCGCTCGCCTACCGGTTGATTGTGCTTCTATTGTACTTTTTTGGGAAAAGGTTAATTTGTTTTTGATACGGGTTTTAACCTTTTGTGTTGTAATTGTAAATTCTTTAAGTTTTAAGGATTCGTCGTGACGTTGAACTGATATCATTTTAGGTTTATCATAGTTTTACATCTTCTTCATCCTTAAAGTAGAATTTAACTCTTGGTAAAGTTTACTACTGTGTATTCACTATATTTCAAAATTCATTGACTTCCATTTAACACAGTTTTAATGCTTAAATTTTTGAACTCATTAAGAAAATGTAGATAATGTGATTGCTTTTAGTTACAACATATCACATAACTTTGATTACTTCATGAAATCAATTAAAAATAACTGTCTAGCTACTCTCTCTTCGACGCGTTATTTTACTTTATAGCGAATCCACAAAACGCTTTTTATGTTTTTGATTACTTGTTGTTTTAAGCTTACAAAGTGGTGCTGATCTACTATTATATCTCTTGTAAACATGCTGTTTAACATAGTAATAATTAGTGAAGCTATCATTAACTTACATTTTTATAAAAAGTTTTCATACTGCGTTGTTTTTGTTTAATTTTGTCTTTATTTTAATTTTACCGTATTTTAGATTGAAAACTTGTAAGATTCGTATCTTCTATTTCACTGTTGAAAATGTCATTTTTACTCTAAAAATCAGATTTAAAAAGCCGTTTTAATGTGTAATTATTAAGAACTAATTGTTTTTTGAAGAAGTAACAAATAAAATTTATAGGGCGTCGATTAAAGAATATTGTTTCATCAACCGGTTTTGTCTTTGGCTTGTTGTTAACATACGATGAGAGATGTACGGATATATGGTAAGATTTTTGATTTTAGGAAGAAGTAAGATTTTGATACAATAAACATTTTTTTCTTGAACAACTTAATAGTAATCGTGTTTTTTCTATTCTCAATATTTTTATTCCAACCTCTATATTGTTATAGAGATCAACATTATCCTCTGAGACACCAAACCAAAATCGAGAAACTCTAAGCCAAAAATCGACCACAAAGCAGTCGATAACTCAGCGACGAAATCAGCCCGTCTTCAAGTCTCGACGTCACAAGAAACCAGGCTTTTTCCAACGATTGCGACGAAGCAAAGCACTTGTGGATAACAAGAACGATGAGAAAACAATCGACCACATCTTCGACTCTAATCAAATCACTGATTTGAATACGAGTCGAAATTCGTATTTGTCTACTGACCCGGTCGATGATTACGTCGATGAAATTTGTGGAAGTTCATCGAATAGTGTGGAGTCGAATGAGGAAGATGATAAAGGTAGAAATTCAAAATTTTTTTTTATTTTGTTTATTTCAATTTAATTTTAAAAAGTTTTTTTAAATTTCTAATTTAAAAAATCCAAATCTAATTTTAGTCCCCGACCAGTTGATAAAGCCCTCATCTATCAACAGCTCTTTTCAATCTTTTTTCTCGCCTTCCTATTGTAACTACTCATTATCGACTGGTAAATCTTTTGAAAGTCTGAATACCTCGACTGCCAATGGATCTACATGGACTGTAAATATTGTGAATGAACTACCTAGAACAACATTGAAAGATGTTTTGAAAGATGTGTCGTTAGAGAAGAGAAGACGACTGACAATTACTTTAGATGGTACTCAAGGGAGTCTTGTTGGTACTCACAACAACATTTATGGTACACAAGGTGGCCTTGCTGGTACTCACAGTAATATTTATGGTACTCAAGGCAGTCTTATTAGTACTAATATTTATAGTACTCAAAGTAAGTTAGATGATACCCGTATTAGTACAGATGGTAGACTTGATGGTCCACTAAATTTTGTTATGCCAAAAATAGAAAGAAGGCACAGTATGGCACGGTCAGCTCGACGTAGTGACTTTGCTTCGCTACGACAACTTGATAGTAAGATGACTGGTAAATGTGCCAAAGATACTGTAAAAAAGCTTACTGTAAGAGCAAAAAAAGATTCAGAAGCTGACACTGTACACAATAATTTGAACGACGTTAGTAACGATCAAAATGTTAAAACGTACGATTCTACTGAACAAAATGAGCTACACTACGATGTTACACTTGACATAACACACGATTATTCAAGCTCTGACGAGACTTTTAACAATGAAACTATACCATCACCAATACCATCAGAATACAATAAAGACTTCGAGGCGAATATAACAAAAGAAGATGTTACATTATCAAACAATACCGATTCTACAGTACCAGAAGAAATATACAAGCCTCATATAGTACTACGACCAAAAAAGGTAAAAGATCAGTTAATTCAGCAGATTAACAATATCTACCAAAGATATTCAATGAAGCGCAAAGAATCTATGGTTGATTTTGAAGATACGATTAGACATTCTCTCTACGACATACAGTACACCAGTATAAACGCTGATTTTTGTCGTACTGTAGAAGAAAAAGAAAGTTCTGATATTGTAGTAGGTGGTGTAGCAAAAGAGAGGGTTGGGCTGTATGTTATCAAGAATGATAATGATTATCGATATGACACTGAAGGTATTGTCAAAAAAGCTACGTACAATAGTATTACCAAAAATATCAATTACAAAGCTCAGGTTGTTCAGGATGATTTTATTTTTACAAAGGATACGACTTTGTCTCATGACTCTGTTGTTACTACCACTGTAAACCTTGCAAGCACAATCACAGATCATCAACAATATTCTGAAAATTCTACTGTTTTTGAAGTAAAAATTTCAGAAGAACATCAAAATTCATTTTATACTTGGAATGAAACTAGTCAGTCTAGTGACATATTGTCTATAACCAGCGCAGAAGTTGAATTGAACAATGAAACCGACGAAATAAACATTAAAAATAAACATACGCAGAAAGGAAAAGATTCTGAAATTGTAATATTTGAACCTACTACTGAAGGTGTTACCCATTCTGTAGCTACTGTAAATTGTTCTTTCGACAGAACTTTGTGTGAAGCTTCTTGTGACAATGCTTTTGATGCTCCAACTTCAAACTTTGTAAGTGTTGCCTTGCCAGAGATCCAACAAGAAGAAATGGCATATTCTGAACAATATTTAGACTGCCATTTTGTGAAAAATAAAAGACAAACTTATGGTAGTAAGAGTCAACATATTGAAGAAGAAAACTATGATCACACCAGTCAAACAGATGATGTTACAACATGTTATGTACAAAAAATTATTCCAGAATCCATTCAAGAAGCCTGTATTCTAAATGTTTGTTCAGTAGATATTCTTTTCACAAAAGAAAGCGATGTCAATAATTCTAATTGTTTTACTCTACCTATGTCATCTATCAAAGATCCATTAAACTTATCTTTAACCATGCTAACATGCGATCTAATCAGCATACCATCTCAAGCTGGCCTTATTAATCGAACAAGTATTGCCCTACCAGATATTCTACTACAAAAAGCCTCGTTTAGTGTTGCAGATGTTACACTAGACTTATCAAATCTAGAAAATAATGAAGTAGTTCACGCAGTTATCACAGATCAAGTAAAAGACAGACTGGAGTACAATGAAACGGCTATGTGCCATAATTATGATAAAGCTGCTCATTCTCCAATTGGAGAGACTAGAAAGTGTGCTTGTGCTTGCTTCAAAACTACAGTAACTCAATCTACCGCTTACAGTGAGACTTGCTGTTGTGTTGATATGCGGCATGAAGATGATGTCAAGGTGGTTGACAATAGCGATGATGAAACTTGGAGCTGTAAAATAAACGAAAAGATACAGAAAAGTTGTATGGCTTCGCCAGCTGGAGCTCCAGTATTATGTGGTACCAAAGATTCGGTACAAGATAAAGGTTTGGCTAATGGTAATATATTAAAAAATGATGACGTGTGCAACTTACTTAATGATCAATATCTTTGTAACGACAATGTTCCGTCCATAAATTTTTCAATTGTAGACAGAGCTCAAAAAGAATTGTCCGTCGACATCCAAGACACGTCATTTTGTCACGATACACCTTCTGTAGATACATTTTTACACAGTAATGCACCTAAAAAACTAGCACAATTTAGCCCATTGATTATTGAAACATCTACAAAGGTTACAAAACCATCATTAGACAAAGAAAGTGCAGTACCTTTACTTCGTTCTCCTATTATACCATCATTGAGCCTACCAACCCCTACTCAACAATTCTCTCCAGCGTTTGAAAGACCACATCAAGAAGTTGAAGCAACATTTATCGCTCAAGAAAGCCACAAAGCTTTGGATGCATTGACTGTAAGTAACGTTGAACAAGAATTTAGTTGCAATGGTAAGATAAAAAGAGCTGCAACTTGTTCAATATTTAAACAAAAAGATAATAACAGTGAAAAATCAAGCTTGAGTATTATTGATTTGCCTGTTAAAGTGAGTAGAGATGAGATTAAAGAAAGCGCTACTATGGTGCACCAGTTAAATGTAAAGGAAAATGAAAGTTACAGTGAAACCAATAATGATATTAACATAGAGAAGAATAATATAACGGATGCTTACTGCATTGCATCGCTAAATGACATAATAATCTCAGAAGAAGAGTTTTCAGTTACTCAGCAAGAACAGTTACTAATAAAAGAAGAAGAAGATGGTTTTGCATCGCTCAACCTCAGTGATCAGAATAAAGAAAAAGACGTTTTTACTGTTACAGCGATTGCTGTTGACTTAGCATCAGACGATAGAGTAGAAAACTGTAACGCCACATTGAAAATAACAGCAGAAGAACAAGAGGAGTATAGTGAAATAGTATGTCAACATCTTGGGCTAGTAAACAAAGAACAAAATAAAGAAGAGCTTGTTGAAGCTACTGTACATACAACAGAGTTTGACGAAGTAAAACTGGCTATCTCATGGATAGATTGTGTGTTCGCTCAGTCTTATGCTAATTATAATGCGCAGCATCTTGTCTCACAAGTTGCTCAGCAAACAGAAGAGTTTGCTGTAACCTCAGCTTACTTTAGTTTTGACAAAAATGGCAGTAACAGCAGCATTGGGCACATATACGATGGGATTACCAAGAATGGAGAAGTTTTGTCTATTAAATGTGACAGTAATGAAAACAAAGATTTAGTTGAAAATTATATTCATGTTAATACTTGTGAAAATGAGCACCATTTTACAACGTTACACAAGGCCTTAACTGTACCTTCAATATCACCATCAACAAACAGCACGTCTAACACAATATCCGAAGTTCCTGACGATCCTACTATTGAATTCAATGACGACGCTTTGTTAAAATATGGAGAAATGATCATGCTACCATCAGATCATAATAAAGTTACAGCTGGTTTTGAGCTTGGAGGTAATGCAGGATCAGAAGGCACTTCAAGAGCAAAACAGGATAATATAGATGATCGTGATGTTATAATACAAAAACTATTAAAAGACATTGTTGACAAAGTTGTGCAAACACATTTGGAGCAATTTGAAAAGCGGTTTGGGTATCAAAACAAGTCCAGTCCAGCTAAATTAAATCTAATGGGCTGGTTTGACAACTCGGATCTTGTACAAGAACAAATAGCTGAAGTTGAGTTTCAACACACAATTAAAGTAAGTTTTTAAAAGTATTTTTTTTTTTAATTCATATTTTTCAAACTTCATATAGTACCAAAAACTTTTTGTATTACCTAATTAAATCTTTTTGTATCAATTAACGAGAGTGCAACCTGCGCGCTTCGGACGCGACTCGCTCTTTTCGGAATTTCTCTTTGTGAAAAAATACGCGTGTTCCGTTTGCCCACTTCGAAAACTGTTGAAAACATAAATATTCAGAAGAGACTTTTTCGTTTATATCAACTTTGATTCATCATAACAATCTGGTCATCAAGTTTTCCGATTGTTTTTGTTTGAATTTTCGTTAAACAACCGGGTTTTGTAAGTGATAGGTGAATATTGTCACGTTTTTAGCTCTTGTTTACTTATTTTTGTTATTCCCGCGGCAGGCAGGTTAACATTGATATATTTTTTATATTTTACTCAACAAAAACTGTTAGTCACATAAATTTATAAAGGAGTTTTGAAAGATTTTTCTCGGTTATTTAGGTTTAATCTCTTTTTTGAATGTTTTTTTCGTTCTTATGTCTTTTAAGGTTTCCATGGTTGAATAATTCGTTATGCTTTCAGTTTGGGAACAAGCTAGCTATGCTTTCGGACGACAATGAAATCCCCATATCTGATGATGAATATGAAAACCCGTCGATGGACGATTCCACTGTGAGTTTCTTGGTTATCTTTTGTGAATTTAGGTAAAAGGAGTCTTTATAATGTAAGAATAACTTATAATACTAGCTTCTGTTGTTTTAAACCATATTATAATGGATTATTTATGGTCGTTTACTCAGTATTTTGCTTTACAGGCAACAATAACATCGAATGCTTCAAAATTGGTCTTGAACTCGACGGCCGAAGAAAAGAATGGGACGGAACCGGCCGAAATTAATGGGAAAGAGAACAATGGAACGTCCTCGAATGGAGTTAATGGTCTTTCCGAGCCTCTGGGATTAGGTGGATCTAATACGAGTACTCCAATTGAACATGCTCCTTCGAATGGTGGACGACCTGATGAAAGCGATGAACAAGCTGTAGATGAAGAAGCTGCTGTCTTCAAGGATGCAAACATTACCGTCAGTATTAGAGCGTACGAGAAGCGGAGCGAAGGATTTAATGCTTATATTGTTTACAAGATTGAAACTAAAGTAAGGTTTATTTTAATATTGTATACAACACCTTGTTAAAACCGAGTAAAATCACAGAGTATAAAATGAACGTTTTAGATATTTTGTAAGGGATACTTTAGGCAATCAGAAGTTTTTTTTTCTATTATGACGATTATCACTTTGATTTTCAAATAAATTATCTACAACAATATAAGTTTTTATTTAGTTTTATACTTTTACATTATAACAGTAATATTTTGTAGGTAAATGGCATTCCAAACTACACCAAGTCGATGAACGAAGTCTGGCGAAGGTTCAGCGACTTCTTGGGACTTCGTGATAAGCTGGCCGAGAAGTATCAACATAAAGGGGTAGCTATACCATTGGCTCCAGAAAAGTCAATTGCTGCTCTTACAAAGACCAAACTCAATACTACGAATGATGAAGGATACACAACGTAAAGTTTAATTTAAAATTAAGTAAATTTAGAAAAAGACGCTAAAAGTTCTTAGCTATTGCTGGTGTGGCTGATTATTTTGTGCCATATTTGTATGAATAATATGAAAAATTTTAGTGATGTTGCTGAAAAACGTGCCCGATTGCTGGAGCGTTTCTTAAGACGGTTGGTACGATCTCCACGATTGGTCGTAGACTGTGATTTGGTGGATTTCTTGTCATTGGATGCCAACTTACCAAAAGCTTCCTTCACTGCTGCTTTGAGTACAAAATCAATGCAAAAGATCTTCAAGGTATGTGAATTCATATTTTTAATATTTTTGAACTTTTTTTAGTTTTTTATTTTTAATAATGGTCTAATGTAATATTTTTGACATTTTCTTTCAAGTTTGTAACAAATTTTATTTCAGTCAGTCGGAGACGCCTTGAACAAGATTGCTTATCCTATGGATGAAAATGATCGTTGGTTCGAGCAAATGCACGGTAATGTAGAAGAACTTGATGACATGTTGGTGCGATTGTACTCGATTGTTGATCAACTTGGGTCATATCGAAAAGAGCTGTCTCAGTCATCAGACAGTCTGTCTAAATCTTTGTCTATGATCGCTTCATGTGAGGAGAACACGGCACTGGCTAGAACGTTGTCCAAATTGGCTGAAACTAAAGAGAACCTGAGTGTGGTACAAAGACATGAAGCTGACACGGACAGTCAGATTCTGGCTGAAAGTATTCAGGTATGGTAATGTTGATAGCGAGTGAAAGGCTGGTTTTGATCAGTTTTAGCCGAGAATAGACTAGATTTTGTATATTTTTCATTAGGTTCATATATCTATTTATTGTAGGAGCACCTTCACATGACTCAAGTCCTAAAGGAGCTCTTCTTCGAACGAGTCAAGGCTTGGCAAAACTGGCAGACGTTGAGACAGAATTTGGCAAAGAAACGTGAATTAAAAGCACGTTTTGACTTGGCTGGACGTCCGGATCGTGCCAATGTTGCCAAAGCTGAAGTGGAAGATTGTGAACAGAAGGTGGACAAGATGGAGCAGGAGTTCCAGGAGATGAGCAAGACAATACGAAGAGAGTACATCAGATTGTGCAAAGAAAGAAGAACCGATTTGAAAACCGCATTTGTTAGCTATCTGGAGGCATTGATCGAGAGTGAACAACATGTAAGTGAGATTTTTTTAAAAATTGTTATGATTTATGTTACAAAAGTATATCTTACTGTGCTTTAATGCCAAAAAAAAGTGAAGAAAGTTATGTAAAATATGTTTGAAATTCGTAATTGTAACCTTTTTCCACTTTCAGACCCTGGAACATTGGCAGAAGTTCGCTCCGGAAGTGCAGAGTATTATATAAGATTATCAAGAAACACCGAATTTCTAATTTATTCTAATGGGTATTTATGATTTCTATATTTATCCTGTGTATTTTGTACCTTTTTGTCCTATAATTTTGATAACTTAAAGCGTTGGAAAATACAATTTTATTTTAAATGAGTTTTGTTGTATGTTTGACTATATGTATATTAATGAAGCTGGAAGAAATTACTCCTATGTAAAACTGTAGTTTCTTCCTTTCGGAAAGTTCTTTTTAGTATTTTATTTTGCAAAGATCTCACAATCAGGCCTGTGAGCAAATTGAATTGTGAAACCATATTTATTGATACTTTTAACCAATTTAAACATTCTAAAAACAAAGTTTCAACGATTCAAAGAAGACGCAATTAACATAAACCAAACGGGGAGGATCAGAGATTTTTTTAATTGGCTGGGATATTTCACTGATTTTGGGCATACTAATATACAGATACTGTACGTAGCACATTTTGTGAAAGGCATTACTGCATCTAATAGGTCTACAAATATGATGTTGCGTTTTTGACAATCATGTTTTAATCGATTCAACGCTAGCGATTTCGGTTCAACGGAAAACTTTGCAATAAACCCCTTCTGAAGGCAACAGGTTTAGGGTAAAATAGATTAAAGTAAGCAAGGGTAAGACAATGTATAAAGGTTTTCAGCTTTAATATCGTATACTTACTCATCAATACATCAGAATACGTCCGCTACAAGGCTAACAATCGCTGAAGTAAGGAAGAACAAGGCTTTCAGACGTATCAGCTTTGCAAAAAACCAGCAAACATGAGAGTACGGTACACAAGGCTGATAAGAGGCACATCCCCCTTTCATGGTCATCAAAAATCGATAGTTGAGACTCATGACGAGTGCTTGCCTAAAAGTACAAAAGTTATTGCAGTACAGTGTTGTATACTATAACATGCCATGTTTATACATGATGATTTTCAATTTTTTTGTGGGATTCATTATCTCTGTTTTCCATAAAAATGGTATTTAATACTGAAAGTTCATTAAAGCAAGCCCACTGCATATCTTTCTTATTTTGTATGCAGGGATTTTTGCTTACCCTGCAGGTTTTTGATTTAAAATGTTACGCAAAAAGAACTTTTTGATTTCTATGTTTGGAAATATATGCACTGGATTTCAATTTTTTCGAACTTTGAAAAATTGCCTCCTAAGGGCAGAAGATGCAAATTTTGGGAATATTCCTTCAGATTGTATCTAACTAGTCCTCAAAGATTGTATATGCCAATTTTTAGGTCCATAAGTTTAAAGAGCTCGGAAAAATAAAACTATTATTAAATGGTTTGATCCGCTTTGCCCGGTTTTGATGTTTATTAAACCACATCGAAGGTAATTTGGTCTCACCACGAATTGTGTTAAACGAATTAATATGTTTGAAAAATTTTGTGGCCTAAGATGTGACGAGTTACACTAGTCGGGTTTGACTCATTGATAACCGCATGAATTCACGGGATTTCTGACCTAATGAATTCGTTTTCATAGTCAAAAATTTATGTTTTTAATAGTTTTAGCACACTAGCGACATTATATTAATCAAAAACAATTATTTATTATCATAACGCAAAAATTATACAATTGTAGATTACATTTTTTATTTAATGAATTTGTAATTTCAGTAATTATGGTATTACCCCGTAACAAGCAAAGAAAGCTGAAGTTACGACGTAACACGTTGCCAATACAAAGTTACTTGAGTTTCCAGTGCGCATTGTGTTTTTTCGTAACAAACGTTCAAAAAATTTACTACAACGTTCGTTGTAGTAGGTGTAGTGCCCTATTGTACAACGCCTTTCAAAGAACATTAATGAACACACGATTCAGCATTTACTACGGCAATGAGAGTTTTTATTAAACAAAGTTGGAACAAAAGGCCATCAACTTAAATTACAACATAACTATAATGAACTTTTAGTATTCAATAATAATTATTTTTGCATTTTTGTAGCTATTTTTACATTACTTTGTTCGTTTTTATTAGCTAAAAATACACTAATGTCGTATAATGTGTCACGTACAAAACGCCGCACCTAAGATAGACGGTAATAAAAAAGCGCACATGCATATTGATAGAAAAACCATTCGCTTTGCGCAGGTATTTGCAGTTTTTTCGCAATTTTTTCTATTTTACTTTGTTACTCTTCTAGTTGGCACTAACAAGACTTTTTTATTCTTTTTATAATTCTGAAGATTTTCCGTTGATGTTTACTGCAAGAAATCTTATTTTTTGTTCTTGCATTGCTATATTAATATCGACAGGTAAGTCAATGAAGCTTTTGGGGTGATACATTGCTGCTTTTGCTTGCATTATTTCAAGGTCTTTTAAAAGGCAGTGCTGCGTTGATTTTTGAAAAAAATGTAAAGCAAATACCCACTGTTAGATAAAAAAATTTCTTTGTAGGTACCGGCAATGGTGTTTACGTATTGGTACCGCTCATGGTGCTTACATTTCAAAATGTCATATGCATATTACTTAAAAACAAAATCTCACAATACTTCAAATCTTTTAGACGTTAATGGACAAAGGGTTGCACAAAAGAAGAGGTAAGAAGGATTGGTATATCTGAAAATGGTCAGTCTACATTATACTTTGTTGAGCCATCAGACATGCAAAGTAAGTTATGTATACGGTTTGTTAATTTGGCTTTTGAAGAAATGAAACAAAAACATCTGAAAAATGAACTTTTAATGTTATTTTAATTTAAAATTTAAAAAATTAGCAATCGATGCTGGTCAATTAATTATGGGTCAGAGAGAAGAGGCCCAAAATGAAATAACCTCAAGAAATTGGTACAAAGTTACCTGTCTTTTTTAACTTTATTTTCTAATTTTCATTCTAAGAATCCGTAGACAACATAACTTATTCCAAATTTTAGAATTTGGGCCCGGATGGGAATCACGGACTTTAGTTGGATTTGTCAATTCAGAGGAGAAAAACGTGACCGTTCACGATATAATGGCATCATGGAGAGATCCATTTGACTTTAACATTGTAATTTATAATGTGAGTTTAACACAGGGATTTATTATTAAGTACAAGGCCTGTCAGCACAGATAATGTACTTACCGTAGGACGGGGGGGGGGCTCGTACGTATAGCTGGATGTTGTGGAACTTGCCGTTGGGAAGGGCTCGGCATAGTACTAAATGTCTTTTAGTGGTATATCTTAAGGCCGAGAAAGAACGGAAAGAGAACCGTTCATAGTTATGTTCTTATAATTTCAAAAATTTCAGAGCACCGCCAAGTCTGTTGAAAGAACGATACCTCTAAAACAAGAAGCTACTTTTGAATACATTGTCACTTTAAAATGGACTTGTAAAAGCCAAAGATACGGTCTTATCATAAACCTTAACTATACCGACTCGAGGGGAAAACACCTTGTTGACACTGCCTTTAATGGTACCGTAATGATCCAAGAACTTCAAAGGCCTTTCTGTTTAAAAACTGCTCTTTGTACGCTTGTTGTTTTTGTCGCTGGCACATTTGCTGCGATGAAGTTTCTTGAAGCTCTCGCCAGGGTACGTTTTTTAATTTTAATATTATAGTTGAAAGTGTTGATTATCGAAAACTTTTTTGACCCAGCCCTTGAGGTTGTTGTTGCCGGCTTGGCACGGCTTGTTATGAACACTAGGAAAAGCAGAAAGAAAGTGGAGAAGCGTCTACATACCGTCCATTCTATCTCTTTATTGTTATGTCGATGTTATATAAAACTTATTTTCAAAAATTTCAGCTCGATGACGGGTCGTCGCCACCAACTTGTGCAGAATGGGTGCAACAACTTGACAGACCCCCATACACCAGCGGGTTTTTAAGTAAAATATGTACGTGCAACAAAAAGTATAGACCACGTGTGTAAAACCTTTATCAAGTAAATATTAATATTATGTCATGGGAACGGTTTTTTAAAATACGAATTCAATACTTTATGATTATGAACGTTGGTCGGTCGGATTACGGTAGTTAACAGTAATTCTAAACACAAGTTTTGAATTACGATATTATTCAGTAGATTTGTTGAAAAGTGTAAAAAGGCTAATTCGCTGTATTGTGCAAAATTTTTTTAAAATAGAAAATCATTCCCTGAAGGTATTTGTAGTTACAAATTCGAGAATTCAAAAATAGCAAACTGTTGTTCATTTTAGAGAAGGGCAAGCAAAGCTGGCAATGGCTGAAGAAGTAAATGGTACAGTACCATAAAAAGAAATTTTTACAAAATAATTTTAAATTTTAAAAAATTTTCATACGTTCTGTGGAAGAGCGATTTAAGTCTGGTCGAATAAGATAATCGACTACTACTGGGCTACAGACTAAGAAGTAAATTTATATTTTTGTCAAAAAAGTCTATTTCCAATAAGAAATTAGTCACAATACCCGTAAATATTTGTGAGAGACGGTCGTTTCTCAAGCGGTCGATTATGGCGTCAAAGCGGCCGTTTTGTTGGATTCTGATAGGGATTGCGCTCTTAATCAATGTGGCTCACTGTGAAGAAGTAATAATTTTAATTTGTAATTTTTGCTTTGTCTTAATTTGAGAAGGGGGGGGGGTGATACTAACAAAATTTTGCAAAAAATTGAACAGGTGTGTTTCAAAATATATATATATATTTTTTTTAATTTTAAAGTTTTTTTCAAGAATTTCGACTACTTTCAGGCTAATGAAACAATTACGGATATCCCACCCACTACTGTTGCAGCTACTACTGTTGAAGCTACTACAACCATTGTAACTACTACTGTCTCAACCACTGCTGCAGCTAGTCCGACTAATACTGATAGCCCAACTGATGTAACTAGTCAAAATTTCACTACAAATGAACCGATTACTACGACCAGTCCAACCACAACTTCTAGTCCAACCACTACGACTACTCCAACTACTACAACTCTCTTACCCACTACTACTAAGACAGACCCAACTACTGAAGAAGCTGGAACAACAGAAAGTAGTGAGGATTCAAGTGATTCGTCTGGTGAAGATTCTAGTCCAGGTGATTCAGGTAATGGTACCGAGTCGGATTCGGGAGATTCTGAAGCTGATGGTAAAAAGAAGAAGAAAAAGGAGGAGGGTTCTGGAAGTAAGTCAATATATTTAAAATTGAATTTTAATTTTGGTTTTTTTTAAAATTAAAATGTTTTTTCTAAAATAAAATGGCATTTTCAATCGTTTTTGCCTAAAATACTACCTAAAATAACGTTTTCAAACGAGCTTTTGCCTTAAAAAAGGCATTTCTATGTAGTTTTGGACCAGGGATTTAAGTTTTTATGAGTTTTTAAATAAAAAATTACGTCTTGTCGGCAGTAAAATGGCATTTTCAACCCAGCTTTATCTAAAATAAGGTATAGTATTCAACTTTTTGCCAAAATAAAGTGATTTCTATGAAGTTTTTGACCGGAAAATTTAGAATTTTATATAATTTTTAATGTCGAAAAAGCTGTAAACTTAAAATATTTTATTTTGTCTAAAATAAAGTGGCACTTTGAGCTTTTTTTGTCCAAAAATAACGTTTTTTATCGAGTTTTTAGGTAATAAACGGCTTTTTATGAAGTTTTTGACCAGCAATTTTAGTTTTTTTTTTAAATTTTTAATAAACAAAATGTTGTAGATTTTAAATTTTATGTTTTCAGCTATGAAAGTGGTGGCAGGACTGGCAGGAATCGAGCTTTTGGTGGCTTCGGCCTTCTTGACCGTGATCTCAGTCCTCATCTTGTCCAAGTCGATTTGTGCTGGATAAACGTTGTCATATCATGTGTATTATATTTTAAAATAAAGCTGTTGATATGGTTTATTGTTTTTTGACTTGTTTTTAATTGTTTTGTTACCTAAACTTACATTTTTATTCAAAAATAGGGGTTCAATACCTAATTTTAGGTAGGATAACAATTTTTTGTGGTTTCCGATTGTTTTCACAAGGTTTATACTTCCAAAACAATGTTAAATACGATTTATTATTGATTTAAATTTATTATACATGATTATATCTACAATATACAGTAACCCGTTTTGGTGAAGGCGAAGAAAGTACAGTAAGATAATATACAATGCTTATTAGGAACCGAATAGAGAAATGCCCGGATGAAGAGTGTCACAGTGGATATGTTGGTGTAATTACTGTGTACCGACTAAACGTACTGTTTTACAGTGCAATATACAGTATCTTTTTGTATACTGTACGTCAGACTTGTAGTACTGTGTTGTGTACATTAGGTATCAACAAAGTATTCAAGTTACTGTAGTAAAATATTAAATTGTAATGAATTTTTTCTATTTTTCAACTATTAAAAGCTACAGTATACTACACAGTAACTACCATATCCTGTGCAACAAGAAAAGCCCAATAGGTAGCCATAAATACGATGATATTGAGTTAGTTGAACTAGATACGGCTTCTAATGGCAGCCCTTCACGGACAGGGTCGATGTTCTGAAGCAGAAAGACGCCAGCTGCTCCAGTCCTGAACTGTGTCGTGACTTCTGCTCCCAGCCCTACTGTAGTCACGGCCTGAATCTGTAGCCGATAGTCGGTACCAGCGGTCAAGTCATCAAACCGTAGCCGTCGTGTTGTAGCCGGCACAATGCTTACACGAGGTTCTGGTTGATTTGAAGCCAAGAGCACGGCACGGTATCCCACAATCTGGACGTCAGACCGTTCTGCCTTGAAGTCTGAAGTCATCATACCATCAGAGTTGATTCCTGTACGATCAGCACGAGATACAGCGTCAGTACGATCAGTTTTTGAAGCAGAATCCACTAAAGGATTCAACCCGACGTTCCATTCACATTCTACAGCGTTCGTTTCATCTCGATTTGATGGTAAGCACGATACCATCTGACCGTGAACTAAAGCTTGTTGACCAAAGATAGTCTGTTGATCGTACTTCCCACAGTCAATCGCTTCTAGACTTGGTGTAGCGCTACAGCTTGGAGCCGAGAAGGCGATTCTACTCAGAAGTTCACCGTCAAGACCGTCACGGACTTCAACGACGTAGTCACAACGGAAGTGGAGGTCTTCTAACGGTGCAATACACTCCTGGACTAGTTGTTCAGAGCTGACTTGGACTGGGCATCTAAGGGACTTCAGTTTCACGATGAAGTCACGGTGAAGAGGAGTGCAACGATGATGATCTAGCCATGACACGGTGGAACGGAGTTGACCGTTCTCAAAATATGGAGACTGAAGCTCGGCACGGAACACTGTGGGCTGTTTTTGGTCCTGAAAAGGTATGTTTAGTGAATTCAGCCTACTATAATATCAAAAAGCTTTCGATGGAAAAAAATCACAAATTTTTAAATTTTAAGTATAACATAGCATAACAATAAAAAAAATGATTTACCTTGTGTTCACCACTTCTCCCACCCATATTCAGCGTATTTTCAATTCTATCCACAGCTTCTGTAGGTAACCGTTCAATCTCCACCTCGCTCTGTTTCCCTACTGGGTCATAACTCAATGGTGTTGTTGTAGCCACAAATTTATCCTTTGTTCTCACCACTAATATTGCTGGTTCTCCTCTCAATTCTCCTTCGGTACTCTCGACATTTGTTACCAGTTCCACAACATAGACTTGGCCAGGCTCTAGCCGCTCGTCCAGGACATGTTTCGTGGTATAACTTGGCAAGATAGAACTCCGACGTTCGATTCCAGTATTGGCAACGTTTTCAGAGTCTTCGTCTTCTGGTTCTTCATCAATATCGTCATCTATGGTGCGTTTCCTTTGGACTAACGCCGCTTTTTGGCCCATCATCTGGCGTTCGTAGATTTCGGCGCCGTCGGCGGTCGACTTCCACCAGGTTAACACGTAATCCTGAAAAGAGAATAATGTAACTTGAAATGTTGTTAATATGAAACCATTAAAAAGGCTATTAGCTTTAAAACAAGCCCAAAGCCTTACCTTAATCGGCAGTTCGGAAGCCGGTGGAGTCCATGAAAGTTGAACCGTCCAGAACTTCTCTGTCTGGTCAAATGTTTCACTTGAAACTGTGAAATTGGTTGGTGCTGATGGCGCTTTAACTTCCTTGGACAACTTGAATGGCAATGAGGCTTCTGAGAATCCAGTAGATCCATATGTGTTGACAGAAGCGATTCTGAAGATGTAGAAACGGCCTGGCGACAAAAGATGCTTCAGAATCGCGTACATTTTGTTCTTCTGAAATTCGATTTGATAAGTTTTTGGTTTATGATTTAGACAACTATGATAATATAGATAGCAAAGACTTCTAGCGTTGATGTATATAGTACATATTGCAGAGCAGGACATTTTTTACTTTTAATAGGGTAAGGGTAGCTATAAAAGGTAACTTACAACAATAATAGTCTGCCAAGGCGTCATTTCAGCTGGATCTTTTGAGACTCCCCATCGCCATTGAATGACAAACATATTTGATACTGTCTGAGTATGTTGAGGAGACATCTTTTTCATTATCCATCGTACTATCGCACTTCTGAAATTTTGAAAAATTAAAAAAAATTTTTTTCAATCTTATACAACCTTTTTTTTACCAAAAAATTAGAAAAAAGATAGTTCCTGACTAGTTTAACATAGTTAAAGTAGCTCAATAATGTATAAATTTTATATTATAGTAGATACAGTACAAATTTTAAACATTCAAAACCAAAATCCTACCGTTTTCTCTTCCTCTCAACCACGCTGATGCCTTCAGGAATCGGCAACAACTTATTGTCCTCCATTCCGACCGGCTGTGTGCAGATTCTGGAGCATCCCACCGTGCAGCACTTCTGAGTCTCCTGACAATCAGAATCTCGATTACATTCGGCGGAGCATTCGTCGGCGGAGAAAAGCTTGGGTTTGGGACAACTGCCAGGCTTTTTCTTACTGATCTTCTCCATGAAAACACAAGAATCCTCGCACGATCTTCTGTTTTCGGCTGATAAACAGACTGTCATCGCACAGCGTTGGTTTGTGTCTATTGATTCCTTGCATGGTAACATACACTGAAATTTGAAGTTAAAGACCATGTGAAGCTACTACAACATAATTTTTATTTTTTTGTGTGTTATTCTGCTTAGTATCCAATGTTTGCTATGTTATACTATAATATTTGTGTATTTTCATCGATTTTCAATTATCCCAAACATTATTTTTAACGATTTGTTAGTATTTTACCACAGTAAATCTCTTCCAAAGCAATAAAAACTCTTCATAACTTTAATTCCCCCTCCGTATTATAAAGAAATGCCAATTACCATGCCCGACATTAAGTGAGAGTACTTGAAACTTCCGAAATTTTGCGAAATTATGCAAATTATTCAAATTTTTCGGCCGCGCTTCAAAAAATTTTAAAGAAACTTCAAGTTTTCGTGCTTAATTTGCATAAAAACAAAAGGAAACACTTATTACGCTCCACGTATTTTAGGCTCTCAAACGGAAAAAACTTTGTTTACAGCGGAAAAAAAAATGTCGCAAAAGTATTTTTAAGCCTAAAGTATTTAAAATATTTTTCAAATAGTGCCATATTTTAACAAAAAACTAAAATTATGTATAACTTTTGGGTTCCACCACGAAAACATGATTTTCAAAAAAATGGGCTTAAATACCTCAAATTCGATAAAAAACATAAAGTGCTATTAATTTTTAATTACTATATTTTAAAAATATTAAAATTTAAAAAATATTGAGCTATATTCATCGTATGTTACTGTCAGTTTACGGTTGCGCAACTTTGAAAAGCAAGTTGCGCAATACAATCGGAAACGGAAATTAGCGACCTTTTGAGAGAATATCTAATTAAAGATGAGCTAGCCAGTTTTCAAGGCATGACAGAGTAATACCATCGGTAATATGTATATATATAAACATGTAAGAGGTATTACCTAAAGCTATGTTTTAGCTCTTTACTTATGAATCTTCTTGATTAAAAAATCAAAATAAGTTTCAAAAAGAATGTAAAATTACTATAGTAAAAGTTATTTTTTAAGCTATGCAATTTTTTAGTCCCGGCATTGCCCCGAAGATATCTCTAACTATAACAACATAGCACTGTAGCTAAATGAGTACTAAAATGCCATAGTATAGCAACTAATCAAATACATATGTTATACCAAAGTACAAATCCTTACCGATGAGCAGTTCTGATCGTTTTTGCATAATGTCAAAGTTTCGTGCCTTAATTCTTTCCTTAGGTTTGGCTGGTCCTGCAACGAAATCATGATTATTTAATGTCTTTTCAAATGTAACGTTTTTCCAAGTTTAACGTGTCGTATGTCAGTTTTGACGTGATTTAGCGTCATTTAAAATTTATTATAAATTTGAAATTTTTTATTTTTTTTGAGATTTGGAATTTTGATTTTTTTTCTAATTTGAAAATTGGAAATTTTTGAAACTTTAGTTTATAGGTATGCATATAACAACCTATCCCTTGTCCTCAACCTATTCTCCAACATTCTGCCAAGACAAGACAAATACGATACCAACTGTGACAAACAAGGATGAGTGTTGTACGAGATTATATGTTTGCACATTACGAAGGAATCTCGTGGAGAAACCGTAAAATGAGATTAAAATTATGTAATAATCGTTGTAAATGCGCTGCTAATGGTCGTATGTGTGCAAAATTGCTCTAATATATTCTTTGTTACACTGACTATATATAGAAAATAGTAACATTTTGGTAGTAGGCCGGAGACAGAGCTTTTTATATTGTCATATATATCTGATGTAGATATTTTTTTAAAATTGTATAACTTTTTGTTGAGTTAGTCAAATAATGTGATATAGTAATCTAATGGTAGCTAATTTACTGTTCTACAAATGCCCATAAACGTCTTTTGCAAAACATCATCTTATTTCAAAGATACACCCTTTTAACCACACCCATATCTCAAAAATCACCCAATAACCACAACCCCAACACAAGATCCAATTACTACCATGCCATAACACTAAATTGTCGCAATTATATCAACACACAAATTACAGTACACCTGCCATTCGAAAACACTTTAATTTGGCCACAATTGACCGGTCGTTTTGTTGCTTTTGTGTTTTTTGTTTCGGATTACAAAAGTTTTCCGAAACATTTCGGCGTTTCCCCTTTTGTAACTCAAACAAAACTTCCGTTTATGTGTCATCCGAACAGTTTTGGGAAATGGTTTAGGACAACAAAAAGGTGTTTGAGGAGGAATGACAGCCTTTTTCTGGGTCATATTTATGTTACACTTGATGAAAGTTGGTGGGTAATGAAGTTTTAATCATTTTGATATGTAAAAATGCTAAAAATGACTTTTTTAATAAACATACTATAACTTAACACTATAGTAAACATATTTAAATACTATTTACAGCCAGTAGAAACCATTAGTTTATCAAAAAATCAATTATATTGCACTAACAACCAACTTTAAGGCCTCAAAAAAGTCTTGTCGCCAAACTTCTATACTTTCCACGTTAAAAAACGTCAAAACTTTTTACAATCTTAAAATAATGCTTATCTTGCTATAAGAACCAGTGTTGTAACTACACTTTGGTGATATTCCTTTTTTGAATATTCAAATTAGCGAGAAGCATTTAGGGATATTAGAGGATTAACACCTTGTAATCTGACCCCAGCGCCCTTTTTCATTAAACGCCAGCTGTGCCAGTGGATTTTGGCTGTATATAGTATCGGAAATAATCAAAAACGAGCAATTAGGACACGCATATGGTTCAGTCTTTGAATATTTTTATGGGCATGGCATTTTTTTTTGAATTTAAAATTTTATTTTTTAACTTTAAAAAAATTTTTTTTTAGTTTTAAAAAATGACGGGTACCTCAGAAAGGTCATAAAAAGCCTTGGCTTATGCATATTGTGTCCACAATCAAAAGCGACAAAACTTTTGCGGCATTTTAATATTATCCATGAGACCTATGCTATGACTTTCCCTAATTAAAAAATTTAAAAAATCAAATTTTCATTTTCACATTTTTTGAAATGCCATGAAAGACCTTTTTATGAACTCAAAAATGGATTGACACATTTGAATATTCAAATAAATCGCACTTTGCGTTAAGGATGGCTCTCGATCCTTTTGTCTTTCGAGAGTTCGTATGTTCCAAGTGTTAATAGCTAGTAAACATCCACTTATGGGCGCACAAATACGGCTCTAGTAAATCTATGTTCCACAAAAATTTAATTTTCAACAATTTTTTATATAAATTTTAAGTGTTTAAAACCTCCAAAAAGTCTTGTCGTTTTTTATCACTGACTTGCACGGTAAAAAGCGACAAGACTTTCTTAAACTCAAATATTTTTTAAAAAATGCCATAAAAATCAAAATACTAAAGTAAGCAGTATCTAAACTACAATAAAAACTACCTAAAAGCCCATTACAGCACTTACAACACAGTACATGACATTAAAATTGTCGGTTTTATATAAAATACGGTTTCGCGTTTTTTATGGCCATTAGGGCCAAGTCACCGCCAAAAGGGGTTTTATGGCCAGAAATGGCGCTATATCATCATGCGATTTCCGGCCAAATGAAAAATTGCTTTCTTCCGGTTGCGAAAGTTGCGCTTTCAAGAATTTTCTATTGACAGATGTCATCGTGACACATTTTTTATTTTTTGGTACGGTAGGGGTTGAAAATGGTACTTTTGGGTTCTGTATGGCTTAACAATGGCAGTTTTGAATCTACAGTACATTTTCAAGTTGTAGAAGAGCCAAATTTCTAAAATTTTTAATTGATTCACCCCCTTTACCCCGGCCAAAAAACGTTCATTAACACCTAAAAACAAAGCCTGACCCCTCCTGAATTTCAAAAATTAAAAAAAAAACTTAATTACCGCTGTTTTCACACATAAATCACTGTTGTTATCGTAGACCACCCCTTCTCTCGCCCCTACCTCCCCCATTCCCACACTATTTCGCCTAATGAAGGTTGATAAACAGAAGTGATTTGCCGACCATTTAACGACCGTTTTTATGCGAGGCCAGATTGCGGTGATCGGCGCCAGAATCCCGGTTTTATTGGAGCCGAAAAAGCCAAAAAATCATTAAAATTCGCGCGACAAAGCGATTCATAAGGCTAGCCGGCGCGTGATGGTTGGTTTCGCTCGGGAATTTGAATTTGAATGGCACTACTAATGTTATAGGTATTAGTTAATAATGACTATTGTGCTAATAGGTAATGATAAGAATTTGAATAAACGTCTAATTACTATTAGAAATGTCATACCGGTCAATAAGTTTATAGAATTTATCTATTAGCTCAATATTGATCTGCCTTCAACTTTTCTTCAAACGTTCTGACCGTACTGTCTTATTTCAATGTCCTAAGTTCAACGTCTCAAACCTCATGGATAATATAGCTATCTAAGCCCTTAACGTCTCCAGCATCATAGATAATATGCCAATCTAAGCGCTCAATTTCTCAAATATCATGATTAACATCCCGAGCTGTTCATGTTTAATAGCCGAGAATGTAACGCCGTCGAGGATCGATTACCGACCACTTTACTCTGTCCCTTAAAAGCCGATCCGCAGGATAATCCCAGCCCAAATTGGAGGCGAAAAAGCCGCGATCACGACTTTTAACCTGCTCAATCGCCATTTTTTGGAAATATTACTGGGTTTTGGTTACTGTATGTTGTTGATAGTGTACTAGAAGTTTAGATTTTATCAAAATCATTTTAAATTTTTAAGGTTTTAGATACTAAAAGGTATGAAAAGCCTCAAAAATTTGATTTTATGGCAAAAATTTTAAACTTTTTAACTTTAAACTACATTATTCAAAAACTACAGTGACCTCCAACCTTAAAATTTACAAAAATGCCTTTTAATATCTCCCTAGCTTCAAAAAATTACTATAGCCATATAAATCACCCCCAAATATTTACAAAACCCCGTAATTTCCAAGCCCAAGGCCATTAACTGGCTCCTTAGCCAATCTCACCTTGAAGCCGGTTTCGGCACGCTTTTAACGTCATGATTAATATAAAATACGAAAGGAAGAGCCGATTGTTTACACAAAAAACAACTAATTGGCCATAATTCGTTTGGCCTTTCGGTTGCGCAACTTTCGAAGCGACAAAGGTGAGACACATGTATAAGGTGTATAAGATTGCGTTTAAGACAAATATGCACCTTGATATTGAGTAAAAATGTATGTTTTGGCATGCTTAGGTATTTTAAAGGTATTGTCATTAACTTTTGTATCAGATCATGCTACTATGCTTAGTTTATATTAACCTATAGTAAGAAAAAGCTCAAAAACACCAACTTTTACCTACTACAATGTAACAAAACCTCAAATTTCAATGTTTTTCAAGCCAAATACTACTCGTATTTTTGTGTACATATTCGTACCTTGACTTATATAGCAAAACAATTGTCAAAATCTCAGCCAAATTCTCATAACATACTGAAAATGTCATTACAATAGCCTTGTCTACTATCAAAAGCCACTTTTATTGTTCTTTTGTTCGATGTATAGCTACTGTTTTCTATTTTTGGAAAGTAAAAGTCTTTATTGTATGTTTGTTGTATTGCATATTATGTTATTTTGGGTTTGGTTTTGTAAAATACGAGTTTTTTTTAGCACTTCGAACAGTATAACCTAAGTAAACATAGAAAGGCCATGAGAAGCGGGTAGGGGGGCATTGCATAATTTCAAATTTTTTTAGATCGCCAGATAGCAGTAGCAATCTGTGAAAAAAAAATTTTATCTCCCCCCCCCTGCACAAAGACATAGCCATAACGCCTCGAAAAACCTATGCCAACGCCAAAAAAGCATGCCAAACACCTCACCTAAACCCATGGTATTTAGCATGCCCATAACAAGATTGATCTGTTCTCGGGGATTAGCCATCAAGATGGTTATCAGTCCATCTGTTTCGGTATTCGCCGCAATTACCGGTCGACTTCCGGACGGAAACAAATCATGGGAAAGCGGAGTCAAGGCCGCGCTTAAAAGCCATGCAAATTTGATGGAAACGCCAGAATTTTTGAAATTTTTAAAAAGTTTTGGGGTTTAGAGGTCAAAGAAGGTTCAAACACTTTGAAATTTCAAAAAATTTAAATTAATTAAAAATTTAAAAAAATTTTTTTATTTTAAAATCTATAAAAACGCCCTGCCAAACAATTCCTAACCCCAACAAGACTCAAAATTAGCATAATCAAACATATATATTGTTTATCGCTATGTTATCCATGTAAACAGACCGGAAATG